CAGGACAGATATTGGACGTGTCAGATAAGGAGTTACTACTGTCAAAGGAAGAATTTGACAGGAAAGTAAAACATTTACAAAAGATTGTAGGATTATTATCCTATATCACACAGAAATGCAGGTTTGAGATGTCATACTACGTGAATATATTAGCACGACACACACTGTTTCCCTGTGAGGAAGTTTTTGACCTAGCATCTCAGTGCATACAATATCTGTGGACAAACAAACACAAAAAGCTGACTTGGACTAAGTCAAGTAGCGCGAAAACTATTAGAATGGAAGCAATAACTGATGCTTCGCATGGGTCTCAAAAAGAATTTATGTCGCAACTTGGTTACTTTTACAAGGTGAATGGAAATTATGTGTTCGCTAGATCAGCCAAATCCACAAGCATATGTGTATCTTCGACTGAGGCAGAATTACATGCATTTTTTAATTCGGTTCCTTTGCTCCGGAGCATACAGCGAATGGTTGATAGGCTGGATCTCGAAACTAGTGTAAAGATTTTCACAGATAGCCAAACGTTGATTGCATTGATAACAAAGACAAATGTTGTCAAGTTCAGAAATAGATTTTTCGGTAGCAAAGCGTATCGACTAAGAGAATGCTATGAAGGTTCGAAATTCCAAGTGGAATATATCAGAACCAACGAAAATACTGCGGATATACTAACCAAACCATTGGCCGTTAAAATCTTCCAGAAACATATTGAAAATTGGATGATATGATTATGGATTGACGCCATGGGTGGTATGTTGGGAATGATGTGAATAAACTGATGGTGATGTGCGTCTAATCGCATAATCAGCGTCAGTAAATATGTGACACAGTGGTACAGAATGATAGTACACAACCGAGGCCATACAAATAGAGCTACAAGCTAAGACAAACCGAAGAGAACAACTATTGTCCAATGGGATTGGCCATTGATAAGTTATCGGTAGTGTACGGCATTGAAGCCGTAATCCTTGGGCAATAGAATGATCTAGAATTGGTGATCAATAAATATGTTGACCAGAGTCACCGAGTGAGAATTGTATAAATACCAGGCTTTTGTTCAGGTAACTGAACCAACTCTAATGCCTAAAATAATCACGGAGAGATAAATAGAATTCCCTAGATCCAAGTTACTCATCTTACAATGACCATGTCCGACTTACAAGACAAATTTAGTAAGCTTTCTACTGATGAATCAGATTCGCCTCAATACGATTTATGCTTGGTTCTCTGAAGTGGGTATCTACATCAAGACTTATTTGTAGTCGCCATGTGCCGCTACGCTATAGGATGTTCCGATTTGGCGCTTGATGGTCTTAAAAATTCAGACTGCTAAAAGCGAACAGGCCTGAATACTTTACAACTACATTCACAAAGATTTTGTAGGGAGTTTTATGGGAAGAGGGGGGACAGCTTGGTGCTGTGCTATCAGGGGAAGCAAGGGTGGCAGCCAAGTGGTGCAAACTTAACTGAGCTCAACATCGGGAAGCTCAAGTCCAATAAATTTCGATCAGCTTGACGATTAAAGTTTGCTAGGTCGTGTCTTTCTTAGTTCATCCATGGAAGCCCCATCGCTTTTTGAAATTTCCCTAATTGATTGAACACATACGCCTGTCGGCCCTCTTTAGCACTGCAAAAAAATATCCTTTACCACATTAAAAAAGACAATCGGACTACATAAAGGCACCAGCTCAACAGATGGTAACGTCTAGACTTGACAACCTACTAACGTGGGGTAAGCAAAATGGAGTTAAATGGCCGCGCGAAGTGGACTTTGTCGAGAATACTGACAGAGGAGTAGCTGGTGTTGCCAATAAAGAGATCTCCAGTGCAACTTTCGAAGTTCCTTCGGACCTCATTATTCGTGGAGCCCTGGCCAAGTGTTTTTTCAATGTTGACTCTAATCTTAATACATGGCTTAAGTTGTTGGTAGCCAAGCTCAAGTTTGACCCGAGTCCAACGGTGGTTGAGTCTCAAAATTTAAACGAGAAATTTGGCCCTTACATTGATGCTTTACCGAGAGAAGTAGACTCCCCACTCGTTTGGAACCCTGCCGAACTTCTGGAACTTGGCAATTCTAATCTGAGGAGCTCACTGCCGATGAAGTTGAAGTCTATTTTTCATGAGTGGAGAGGTGCTGTCGAACAATTACAAAACCAACTCAACACTGGCGAAAGAGTTCAAGAGGAATTCGATTCAATACAGCAGCTAGTAGCCGAAGGTGATGAAGAGCACATATATCAGGAAATAACATCTAAGGTTTTCGATGATGAGCTGAATTTGCCTTGGACATCCTTCCCTGCCTTTCTGTGGTCACACCTCGTCTTCTTATCTCGAGCTTTCCCTGAACACATCCTTACTCCAGAAGTAGACCCGTCTAGTGTCATTCTATTACCAATAGTGGATTTATTAAATCACAGCTACAATTCTAAGGTTGAATGGTCTAACGCACATAATTCTTTTTCGGTTACGAAGCTGGAACGCACCAGAGAAGGTCAGGAGATATTCAACAACTACGGTGGTAAGGGAAATGAAGAACTTTTAGTTGGATACGGTTTCGTGCTCGAAGAAAACATTTTTGACACCGCTGCATTGAAAATAAAATTGCCACTTGCTGCCATCTTGCGGCTCCAAACTGAAACTTCTATCAAACTGCCCACCATGTTGGATTACACTACATCGGCATTCGAAGTTTCATCGGGTCGGAAAATACCAAGCGGCAACGAAAACGAGCTGTCACAGTATGAGGACGGGCTTCTGTATTTGTTAAGCACTTCCAATAGCACTTGTCTCGAATGGCTCTTGGATCTCTTCGCATGGTTGGGGAAAAATCTTGCCGAGTCACATTTGAGTTTGAGGACTAGACTCCAAGGCTTGCAAAACTTACGAGCAGCAATTGAGGACAAGTATGGAAGTCTGAAAGCAGTATCATCTAGACCTCTTACGGTATATACTGCAAAGGACTATCGCGTGCGTAGCGCTCGAATTTACAAATCGGGGCAACTACGGATATTAAAGGATGCTATAAATGAACTTAAACGTACAGAGAAAAGATGGACGGCCCATCATAAGCAACATACACTTACGGTTAGCAAGATATTGCGAGATGATCCTAATTTTTTCGAGGAAGAACTTCCTCGCATTTTACAATCGAACACAGATGACGAAATCGAACTAGACTCATACCACGACTTACTGTTCATGTGGGTAACCTGCAAAGTTCAATATCAAAGCATTCCCAAGGATATACAGTGGGTGACCTCTCAGTATGACAAGTTTTTGCAAACTCATGCAAATGAGCCTGACCTGATCTCGGAAGACGTCAAGAAAGTACACGCGAAGGTATTCTTCAACGATCCTAATAAACTCATGTTGAGACCGTTGGCTGCAGCGGTGGCGTTTGTGGAGGCAAGTTCCTACACCAGGCTATCTAACGATGAAATGATTTTGGTTCAAGATACTGATTTGTAATGAGCCTAGCTGTGATTGGCTCTCAGAGCGCGGGTATCACGTGAACCCGACATCTCCAATTTTATGTAAAGCATCTCATCGCCTATAAAAGATCCACAATCATCTCAAAAACCATCCGACTGTTGATAGTATAGAAGTCGAGGGCCAAATGGATTTGAAGAAGGATATAAGCGATCACCTAGTCCTACTCGCCGTAATAGCTACATATTTGCTCTCCGGCGGTCGTTTGACGATTGGTTGTTCAATCTTTGTGATTTACGCACTGGTTAAGCACGATTCTGTCCAGGATGAAGAGCTAAAAGCTTCACAACCTCTCGAACAGGAGTCCTCTTTGGAGAAGAAATCATGTTGTGGAGGTAAAGGGGGGTCATGTTGCTCATCTAAGTTGGGCGGAAAGAACGGTGGCTGCTGTGGCGGAAGCTGCTCCACGAAGAAGAGACTAGGGACAGGCGTGAACGACACCGTTCCTGAAACTCCATCCACGAATGACACTAGCGTCTCCGAAACTGACTTCACGGAAGCTTTCAAACCGCTAAAGAAAGTCAAAAAGGCGCCGAAGGTAGTGAGCGGCAGCAAGCTTGCTCGCTCTAAAAGTGAGCCAAGCTTCTTTAAAAAAGCTTTAACAGTATCCAATGAAAAGTTAACCGACTCACAGATATACATCTTCTACTCATCTCTACAAGGGGCAGCGCAAAGGTCTGCCAAGGCAGTCGCCAAAGTTTTATCAGAAGTTGAAGCTCTGAAGCATACTCCAATGGTCTTGAACTTGGACGATTTGAGTGACTTTGATGATTATTTTGTTAACGTTCCAAGTCTTAATGCTTTATATGTCATGGTCCTACCTTCATATGATTCAGACTCTCCGCTAGATTTCTTTTTACAATCTATGGATGAAAACTGCAATGATTTCAGGATCGATAAGCACGCATTGCGAAAGTTGACTGGCTATGCTGTTCTTGGTATTGGCGATTCAGAATCATGGCCTAGCAAGTTTTGCTATCAAGCCAAACAGGCAGATTTGTTGTTGGCAAAACAAGGTGGAAGAAGAGTTTTTCCTGTCGGAGAAGTTTGCATGAAGTTCGGAGGTGATCCTAAAGTAATTGAATGGGCTAAGCTCCTGGCCGAGACCCTTCAAGATGATGAGCCGATCCTCTATGAGTATGATGAAAGTCTGGAGACCGAGGAAGCTGAAGAACCGTTGGATGAGCTTACGAAGGAAACTCTCATCGATTTGGAGGACGTTGGTAAGTCAACAGAGCTACAAAATGTTAACGAGATAAAGGAAATGGTTGCCAAGGACAGCCCGACCTACAAAAATTTGACCAAGCAAGGATACACAATCGTGGGGTCGCACTCTGGTGTGAAGATATGTAGATGGACAAAGAACGATTTGCGTGGTAGGGGATCTTGTTACAAGCACTCTCTTTTCAATATTGTATCCAGTAGATGCATGGAATTAACGCCATCGTTGGCCTGCTCTTCGAAATGTGTCTTCTGTTGGCGTCACGGTACAAACCCCGTATCTAAGACCTGGAGGTGGGAAGTCGATGATCCTGAATACATTCTAGAGAATGCCTTGAAGGGTCACTACGCAAAAATAAAACAACTAAGAGGAGTCCCGGGAGTTATTGCCGAGAGATTCGCTAAGGCTTTTGAAGTACGTCATTGTGCACTATCGTTAGTAGGCGAACCCATAATGTACCCTTTCATCAGTAAGTTCGTAAGCCTACTGCATGAAAAAAACATCTCGAGCTTTTTGGTTTGTAATGCGCAGCACCCTCAACCTTTAAGAGAACTTGGCAAAGTGACCCAACTATATGTCTCGATTGATGCCCCAACTAAGACAGAGTTGAAAAAAGTTGATAGACCGCTGTACCGCGACTTTTGGGAGCGCTTGATGGAGTGTCTAGAAATTTTGAAGACGTCGCAAGCTCATCAGCGGACCGTCTTTCGAATGACGTTGGTCAAAGGATTCAACATGGGTGATGTCAGTGCCTATGCAGATCTTGTTCAAAAGGGTATACCGTGTTTTATTGAGGTCAAAGGAGCCACCTTCTGTGGCTCATCTGACGGCAACGGAAATCCTTTGACCATGCAAAACATACCATTCTACCAGGAATGTGTAGGTTTTGTAAAAAATCTTTCGGCTGAACTGCAACGAAGAGGTCTAGGATATGATGTCGCTGCCGAGCACGCCCATTCTAACTGTATTTTGATCGCAAATACCAAGTTCAAAGTCAACGGGGAGTGGTGGACGCATATCGATTTCGACAAATTTTTCGAGCTTTTGGCATCTGGCCAATCGTTTTCACACCTAGACTACATTGCAAAAACACCTGAATGGGCTTTGTTTGGAAACGGTGGTTTTGCCCCCGGAAACACTAGGTTTTACAAAAAAAAGAAGCCATCGGAGAACAAGCCGCAGGCTGATGAGACTCCTGTGAGTCCGCAACTCACGCAGCCAATCGCTACGTAGTCAGGGATAATCACGAGGCTGCTATATGGTGTTTTTCATATTACTACAAGTGTACATTAATTATAGTTTATTCATTAATTCGTTCATGCGATCGTACATGGTACGCAATTGTCGTTGGACCTATCACCTAATTGCCCCACAATCTCCATTTCTTCAACCAATCAGATCCTCCACCGTGGGCAGACGGTTGAGCTTTTTTACTGTGCAGCTGCCTTTTGAGAATCTCTTCTTGAAAAACGAGAGCCACATCAGTTTTTTCAGCAACTTTACTCAGCTCTTTGTCCACCAGTAAATAAAACTTTTGCGTAGACAATGGAGCTTGAAGGTTATAAGACCTCATTGAATTATTCAGCGTCCTGATCTTGTTTTCAGCTATACCCTTGTACTTGCCTTTCCATTTTTCAAAGCAGGTCTCTTTAAATGGGTCAGCAACCTCACTCCGAATAAAAATATTCTCGGATCTCTCGGGGGCAAAAACATTTCTTCTCCTCATTTCCATGGTAAGCTCTTGGCGAAAACTTGAATCGAGCTCTGACCTCAGAAGCTCTATTTCTTTGTTGACCGAACCTTGTTTGTCTATCCATGGTGGATTTATCTTTTGGCGGGCCATTATGTCATTTAAATGATGCTCGGTGCGATCAATATACGGCTTGGGCTGATCAACGTCAAGCTTCCTACCTTTTAATTTATCTGTATCGAACTCTCCCTTTCGCATACTTTCTTCGATACGCACATCTGCTAGTGAGCGCAGTTTTTCGAATGACCCTACCGGTGTGAATTTCTCGGCATACATAGCACGAAACTCAGAGGCCTCTCGATCCTGATTGCATTTATCGTTTTTCTCCATCTGATAATTTAAAGCACTATCTTGGGCGGATTCCAGCCGCCTTCTGTTTCTCAAGTTTTTGGGGACAAATCCTTTCAGCTCATTCACCGTATTGGTAGTAGGCTTGAATGCAAGGTTCGCCAATTTCACTTTAGAATCGGCATTTTTATCCTTGAAGCGGTCGACCAGCATTCTCAGCGAGGCATCGCTAAAGTGTTCCTCTCCGCTCCATGGTTCAGCCAGCGCCGTTTCTCGGGCCTCTTTGCTCAAATGACTCCCTAGTTTGGCTGCCGCAATCTTACTAAGAAACTTTTCTTGGAAGGTCTTTTGTGGCAAGCTTTCGTGCAATTCCTCTAGCCTCTCCGGTCTCATCAGCTTATGCAATGGATCCTCTGCGCTCGTTAAGTTTTCGTCTTTCAACTGCGCTAAGCGGCGCACTAGATATCCAGTATCTTCTTCAACATTCTTAAGACACTTCACATTAGATGCAAAGGTCCTTCTAACCAGTTGGTATCCAATCATTACATCTAACTTGTCGTTTGATCAACAAGTTGTCATGTTTTAACAACTGTTTAATATATGTATTTGATAAATATCAAATTGAACTTAACATTTCTTCTTAACGCCTGAAGAACGGATATACAGCTACCGTTAGTATGGTCCCAATAGCTACGAAATCACCATCTTCCCATGAGAAACTGCGGATAGCCTTTATCCATCCTGATTTGGGCATCGGAGGTGCAGAAAGACTAGTCGTTGATGCTGCCATTGGATTGCAAGATGAAGGCCATGAGGTCGTTATATATAGCAGTCATTGCGATAAAACGCACTGCTTTGAAGAGGTGAAAACAGGACGACTGAAAGTTGAGGTTCTAGGTGATTTTTGGCCAACTAGTTTCAACGGGAAGTTTTTTATTCTGTTTGCGAATCTACGTCAGTTGTATTTGACAGCTGCACTCGCTGCCACGGGCAAGATCAAGAGGCATGACTTGTATATTGTGGATCAACTCTCTACGTGTGTGCCATTTTTGGGTCTACTCAGCCGCGCTAGTAAAGTTCTGTTTTATTGCCATTTCCCTGACCAACTGCTGGCCCAAAGAACGAGCCTGGTGAAAAGGCTGTATAGAATTCCGTTTGATGTTTTAGAACAGCTGACCATGAATGCGGCTGACCGTATTGTTGTGAATTCGAACTTCACCAAGTCTATTTATCACAAAACTTTCAGGTTAATGGCTCAGGTGCCGAATGTCGTGTATCCTTGCGTGGGTTTGGAAGTTAGTGAGGCATCTAAGTTGGATGCTGAGCGCTTTGATGCAATTATCTCTCCAAATACGAAATTCTACCTAAGTGTTAATCGCTACGAGAGAAAGAAGAATGTTGGTCTCGCGATCAGGGCGTTCGCACAGTCATCCCAAAGTTCACGAGAGAATATTAAGCTGGTAATCGTAGGAGGATACGATGCTAGGGTTTGGGAGAATAAAATCTACCTGGAAGAGCTTGAAAATTTGGCACAGAGTCTCAAGCTCCCTTTTGCAACATTGCATTATGCTACTTGGGGGAAAGAATTAGCACCCCTTGCACCAGAGATCCAGTCAGCCAAAATCATATTTCTCACTTCTGTTTCGTCGTCTTTTAAAGACCTATTGCTACAAAAGACAGAGATGCTTCTTTACACACCATCGTACGAGCATTTTGGTATTGTCCCACTGGAGGCAATGAAGCTAGGAAAACCAGTTCTTGCTGTGAACAACGGAGGGCCTTTAGAGACTGTCGTTGCAGTAAGTGAAAGTTCTCCCAATGATGAATGTACCGGTTGGCTCAAGCCTTCGGACCCTGCGGAATGGGCTACTGCCATCGAAGAATCTGGACCTGTTTTGGAAAAGAGCCCCACTGTATTTGAAAAATCCGGACCCAAGAGGGTACGAGAGCTGTTTTCTAGAGAGGCGATGACTGCTCAATGCGAAAAGAACATCGCCAGTCTTTCGTGGGATAGTATGTCGAGGCCCCTCAGCTTTCATATCTTTTTCTGCTGTCTCTCTCTTCTTGTCGCCCTTCCGGTCGCCTTGGTTGCAGGGTTCCACAGTTGGTCCTTCAGATTAATAAGCTTTGGCTTATTTGCTTTGATGAGAGATTTCAGTTCTTTTGGATGCATCTTAATCATAGTTATAGCCGCCTGTTTGCAAGCTAAAAGCTCGCTTCGCTTATAACGCAGAATACTAATATTACATACCAAATAAAAACCAACAAGCCAACAAAAACGGCTTGTACATATCATTGTTGGCTGCCTGGTGACAAGTTCATTGGGTTGCTGTCACTTCGACTTTCGGTCACCATGTTGACCGGGGATCCAACCGCTGATACCGGGCCAATTTTCTGGTTCATAGACGCATTTTTTGGCCCATTCTGCATCAATTTAGTGGCCGTCGCCAAGTGATAAGCTGCTGCTTCGAATCTCTGTTGCTGGACTTGCTGTTGCCGTAGTCTCTGTTGCTGCTTCTGAATTCCTTGCGGGGTTAATCCCGTTTCTACTTCTCCTCGTGGTGACGAAGAGTAGTCTTTTTGCGCTGCCAGGCCGTTATGGAGCTGTTGTTGTTGTTGCTGTTGTTGTTGTTGTTGTTGTTGTTGTTGTTGTTGTTGTAAAAAACTAGGTAAAGGGTTAGTTTGATTGTGATGTTGTGGTAACTGCTGCTGTTGTTGTAAAAGCTGTTGCTGATATTGGTTATGCATTTGCTGTTGCGATTGAGGTGGTTGTGGAGTTGTTTGTTGTGTCTGTGGTGGTTGCTGCTGCTGTTGTCGTTGTTGAGCTATCATTTGAGCCTGAAGCATCCGCTGCTGTTGCAATTTTTGTCTCTGCTGGGGAGTCAGATTGTTCGGATTCATTTGGTTCACCAATTGTGGAGTGCGAATACGAAATGTGTAATCCATTGTCCTATCAAGATCGATGCATCCGACTCTTGAGTGGATAGCGCCATAGCCGGGGGAGGTGAAGCCAGGGCGTACTGAGAAGGAGGAAGCAAACATTTCCCGCATTCTAAAATATTTCGTTCTATTCCTTGATGAGCAAATAACGTTCGTTTCCAATGGGAGAGGGAATGACCTGGAGACCCCGTTCAAAACTTGAGTTGTCTCTTCTTCGGGGGTCAGCTCGGAGGACGATTCCTCAACAGTGGACTGACTCAAATTCTGCTGAGTATTCTGGGCCTGTTGATTTGACTTGGACTTTGGCTTGGAGCTAGTGCCCGTCTTCAATTGATTTTTCTTTTGGTAATTACTCAAGAGAACATCAAAAGGCTGTGATCTGCCCTCAACAGCCCTTTTGGTCCCTACGGAATGCGATTTACATGTTAGAGAGCGACCGCAAAACCCACCTTCGGAAAGTTCTACCCCACATTGTTTGTCAAAATCTATCAAATGCTTTTCAGTTGGATTTCGCTGTTTGATACGTCGTTTAGACTTGGAAGGAGCCGGTGTAGTGGCTGTTTTTCGCTGTTTTTTCAGTGCAGGGCTTCCCTCAGGATTACTCTCTGACTCGAACGGCGTCGATCTCTTAGAGTTGGCTGCATTGCCCTTTTTCTTGGCTACCGGGGCAGACATATCCTCAACAAGTTCAGAATCTTCGGCTTTGATTACCTGTGGCAAGTCTCGGTCCTGCTGTTGTGGCAGTCCCTTGCAATGCACCTGTAAGTGATCTACGATCGCTCCTAAATTCACTGGTTTACCACAACCTTCACAGACACGGTACTCTAAAGGCTGGCCCAGTGGATTCTCTAAAATAGAAGCAGATTCGTTGAAGAATGCCTTGTGCGCTACTAGGGTTTGATTTTTTGCCCGGTCGTCCTTCACCGTGGACACTAAAGTTCGCCAGTTAGGTGTTGAGTTGGAAGTACTGCCTTCTAGATGTCTCCTGATATCTTTCCGCAAACCTTTGATTTCAGAGTGGATATCGGACATACTAGAACTACTGTATCAGACCCTTTTACGTCTTCACACCTGGCGGATGGGTAGATGCTTTAAGCAGCGCCAAGTAGGACCAAAAAAAGCTGGTTCCAATGTGAAAAAGTAGCCACTTTTGCCCGCTTCGACCTGCGTTGTTAGGATGGTAATCAAAAGCTGCTCCTAGGGGCTCCTTGTCCTAGAATACTAGAACCTTGTTCTTTGAACCACCTTTCGTGTAAGACATACTGACTTCAATTTTTAAAAGTAGTCAGCTTAGGCCTCCAACGTCAAATTCAAATAGTAGCCATGACAGCGCAAGAGGTGACAGACGTCTCTCTCCCCAATGCAAGCGTTGCTCGCTGCTGGAATACAATATAAATTTGTACATATGTTTTTTGGGCTGAGATTTTGAATCTATAATAATATGTATCAACCAAGTAGCAACCTGCAGCACCCTAGCAGCGAGTTCTCACAGAAAATGAATGGCTCGCAGTAGAATGATGACCAGCAAGGAAAATGAGAAGTTGCCGACAACTTTGTATCGAGCCCACGGAGAGAATAGAAGTTCTTCCACTAGACGGTAGATGCAAAGAAAGCTATAGAATCTGAAGCCTTCTTTGGATAAATGCGCCGGCCTTTGGAACCCAAGTTGATTGCGGTCATACTTAGACACCGCCTCTCGAGCTTCGACAGGAAAGTCTGTAACAAACCCGGCAATAGGAAGGGCGTTGCAATATTTGAAATCGATCGTCTGGTTGATGGTCCATACGTAAATGTCGACGTTGTGTTCTTGGAGATATGGTATAACTGAGGTCTGAAAATAAGAACTCCAAGTTGAGACAAAATGCAGGCTGACTCCACTAAGCTTGTAATGTGGGTTATTAATCTCTCGTGAGTATTCAACAAATTTTCTTGCCATCTGCAAAGAAAGCGAGATACACACAACTTCGAAGTCCTTGATCACACCCGTTTCCATCCCGTAACGAAACCAGTCTACGGTCCATAAGCCCCATATAATGTGGTCACGCCAAAAAGGCAGATCTTCTCGCACGCTTAACATTTCTGCCACACTTTTGAGCATGATCTCCCGATCGTTGGTAAATTTAATGTCCAACATCAGCTTGACCGAAGGATTATCCACCACCCACTTCAATACTTCCACTAGGGACGGCATCTTCAATTCAGTAAAACCTTTGTTCTTGCACCGAAGAGCCTTCAAATCGCTCCATTCGGTTTCACTTATGCGATAGTTCTTATCCCAGCATCTAAGCGTCGTTGTATCATGGTTGATAACCACTATACCATCTTTCGACATTTGGAGGTCAGTCTCGACCACGTCCACCCCAGCCTCCAGAGCCTTGTCAAACGCGACTATAGTATTTTCTGGGTAGTATCCCTTGTAAGCCCTGTGCCCAATTATCTTGGTAGTCATGTTGATGATCGAAACGAAATCTACCAGTGAGCTCTCAGCTGTGAGCTTGTGCCAACGTTAGCTGCTTAACAGCTCCTATTAAGGGTTATAACTTGTCCTCGAGCAATATCTAAATTCCAGATCACGTGGAAGTTAAAGATGGCAGTGGTCTGGTGCGGGCCGATTGACAGCACCATTTCTTGACATTCGAATCAGCTTGAGCTTACTCTGTACGCCATGTTTTCTGAACGACTTTTAGTGATTGAATGATATGGCTTTTAGTGACTTGAAGTTTTGCTTCTCTCAACGATGTAATTCATCAACATATGGGCCACAGACTTATCGTTAGGTAGATTGAGTCCAGAGTTCTCGTCCTGGATGAATCCCGAAGGGCCTTCTTGCTGATTCAATATTTGCTCTAGCACGGAACAAGGTACCCAACGCACCTCGTCAAGCTCGCAATCATGCGTCAAATCCGGATATTGGGCGTCGTCGCAGACAGCCACGCACCCAATCATGAGATTATTTGGGAAGGGCCAAGGTTGGCTCATGAGAATCTCGACTTTGTCAGTGGTGAGACCGGTTTCTTCCCAAATCTCGCGCGCTACGGCCACCTCGAGCGTCTCGCTTGGATCAACAAAACCGCTAACACAACTGTACAGTTTACGCTCTTTGTTTCTAGGGGCCCCAGACTTACACAGTAAAACTTTGGTATTGTCGCGGTTCGTGATAGCACTGATCACCACAGGATCCGTCCGCGGGAAGCACGTATTGGAAACCCGGTGATTAGAGACACAGCCCCCGTTCGAGCATTTGAGCTGTGTTCCTGCATACACACGCAACGTCTTAGCTCCACAAATAGAGCAGAAGTTGTGGGAGTCAAGCCACTGCAAATACATCCTCGCTTGGGAAACAATGCTGGAGTCTTCGAGTGTTAGTCGGTTCAAGTCTCTGAAGGAACCAAGCTTCACAAAGGGCTCCGAAAGAGCGTCCAGTTCATGATTACTCACGTCTAGCGCAAAGGTGGGTGTGCCTCTATATCTAGACTTGTAAACGAAATCCGACTTGTTTGAGAATAACAGTCCTAAGAATATCAATTTCTGGGCAAACTTCTCGGGACCCATGAATTTGAACACCTCCGATTTGTGCAGTTTCATCAAAAGGCCATTGCGTTCGTTCACAAGTGGAAGGTAGTCGCTGAAAGGCACAAATTGAGTCTCAGAATGAGCCAAGGCTTCTTCCAGAAATTGCGGATCTTTTCTCAGAAATGAGACCCTGTTCAGGACCTCTTGACTGTAGTGTAGCGAATGTGTTATTGGACGGGTGGCCAGAGTGCTCATTGTTGGTATTCAGACTTAAGTAGTGGCCCTTATTTCTTGAATTGTGTGATTCTTGCCCTTTTTAAACGCAAGATTCAGAAGTGATGATGTTCGATAAATTAGTCAGGTATAAGACTTTATCTCGGATCAGAAAAAAAAACTAGAGGCACAGCGACGTATTCTGAAGGGATAAAAAACGAGAAAATGCCATAAACGAAGCTAGAAACCGATTGCAATGTCAATTAGAATGCCAAGTGGAATGCCAATTGGAATTCCAATTGGTATGCCAATCCTTTCGCCTAGGTCAATGGCAATGAATCAGACGCTATCTCGCCAGTTGGGAAAGGCGCGAGCCGCTCTTCTTTGCTTCTCGTAGCGCACAGCACTTCCATATGCACAGCTGCTCAAACCCTTCTAGCTTCTCCGCAAAACTTTCCGAACATGTAGTTTCCAAGTTCATTTTCTATGGAGTCGCGATGCACAACCATTAGTTTCCCCTTTTCTCTCTCAAAGGCTGCCAGCAGTGCCTTGCCATACCTTTCTACTTCAATGCCTTTGCCGTGTTGTGTACCTCTGCATCCGAATAAACTCACCAGATCAGGACCAAAAATACCCCTGAAAAGTCTGAAATTGCAGCACGTTAAAGACACATACCTTAGGCACAGTAACTCCTCTGCTTAATCCGTGGACAGGCTCTCTGGTATCTCGTCCATCATCCTCTTGAAGCACAAAAGACCCGCCCAGTGTCGATCTCCAGATTTATATATTGCCGCGCTTATTGTTGATCACTGTATACGATCGTTAACTGATGCCACAAGCAAGAAAATTTTTAAGGAGTAAGTGTTACTGTTATCGACTACACAATTCACAGTTTCAAACAACGTCGATACAACAGCGTTTGGAGCATCAGTTAGTACTGATCACCAACTTGTATTGTAAGATTCGTGATCAGAGGCTGACGCTGTACAGTTGGTGAATTTGAAGTTTATTCCGGGTCTTTTTGTGGGATTTGTAAGGGCACCTGGATAATTGATCTTAGTGGATAGAGAAGGACACAAGATTCAATTTTAGCATTTGTTTAGTTGTGGATTAAATCTGTGTTTGTCATTCTAGCTTGGAATTGTGTTTTTGTCAGATGGACCTCAGAGTTGGCAGAAAATACCGGATCGGCAGGAAAATAGGAAGCGGGTCGTTTGGAGACATATATCATGGAACAAACCTCATCAGTGGGGAGGAAGTGGCCATAAAGCTGGAGTCGATCCGTTCGCGGCATCCGCAGCTGGACTATGAGTCGCGAGTCTACAAGTATCTGAGCGGCGGAATCGGCATCCCTTTCATACGGTGGTTTGGCCGTGAGGGCGAATATAACGCCATGGTGATCGACCTTTTGGGCCCTTCGCTGGAGGATCTTTTCAACTACTGCCACCGCAAATTCTCGTTCAAGACCGTGATGATGTTGGCGCTGCAGATGATTTGTCGAATCCAGTACATACACGGAAGATCATTTATCCACCGGGACATCAAGCCTGATAACTTCTTGATGGGGGTTGGACGTCGTGGATCTACCGTGCATGTGATTGATTTTGGTCTATCAAAGAAGTACCGTGATTTCTCCACTCATCATCATATTCCATATCGTGAAAACAAAAATCTGACGGGTACGGCTCGTTACGCCTCAGTGAACACGCATTTGGGAATTGAACAGTCGCGCAGGGATGACCTAGAGAGTTTGGGATACGTTTTGATCTATTTCTGTAAGGGTTCGTTGCCTTGGCAGGGCTTAAAGGCCAATACCAAACGTCAAAAGTACGATCGCATCATGGAAAAAAAACTGTGCATTAGTGTTGAGCAACTGTGTGCAGGTTTGCCAGTCGAGTTTGTAGAATACATGCGGTACTGCCGTAATTTGAGATTCGACGAAAGACCTGATTACTTGTACTTGGCGCGTCTGTTCAAAGACCTCAGTATCAAGCTGGATTATCACAATGACCATCTTTTTGACTGGACCATGCTAAGGTATACTAAGGCGATGATTGAAAAACAGCGTGCCTTGGGAGAATTACCCGTGCCAGAGGAGACCAAGGATGAGGATTCTAAACAGGATACTTTTAACAGAGTCAAACAACTCGCTATGAAAAAGTTCTCTACTCATTTCCATTACTGTAGATCGGACGATAAGCACCACCCCTCTCCTGATGAGATCAAGGAGCAAACGGTGCAAAACAACCAAGTGGCTTCGTCCATTCCGCAAGATCTATTGAGCGCTATCGATAAAGATATGGACAATTTAAAGCAAAACGTAGCGCAGGCCTCTGAAGCCTCGCCCCAACCACAACAGCCGCAACCACAAAAATTCGACCTGCAGCAGGAACATCAACAACAGCAGCAGCAGCAGCAGTCACAACAACAAACCACCACAGGCTTCCACCAGCAAGGCGCAATAGCGGAGCCGCTCCTTCAGCGCCAAAAAAGTTCCGACTACGATGATCTCAAGCGCACCGTAGACATGCTGAATGGTGGGAATATCCAGCAGCAACAACAGGCACGCAAACCCCCTCAAAACAGTACGCAATATCCGCCTGCGAACTCCAGACCTTCCGGCGGAGACATATGGCTGTAGAAGGAATAGGTGGGGGCGTTGAAAGCTATTTTTCACGCCGTGGTACCGCATAATCATATACGCACATGTTTGCGCCCGAGGTAACTTAGAACAACTGTCCTAGGGTGAAACGACGAAATGTTTAGGACAAGCAGCTCGTTTCCATAAGGGCCTTGAGACTGTTGAAACTCCTCCTCACTAACAATTTGCATTTGGCATCAATTTATACTTAGAGTCTAGTAACAAATGGATAATGGTAAAATTCGAACGAAGAAATTTCATCAGAAACTTCTGGCAATATAGTAGAACTGGTAGTGTGCTGGATCCTGATAGGGCATTAGGCTTGGAGCCATCTATGCTAGGAGCATGACTCCGGAGTTGAACTGACGGCCAGTGAGTGACATTTGCGTACATAGTGATCAGCCTTAGGGGTCAAAATAAGAGTATCAATTGGGCACCGAACTACACATCTTTCCGAAGTTGTAGCAGATAAAAAAGCTGAAGGGCGAGGCGATTGGGTATCTCAAATAGCACAGTAGGGAAATTAACTGGCTCATTATATAGTTGGGGATTTTTTCAGCTTGTTTCGTGCCTTTAACCCTAGGAATCATGGAATATCCTACTGCTACCGAAAAGATGGAGCAAGACCACAATAGACCCACAATCGGAGAGCGTCAAAGATCACTCCTACCACAAAGGTCTGCAATTTCAAAGGGAAAGTACACCCTGCAGGATTTTCAAATCTTGAGGACCTTGGGCACTGGCTCCTTTGGAAGAGTACATTTGGTTCGTTCAGTGCACAATGGGCGATACTACGCCATTAAGGTGCTGAAAAAACAGCAAGTGATAAGAATGAAGCAAATTGAGCACACGAATGATGAACGTCGCATGCTGAAGCTCGTTGACCACCCTTTCCTGATTCGCATGTGGGGAACTTACCAAGACCAACGGAATCTTTTCATGGTGATGGACTATATAGAAGGTGGTGAACTTTTCTCACTGCTCCGGAAATCTCAGCGGTTCCCTAATCCTGTTGCCAAGTTTTACGCGGCCGAAGTGATCCTGGCCTTGGAGTATTTACACTCTCACAACATTATATATCGGGACTTAAAACCCGAAAATATTCTGTTGGACCGTAACGGCCACATCAAGATTACAGACTTCGGGTTTGCTAAGGAAGTTGATACTGTGACTTGGACGCTGTGTGGCACCCCGGATTATATTGCACCTGAGGTCATCGCCACGAAACCTTACAACAAATCTGTGGACTGGTGGTCGCTGGGCATCTTGATATTCGAAATGTTGGCTGGGTACACACCATTTTACGATACAACGCCTATGAAAACATACGAGAAGATCCTACATGGAAAAGTGACGTACCCACCATTTTTTCACCCAGACGTGGTTGATTTGTTGGCGAAATTGATCACCGCTGATTTGACCCGGAGACTAGGTAATCTGCAAAGTGGTTCCAACGATGTGAAGTCGCATCCCTGGTTCGGCGAGGTCGTTTGGGAGAAGCTTGTTGCCAAAGACATTGAGACGCCTTACGAGCCCCCAATCACGGCTGGTGTAGGTGATTCTTCTTTATTTGACCAGTACCCAGAAGAACATCTGGATTATGGCTGTCAAGGCGAAGATCCATATCATCAATATTTTATCGACTTTTAGTCGGCGGTCCATGGAGGTCGGCTCCATACAACCCATATTCCTTTCAGAAACAACATAGGATAGGTACCAGTATATTTTATTATAAGTCACGAAATTTAGCGAGCCGTGCGTATTTTTGATGTTGTATGTACATGAGACGTAACAGGAGTACCTGTCGGAATTTAGTGAAGGGTTAAAGGTAGCGCTGGAGTTTCCCTCACCGCGTGTCACTCTGCTCCAATTCACTCCAAGGTGACTTTGGCACCCAGGGCCTCCAATGCAGCCTTGATCTTGTCGGCGTCTTCCTTGGCCACGTTGTCCTTTAGCACCTTAGGAGCGGCCTCCACGAACTTCTTGGCCTCCACAAGCGACAACCCAAGTAAGTTCTTCACCTCCTTGATGACCTTTGGCTTCGATTTGGCGTCAAAGGACTCTAGCTTGATGGCAAAGATGCTCTTCTCCTCCTTGACCTCTTCTTCCTTGGCCTCTTCGGCAGCAGCTGGGGCGCTTCCACCTGCAGGGGCTGCGCCTGCCACTGGCATCGCGATGTCTGGGATATTTAGTTGCGTTTTCAACTCGCTAATCAACGAACTTGTTTCCAACAGGGTCAATTTCGAGATGTCTTCCACAATTTTCGAGATTTTTGGGTCCACGGGCGCGGACGTGCTGTTCAAACGCACACTGGGGGCCCTCCGCATAGGCAATTGCGCCAATCTGACAATGCTTCTTCTAGCTCCACGTCCCAACATTATACGCAGATTTCTCGTGTGTTGAAGGATTATTTGATTCCACGCAAGGACTATCGGAGAAACAACAAATCAAATGCAGAATACCGACTTCACAGATCAAAGTAATTGATGCCAATCAACCCACAAATCACAATGAACCTTAGTTCAGCTCGACACACGCCGTCCTCCGTTAGCTTTTTTCAATTGGCCGGGAAAATTTTCAATTTGAACTTCTTCGTTTGTAATGATATGGGATTTTATATGATTTTCGAGTCGGTTTTCCACTCGACTATCCAGTCGACGACTGGCTGAATGGGTAGATGGCGAAGAGAAGAGATCGGGACGGGAGGAGTTGCCGGGAGGCAATAGCCAATGTTATATAATGCACACGTCGCACTTCGCGCGTAATAATATTGCACTTCTGATGTAGCTTAGGAACTTCTGAGGTTTTCAACGAAATAGGCGCGTCTCGACAGGGTGTAGAGGGCGCCGGAGTGTGTAGTGGTCTCTTTCTATGCGTAGAAGATAATTTATGTGCCCTGGATTGCTGTGGAAACCTGCATACAAGTCCACAACTGTGCGCGTCTAGGTTATTGATTCTCTACATAAGTAAATTGACTTCTTTAAACGGACGAACTGCAATTAGCGATAAAACTGTGACATTTTGACAGAGAGTCCTAAAATCAAATAGCTAGCAAAGGGTGAGTCTCGTCTCAGGTCTCAGTCCTCGTCTCAGGTCTCCGGTCTCACTCCTCTCGACGGCGCTGTCACCAAGCCAGTGGATTGTAGTGTGCCTCGTATTGAGTGCTTCGTTGCAAGATTCAATATAAGCTTAGTTCAATATGTTCTAAAGACGTTGAGAGCAGGCAGTGAAGAAGCCAAAACCTAGCTCATTGGTCCCGTTCCGAGCGCTCTGTGTGTTCCATATAGTATCCCGCGATGACCACCTTCAGATTCTGCAGGGATTGCAATAACATGCTTTACCCAAGAGAAGATAAAGAAAGCCAGCGACTTTTATTCGAATGTCGTACTTGTGCGTATGCGGAGGAGGCAGGAACACCAATGGTGTACAGACATGAGCTGATTACCAACATAGGTGAAACGGCTGGTGTGGTGCAAGATATAGGATCGGACCCCACACTTCCGCGTTCCGACCGAGAATGCCCGCGGTGCCATTCTCGCGAAAACGTGTTCTTCCAGTCTCAACAGCGGCGCAGCGACACGTCGATGGTACTGTTCTTTGTCTGCTTAGGGTGCTCGCATATCTTTACCAGTGATCAGAAAAATAAACGTACAGCCTTCAATTAGGCAACCTCGACGAGTGGTGAAGTAAAATCAAGATCGACAAGCGCGATGGGAAGCCTTAGAGTGTCACCTCCAAATCTGCGTAAACTGCCCTGGCTCCCACGTATCGATGGTATTCGTCGGTAAACTACATTTGTGCAGGAGAAATATGGAGGTTGTAAACTATTGAACGCTATATACATTAGAAATCATTACTATATTCATGAGGGTGACTGCCATTAGGTAGGTACCACACTATGCTCGGGTCGGGGCTTGAGGCATGCAGTTGAGGACTCGTAAGGTGAACGTTTCTCAAGTCGTTGCTCAGATATCCATCCGACGAGGGGTCTTGTTGAAACATGGCGCTTTGTGAGCCATATCGGTGTACTTTGTCCCGATCCAAAGTCGGTGGCCCCAGCGGTGGGTTGGGGGACGACGACGGCAAGCAATCACACTCGTTCGAATGGTTTATCTCACAAAACGGCTGCGAAGGTCCATAATGTACTGCGTCCCCGAGGCTTTTGCTAACATCCCATGTCTGTAGCTCTGGCACAGAGCGTTTGCTTGATGACGATGGTAGTGGTTTGGGAAAAATCGTCTCCTCCTGCTTCACTCGTGGCGCCGGTCTAACAAAAAGATTCGTGAAATCTATTTCCTCCGGTTGCACTATGAGGTCAACGGGATCCCAGTTGGTGAGCGGCATACCGAAAGGTTGCGGCGGGTTGAGGGGCGGAATCGCAGGTCCCGGGGGAACTATGTCGTGCATTTGATTGCGGTTATCACCTGCTGAAGGCACTGCTTCGAGCTGCTGTTCCAGTTGATCCCAGTCGTAAGGTGTTGAATTTCGGCTCAAAACATGAGCAAAGCTTTTCTTTTTTCGCATGACTTCTGATTTGTGGCGTGGTTTGCTCACAGTCTTGTCTGCTGGTTTGTTCAAGCTGTCGGATGTCGGTAGGACAATGTCAAAACTTTTGATTTCCTGCGTCAGCCCACAGTCGCAAGGGATGGATTGAGGTTCAATGGGCAAGTTGAATCGCGAGCGAACCTCTAGCTCGTCGAACTTTCGTACGGCATCCCAGTCCTGTTGCTCTCGAAGGTGGTTCTTGAACTTTCTATATTCGTCACTGTCCGCATTGAACTGAAGCTCATGCGAATGTCCATTGTTCATCACAACAATGTTCCATTTCTTGCGTTTAAGCGAATAAGTAGCTCTTACTCGGAAGGGGCAAGTGTTGTACGGTGAGACACACCTCTTTTTCTTACTCGATTTCTGCAGTATCCTCTTTGCCGCCTGCGGACTCTCTGGATTCTCTTCACTTACACTTGCACCAGTCCCCGTTGTGGTGCGTGAGATTCTTCCTCTTTTGGTTGCCTTGCATTTGAAGACGACTTTGATACTATCAGACCGCTCTATTACAATTTCTATTCCCTGTGGGTAAAATATCTTTTGTAACCACGGTTTGATTTCCTGGCGATCTTTAAAATCTGGGATAGGATCCAAGTGAATGAGTTTGTTCTGTGCTCGCTGCCTGCTAATGGACTCGAGTGCATTTTCGCTTAGCATGTTGTTGAGGCTGGTGGTATCGGGCATCCAGGCTGGGGTACCTTGGCTGCCCCCCGCATAATCACCGTCGGTAACACTGACACTGCCTCGGCCGCCGCTGCTGCCAGTTCTTGTTGTAGTTACGGATCCCATCGTATCTGCAGTGGAGAGAGGGGATTCATCCGCTAAAATAGACCCCAAAGACGGTGAGTCTGGCGCAAGCTCACCAGGGAACCTACCCGGCGGTGACAGGTCCATGGTTCGGTCGTACAGTTTCTTAAGCTCGCGCTACCGTCCTTCGTTCTCGCTTTCTGAAAGTCCTCAGATCCTCCCGAATATGATAGTATTTCACGTTCAACGCTCTATAACTCTAGCTGGGTTCCTGGTGTCTCTTTTCACTCAAATGCATTGTGCTGATGCATTCCAGCTCTTTACTACTATGGTCGTTTTTTCTGCACCCATTTTTCATTATAATAGTCAACGTCATCAAATACAAAAATGATTGTGAAATAAGCCATCAAAATTATCCATTTGGCGTTCGATCCACTGTGGGGCCAGTTATGAAGGACACCTTAGATGTAATGTCGCACCACCATACTCAAAACTTTCAACGAATTCCATCCTCCAAATCGTAGGTTGCGCGCCCAGTCGTAACACTCAAGGTTAAAGAGCACCCATCAAACAACGTAGTTGATCCACCATGGCTCCTTCTCGTCCTTTCAAACCTTACGACGGTTCTGCTGCATTATGTATGCTGGGAAGGACAAGTCGGTAGCATGTACCAGTTTCTGTTATCAGAAGAAGATGTGAACGTAAGGCATAAAATTCCTGTACTCTGTGAATTCGAATTGAGCCCTCACATCCGAATAACCCACCTGGGTCCACCGACACGTACAAGTGTCAATCGCGAAACATGCAAGTGCGTACCATATAGATATTGTTGCTCGACAACGACCTTGGTATCCTTGTCAAAAAAATCATACTTGGCTCCCTCGCGGCTCGTGCATACAAGATCCGCCCAGGACCCAGTCTCATAGAAGAATAAGCGTGGCGTCGTCGCAATGAGTAACGCATTACTATGACACGCATACCTCAAGGAGACGACTCATTCGCCCTCTTCAAAGAAAAGACCGGGAACAACATATGGTCGGCTAGGCCAATCCGGATCCCATAAGTGCACCGATTTGCCATCATGGAGGGCCAAAAGCCCGACGTCACTATTCAAGGTGGCACCGAGACAGTGAAAGCCTGACACCTTCAGGCTCATTGAACGATTGGAGTTGTTAGCTAGCGTAATTGAAATGCATGCAAGCATCAGTCTGGGAAAAGGCCACCATCTTGCGGTAAGTGTTGCGGTGGCTCCGATACCAGATATGCGACACAGGACTGAGCAGCTGAACGCTACTTAACTCGATGCGGCCCGTTTCAAGGTTGAAAGTTCCATGGAACCCCTGCTGGGAGCCAAAAACGACAGTTGAGCGGCCTGCTGCATCCATCGATGTTATTTCAGTAGCTAAAGATGACTTAAAATCTCTGGTAACAGGCACCATCGCACCGGTGCTATCCATAATCCCTACTCCGTCGCCAGATTCGTGCCAAAAGCACCAAAATTTACCATCATGCCCTTTACTGCATTTTGCGGTGACAACGCTTGTTGATAAATAAGCATCCAGTCGCTCGAGGTGCCAGTCAACATTTTGCTCCAAACTGGGGCTCGTCCGCCTTCCTGTAGGCATGTGAACTACCTCATTGCTGGTCGCTGCAGACCTGAATTCGAGTTGCGCATATACCTCGAGTTGGTGAGCCCTGGTAATGTAATCATCGAGCATTTGGATCGCAATACCCATCTTTGCTGAGAATGACAGCCTTGGCGAACTATGTTCTCCCCAGCTGGCACAAGCAAAAAGGCGTTTTATGGTCTGATTATGTGGATTTTCCTCAGAAAGAGAAGATCTCAACTCTAAAACACGTCGCCAATGGCCTGAAACACGTCCGTTTTGCACAAGTTTTTATCGTGAGGCCTTCCTGAGACGAACTTTGTGAATAAAATGTGAAGTAAAAAGTCCGGGGTAAATATGACACATGGCACTCATGTGACAATGATTGTTTCAGCTCTTGCTTCTGCATTTTTATTAGAGTTTGGAGGACTGCTTACCGATTTTCCTATCGTATATCTATGTCTTGAATTTCTTGGATGCGGGTGTATTTTCGTCTTCAGGGTCGCTACTATTGTTGTCGCGTTTCTTTATGTTTTCCGAGGGCTCATCTTGGATTAGTGGTGTAAAGCCCGAGGGATCAGCAGTCGCGAGGTAATCTTGAAGATCAAATGTAGCGGGTGACGCCACGTGGAGATCGCCTATGGATTTGGGTGGTTCTTGTTGTTGTCGCTGTTCTCTTGTGACCGCTGTGCCATCGGATACTGATGCGGGAATGCCTCCAATATCTTCTTGAGATGGTGAGAGGTTTGTGATCCAGTCTTCGAGTTCCTGAATTGATTCACCTTGTCTCTTGATGTTGGAGTGGAGATCATTAAAAAAAGAGGGGTCGTCATGGGAAGTGGCATCGAACGGAATTTCAGATAATCGGCCCGTACTGGAATTGTTGGCCGAGTTGGCATGGCTGTTATTCGTAACGTCGACCTTAGAGACTGGGGAAACACTCTGGTGATCATTGATAGACTGACGATCGAGCTCCTGGATTGGCGATTGGTAATTGAGCCCATGCTTTGAAACACTACTGGAGCCAACACTTGAAGCATGGTCAGGTTCTCCATCTTTCAGCAGCAGGCGAGGCCGTGTCATGGCATTGTTGATGTTCCCTAGATCCCAGAAGCCACGCCCAACATTCGGTATTTCGGTGAAAGAGGCGTTCGTCTGGGCGAGTTCATTGGCCAAATCATTTCCCAAAAGCTTTTGCGTATTGGACCCCATGATCGATGCTAACAAATGCAGAATTTTATTCAACACCTGTTGCTGTGCCTGGTGTCTTTGGCGTGCCACCATGTTATCCTTCCAAAGTAGCTCGTTGTCTTTAGAAATACGTTTCAAATCCTCAGCTATGGCCATTTGGTTGAATTTCACAGACTCTAACTCATTCAGTAGAATCCCGATATCAACCTCCTCGCCGTTCTGACCAAGTAAAACCTCTTTAGAAGTATTAGAGTTTGGTTTTTGTCTTACGACGTTGTCCAGTAGATCTTCGCAACCTTGAATGAAATTCTCATTTTCAAACTGTAACCTTTCATCAGAGTTTGCTTGAATAGATCCTGATCGTACGTCCTGTACCTTATGCCAGCCGTACATATTCAATTGTCGCACAAATGAAGCGAAGTTGGAGTGCTTGAAATATCGAGGAAGTATTTTGTGCACAAACTGCTCCCGATTGGTTATGATGAAGGATTTTCCATCAGAGGACCAGTGCATCAGTTCCTGATTTGCCGTATCGTTCACCATAGACCATAACTTGTTGACGAAAGCCGGCCTGGTTTTTGCACTAGCGAGTTTTCGTTTCGGCGGCTGCTTTTGGGCTGTAAAAGGCTGTGGCTTCGCGCTGGCTTTCACCAAGCGATTTCTATAAGGCATGAGCTTATTGTCAACGAATGAAGGGTCATGAGCGGTCGAATCTCCTCTTTCCGGGCTTGAGGGCCCCGGGTACATGCTTACCTGTTGTTCTCGCCTCAATAAATTCCCCGCACTTTCATTTTGAGGAAGAGCTAACGACGGATGGGATATCAGAGGTGAAAAGGGGCCTGGGCCGGAAAATGAGTTACCTGGGGCCTCCAGGTGGCCGGGAGACATCGATATTGTGGGATCCCACGAAGGGTTGACAATGTCTTCAACTTCAGGGTGTAAGCTTCGCTGGCCAACTATCGAATCGCTAGGGCGTATGATATTTTCTATCTCATCGTCATTAAGTGTATGGTTCTCCTGAGGATTAGTGGCATTAAGGTGATGTTGCATCTTGGCGTTTCCAAAAGGTAAAAATATTCTCGCAGGGCCTTTTTTTTTGAATGACTCTCAAAATATCTTTACAAGTATCAAAACTATTAGTAAATCCTAAGGCAGTGGACTGAAAACCTTTAAATCCTTATCCCAGTTCTTTATTGCCTGCACCTGGTGGGGTTCGAAGTTCTCTTTTGTCAACTTAATGCTAGCTCATCATTTAATTTTCACAATTATACCACTTGCAATAAAAAACCCGACGACATCGGGTGGTAAAGAACATGTTCAACTCTAGAAGAGAAAAGCTTCAAGAAAGTCAGTAGTTAGTTGCTCGTTGCGGCATAGTTTCGCACCCTCCTAGTGCAGAAAAGCCTTTCCAGGTCACACAGTGGTCAAAATACCACCAATGGTACTAAAACGTGAGTAAAATATGTGGTGTGATCTCCAACAGGTGGGCAAAACTGCGTATCCTAACATGTATCGAGCGATTTGTTGATAGTGCGTTCACGAGAATGGGTGAAGAGGTGAGTCCTCATGTAGCACTAATAGCAACGGCAACAGCACACTGGCTTGCTAAAGTTTTCTTCTCTCGACCCCTCCCGTTTCTCCATTGGGCACTATTCAACCCCACTCCAATACACTTGTCCCACCAGGTGGTATATGGCGAAGAATTGAGTGGAGCTTTCATGCTATTCTGCGACTGGGACCTACCCGGCCATGCCGTGCGAAACCTCAGTAGAGGCAGGGTGGAACACTGTTGAAAGTCTAATCAGAGTGATGATTCTAGCTTTGAAGCGATCGTCTCACTTCCACAAAGGATATTTCAAGCTCCGATATGATCTTCTTGTCCCTTCTATTTTGAAGCATCCTGAATAAACTCACAAGACCTAGGTCAAATAACTGGCCCATGACAAGCATTGGAAACTGCTCGCACCTTGATAATATCTGAGCGTGAGTCAGGCCAAATTTGCTCTTAATGAGGCAGTAAGTGTGCTTCAGCGACGGCCCTCTCGTCGGCGGCTAAATTCCCAAGTGTTCAAAAGAGAGCCTTCACCCTCTTTCCAATGGAGCTTCACATGGAAGGATAATGATCTTCGCGATTAAAGGTCTTCCGAACTCTCAAGTAATTCTTAATCGAAGGCCGTTCTGGGCTCTGATCGCATTATTGGGCTAATGAAACTCACGGTTCCAATAATAGTCACAATGAACGTAGATTGATATAAACCTGACAAGTTTGATTAGTTTACCTTTAGCGCGCTGACTTGAGTTAGGGCGAACAACCGCTGAGGATCGAAGAATGAGCGATATAGTAAGCCGCTCTATCGTGCTGTTGGATCAAGTATGGCCCTCACTCGACAACAGGGAGATAGGGTACATTTACGCCAAGGATTTCCCTCTAGCGGTATCCAAGATGGAGGAGCTGTTGCGAAAAGCCAATCCAAAAGGCGAGAAGCAAACATTGGTATCCAAAGCAGGCGAAGAAATTATCAAGAAATTTGGTACCGATCAGGAGTTTTTCAAAGTATACAAGGAGGATTTTGCGGAGCTATTTGATGGTCTTATTGGTCACAGTTTTGCTAGCGCGGTAGACAGGTGCTGCCGAGAGGGAGGTTCTGATATATCTCGTATCAATCGCGAGTCGATAAGCTTCCGCGATAATGAAGAAACCCCGGTGGAGGCCGAATTGCTGCGTGAAGAACTTCTGGCGATTAAACAGGAATTGACGATGGTGAAAGGGGAAAATGTCGACAAGGATCAAGCTATCGCAGCTCGCGACGCAATCATCGCAGACCTGCGACAAAAGAAACACACCAGCGATGTGCCATCTACTAGTAGTCCCAGCGGAATGCTTAGATCGACGAAACTGCAGGCGCAGGTCGCCCGTTTGCAAGAAGATCTTAGAACCCAGGTTAATGTCATTCGAGACAAAGATCGTGAGTCGCTCGATTTAGCGAGAGAGCTGGATGATTTAAAAGACAAATATCAGTTTCTGGAACGTGAATTCCAATTCTACAAGGATCACGGAGAGGGACAGAAGCCTGCCTCCGCGAAAGAGGCGACCAAACATGAATTTATTATATTAGAGCTCAGACGAAAAATTGAAGAGCAGAGTGATATGATAGCGGCGATGCGTCAACAGGTGGAGTCTAAGTATTTTAGTATTCCCGCCATGAACTCAGGGACTGTGGAATCGGGCATTTTGAGCTTTGTTCCGATAAGCAGAATTCTTCGTTCCTTCATAGGGGTCGTGTTGCTCGTGATAGTAGTGAGATTATTCTGGGCTGTGCTTTTTGGAGCAGCTGCCGTTTTCAACAGTGATGAGGCTCAAGCATTGAATTCGAAGATCGATTTCGAGTGGTGGGAACAGAGTTCCCTGCTGAGCAAAATGCACTGGTACTTTACAGATCGTTTTGAGAGTGGTTGGGGTCCTGCATCCGACGAGGTCCTTGATGCAAATTACAATAAGGTTTTTGGAGTTTGATACATCTGGGCCAATGGCTATTATATAATGTTACAAAGCGATACGTTGAAATTCTCCCAAAAATCAATCATATCAAAGGTTTTTACGAACGCACATACACAACAGTTTCATAGCCATGTTGATGATATCGTTGTTTTGGCTACTATTGTTGGCATTGTTATTCTGTCCTTGGCTCTGGTTGTAATGTTGCTGTTGATGTTGTTGGTACTGTTGAGGCTTGTATTGAGGCTGTTGCTGTTGGGCATAATTATTATGAGGCTGTTGTTGGGATACACCGTGTGGCTGATATGCCTGTGCGGGTTTGGAAGGGCCATTGTGGGCAAAAGTTGAGTAGTCCATAGTTGCCCACGAGCTGGGTACCTGAGCATTCTGCAATTCAATAACTAGAACCCCCGCATTTTTTGGGTCCACGTAATTCCGTAAATGAACTTGCTGGCATAGTTCCTCTACGGCGGGTTTTATTTTGGCGATACCATTGGCGGAGTGTAATCCCTTCCCTACAATAACCTCTAAAGACGACTCATGATTAGACACACCGACTGCAATTCTTTTTTGCAATATCCACTGCGCTTCCTTAGTGTACAGGCCGTGCAGATCGATCTCGTTGCTGTCGCTATCAGCGTTGTTCTGCGTGAAAACATATTCTGCGGCTTGCATATTGTACTTCTCAGCCACGCTCAGTTGCTCTTTTGCTTTTTCGCTCAGGGTATGCGCCTGACCCTTATCGCCGTTTTTGAAAGCTTTCTGGGACTGTTGAGAGAGCTGTTGTCGTTTAGTGTATGCGCCGTCCGCAAGCTGTCTGAGACGCTTGTACTCGGAGTCTGTGGCATGATTGTAGTCTCTCTGCTGAGACAAAAGAGCCCCTCTATCAGCTACCGCGGCCAAGCTCATCCTTTTTTATTTCCTGTTGGTAGGGTCCTGTTAAGTAATTGACGAATACATGGACTATAAATTGGTCGAGTTTGTTTACCAAATTTTTTCAAGACAATGAGCCAAAATCAACGGGGAAAGCCAACGAGGCATGGAACTAAGATAGGATTGATGGCGCATTTTGGTCAGTGGTGCTGTATGTAAAGCACGAGTTGTCAGTTGGTGATCTACTGTAACTATTGTTTACTTACTTGCACGCCACATGTTTATTTAGTTAAATGTCATACAAGTATCAAAAGATGTAAAAATTCAGAGCTCAGAGGACCAGTTTTCTCACTTGAGTAGAAACAATGAGTAAATACGCAGTTGGATCGGATCCAGTAGGAACGAAGAGATAATAAGTACAGAAACATGTCTATAAGCTCAGTGAGGGCGCTATCTGGTTATGTTTACGTTTTCAAATAATAGTCTCCGCAGCTGTGTACAAAGTTGACGACTGCAACATGAACTTATTGTGCCGGCTATAAACAAAAACTTGACTGCGATGTAACAATCTCAAACTGCTGCCACCGAACATGGTGACCATTGATGTGGTGCACATCAAGAGCGACACAATAGTACAGAGTGATTTACCATAATGTCGAGCAGTCAATATAGTGGAGGTATCTAGTCTGCTGTAGTATGGTGGAATTCTGCAAGGAGGATTAGGCTGGCTGATGGACCTCAATGTGCGACCTGCTGCTACGCCTTTCAGATGTGTATCTTCAGGACTGAATTTTTGAGTACCCTAGAATTACTGTTGTGAGTACATAAGCAGGTCCCAACTAATATCAGATATCTCAGCGGGTATCTTCCAACCAAAGTACTCTCCTGAGAACTTCCTGACAGTAGAGCGCTAATTCGCATGAGAGCCACTGTTGACCGGAGATGGGAGGAGAGCTCGCCACTAAGAACACTCACTGGCTTGCAAAACGGTTTCACGAAACGCAAGACGCCATCTAAAAAGTAGCTCTGGAAAGTGCTAGTGGTTGAGACACTTTCTCCCTATTGAAAACTTATCTCCAACGGTCTATCCGAGCACCTCCATGACTTCCAAACTAGTTGAGAACGCGTGGAGATACCCTCTGTCTCACTTTCAGTACTGAAGAAAAGTGCATTGGAAATATCGATACGTAACCAAGGTATGGATGAGTCTTTGTGGCCTGTGCTAGTCCGCGTCTACAGGCGCGTATGATCAAAACGTCCTTATTTTTCCTCGAGATGCAAAAAAGGTCTTTCCGAGCGCTTTCCGCGTTCCAATTATTGTCATCCCAAACATGCACCACACATATCTTCTACAATGACCCCTCTGGGGCTTCTTTGTATGCCGCTCCAGGGCTAGTTGCTAGAAATGCTGGATGAAGTATTTTCTGCCTGTGGCAGGAGGAGCTTCGAGAAACTCGGTCCTCGCTTGGTAGAGTTAAGTTGAGAGTGCTTCGCGAGTGCGTGGTAATCAAGAGCTTGACCAAATTTTACTGCCATCTTTCAACAACTGATTGCGCGGTCCTCTGGACCATGGTCCAGTGCGATGCGATTCAAAATGAAGCGGCCGTTGCCAGGCGATCAGCCCGAATTGCCGCTACAATTTTAATTTTCTAGAGAACCAATCACCCCTGCTCAGCTACTCTCCATTCCCCACACCCGCACCCCTAGCCACTAGCTGCTGCTCAATGCCACCGCTACCTAAAAAGCCATATTTGGGCACCAGCACATGCCTCTCACTACCTTCAGGGCACCAACTCAGACCCTGCATACGACACCCCACAACCAACAACGACAATCACAACAAAAGGATACAACATACACACCGCTCACGCCTTCGACGCCTCTTTCTGCTTGCCCGCACCTCTCTTGCCCGCACCTCCGGTTCTCATTCTGCTCAACGTCACACACGTACAAAGCGACTGCAGATCATCCACCACCCACTATGAATCCATTAGCGGAGCCTGGCTCCTCGATCGCTTGCCAGTGGCACCCCCGATCGCCACCAACATCGCCACGTTTCCTTAGCGATTCCTACCCAAAACATACGCAACCCACCCACGCTTGTGGATCCTGTTTCTTGTGGTCTACCATCCATATTGGCCCCGCATTCTTTTTTTCCGATATCACGGAAAAAACCAAAAGGCACAGCTCTTCCCCCCGGCAATACTATTCATCCGCCTTTGCATCTTCACGTCAACTGCTGTCCTCCGTGGCTCAGCCCCATATTATTATTTGGCTACATTCAACATGTGAACCATGCCTGGGCCACGTCCTTCTCGCAGCTCCACGTCTCCGCATTGCCCATTTTCAACCCCACGGAAAATTATTCTGGGCACGCTGGGCGTGCTCGAAAAATCCGGGCCAGTCCACCTCACCTGTGGGTTCGCCATCGATTGGTATGTTCCTCCCATTGTGCTTCGAGCGGAGGCTCGTGTATGATGAGGGCACAAACCAGGCAAACTGCAGTGTGCTCTGAGTGAGGAGCACATTGCCGTCAGTCCGCAAGTGGTTGGAATATGTTGAGTTGACTGGCTACTGGCCTTGCTACTGTTAATGGAAGCGTTTCTACATGAACTAGTGTCGTAATACGACCAGTAATGTAGCAGATTCTTCACCCAGCTGCTCTTGTCTGTCTTGAGCCCCTTCAAAAGTATTTAAATGGAGGATATCTCAGAAGAGGATGGTCAATGGTTTTCTGCCAAGGTTCATACCGAGGAACGCACATTAGTGGCACAAGCAAAAAATATCAAGACAGCTACTTTCCAATGCGTTGGTTGAAACTGAAAAACATCTTTGCCAAGAGTGAAGATCGTCCGACACCACCGGAGGTATACAACTGGCGGGTTTATGGTACAGCGTTGATTGCCTCATCGGCGAGTGTGCTGATCGGCTACGACACTGGGTTCGTCGGGGCGTGCTTCACCAACACACATTTTCTGGCGAACTTCGGCCTCGTGCCAGACACACCGGCGACGGACACCACGGTGTCGAACCTGATTTCGTGTTTCCATGCAGCAGCATTTTTCGGGGCTCTATTCTCGTATCCTTTGTCTCACTACTACGGGCGGAAAGTGGCGTTGATCATTGCGGCGGCGCTGGCCACGATTGGTGCTGCAATGATGCTTGTAGGAGTTACCGGGAACCTGGGTCCAATGTACGTGGGGCGTGTCCTCACGGGCCTAACCGTGGGGGCGTCGACAAACCTGACGGTGGTTTACTTGAGTGAGGTTTCGCCGGCTTCGATCCGTGGTCAAATTATCGCTGCGTTTGAAATCGGTTGGCGTGTGGGTGATCTGGTTGGGTTCTGGATCAACTACGGAATCAGCCAACACGTTCCAGCAGGTAACAAACAGTGGATCATCCCTGTGGGAGTGCAGCTGATCCCCGCAGGACTCTTTCTGATTGGCTCTTTTGTTATGGTGGAATCCCCACGTTGGCTGTTCCAACAGAACCGTGACGAGGAGGCCATCAAGAGCTTGTGCTTCTTGCGTCATTTGCCAGTCGAAAACGGCTACATGATTTGGGAAATCAACTCGATTCGGGACTCTGTGGCCGCTCAAAATGCTCAGATCGGCTCCGGAATGATGGACCCTGCCAAGGAGGTGTTTATCCGCAACCGCAAATACGCCCGCAGACTAATTGTGAGTTCGATTTTGCTGGTCATCCCCAACTTCATGGGAATTCAATCTATCAATTACTACTCGCCCAAGATTTTCCAGAACATCGGTGTCAAGGGCACCAACGCTTCGTTGTTCTCATCCGGTATGTTTGGTGTGGTCAAGTTCATCTGTACTTTCATCTACATTCTGTTCATTGTAGACAACTTTGGCAGACGCAAGGCGTTCATGATCTCCGCCTTTGCGTGCTCTCTATGTTTCTGGTACTTGGGGGCCTATCTGAAGATTAACGACCCAACCAAGCCAGGTGTCGTCGCTGGCCCAGGCGGCACTGCTGCTATCGCCATGATGTTCATCTGGACCGCTTCCTTTATCCTCGCTTGGTCTGGTGGCCCCTTTGTGTGGAGCTCGGAAGTCTTTGAACAGAACATCAGAACCTTTGTGCAGGCTATCAACGCAGCCATGTCCTGGGTCCCCATCTTCATCATGACCAGGTTAACTACCACCATGATAGACAAGATGCAGTACGGTATTTTCTTTTTCTTCGCCGCCGTTGCCACTCTCGCTGTGCCATACGTATTTTTCTTGGTGCCCGAAACGAAAGGTATCGCTTTGGAAGACATGGACAAGTTGTTCACCCCAGGCATTCCAGCATACAGAGCTCACCAACGTGTTCACGAAGAATACGCGCGCACCACATTGGAAGTTCAAAAATCCTCCTCTCAATTCTTTAACGACCAAGAGTCGTCCAAGAAGGCCGACACCAACATGGTCGAAGATGCCGCTCTATTTGACCAAAACTCTAGAGTTTGATTTGCGTCATTGCTTGTACTGCTGGTTAGGTACAATGACGGCTCACATATGAATGTTTATATGTATGTTTTAATGATAATATTCTGATAATAAGAAGAGAAATGCCATGCGTTTGCTGAAAAGCAAATGAGATGTTTTATGCCTGCTCCGAAGATCAGATTAGATGGGAATTTCATTCTCGAGAATGGCAGATTTACTGCTAGATTTTGTGCTTTCCTTAAAATTTTATCGAACATGGTCGACTTTCATATGGCCCTCGGGCGATCATTGTTATTCATTATTATCACATATTTATTTAAATATATATAAGATATGTATCATATGTTCATGATATACATACAGTTGGGAGGACAACGGTCACTGTATTAACTTCCAAATAGTCAGATGGAGGCAAGCATAGAGCGTATCATGAGTTTGGGTCCTCCGGGACCATTTTGGAACAAGTTCGTCGGTATGCTAGCGACGAACGAATGGATAACATCAACCAAAATTCTCGCAAATCTGCATTCGGCGTTATATGTGGCAGCTGGTTACCACATGGTGTTCCTGATGAGTAAGTGGGTGCTTTTCCCCCCACTAGTTCGCTGGAGGCTCGCACACAGCAAGGACCACTCGCGCCGTGGACGCCAGGGCCTCGTTAATCAATCCGCGCTGCACTTCGTCAGCATGATCCAGAGTTTTGTAATCTTGTATTTGAGTCTCGCTTACCTGCAGACGCATGGCCCCACCACCACGCACCCGAGTGCGCTGCGCCGGGTGTTCGACCACGATGTGGAGTCAGAAGTCATCTGCGTGTTCGCGATAGGCTATTTTGTGTGGGACGCTGTCATCTCGGTGTTCTACTCATCCTTGCCATTCATTATGCACGGATTGATCTCGACAGTTATGTTCTCGATCGGGCTGAAGCCGTACATCCAATTCTACGCCCCCGCGTTTTTGATGTTCGAGCTTTCCAACCCGTTCCTAAACTTCCGCTGGTTTGGCATCAAATTCTTCCCGCAGGTCTCTGAGACCAATAAGACCTTTACCGCTCGCGCTCTGAACTGCGTGCAGCTGCTCAACAACGTGGTGCTGATCCTGGTGTTTTTCGGAGCCCGGATTGTGTGGGGGTGGTACCAAATCTTCATGCTGTGCTCGGATTTCTGGCAAGTCCGCCACGACCCCAGGTTCCTGCTGCTCGAGACCGCGACCATCGTCTCCGGTAACCTTGTCCTCGACGTTTTGAACTTGGTGTGGTTTCTAAAGATGCTGAGCGTGGCGAAGCGTATCATATCCAAGCGCGGCCGTGTCCAAGACAAACCAGCCACCGAGGCTCACTGAATAGCGTTACGTGCCGGTGGTGCAGCAACCAACTTACGTAGCTGATTTCCAAATAAACATTTTTGATACAGACAATGAACAAAATTCATGACGAGAGAAGCCCTCTACGGCCGCGTCGCCTGGAGTGCTCCCAACAGATACATGAACAAGAAACGAAAAAAAGCGCAAAACTCTTCTGCACATTGTTCAGGGCTTTCCCGCGTTGCTCCGGAATGCTCCCAGGACCCTGTAAAATTGGTTTGCACCAGATCCGACTATCGCCCGATAATAGGCTGACGTCTCCACAAAACTAACAGGTTTTTTTTGGATCCAGCCAACTATCAGTAGCTGGCTGGCGCCATTTTAAGACACCCAAGACAGTGAGGACCATGGGTTACTTGCTATACGAGCTGGAGAAGAGTGCTGGCCTGATGATTTACGAGTACATTAGCGACAGAAATCAATGAGTACTTTTGTACTTTTGTAATTTTGTACTCGCGTGGCTTCAAAAAACTGATCTATCAAGTATAAAAGGGGCCGCGAGCAAAGCTGCTTTGGAAGCTAACCCAACTTGTAGGTTCACCAAGTCTTTAAGTAGGAGCAATAAATACTGGTTATTTGTGTTGGTTATTTGTCCTCGCTTTTGGCAGAGTACCCGAGCATTTGAAGATCTCAGCTTCGAGAAGCAGAAAGAAGCGGGTTTTTAGTCACTGTTTAGCCTAGAGTATCTCCGAGATCATGAGCTCTGATTTGGAAACGAGCGTCGCAGACTCTTCCAAGCTCTACTTGGCAGCGGATACCGACGCGGATGATGCTAGTAGTATGTTTTCGATGGATTCGGGCTATTTGATGGACCTTGCAGACGCTTCCGAAGACACGGAAACAGTTTTGCCGAAAACCGACTTCCATTCCCCATACTACGTGAACGTGCCGACGCCTAGCCAGTCGGCTCTGTCTTCGAATTATTCGGACTCGACCATAGAGCTGGCCACTGGATTCGTCCGGGAATATCCCACGGACATTCTGCTGGACAGATTCACGAAATGGCGCAAAATCCTCAAGGGCCTCGCCAACTACCTGCGTGAAGTGGCGTTCGCCCAGGAGCGGTTTGCACGGATTAACTACGGGCTCAGGGCTGACGTCAAGTTCTCGTTTCTCACCGATCTGGAAGACTCGACAAACCGCATCATAGATCCGTTTCAGCAACGGGCCAAGAAGCCTGGCACGGCCCAGCCTGCGCCTTCTAATAACCTGCGAACCCCTGAAGAGGAACCCAGCCACCGAAGGTCTTCGTCAAATACATCGGGTCCAGACTGGAAGGCCAATGTACCGGTGGCTCCGGGAGACGAGTCGTCTGCGTCTTCCGGCTTTATGAAGTTTGGCTCAGGCTCTATTGAAGATATCCAAGTTATTTTGAAAAAATACCACTCTTCTCTAGGGAATCAGCAAATCAAAATGTCCAAGGAACTGAGTACTGTGGTTGTTCCAAAACTCGACGACCTACGTAAAGATTTGCAACTCAAGATCAAAGAAATCAAAGAGCTTCACAACGATTTCAAGACCAATATTGGCGAACACATTGCTCTAACAGGCCAGTTATTACAGAAGTACATGGCTGCTGTTAAGTTTATGTCCACCCAAGTTGACGATCAAAAGTTGCTCAAATTCAAAGGTCATAACCTTAAGCCAAAGCATGACCCTTATTTGCTGAAATTGCAACTGGACCTTCAGCTAAAGCGCCAGCTTTTGGAGGAAAATTATCTACAAGAGGCATATATCAATTTGCAGTCGTCTGGTATGGAACTTGAGAAAATCATATACGGGGAAATCCAGCAAACTTTACAACGCTACTCAGCTCTCGTAAGCACTACTGCTCGCATTTCCATCAGCAACTTGTGCAATGAATTGCATCAGGGCTTGCTGAGCAAGCCTCCGGCCACAGAGTGGGACCATTTTGTGGCCCACCACCCGAAATGTTTGGTAAACTGGAAGTCTACCGAGCCAATACCACAGCCGCGAAAATTATCTGACATCAGATATCCAAAGATGAAATCATCGTTGGCCAAGTGCATCAAAGCTGGCTACTTGTTGAAAAAGTCGCAAATCCTCAAGAACTACAACAAAGGCTATTTTGTATTAACCAGTAACTACTTACACGAATTCAAGTCCAGCAATTTCTTCAAACTCTCCCAGGAGGTGTCCGAAAAGAAAGATCATGGTGAGGTACAGACAGGTAATAAAAAGAGAGCCATGGTTCCAGTGGCCAGCCTTCACCTGAATAGTGCTAACGTTGTGGACGTTGGGGAACAAAAATTTAGTATACGCGGCATTGTCAGCTCGAGCAACTTCGACAAAAAATCTGCTGAAACAGGCAAGATCATTTCGAAGTCTACCTCCTCCATTCAGAAGTTCTTGAAGTCGAGTGCAAAATCACCTCAGAATAAGAAGGACGGCGGTCATCATTCCATATCTGGACCAAGTGGGCCCGGGTCGGGTTCTACCGAAGAGTCTGAGGATGTCGCCATTTGCGTGTTCAAGGTCGCTGGAAATAGCAATCATCCTGATGAGGGAAAAGATTTGAGAAAATGGGTCACTGAACTCAAAAACTTGACGAACTTCGATAACGCCACTGATAGAGCTAAATTCATTGAAGAAAAGATTTTGCGTGCCCATAGCCGTGCCAGTTCGTTAAATCTCATGAAGACGAACACAGGCTCCAAGTCCTCTCATGCTAGCAACATACAAAGTTTCAAAAAACCTCAATATATCCACTTGGGAACCAATGAACTTCACGATCCAATGCTCGCTAGGGCGAAGATCAATACCCCGGCTATCGATGACAATGGCAATTTGATAACAGCTGGGGAGGGCCGTAGTTCTTCTGTGAAGAGTCTCCCAGAGTATTCATCTCCGGCACCTTCGCCGGGTCCTGGGTTTGCACCAGCGCCGAGCCCGGGCCCCGCAGGACAAGTTTTATCACCTTCTGCTAAACAAGGATTTGTTATTACAAGCAACGGCATGACCCCTATCAGCAAAACGCCTGGACAGACCTCAAGGAGAACTGCCGGTCAAACTTCAAGCAGGGCGAGCTCGGATGGTTCTGGAAAACAACCGCTCACTTCTCCTAGCAGCCATATTTCTGGTGGCAGTGGAGGTGGATATTTTGCCATACCCGTGCACCCAAGCTCCCAAGCATCAACGCCAGGCTTGGAACCTGTGCCAGACAGCACAGTCCAATCACAAGGTGCAGCTCCTGTACTACCTCATGTCAAGCTAAATGATCGTGCTTTCAATAGCGAAGAGCAGGACAGACAACACCTCCCTAGTGAAGCGGTAGCTGAGCGCAATGTCTCAGGCTCAAAAGTATCTGAAGGAGGTCCCATAAACAGAGGTGCTCCTGTTCACAACTTACGGAGAAACATCAGCACAGGGAACATGGACAATGTTGCGGGTGAATCCCCGCACAGCGTATATCAGAACCCGAAATACGTGAGTAGTTCCCAGAGCCTCCTTTCTGGCAGTGCACAGCATGCCAGAAAACACAAGAAAAATGTGTCTTTCGGCTCTCTGAACAGCCTGTTGTTTTCTAAGAAAGCTGGTGATATTGATAATAACAACATGACAGACTACTTCATGTCTGGAAACAGAATTGAAGAGGACCACGATGGAGGCGCCTCGCTGAACGTCAATCACTCATTGTACAAGAGTAGGACCAGAAGCCCTTGACCAAACTTACTTAATCATTTTATTTGTCCTTGATAGAAATTTACTCAGCTCATTCATTTGTTCATTTACTCATTCACTCATTAGTTCACGTTTTTGCATTGTTTTGTGCCAAATAACCAAGTTAGCCTTCCTAACTCATTAGCATATAAGTAGTAACTCTGGTTTTCAACTATTCTCCTAATTTGTCGGTCCACTCTATACCACTGCCTAGCTTATGGAATTTTCTGTTGCAATACAAGAGGCCACCTGTGATTTCTGTGCCAATATCTGAACCTTCTATGATATCCTTGACCTTGCCCACCCATATTTCGTGGTCCCCAACCTTGAATACATCTTTCTTCTTGCATATAAAAACCCTTTCGGAATTGGTCAGTATGGGTACCACCAATCTGCTGTGCTTCAAGGAGTAGGTGTCGTAGTGCACTGTGTCATCAAGATCTTTGAAAGGTTGTGTTGGAATGATTTCTCCGCTTTCTTGATGCTTCATAGCACCCTTGCTGAACGTCCTTGCCAGAGCCATGGATGTTGCGTCTGGTTTCAACAAATGTATGGCAAAGTACTCGCGCAAATGGAGGGCTTCAGATGTGAAAGACGGTAGCTGTAAATTGAATTGCAGAAGAGGCTGAGGTTTGAGAGATAGCGAGCTTACGGAGCTCAGGGTTACACCTCGAAACAAAGTGTGTGGCACGGTATTTTCGTCGGCAGAAGTTAGGATCATGGCCTGACTGCCCATGCGAGCCATAGAATCTCTGAACTTTTGCTGTATCATAGCGTTTCCGCCTAATGTTGACTGAAACCTAGCAATGGAAAACCGCATCAATGCTTCTCTAAAGCTCAATGGGTTTTCAATAAAGTGTCTTGAAGGACGACCCAAGATAGACGAAATATAGCTTCTCGGCGTAAACTTTGCTTAATTTTTTAATTTGAAGTTCACCATTTTGAATGTTGAAAACGTCTACTATTAAAACATTGTACACCTACGCTGGATACAAAATTTATGAGGCTTCCTAAGCTTCTATTATCCTGCTTTCCTTAAACAACAGGTTGAGCTGGACTTCAGTGTTTAAGCGTTTCTAGATTTACATAAATCCAAGCATGGTAAAATCAAAAGTTTTAGGACAGATGCTGGAAAGTTTGGGAGGTAAGAAGCATTCGGCAACTAATATCAAAGAGGCACACCGGCCCGATTGTGATGTATCCCCGTTAATTTCCAACTTTGCTAAGTGGAGTGACAAGCCCAAACGACTGTATTTCAGAGAAAATTCTGAATGGACACAGGTGGTGGACTCCAGCAATCTGCGTGGAAACTTATTTGCTGAGCTTCTATCTTCTCCTATGCGAATGGACAGAATAACTCGTCTGAGAGCTCCTTGTAATTTGCTAACGCAGATCAAATTGGGGCCCAAGGCAGAGTCTGTAGAGGGAGACAAAGGACAATTCGAGCTAGCGCCAGCCATACCGCCTACCAAAGGAGACGCAACCTCTTATGTGAATAATAACGAAACTTCACTTCGCAAAAATGGCGCCGCCTTTTTGAAATGGATTCCGACGTCGACGTTCAATAGCACCATACGGCATATAGGCCCTCAAGACGTGATCCGCCCGACTCAGCCTATCGTGGACAGTTGTAAAGCCCAGTTGATAAATGAAGTGCAACAAAAGATCTCATTCACGATTTCAAATGGCGAGAGTGAAACAACTTTTGGCCCCCCAAATAGACGTATTAAAGTGATCAGCGATAGCAACGAGACGGACACGATCATTGTGCACCCAGAGCTTGGCACAACATTTAATCTCAAGGACATCAACGATTCGGAGTTGCAGCGTATACTCAAAATGCTGCCGAACGGGATTCATTTAGACTTTGCTGTCGACAAACAACTGTGCATGGCTATATATAGATTACTGCAATTCGGATCATGAAAGGATATGCGGTCACATACCTGGCTCTCGAATAAATTTCAAAGGAAGACCATAAACAACGGGTGCTGCACCGTTCAAATATTTTAAGTGACAAGAATGTCTAGAATGGGAAACCGCTTCTGGAACGGTCTTAGGAGGGGAATCCCCGCATGTCAAGCCCAACTCTTGGAATAGCGTGGAGCTAAATTTGTCAATATCCTTGTCAGTGACATCCCACAGATTACCAACCACCATGCAAGATCCGCCCTGTAAATAGGAGTAGACTACACCAGACGGCTCTAGCTTCCCTTTAGGCTCCATAAACGCAGATGAACAGCCCAATAAGAAACTAGGAGCCACGGTGTCCAATTGCTTAACTTTCCTGAGCCTCACATACTGTTCTCCTCCTCCGTGGCCAATATAAAAGAATACTTTGGAAGATGTCAGCATTTCGATTAGTTGCTTCTCCTCAGGTTTTTCGCCTATTAACAGTTTAGAATTGGGTACCACTTCCTTCCAATTAGTGAAAAGTCCCTCGAAGGCATCTTGTGTTCTGGTCAAATCGCCATGAGGGTTAAGTACCATTGCGATTTCCCCATCTAAGTGGATTTTTGCTAGTAGTGGATGGCTGCGGCTCTCCAACATTTGTGCCAGACTTTGGATACAGGGCATACGGCTTATTGAATTTGCACTTAAAAAACTCAAGCTCTCCCATGGTATAAGGTGGCCTGCACTAGAGACCACGAGAAAAGTATGCGCTAGTTTGGATGAAGACGGCGCGCTCTTCCGGTACTCGTTGATTAGTTCCTCCACTTGTATATGCATTAAATTAGTGTCAATTTCGTCGTATGCGTTTTCTTCTCCATGAAACAGTAACAAGTCGAATACGAAGAAAATAAGGTCTTCCATTAACTCCACAAAATTGCCATCCTTCGGGTCAAGCTTTAAAAAAAGCTCAAGTACAAAATCATCTAAGCGGCAGAAAGAGTTGGGAGCACCAAATTGCTTTCTGGTGGGCAAGATCCGTTGAAGAACATCCTCAAATTTGACTCTGAAATCATCAAGGTCCTGTTGTTTAACAATATTTTGATTGAAGAATGCTTTGAACCCAGAAAACCAGGAACGCTCAATTTTCCCCAGTAAGGCGTGTAACCGAGCATCAAGGGCGTATCGATTTTGCCACCACTGTCTTCGGTCCTCCCTCGTATCGATTCTTGACGTTGTTTCAATTGACGTGGATCTGTTGCTTTCATTTATGATGTACGTCAATTCCGCGATCGCCTCATTGAACTGCAGTGCCACCTCATCAACATCTCTAGAACTCTGCCTATTTAATGGTAGCCTGACACAGATAGGTTCCTTATGGCGCTCTAATTTCGAGATGATTAGATCGCCCGTAATACCGCAGGTATCAATCCCAATAATATTAAACGCCACAGGGGAAGTGGAAAGTGCATGCGACAAAGAATGTTTTAAAGCTTGCATTTGTTCATTGATGTAACAAGATGGAGACTCAATTTTTTTTGGGATGAAGGATGAATAGATTTCATTGCCTTGTTGAGAAAACAACTTATCATAGTACAAAGCTGTAAACTTTGGAGCATCCTGTAACACCATTCTTTGATTTACTTCAGAAGATTTCAATTTAAGAGCATCGATGCTGCTCAAAAGTGAAAGGGAAAGAGCGTATAGATCTGCGGCTTCTGCAACCTCAAAGCATTTCATTCCCTCTAAATCGAGAGACTCGATTAAACGCCTGACTTCATGCAGATCCCTTACAGCTCTAGCTCGGTCAAAATTCTGCTTTAGTGTTTTACCGCGAGGAGTCAAAGAAGAGGGACGGGGAGAATTTACAAATGGTGTGACCTTTCCCTTAACTGGTGTCCCAAACTCATTGATGTTGAGTCGAATAACTTTCGCATGGGGAAGTCGTTGCGCTGGCCAGACACAGGACGGCAGCGTTGTGACAGATTCCTTAATACTTCTAAAAAGTGGGTCAAGGTCCATCTGACTAGTGATTTTGGTGTACAATGCCTTTCCTTTGTTGACCTCATTAATTCTATTAAGCAATGAGTTGGATGAAGGTGCAGATAAAGTATCACCAAGTTTCAATATCCAGCGATCATAGAGGAGAGAATGAGTAGCATCTTCCTGAAAATACAAATTCAAGGAATTTCTGAGATTCTCTTTCTCATCGTTGTTGAACAAAAACTTCAATAGCGCGTCAATATCTTCGCTGCCATCCAGGCTGTCAAAGGTTTTGTTAGCTTTTAGCAGAAGTGTTCTCGCCAGTTCACCTTGTCCAGTCGATTTGTAGTATTCGATGCATATATGCAAACAATCGTGAAGTACAATCGGGGCTCTTAGAGAGCAAGAAATTCTCAGATATTCAGTAGTGTAAAATTCACATTCCTTAGCAACTCCTACGCGCATGTAGACGTCAATTATTCTGCCAAACGCTTTGCTCAAGAATGTCGACAATTCCCACTTCGCGGATTGGCTAAGAATCGACATTTTTTTTATGAGCGTCTGGCAAAGTTTGAGGCATTTCTTGGACTCAATGAGTGAGTCGTGCAGCTGCCCATACTCAAATTGCAGCATAGCGCTAGTGTCCAAAATCTTGATATTAAGCAGCAGAAACTTGAGATAGATATTGCTTGGCAGCTTTGCCGCATTGCCTATATCAGCAATCTCAGATCTTGCCTTTGGTAGCTCGATGGCAAAAAATCGATTGAAAACGCTACTATCCTTGTCGAGCTGCAGTGAAATGAGCTTAACCTCTACGAAATCTATGAGTTCAGCATTATTCATCTCTGCAAGCCTTTCCAAGGGACAAAACAGAGGAAGGCCCTCAAGAATGCGATCCACCTTGCTGTTCATTTGAAGTCCCATATAACCACAGATATGCTGCCATTTCGTAATACTGGCGATTTTTCCATAAAATGGCCCGTTATGGACTTTAAATGCTGCTGCCAGCTTTATAATCTTTCTGTAGAACCTGTGAAACCTTAGAGCATCAAAGAGGGAACTTATCAACGAAATTTCGAAGTCGCTTATCTTCTCTCCAAAAGTTTCAGGTCTTGCCACCCATTTTTCGATATAGCTATTTGTAATTTTCGAAAGACGAAGGGACTCTCCTAGACTCGCTTCCAAACTCAAATAATATCCTGTTTTGATGAGATGCTCATAGCGCTTTAAGGGATCGAGTTCATCACTTTTAGTCATTACTATACCGTCCGCACCCGGTTGATTGACATGGCTGCTCTGATACATCATTTGCGTTAAAGGGCTCCAGTGTCGTGTTACACCAGTCAGTTTATGCCGAGATACACTCAATAAACACAGCATTAGCTCAGACATGGCGCCGACGCTCGGTATTGAGGATATTCTCAAGCCCCGCAAGATTTTTGAAAGCCGTGCGATGGTGGTAGAAAGTTGACTTAAACTCTCATGCTTGAAAAAGGTGTAAACATTGAAGAAAATTGTGATTAGTTTGGTCTGATACTCTTCAGATACCATTAGTATGAATTTCTCAATTTTTACAGTATCCAGCTCATTATTCTCGTTCATCATTTGCGCCTGACAATCAAGTCTAACTGCATCGATCAAAAAAACTTCCGTTTTATGAATTATGAAGGCATTATAAGCAACGTTGGCAATGTTCGAGAGTCTCCTCGATTCGGCGTTGTTCAAGGAAAACTCAGAGATGTTCGAGATTAGATGCTTCGAAATATGCAGTGGTATAGATTCCAAATTTTCATTTAAAAATAATGTTATCTTGTCAACGAGTCTCCAAAATTCCTTTGGAACGGAGATGAAGTCAGCGTTGGCAATTGTCATAAAATTCGAGAAAAGTATTGGCAATTTTGAGAAACAGCTTCCCTTTTTCTCAATCTTCATTTCTACAAATGAGATCAATGAACTCCTTTCTGCCAGTGAACATAGGGTTAGAGATTTCAAATAATTATCCAAGTCTTGAACAGAGAGGGATTGATAGAGAGTAGAAAGGGTTCGTACGCGGTTCACATCTTGATGCCCAGTGAGGTCTTGTAACATAATTTTATCTGTGGTTGTGAAATATTTCGAATAGCCGGAGTAAATTATGCCCAAGCTTTTCCCGATCTTGACCTGCAAGTGCTGTTTATTCCAACTGATGATGTGATGTTGAAATTGAGGGAGTGTCATGTTTTTGATAAACCCTTCAAAGTTGAGATCAAATTGTCTGACGTACTGCAGTAGTTTCAAACCAAATAAAACTTTGTAGTCTGGGAGCAAGGAGAAGAAGTTAAGTAGTAACTTGACCAAGGAATGTACCTTCGACGTACCGCCCTGCAACAGAAATCGGGTATCTTTGCCAAATATTTTGAGGATGGTATTGCAGTACCCTTCATGTGATTTAGTCTTGATAATTATCTGTAGCGCTAGAACCTTCAGCGTAGTGAGACAATGAGCATTGTAAGAAGTGAAGTCGGCTAACAGAAGCTGATGAAGCGAATCGATGCGATCCGGATTTGTCCCATTGAAAGCAACCAAACAGCCTTGCTCTGCACAATCGTATAGCTCCATTTCTATAAGCTTTATAACCGCCATCATGTTGAGTTTTGCTAGATCCCTAACTCTACGCAGCTGATGTTTCCACAGGTATGCCCAGTATAAACGTGTCATACTCGTGCTAAAGTCTTGAAATTTGCCCACGCTGGGACTTTGCAGGAAAGAATCAACATCCGAGCGATACTTATTAGCATTCGACGCATATTCTGAGCCTAACAGTCCCCAATGGCCGTCCTGACCATGATATTCTCTCATCGTACACTCTGCACCTGATTTTCCACCATTGAGGGCACCCTTGAGTCTTACATTCGAGCCTTGCTTATTCAAGTTAATGTCATTCAATGCCACATCCTTTTCAATCATCAGGATTATTATCGAGGGATACGTTAAGCCTATTGTTTATTGTATTTGTGTTTTGATTTTTAATTCTTGCGTTACGATTTTCTATATTCAAGATTCATTATTGATGGGGACGAGAGAGCTGGGAAGTGCCAAGGCCAACACTACCAAACAATTGATGACGGTATCAATGATGAAGCTCAACATACAGTCCGCCATTGATCTACTCAAGAAAGAGCCTTCTGCTGAAGTTATCTCTAGTTGTCTTTCTGTTCTTGACAATTACCGACCTTTGAATCTGGAAGCAGCAGCTGTACTAGCGAAGCATGTGGTTCCAGTTGCGCCATCATTACCACAGAATGTTAAGACACAACTCTTTGTTTTATTGGAGCACTCGTTTACATTCCTTACGCATGCAATAAGTCTTATTCAGTTGCTTCGTGGTCAGCCAGAAGCCAAGGTATGCCGAGACTTCCTGCTTGAGGCTCTGAATAATAGCCCCTCAGCTTTACAAAACTACAACTCTCAATGTAATACTACCTCAGAATTTCAATTGCTCAAATCTGTGTTTTTCGGAAGCAAACTTTACAACTGTTTATCTTGCGATATCGATATTCTTGAGTATCTGGAGTTATTGGAAGCCCAAATGTCATATATTTTCGACCACCAAGGATCTATATGTGAAAAAAGAGGAGCAGATTGTCTAGCTTCAATCTTAAGCTTGCATGGAAGTCAAGCAATGTCTACGGTTTTCAAAGGCTTGGTGCTATCGAATCGAGGTCGCTTCGATACATTTCTACGTTTCGTGAAAAATGGCTCTATAGTCAATAGGAACAAGCTTCTCAACAGCCTGGTACGATATTTAGATTCAGAATTGCTACTTGAACAGACAGATTCTGTTTACAACCTTCTTCGACTGATGGACGTATCGTTGATACAGCCCGATTGCCTTGTGAATGTCGAAAATACAAAGCTACAAGTTGTTCTCGTGGGCCTCATGGACGAGAAGCAGTTGTTACATATTTTCGACCATGCACTTTTCTCCTTTCAGGCACCTGGCTCAGTTGATGATGGTTCCATCTGCTGTCTGTTGTCCAGCGTGCTGGCAAATCTTTCTGCCGAAACCAGACATAACCTCAGCAGTGATAATAGGTTTTTGGACTCTGTCACAGTAAGATTGGCTTCTCAGGATGCTTTGGTGAGGGAGAGAACAATGTTTCTTGCCAAACAGATTACAAATGATGAACTCATATACGAGAGTGATTTCAAGATAGATATTCCCATAGTCAAAAAGCCCCAAACATTTGATGTCAACTTCAATGATTTTTGCGACCCTAGGGGGACGCCCAGAAAGATCCCACAACCCACAAAACTTGCCTCAACCTCTTACAATTTTTCCCAACTCTCATTGTCCGGAACTGATGACCGTGACGATGGCGTGAGCATAGTTTTCCTCAAGGACTTACTCCACGAATTTGAACAACTGTCAAAAACACGCGTAAATCGAGTTTATCTTCTCAAGACAACTGTGAAGCTTGTAAGGCAGAAGAGAGACTTTATCATGGAGGTAGAAGCATACAGCGCGCAGCTGCTGGCCATAATATCCTCCTTAACTAACGAGTTTGACGAGCCTGAATTTCAGGAATGGAGGTTAAATGCGATGAATAGTATATTAGTAACTGTTCCGTCGAGGATAACTGACCTCTACCAGATCTTGTTTGGGCAAGAACTGTCCTTGCAACAACGAATTGCCATACTATCTACAGTAGGTCTTGCCGCTAGAGAGTTGCGCGGCCTAAATGATGCAGTAATCATCAAACCCGAAACCAATTTTCCAACGGAGAGACTGCCTTGGGATCAATCGAATCAATCCCCAGTGATAGAATCAGTCGACAACCTCACTGAAGCTCGAACAGTGTGGAGGTCGCGGAAACTCGACCGCAACGACAAAGATTCTATTCCGGTGCCAAACAGGTTCCGCAAAATTGCCCCTAAATTCTTCTATCCTTTGGCTCACGGATGGTTGAATGGGATAGACATGGGGATGTACGATAAAATGTTCAAGAAGCATTATTTGAGTACAATGGAGATTATTTTATCCGCAGCCCATCCGCATCAGGAATTTAATTCTATGTGCGCAATGATGTATACGGTACTCGAAGACGCGATGAAGAAGGGCGTACAAATAGATGATATGATGGCTGCCCGGCTGTCGAAGCTGAGTGAGGCCTCTTAAACTCCGACACTAAAACCCAACTCGTACAAAAAGATCTATTTAAGGACTCAAAATGCCCCTGCTAGCGCCTAACGTGAGCCGTCAAGCTAAATGCCGCGATATAAAGCTGTGAGATGGACATCACACGAATCGCTCCACCTTCAGCAAAGAGCAAGGCTCGGGTATTTTCTAATCGAGACTACTCAAAGCGGCTCAAAGGATGGCGTTTGACTTCCTCGCGAAGCCCCTACTACATATCCTGCTCTTGACCATTGTCTTATTGATTGTGGTGAACGCATTTGTCAATGCTTTGCTCACAATTCATGGACCGCTAGTCGGATCGACCAAAATCTTTGTTGGCCTACCTTGGATGAACAAAATATACTTCACCACCCTGTCCTCTCAAAATTATAGTTTTCGAGTGGAAAGCATCCAGATCAATTTTTGTCGGGGCCTGGTTATCCACCTGAATAACGTGCATTGTTGCATTGATGCTGAACTATTCACGACGGTACCCGCTGGCAAAAGAACCGAGAAATCTTGGTCGATTATCAATCCCCCCGTAGGGACGGTGTTGCGAAAGCTGAGGCTTAATAAGGTTAAGATCCACAATTTAAGAATAAAATCCTCAACCTCAAACAAGAGTATAAAATGCGAGCTTCTCGAAGTTGTGGTTGTGTATGAAGCCAAACATTTGAACATCGACGTATCAGCGTCGCGCTTAAGGGAAGACACAAAAGTGTTTTCAATTAGATCGCTAGATTATGAACTCCATTTAGAGCTGAATAAATCAAGTTCTGGGCAAAGTTTGTTTTTCTGGGACATTGAGAGTCACAGTCACGTACTTGAGTTTCGAGGGCTCAAAGCATATGCTGGTGATACTGCTGAGAGGCCTCATCCCCGCCTTAACCTCAAAAACTTCACTAGTCTTCACTTAAATGAAGGTTTAAAGGGATTTGTAACCAGAATGAACAGTTTTGTTTTGCGCTTTGATCAGGTGTCGGTCACTTTTAATGAGAATATCTCAGTAATTTCTTCTAATGTCTTCCTGTCTTGCCAATTGATCCCCCCATGGGATCATGAGATTCACAGCAAAATTTCGGCCGATTTAGACACGAATCTAATGCAAAAAGTGACTGTTTCCGTTAATTCAACAGTATGTCGGAATGAGCAGGATATATTTTTGCACTTGCCGTCGGTCACTCTGACTTCAGTGACCAGCTTGGCGTTCATGTCCTCTTCCTCACGACTCTCACATCTAAGTTCAGCTGTCACGCTGGCTATTGTCGACCCTCTGGTTAATTTGACCCAAAGTCAACTTCATGCGCTTTGGTACTGGTACTCAAATAAACATGATGAAATGTACCAACGGTCTTGTTCAAATGGCAGTGAGGCTCTGGACCCACACATTTTCGTATCATTTGTTGCTAAAGCCATCATTTCCAATTTCACTCTTAATCTCCAGTTAGAACCAAATGAAAAGTTTTTGATACGTGTTGCAAATGTTCACCTTTCTGGAAGAAGTCACACTAACAATGAGATAACATCAGCCAGCCGAGATTCTACCAGAAAAATATTGAAAAATGCCCGAGATTCTGTCGACGATTTTCTCAAGATTGATAAATTCGTCCTCACGTACTCTTGCGATAACCAAAATGCTTCCAAACTGCACGAAGTCCCCGTGCTGGTATTTACTAAGTGGGAGTTTTTTACTGAACACCTCTTCTCCTCTGAAAATGAGTTTACAAGCACATTGCGGAACCTCAGAATATCGTTAGAGCACTTGGAGGTATTAAACAGTTTTCATAGACTCATGACTGCATTGGAGGCTATACTTAAGTTACGGAGTAACAAAATTCGCAAAATGGCTCCGGCTACATTTTCCTTAAAGTTAAGATTGAAAAATGCCTCTGCTACCATCTCCACCGTTCAACGCTCCAGGTACCTGAGTGCTTTGGGAAACGCTTCTCCTCAACTAACAGAGTTTGCTCGCGGGGCGAGTATGGATTTGACGGAGGCCTTTTTTGTCGTCAGCGGTGGGAAGAAGAGACTTGACATTGTCCACGGCTCACTAACTAGAATTTTTGAGGACAGCTGCGCCGTAACGGCTTTTGACCAAATTGTATGCTTAGAGAATTTTGTGTTAGAAATCTCGGATAGAGGGTATTTTTGTCGTATGCCTGCTTGTAAATTAAGCATGGATGTATACACTATTTGGCTCTTTTTCTACATGAGAGACATCGCAATGCAGTTACTCTGTTCAGATGAATCGACTGTACCTATGTCACCTCAAGAGAGTTTCAGTTCTTTAGTGTTAACTCAGACGCTGAAGAACTGTAATTTCGAAATTGATTCTCTTCTCTTTGAAGTCGACCTGCCTCATTGTACTAAACTGCTTTTCACGTTGAAACTGGCCGCATTCAATGGCAATTCAATGAACTTGTCGGCTGGTATCACGAAAGCTTTCACAAAATCTGTATATGGGTCAGATGATGTTCTCGTCCCTATTCTTTCTCTAGACAACCTTTCCACCAACCTGATGTACAATCAACAAAACAATGTTTTGAAGTTGCACACGGATTCGATTTGGGCAAGCTTTGAATATCATTTGAGGCTCTACATGATCTTCGATAACCTTTGCTCCATGGTAAAATGTTACAAACTATTCAGCTCGTCGTTTGAGAATCTTGCTTCCTTCCAAATCCCAGAACCAATCATTGAAGAGCCTAGTCTGATGTATCCGGTAGATATTAGTACGGATTCCGTTCTTTTGAACGTTGAAGAAGATCTCTTCGAGCAGGAACTGGGTCTTATATTTAAAGTTGGCGTATCAGAGCAGCAGGAACGGATGGAGAAACTCCGAATTTTTGAAGAGGAGCTCAATTCCTCTTCCGCAAGCCCCTTGAGCAATAAAGGCTCAAAATTGCATACGCTATTTGAACACTTCTCGACGTCATGGATCAATCGAATTAAGAAGGCTCGACTATTATTTTTTGAGAAACCATTTGTCAGAGTTAAAGCCCATAATATTGGCTCTGCCTCGTTCAAAGTTCGGGAAGGGTTGAATAATACAATACTAAAGTTTAAAGTGGAAAATATGAGTATTCGATTGCGACCACCTTCATTCTCGCTGGACAATTGTTATTCATTTCTTAACAAGCACGGTAAAGGAATTCCGCGCACTACCAAATTTACGACCTTGATTCCGCTGAGTATTGAGCTACTAGGAGATTCTCTTCAAATTATCCTCAGAGATTATCCTCTGCCTATCGTATTTTTACCGACGTTGAAGCTTTCCGGAGACCTCATTTTTGCAGAGAGGATGCCACTCGCTTCGTCAAAAAGATATGTTCATATACCTTTCGTCCCTGCAGCAGCTACTGAACCCCACTCAAACACTGATTCAATTTTCGGATCACGTATAATAAGGACGCTTAACCCACTGAAAGTTTACATGAACTTGAAGATTGAGGTGGAGTCTACTATGCCTACTACCATCACTTGGGGAAAATCTCTGCAACCTGGGTGCCAAGCGGTCATGATCTGGTTCGATTATTTGACAAAGCCTCCATTAGACCCCTCTCCAAAGCTGGGATTCTGGGACAAGTTCCGCCTTTTAGTACATGGTAAATTGATTTTTGAATGGAAAGGAAGCAGCGAACTACATCTAAATATAAAGGGCTCACATAATCCTTACTTAATCACGGATAAAGGTGCTGGCTTGTCGTTTTGTTGGAAAGGAAACGCTAGGCTAGCTGTGCACGAAGACTCTGATCCCATAGAGTTTCTCAAAATCAAATCAGAGCAGTTTCTGTTAGCAATCAGAGATTTCACTCATCCTCGGCGGCTTGAAAAGGCAATAATGAAGTTAAGCGGCAACGTAACCTGGTGTATGGGGTTTACATTCGAGTCCGGAAACTTGAAGGAGCCGGGATCAACGAGGCGCAGCTCTAGTTTCAAGCCTCATTACAGGGTAAATTTATGCAATCCAGAGTTTTTGGACCCCGACTCGTCTCATGATTCCTATGATGGATTTAGAAGTGACTTTATACATCTATTTTTTCGTGTTGTGAGTGAGACTGGCGAGAAATACTCAAATAAGGTATACCTCGCACCTCATTGCATGACTCACTTTTTTAGTTGGTGGAATTTATTCAGTACTTACACGTCGGGCCCCATTCGGCAAGGCTCATTGTTCCCAGATTTAGTCCAAAATCCTAAAAAATTCTCGAAAGCCCTTTTCACTGTTAAGTACGAAGTTAGGCTGGCGCCTCTCGTCGTATCCCATACGTATAGGCACGTTGACTCGCACTTAATCGATCGAAAGAATGATGGAATTGCATTTACAACTATGAAAGGAAAATTTGACAGTTTAAGGTTAGATTTACATCAAAAACGGGTTAAAATGACGCATCTTGATAATAAACTCAAAAGGTCAAGAACCGTATGGAAGTTCAAAATGAATGCTGGCGAAGTCGACTGCGTTGGGGCTGATTTCAGGTTGGCTTATTCCATGTTTAAGTGGAACGTAACGCCAAATATCCCCCAGCACCAGGTTCCTCACAGTACCAGTGGAGATTACCGTAACAATGGTCAGTCATCTGTGGAGTGGTTTGATATAGAGGACTACAGTGACGTTAACCAGGCAATGTACATCGATACAGAACCGCTCGAGTTTGAAGATTCTCCTCTTCTTTTTTCTCCACGAATTTCTTATATGAGGGATACCGGCGAGGGAGCCCCACTTGAATTTCCGTTTGGCCTGGAAGAGGATCATAACTGCTCTATTGGTAATATCGATCCCATGGCCACTCAAGAATACCTGGCGAGGGAAAGAGCCCATGAACTTGAATCGCAGCTATCCGCGCTCGAGACTTTAATCAATCAATTAGATTGTAACGATGATGGCGCCGATGAACTGAGGCAAAGGAGGCTCGATATTTTCGAGACCCAACTGGAGGACTTCAGGCATAGATTGCGTATAATTCACAAAGTTTTGGAATATTTGAGACTCGCAAAGCTGCCTTCCAACTCTTTGGTTTCTGACGATATTGAGAGCAACTTGCCCGATACGTTAGACACTGGGGCTCAAGAGATCAGTGAATTTTTAACAAATTCATCATTTACTACAATGGGTCGTACTACTAGCGCCTTTGAAAAGTCGTCTTTTGACAACAAATTCATTTTCCACAATATCTTGCTCAAGGTCAATAGCCGTACGAGAGACCTGTTGCTAGACTACACTTTCAATGTGCTCAATAGGAGAAAATCAACTTTTTTTCAGACCTACAAGGCAGTCGCTCTATTAGATGAACTACTCAAAGTCAAAATCTGGACCCTGCCGTCCGCTGACCTCAAGGCACAAAGCTCTTTCGTAGCCGAAGACAGTCTGTCAAATGCAGACCTCATGGACTATCTCGATGAAATCATTAGGGAAGTTGCAGGAAGTAACCTAAAAGCTTTTGATACCTATCAAATAAAGCTCGTGTCTCCTCAGATCCAAATCACTTCCAAGGAAGTGCCCCGTAAATGTATTTTAGTTACGGCCAATGAAATCGAGACATCAGTGATTGGTATAAACCAAATGGCCCAGCTTTCTAACCAGAGTGTTCCTCTTGATGTCAATAGCCTAGTGGAGACGAGATACGCTACGAAGCTGAGAGATGCCCATTTTTTCATTTTTGATAGAGAAATGACGTCCTCAGATAATGGTCTTGGCTTCCAAACTGGGGGCTATGGAACTGATCCGTTTTCAAGTTATTGGCCACCATGGCTCCCTATGGAAATGTGCTACAATCGCGAGTCGCTGAAAGATTGTTTGTTCTTAACGCGAAATGATATGACGTTACACTTTACTCAACCTAACTCGCTTTTTTTCCAAGACAAGGCAAAGAGTATTCAAAGGAGTGAAACAAAAGTAAGAGTTGGTTTTCCTAACCTGACCTTGGCATGTAATCCTAATCAATACTCTTCTATTTACGCCATCGCGACTGAGCTTCTCCATTTCGCATCTAGTTTCGATAAGAAAGCTGACAAGCTGTCAAAGGTCCTACTTGCTGAGGAAGTTAGAAATAGTCTCGACGAGTTAGATGGTTCAATGATTGTTAACATACAGAACTGCATTAAAAATTTACACCGCAGCCGATCGTACTTGAGGTTACACGATGCTGAGAAATATCAAGAGGTCGCACAAAGGATTGCGTTAGAACTAGATGCAGCCGTCCTAGAGCTCAACGTTCTTATGAGCGCGATAAAGAATAACTACGATAAGTACAGAGCTTCTGATAAACAAAACAGCTCTCAAGGCACCATATACTGGCAAATTGGAGCCGATAAAGTGACATGGAAACTGTTAGACAGTAAGGACGAAGATTTTGTGCTCTTCGAACTAGGTTCAACCAGTTTTCTTAGATCACAATCACTAGAGGGAACCAACAGCAACAAATTGACAATTTCTTCGCTAAAGTGTATTAATTTGCAAGAAAGAGCGGTCTACCGAGATTTGCTGTCTTCTTATGATGAGAGTATGAGCTCCATGAAACCACTTATCGAACTGAAATGGACCATGGGCCCTCCCATTGGAGGAATATCAGATGTTATCGAGCTCATCGTCTTGCTTGAACCTTTCACGTTCAAGATGGATCACGTCACTCTGGACACACTTTTCAAATATTTCTTACCTGCTAGGATAAACAACGTTGATTCCACTGCTGTCTACCCTGATCGAACGTATTCTTTCTCCAATGATACCGGAGAGGGTTCTGTGATTCTGGGCCTGAACCGGAGACTTCCGGACACTGCCTCTTTGAAGTCAGTTTCACCTTTACCGAACTCGCGAGGGTCGCCGTCAGTGTCTCCTTTGCCAACGCCTACACTATTCCGAAAAGTTGGGGAAGGGATGAACGAAATGGTTGATAGATCATCCAGATATTTTAGTGTGAGGTCAGCCACCATTCGAAAGGTGACAGTCACAATAAGCTACAAGGGATCTCGTAGCTTGCTGACAAACGTTAGTGGATTAACGGTTAAAGTACCCACCTTGAAATACAAAAATAGACTATGGTCAAGGGAAGAATTTGTTGCTACCTTGAAAAAGGATTTTGTGAAAGTAGTTTTGCAGCACACAGGTAACATAATTGGCAATAAGCTAGTTCGTCATAAAAGCGAACAAAATGTTCATAGCTTTGAAAGTCCACAGTCCTCGCGATTTCCAGCACACATAATCACACATGGCCCACACGGCCCCTCATCATTACGCAAAGAAACCTCACTAGGAGAATACCAGTCAATTTCTACTGAAGCTGGCGTGGCTCCATTTTTCCCGCTTTCTGACTGATTGCTATATGCAATGACACTTTTCACAATCTTTAAAGGACAAAGCAAATAAGAGTCGAAGCAAAAGCTAATGGGTTCAAAAGTGATCGTCGAACTTAATGGCATTTTTTTGAAATGATCAATAGGGCGCTCCGACAATAAAAATGAAGGAACGGACGTAATTGGAGGCATTTTAGCATTCGTGGATGACATATAAACTTGCCTGAAGTGCTAAATTGAGACGATTATTCATACACTTTTTACCTACTAAAATTTTGCCCACTTGCCGATCAATATAAAGAATTCCCCCTCGTAACTAACCTTTTGGCAAAATGTCTGTTTCTCCATTTCCCTGTGTGCCTTCATTGTCTTTCAGATTCCAAAGGAGGTTAAGGAGACGGTCGAGAAGTTCTCTAAAGACTTCACTATTGGGCGATGATGCTATTGGCGCGTCTTGCGTTCTGCCCGAGTGTTCTGTCGATGACCGTGCCTGGTCCTTGCGATACAAACCTTTTTGACTTAAGTTGAGAAACTACTCACCGAGAGAAGAACGAATAGGGAATTTTGATGTCCAATCCTAAATTCATGTAGGAGATACATGGGTTACTTACTACTACATACAAATCGTCCATATCCGAGTATGTCTGTATCGTGTATCAAAGGCTTCTTTAAGAAAACTTATTATCAGGCAGATCGGCATGATATTAGAGACGTATGAGCAGGTGTGATCAAGGGTAGCATTTGTGTCATGACCCAGTTGTGTTCTGCCTCTCGAATGGTGTATGCCAACAGACCGTAAATAGTGCACTATCATATGAAGTAATTGCAAGTGACTGATTCAAGGGCAGATATCGGGCGTTTTTAGCTACACATATATAGACGAGCAGCTCAATCGAATCTCAACTCTGTTCGAACTCCCCGAACTGGCGTTTCTTTCCGTACGTGCACTAGTGTTGACTGGAGAATAATTATAACAGTGCGCAAGGAGCTCTTGAAAATGTCTTTTCTTGATACTCTGCGCCAAAAGGCGGCCTCTGTCAGGCTGCTAGACAGAATGGTGGACGTCAGTCAACCAGTAAGCCGAGATCAAAAAATCCGGAATGAATTTAAGCTACCTCCGGAGGAATTTACTCTCGACGATGCCAATGCAGATATTTCTGTCATGCACCCTTACGACAAGATGAAGAATAAACCTGCGGAAGGACAGAGCAGCCGTGCTGCACGGTATGTTTATTCTGGGCATTTATATCTAACAGCACACTATTTGCTTTTCAAGGACTCGTTTGATAGTACGTCCTGTACCCTCACCATTAACTTGAGCACTATTCGTAAGGTGGAAAGAGGAGCAGCAAATTCGTATACCACATCTCTGACTTTAACGCTATACAGCGAATCACAAGTTATTATTAATTTCATTGGCCTGAGACACCGAACCGAGCAATTTTGCAGAAAAATGAAAGATGCCCTTCGCGATAATGTACCTAACACCAAAAACTTGAGTCCTTTCTTGGAATCTTGCTACTCGGAATATTTGATTGCCAAAAATATCTTGGGAAACTCTGACATCCATCCTCCTCCAACGGGGCTGGGCTACAAGTTCAGATATCCGGGAGACGCCTCTAAAGAAAAGCCCAAACTAAAACTGTGGTTTGACTACTTTCAGAAGCAGGGGAAGAACCTGACGATAATGAAAACACCTTTGTTTCACAAGGCAATTAGAGTGGGGGTTCCGAACCGGTTACGGGGTGAAATTTGGGAACTATGCTCTGGTGCGATGTACTCTAGGTTTGCCAATCCAAACGCTTATCAGCATATTCTGGAAGCTAACACAGGTAAAGAATCGAGAGCTATTGAAGAAATTGAAAAAGATTTGAACAGGTCGCTACCAGAATATGCTGCGTATCAAGAAGAAACAGGCATCAGCAGATTGCGAAATGTATTAACTGCCTATTCGTGGAAAAACCCCGATGTAGGATACTGTCAGGCAATGAATATACTAGTGGCCGGACTATTGATTTTTATGACTGAAGAGCAGGCCTTCTGGTGCCTGGTGAGCATTTGCGACAATTACGTGCCGGGCTACTACTCTAAAACAATGTACGGAACCCTGTTAGACCAAAGGGTTTTTGAATCCTTTGTCGAGCAGACAATGCCTCTTATGTGGGAACACATAACCGAAAATGACATTCAGCTGTCGGTAGTCTCACTTCCCTGGTTTTTGTCATTGTTTTTTACTTCTATGCCGTTGCCGTTCGCTTTTCGAATCATGGATTTATTTCTGTTGAATGGGCCAAATGCATTGTTTCAGGTAGCGCTCGGAATCTTGAAGGTAAATGGAGATGATTTGTTGGAGGTGGATGACGATGGAATGTTCATTGCCATTTTAAAAAGATATTTCCAAACTTTAGACCAGAGCGCCAACCCTGATTCCTCAAATCCCAAGTACAGGCAAATAACAAAATTCCAGGAGCTCTTGGTAACCTCTTTCAAAGAGTTCAGTAATATAACGATCGACTTAGTTGAGCAGCAAAGAAACAGATACAGGAAAGACATTCTGCATAACATAGAGTCATTTGCCAAAAGAACACAGTTGCGTAACCTTCCTTCAACGCGCAACCTAAGCCAAGAAAATTTATCAAACATTTATGATTTGTTTTATCTCTCAATAGAGAGCCATAAAATCAGCATGGGTACAGGCTCGTCTAATATGGATTTCGAGGCCTTTATTCAGTTTTTGAGCTCTTTTTGTGACTGGTGTAAGCCAGGCGACAGCGATCACATACCCCGGTTCCGTAAACAAAAACGAGAGTTCCTCAAAAGGATGTTTAATAGATGGGATAGAGCTGAAGTTGGTGAGCTAACTCTCAACGACGTTGTTTACGGCTTAGATGCCGCGCTTTCGAAGGATCTCATGTCTTCTATAAACTATTTTTTTGGTTTTTTTGATCAATCTGGCAGTGAAACGGTCAATGGCGAAGGTATTTTACAAATATCAGAAGCACTTCTGTTTCTAACAGACGCTTGGAAAAGCGGGAAGTGTGTAGATAAGTTGACTAAGCGCGCGATAGAGGATGACATTGCTGATTCGTTGGTATTGAAAAGCTCGGCCAGTGGCCAAATGTTAGAAGACGTCCAACTGCCTTCTGGCGTGACAATTGAGGAGGAAAAATACAAGCAAGAGCAAACGGAGCGATACCTTTGTGCGGCCAGTAACTTTCTCCAACGATCATTTGAATATTCGAAGGCTACAGAGCCAACAGAGGAGGTTGACCTCCTTGATCTTTCCGATACCGATGGAGAAAATGACGATGCTAAGAAGAAAAGGTGGGAGGCTTTGAGAGCTAATGCTGCATTAAATCCCGAAAAGCGATCTGTGATGAACTTGGCCACCTTTCGAATGATAATTCTCGCTGACGCAACATACGAACTATTTTTCGCCGAAACATTCAGAAAATCTATTCATGTTGATGAGAAAGTCGTGGCTCTGGATGGTCGCGGGGGTGCACTAAGGAGCATGTTTGATGGGCTCCTGGCGGATGGGAAGAGGGTTGCATCACAAGTTCGTCGCAGGGTAGATTCTGTCGCAACTCGAAACAGTGTCTCCTCCGGTTCGGCTCTGGAACTCTCTGATAATCAGGACGAAGTTGACGATTTTAGCAATGACCATACCTTCGACGAGAACGAGGTTTTAAAAAACGAGCTTCTTTCATTCGACGATGGAAAGGATGATGGCGAACGATCCGCACAACAACAAAAAAAGCTGCAGACGTTCTCTTTCAATGACGATCCGCAGTCCAGAGAGAACAGTTTGATAGAGTTCGAAACCTAAGGTGCAATACCTCAGTGGTGTGAGTAAGCTGGAAACTCACCCAGCACAAGATAAGCATGTACCTCACTACGTTTACGGTGATCATGGCCACAGATATTCATTTATTAGGTCAAGTCAACTAACTCTTCAAGGCGCCCTGCCGAAAAACGACGTACGGACGAGGAGACCTCAATTCTAGAAACCCTGATAGCGATCGAAGCGTGTAGATTATATTTCCCATGAATTCCTTCGTGGTGTCGAAAGGAAAACACTTCTTTTTGAGCAATGTGGTTCACTTTCAAGCAAAACCAATCAAGGCGTCCTTCTTTAACGTATCATTGGGGTTGAAGCTACCTACATCTTCTAGTTTCAGGACCTCGAGATATTTCTCTCAGAATTCCAGAGCTAATAGCTGGAGAAGTATATTCGATGGCTCTAGCAGCAGCCGTTATGCGAGATTGAACAGGTTTCAGCAATTTCAAAATGGCGGAAACAGAAACCATGGGTTTCCGGGTAGCAATAATCTTCGAAATGTAACTATTGCAGGCGCTCTTTTTGTTGGTGCAACTTTTATTGGGACGCCGTTTTTATTTCAGTACGTTCCACCCTTCACGTACTTCCGATCTCACCCCACTCACTTGGTATACGGATTACTAGGTTTGAACGTAGGCGTTTTTGCCCTGTGGCACGTACCCAGGTGTTGGCGTTTCTTGCAGAGATATATGCTGTTGGAAAAAGATCATATTTACAGTAAGTGGTCACTGGTAGGAAGTGCCTTCTCTCATCAGGAGGCCTGGCACTTAGGTATGAATATGCTTGCACTGTGGTCATTTGGTACAAGCTTGGCTACTATGCTAGGTCCTGCGAACTTCATGTCTCTTTACTTGAATAGCGCTGTGCTGGGCTCTTTGCTTTCGTTGTGGTATCCACATTTGGCTCGCATATCAATGATGGCACCTAGTTTGGGTGCCAGTGGAGCGCTTTTTGGTGTTTTCGGGTGTTTCTCATACTTGATACCACATGCAAAAATTATGTTATTTGTATTCCCCATCCCGGGGGGTGCTTGGATCGCATTTTTGGGATCGATGGTGTGGAATGCTGCAGGATGCGCTTTGAGATGGGGATCTTTTGACTACGCTGCCCATTTAGGAGGTTCTCTAGCTGGGATCGTTTATGCTTACTTGATATCGGAGCAGATCAAAAGACAAAAACAGCGCCAGTTGAGTGGCTTCTCACTTTTTTAAACCGGCTAACGAAGCTGAAGTTAAGTACCTGCATATAAACGCTACATTATCACCCTTGCATGAAAGACTGGTTGGCTAATAGTCGGGTGGCAGAACATTGGGAACCACCTTACCTTAATGTCTGTTTGTGTATCTGAAAACACCCCATTGACGCCGTGCTACCCCCGTTCGTCAGCTCGACAATCATTGACGTTTCATGAGGGCTTCATGTAATACGTAGAAGCCTTGTTTACTTTCGTTAGCAAATTTGACGCCCTCCCACGAACCACTTGTTTCGCCTAATTTTTCATCCTGATGCTGGTCTTGAGCCAATTGCATTAGCTCCTCGTAGCCGAGTGCCTTATTTTCTCTAACCATAAGTCTGGCATGTTTAGGATCAATTTCTTTGCAGACGTCCAGCGTCTCTAGCTTGTCCAAGAACATCAGCTGTTTGCCCAAAATTTCACGATATTCCTCAATGTTCTGCACTGGTAAGCCCGAAAGTCTCAAAAGGCGTTCGATTATACTTGTTGAAGGCAAAGAGCGGCTTGTCACCCCGGATCCTTGCTCCAGAAATTCAGTGACAGACCATCGTGGAGTTTCAACATACTTGCGAATTTCTTCGAAATTCTTGAATTTCGGCCCAATTGAGCTTGTTTTGTGGTACCTTCTCCAGATTTGTCTCAAGCCAGTAACCATGAAAGGAGATTGATTCCAATGCTAAGCTCTTCGCCTTATCTATCTAATTTGATAGCTCGTAGAAAAACCGTCAAAAGTTCACAATCCTAAGGCCTTTAATGAAATCAAAGAATTTGGCATCCATCGTCCACAGTGACATCAACACTTTTTTCTTTTCGGTTTGGAAAAATTTTTGGCGGCGGTTTTGAAAAAGCGATGCGATGAGATGAGCTAGATACTTTCAACAAGGACAAGTATATCAGCGAAAAATTGAGACACGCTGGACACACTAACAACTTTGGACTCTCTAACTATAGCTTGTTATATTAGAGAACTATAAGTACTTTGTATCCTCCTCCCTTCTCGAGCGTTTAATTTTACCGTTGTTGGCTGCCTTTCGCTGCCCATTTGCATTGCTGAAACAATAGGATGAGAATCAAGAAGAAGAACGTCAGCGGTAACGCCAGAAACTTCGTAACGAGGTCACAGGCCGTTCGCAAACTGCAAATCTCACTCGCGGACTTCAGGAGACTATGTATCTTCAAGGGTATCTACCCTCGTGAGCCCCGCAACAAGAAGAAGGCCAACAAGGGCTCCACAGCCCCAACCACGTTTTACTACTTCAAGGATATACAATACCTCATGCACGAGCCTGTTTTGCAGCGGTTTCGCGAGCACAAAACCTTCGCCAAGAAGCTAACTAAGGCGCTTGGCAGAGGTGAAGTCTCCGCCGCCAAAAGGCTAGAATCACACAACACTGGTTACAAACTGGACCACATCATCAAAGAGCGCTATCCAAGCTTTCCTGACGCTCTTAGGGACATCGACGATGCTTTGAACATGCTTTTCTTGTTTTCCAACCTGCCAGCTTCCGACCAGGTTTCTGCTCGTGTGACCCAAGAGGCCCAGACCATATGTAACCAATGGCTTGCATATGTCTCGCGTGAAAGGGCCGTTCGTAAGGTATTTGTTTCCATAAAAGGTGTCTATTATCAGGCGTCTGTCAAGGGAGAAGAAATTAGATGGTTAGTGCCTTACAAATTTCCCGAAAACGTTCCAAGCGACGTTGACTTCAGGATTATGCTGACATTTCTAGAGTTCTACTCTACGTTGATGCATTTTGTTCTATACAAGTTGTACACCGAGTCCGGTTTAACATACCCTCCAAAATTGGACTTAGCCAAGAACAAGATAATTGGTGGTTTGAGCGCATACATTTTGGAAAGCAATGCAGAAGAGTCTACGTTGAAAGCCCCTCAATTGGCCAGTGCCTCTGCGGAAGCTAAGTCTTTGGATGCTAGCACTTTGTCATCTGCGTTGAAAGCAGATGGCGACGAAGACATCGAACAAGATGACGATGTGGCAGGTAGTGAAGGAGAAGACAATGATTTGGATACTTTCGAGGATAAGAACAAGAACAAAGGTGATATTTTGCATCAACCTTCTCAATACAACTCTCCAACCGCCACTCTTTTCTCCGATTTCGTATTCTACATCTCTAGAGAGGTCCCAATTGACATTCTAGAATTTTTAATTCTATCCTGCGGGGGTTCAGTGATAAGCGAGGCTGCTTTAGATCAATTGGACTCACAGAAAGATATCGATTTATCAAAAGTCAGTCACCAAATTGTGGATAGACCAGTGTTGAAGAACAAAGTTGGCGGGAGAACATACGTGCAACCCCAATGGGTTTTCGACTCCATCAACAAGGGAGAATTGGTTGCTGCAAATCTATACCTTCCCGGTGAGCAACTGCCACCTCATTTGTCACCATGGGGTGATGCTGGTGGATATGATCCAAATGCCGAGCCTGCGGAGGACGAAGAAGAAGAAGACGAGGAAGAAGAAGAGGCAGAAGAAGAAGAAGAGGAGGATGCCAGCGGTGATGAACTTGCGACTGGAAAGTCTAAAGACGGTATTGTGGAAGCTTCTGCTGATGAAGATGAAAGCGATGAAGATCTTGATGCTCAAAAGGAACTAGAATTGGAAGCCAAGGGTGTTTCATACTCAGAATCTAAAGAAGAGAAGAACCCGAAGAAGCCTAAGAAGACAACTAAGCGGAAGGCTACTGAGGAAGAGGAAGAAAAAGACTTGAAGACGATCATGATGAGCAACAAGCAACGCAAGCTTTACAAGAAGATGAAATATTCAAATGAGCAAAAGGACGATAGAGTTGAGAAGCTGAAACAGAAGAAGAAGGCACTTGCAAAGACCAAGGCTAAGTTGGCGAAAAACTAGACCACACGAGTGAGATGTTCACTCGATGCATTATCGCCCTCGGAACTAAAAAACCACCCTGTACATTTAGTAACATTTTATAAAATTTAGTGATTGGAAGAAGGAATCTGCGCTTGGGAATATATCATGACCACACGGCACAGAAGAGCCCTTCAAAAATGCGATTCGATTTATAAATCGCTAAGATTCTCGAGCCGAGAATCCATTGATTTTCGATCCGGAATGGAAAGGTCTATGTACCCGCTAAGTTCCTTTTGAAGGCCCAAGAGCGCATTTGTACCATGATTGATGCTTTTTATATCCGTACCTTTAGCGACGTTAACGAATGCTTTGATCAAAAATCCGCCTTTAGTTAGTTGTTTTGTACTTTCCGCACCTTGAACTTGCCATATTTTAGAAACCTCCAAGAAAACCTTGTTACTCATATTGAACTTAATGCCTATCGTGAGAAGCCGAAAGTCCAAAACGTAACCAAGCTCCGAGAGAAATGAGACGATCGACGGCGATCTCCCTCCCGAAGACAAAATCGTGCTTTCTGTGATTGCTTGCGACGACACCTTCCGACTTGCGCCGGCCGCAGGAATATCCGATATGCTCAATGCCCACGTATCATCATTGGGACAGACCGCCTCATCTATCTCCATTCTATCCAAATCCGTACTGCCGTGTAGCATGTCTTCTAGCATTCCCAGGTTAAACCCATTCAAGGTGTCATCGCCGTACTGCTTCAATTTCCCATAATCACGTTTTGAAACATCGGGCTCCAGTGCTTCTAAAGGCACAGCTTTGCATAACCTCAATCGATTCTGCTCAATAAGCTGGTTTTTAGAATTGGTTTGCTCGATGTCAAATTCTGGATTTGGTTTTAACACAGCTGCAAAGTTGCTGTAAAGAATAGGAGGCTTGCCTGATAAATTTGACAGCGTAGATACACACAATCCATACGAATCATCATCAATGACAGAGAACAAGCTCAACTGGAGTACCATACTGTGATATTCTACCAGGTTCAAGATTTTTGATAGGTCTGATCTCTTGGTAAATGAACTGTCATTGCGTAGCATTGAACACGAATATTCATTCTCTAAAATAACGAATTCCAAATAGCTACATCGTTATGATGGAGCATTAAATATTAAAACTCATCCTTATCTCCTTTTGTTCCGATTGGCCTTCACATACTCATTCATAACATGGCTGTCGATGTACCTAGGTATGTAAAAGAGCGAAATAACAGCATTCCAAATAAGTTCAAAAAGTTGAATTGGATGACTTTATGCCGATACTAACAAATCCGTATGAATCAAGATCTGTCGTCCAAAAGTTGATGTTTTTCACCGCTGCCATGGTCATCTTGCCGGTATTATCATTTTTTGTAGTACAGCAAATGACCAGCAATACGCTAGTTAGTGGCGGATTGGCAGCTTTAGCGGCCAATTTGGTTCTCATAGCATATGTCGTAATGGCATTTAGCGAAGACTCGTCGGACTCAGCTAGCGAAGAGTCCGGCAAAGCTGGCACGAAAAAGACCGATTAACACGTCAAATGCGAGCAGCGGCGCCTTTTCGATTTGATCAAATATGTGCAAGTTAATTACGTTCTGTTAGTGTTTTAAAGAATTGTGTGTATACGTGGAGTGCGTGAGGCTACAATAGGCCCTTTTTTTTTCTTGTTTTCTTGACGGGCTCGCCATGAAACCAATCAGTTGGTCTTTTTGAGAGGGTTAACGGGTTTTTCAAGAGCACCGTAGCTTATGTCAATGCTGGTGACCCAGGAGATAGCAATGACGAGGACAAAGAGCAAAAACCCAGCCACAATTAAGCAGCTTATGAGACCTTCAGTCCACAAGGTGCTGAGGATTTCAGTGTCGTCAGCTGGAACACTTGGTTTGGGCTTCTTGTTTGGGTCCGAGACGCCGATTTCAGAGGCGTCGGCAGCATCCCTAACGTAAGACTTGCCCGAAGTGGGGACCTGAACCACCAGGTTGTCGATATTAGCCATTGTGTCCTCCAAAAATAGATACGCAGTTTCCAGATACTCGTCGAGACGTTCCAAATCGTAAGACGGCTCGGAAAATTCGAAAACTACCACGGCATCCTCTCCGTCGACTTGGCTGTATAAAGATGGAACGATTGAGTCGGGGAGTTGACCAACGGCCACCACTGGCGAATACATAGCACCAACGGCAGTAGATGGGACATCGTCGATCCAAACGTTGGTGACAGAGTCCTCAAAGAAAGTAGGGAGAAATCTAGTATTCGCGGAGGATTGAGCCAGCTGCGTAAGGAGGTCAAATTGTGTAAAGCGAAAGCACACTAAGGGTTCTTTGGAGGTTCCTAAGGATGCCAGTTCTGGCCACGATGCAGCCGTGGCGTCATCCAAAGCTTCCCTGTACCTTTGCGAATTTAGAGCCAGAAAGCTAGTACCAGCAGCCGAAAACTGCAGCAGAATGGCGACTATTAGTATAGCCGACTGGAGAATCATCTGACAGTATGTGGTTTCCGGAATGCAGAGCGGACGTTTTCCTGATAGAGTTTTATTCTTATCATTTGTAAAGGTCGTATAGTAGACGGTGGAAGATTACTTTCTTAATTTATGAGACCCCTGCTCGCCTTTTTAACGTCCCAAGTGATATATATGTTCGACCGGTGCGAGCGATCCAAAAAAGTCGTCCGAGGCCTGTCAGTTCGACGAGCTTGGTGAGGGGAGAGTTCCACGACATGATTTGCGAAACTCTGGGCCTTTAGTTGCCAAAGCCAAAGCTTCGGCTCCTTTTTTTTTTTAGGCTTGGCAGCTTTTAATAAATCTATCGTTATTGTTATTGTTGTTGTTGCTTTCCCACCTCGAAATAACAGTTATTGAAGCGAGTCAGCAGCAACAGCAGTCAGCTTGCCAAGTTACCCGTTCAATTTCCAAATTGGGCATGGCAACCTTTATTCTGAGTACTTGGTGATGGGTGTGGGGCTTATTTTATTGAGGATAATCTGACTCGTTAGTAGAAGTTTACTAAATTCGTCTTGTAAGTCGGACAGTCATTGTAAGATGAGTATCTTGGATCTAGGGTATTCTATTTATCTCTCCGTGATTATTTTAGGCGTTAGAGTTGGTTCAGTTACCTGAACAAATGCCATTGGTAAGTCGATTTGTATGCCCCTGTGTACTATCATTCTGTACCCCTGTGTCACGTATTTCCTGACGCTGATTGTGCGATTAGGCGCACATCACCATCAGTTCCCTGGTAACTCACATTCATCCCAACAATTGGCTTTTTTCGGTTAATGGCTGAGCGGAGTGGATGGTCAAGGCAATTCTATGCAGTTGCTGCCACTCTGAATCCCGTTGGCTACACCTTCGCCTTTACACATTTTTGTTTTTGTCGTTGAGAGGGTCATTTCGTACTATTGTGACACTGGCCTAGTGTTTCCTATTATGCAAAACTTAGCGCTATTCAAGCAGTACTAGATCACTGCCACTTGGCGGTTTTCTACCACGATGAACACTAATGAGGTCGATCGGTTTAGTGGCAGATTAGCAGTTTATACTCATGCGGCTGAACTAGCTAGCGGTGAGTGCCCAACTACAAAAATATCGAATTTCAACCGCTCCTTGACGGTAGCATCTTGTAAATAAAATTGTTCATTGGTACTCTGGCCGAGCGGTTAAGGCGCCAGGTCGAGGTCCTGGTCTCTTCGGAGGCGCGAGTTCGAATCTCGCGGGTATCATTACTTTTTGCTAGCCACAGCCAGGAAATTTGTAGAAGGCATAGCTCACTAAAGTTTTTCGATGGAAAGGGCTTGAGGGATAGCTCCTCTACCCGTCTATTGTGCTGCGTGTTGTAGTTCTTCCCTTAGGAGCTCACCTAAGAATAACATCTACAAGGTGCGCCATTATTGTAAAAAATGATGCCTGACAACTTTATGGCGATACCAAGAAGGGCTTGCTGGACCAGCCCGGTCTTAGTTGCTAAGTGGTTGATCAAGAAGCACCGCCAGGATGTTCGGACCTTGCGTTTTCGGAATGATCCGAAGGTGGTACATGTCTCAAGTCAAGTTCGCAATCATAGATATATGCAGTGACATTATTGTACAGAGTGATAGTGATTTCGCAAGCGGAGTAAATGATGGCCGAATGCTAAGAGACCATGGAAAGTATCTGAGGAATCGAATTAAGATCTGAAGGTGGGTTTTTACATTATTCGATACACGGTGAACATGCGAGGCCACGCAACTGAGAAAAATTTGTATAAAAAAATAGTTTTGACTTCCTAGTGGACGTGCCCTAGTAGTTGAAAAATCCTAAAGGATTAACTTGCGCCTCCAAATCTGACACGAGTCTATGCGCAATGCTCATGGCTTACTATACGTGATCATTCAGCAAGTTATCGACCGATGACGCTAGCTCGCACAATTGATCAAGCTCCAATAACTATATATCAAGTTAGGCTGTCTTACACCAGCCCTAGCCCCCGTTTGACTATCAAATTTGAAGCTGCATTGCGAGAAGTGGATGAACCTCTGGCCGTCCGCATTTGTTTGGACATCCGTTGAATTGGTTTGTCGGATGGGTCACGAGTTTGGCTCATTTATAACATTCATGTATGTGAAAACATACCGCGTAGATGAAGAAACACTCTATACATAACAGTAACACACATACACGCACCCACATTTGCACACAAAGCCGAAAGCGAGTCACACCAGTACTTGAATACTGGTATCAGAACTGTAGGTGATTCATTTTTAACGATAACTTCGAAAGCCACTCATTCATTTTCTTCGAACTACGCGTGCGAGACGGCAAAGCATCAGTTGCCCCACACGAGATTCAAGCGCTGATTTGTGCCCTTCACCACAAAAATGCCGATACCTAATCGTCTAGAAGCCAAGAAAATGCGCAGCAATCCTCACAGGTTGCATGAGTTCAGGTTAGCCAACTTGTTCACAGACCCATTTGCTATCTCATTGCTGTCCTTGGCCCTGATCTCCTGGATCATTGCTTTCGCAGGATCTGTGGCGGCCGCTTCAGGAAGCTCAAATTATCCGCCATTTGCATGGTGGGGCCTTGTCTTCCAACTGCTGATTCTAATTGCAATTTTTGTGCTGTACTGCTACGATTTGATCGAATACTACAAGACTTTTCTCTCTAGCGCTTTGGCCATCGCGTTTATATACACCACGAACAGTACTGGGGACCTGATTTATCGTGATGGCTCTAGAATGGGCGCTGCATCTGCCGGGTTAATCTTGCTATCGATGATAAACGCGATTTGGCTTTTCTATTTTGGTGCCGACAACGCATCTCCTTCCAATAGGTGGGTTGATTCATATTCGTTGAAGGGAATTCGTCACTCTGTTCTCGAGTCTTCAATCGCTCTGATTGACCGACCTCAGGCAATACCGCGTAATACCTCGAGGTATTCTATTTCGCCGCGTGTTGGGCCTTATAATGAGCCAATACCACACTCCACCAGCTTTAACATAGACAACCATTCACAACAATACGTGTCCTCAACCGCGTTGAATGGATTCGAGAATGCTGAGCCACCCGCACCGCCATCACTCCCACATCAAATCCCAAATGCACATAATACCAACACATTTTTCACAGACACAACTAACGGCAACACGGAAACTACGATGGGTGACACATTGGGGCTTTATAGTGACGCTGGTGATGAACTAGGTAGTTTCCCTTACACAGCGAAAGCGTTATACACCTACACCGCAGACTCTAATGATGCGTATGAAGTGTCATTCGAGCAAGGTGAGATTCTCAGGGTCGGGGACATTGAGGGCAGATGGTGGAAGGCCAAAAGGTCTAATGGAGAGACCGGAATTATTCCCAGTAATTACGTGGAGCTGGTAGATGGAACTTCGATTTAAGTATCGAATATGGTGTTTTCTAAATATTGATATGTTATACAATCATTTGGTATGGACTGGACCATACAATTTCAAAATACTATCAGTAGAAGGGTGACCACCCCATGTATATGCTGGCCAAATTACTTACATCTGTGGCTTGTTGAATCAGCTCTTCGACTGTTGCCTCGACGCTCAAACCACGTCCCTCCAATTTGCTTTGCACATCTTTAAGCGCGCGCATAGATTCATCATTGTCCCTTGCCGGTGAACCCTTATGAGCATTTATGTCACGATATTCGCTGTCGTCTGATATATTAACCTGAAGCTTTCGCTTTCGCAGTGGGGACACGACCCAGGAGTATAAGGGATCCCACTTCAGAACGTTGAGCACATTCATCACTCTCTCACGCTCTGAATGCAAAACTGAAAAGACCCTTTCGCAATTCCGGCGAAACACTCCTTCAACTCCCGTAACGCCTAATCCATCTACAATTTCTCTTGTTAATCGGAAGGGAACTAATTCTGGAATAGGTAGAAGTCTTCCTTGGTCGAACGCAACGCCCAAATCAATATGGACCGGTTCTCCGTTTGACACATCAAGCAAAATATTGTTGAGATGTCTATCACCGAGGCCTAATATGTAGCCCACTATGGATGTTGTTACTACTCCCTTGGTATAGGCATATTTTGCCTCTAACCAGTCTCGCGAATCACAGAATGAATCCAAGAAAAAGTGCCGCAGCCGAGGCTTAATTGAGTCAGTGATCTTCAGATACATAGCAATCTTTTCTTCAACTGGCTTACTTTGAACTTGCTTCATCATTTTCCTCGCCTTATCAAAAGTAAGCTCGTCTTTATCGTGTAAGAAGTTCAAGACAGCATGTAGCGATACTGACTTCGGCACAAACTCAATCAAACCGGCTTGCGGCCCTAGCGGTACAACCTCGTACGTCCTTATTCGAAGGCTTCGCTTTCGCGTTTGTGGATTTTTTTTCAGAATTTGATTGACTTGCTTGAAGACCTGTTCCATAATAGAATCTTGCCTCAAGTCATCGTTACTGCCTTTCATAAGAACTTTATGCTTCGAGCCATCGGAGAGATAAAACGTCGCAATTTTTGGTAAAGAGAGACCAGACGTGGATATTGATACAACAGGTTCGAGGCCCGTTATGGTTGCTCGAGGTTTGCGCCCATCGGCAGAGCATGTAATTGGAATTGGATCAGTTGGTAGGGATAAATTTCGTCGTTTTATTGATTCTAACCAATAATTTCCCGACTTCAAGTTCGCTAGGTCAATACTGCGGCTGGATTTTGCAATTTTCAAAGATGAAAGTTCAACTGATCTTTCACAAAACTCCTCGATCGGGTCTAGGTAGAATCTTGAAAATTTCCCATTATCATATTTCTCCAGTTCTTTGAAAAGCTTTTCCACTGCTTTTACTTTGAGCTCAATGAACGGATCTTCTATCGCCTGAGACTGTTTATACAGTTTGAGGCTAACAAGTGGGTACAACGTCTCGTTGGGAAGTTTGAACATGACTCTTTTCAAAGTCAGCTGCAAATTTCGTTGGAAAGGTGTGTTGTCCATATTAAGACGCGAAGTTAGTTGATTGACCCACGGAATAAACTTAAAGCTCGGAATTGAGCTAATTTCATGGTATAACTTAGAATTTAGCTCCCCGTCCTCGGCGTACTGAAACCAGATGCCGCAAAATTTATCTAAAATGTTTTCGTCCAATTGAGTGCCGTATACTAGAGCACTCAAGTAGAAGTGAATTGACTTCCAAGTAAACAGCTGTTCTTGTTTGGTGCGACTTGCCAAAAAATCTTCATCCTGTTCGATTTGGAGCTTTAATCTATTATAGTGCTTTTTAGCGTCCTTTCTATCTTGATCGCTAATGTTTGCATCTCTTACAAGTTCCAGTAGACTGCTTAGTTCCGTATTACCACGCTTGGATCTTTTCCGCCTTTCATGGACGGTGTCGTCATCTTCAAGACGTCTTAACTGCTGAAAGCAGAACTCCCCAAATTTTATGAATATTTCAGCTCTATCATCGTAACTTTCAACAGTGGATATATTGCTAGTCGTCTCTGAGATGTACTTGGCATAAATTGATTGGGCATTTTCTTTACGTAAAAAAGATGACCACTCAACCAGTAGTGCTCTTAACTGAACGGAAGATATTTGAACCCCTCCAATTTCGGATGCTGTTGTAACGAATGAAGGTTCTTTTTTTTCGTGGAGCAGCTTCCTAAGCATTGAAATCGCGATTTGATGCTCACCCTGTAACCAAAGAGCTTGAGCGCCTTCTAAGGTAGCCAGCTGATTCCAATATGTGTCCTCCGTCATAGTACCGAGAACACCAGCTTTCCTGTCGAGCAACATCGCCGCTGTCAACGACTCGTGTACGTCGTTACTTTGTCTGGCAATACTAGCATAGTTTGCCAACTCAACACATTCACAAGCTTGGACGACGGAAGCGTCACTTAAAAGGCTAAGAAACATTTGACGGGCTTTCATGTAAATTTGGTGGTCAGTAAAAGCTGCGTTCTCCATTCGCTTCAAGTCGAAATTTTGTGTCTGTTCCATAAGTGATCGAAGATATTGGGGCTGGTCGCAATGGCTATTAAATAGTTCAATGCATAAAATAGTGGTAAGAGAGGCTGCCCATTCATCCTGCTTGAGAAATAAAGAAGCCTTATGGACCACAGAGCTTAAATGAGAACGAGAAAGATTCATAATTTCCGCTGGCTTCCCTTGAACGTTTTTCAACAGAGAGTAAAGGGCCCCAGAAGCGGAATTGAACTCCTCAGGAGCAGGTAAATCCCACTTACCAAGTCTCAAGCTCCACTGGAAGGCTTCATTGTTTGTTCTTTTCGAGTGCATTGCGTCTGCACTGCCAAGAATCTCTGCCAAACCACTAAAGCCATTGAGATTACTAGTCCTGATGAGATCACCCAGCTGTGGGCCCCTATCTAAGATGCTATCAACGTTGAACTTGCAGTTGTTAAATATGAAGTTTTTGAAGCTTCTTGCATCAAATTTAGCGACAGAAGATAAAGCGTAATCGATTGAAGGGTTGACTGGAAGGGATTGCATCAAATCGAAGTCTCCGACAGCTTCAAATACATTTTGCAGTGTCGGTAAGTCGCTGCCATCTAGACCATCTGAACACTCCTCAAAAATCATGTAAGCCAGTACTGGCTTCCCCGCGCTGGATGCCAATTTATAAAACGCTCGTAGGTCGAGTTCATTGTAGATCACTGAGAAGCTTCTGTTACCTTGGCCACTTTCCCTTTGAACTGTAGAGAATACGCGTAGAAGAAAGGATGCTTTCATTTTAAAATCCACCATATCTGTGACTCGAATCAAGCTTGGGCCAATCTTCAATAATTTTTGAAAGAAAGCTGAACCGTTTCTTTGGTTTAAATTCTCTAAAATCAAAAGCAGGTCTAGCAGCATTGACTCGGCGATTGAAGTGTCCTGTGATGCTAAAACTGCGAAGCAGCAGAACCCTGGTAAAATAAGTTCGAGCTCTTGGCTAACTTCACAAATCAGGACTGCAATCCATTTATCGTGAGAAATGTGGCCAATGCCGGCTTCATGATGTGCCGTAGTTCCCTTGAACAATGGCTCATTGAGAGGAAGCAGACGAAATTCGCGAGTTGTTAAGTGCATGTAGATTGGTATCGTCGAGGATAGTCCTACGTCAGGGGACGTTTTATCAAAGGAATATTTGGCTAGTGCCTCCGACGACAAAGCAAGTGCAGATGAAAGTGCTAGATATGAGTCAGGTTCTTCTGATTGAGAATATGATGAAATCAAACTGTTTATCAATCGTTGCAGATGTGACTTTTGGCAGTCTGGTGAAGACGTAAGCGGGTGGCATTTCAATGCCTTGGGAATGCACGCATTTTTCAAATAAAAACCACCAACGTAGTAACCTCGCCACTGGTTGAAATTGGTCTCCACCTCACCTAGCCGGCACGGTGGATCAATCAGATTTAAAGTTACCTGCTGAGAGTAGGTAAAGTTTAGAGGAAATGGCTCAGGTTTTGAGTGGAATTCAAAGAGGTTGGATAGCAACAAATATCTGTCCTCTGACGGTTGATCAACTTTCAAGAGCTCATCATTTAAATAAACACGCGAATCCAAACTATCTCCCTTCAAGACGCCCAAACAAGCCTTCCAAGTACTGGAATACATCACCGCCAAAACGTCATCTTGGGAAGATAAATTTGTTTCAAGAGCAGCAGTAACCCGAGCTATGGGCATTCCATGTTTTCCCAGAAAGAAAGTGAAAATTGCCAAATACATCTCAATGACCTCAGTTATGTGATTGAAGTTCAACAAGATGATAAAGTGTAACAAATCCACGAACTCGCCAAACAGTTCTTCACCACGCAGAATGTGAGTCAAGTAACGAACCACTTTTGGAAGAGCACTACAAGCTTCCAGAGATTTTTCAAAGAGCAAAATCAAACACTTTATCTGCCTCAGCTTGTTTACCCTCAGACTAGGTACAGTGGTACTTTTCATCTCTGACGCTATTCTGAATAGTAAAAAACTCAGGTCCAATGCATCGAGGTGGTGCGCATGGACGTGAGCCTTAAGTATAGTCACCGATAGTTCTGAATCCAGTTGCAAGTTGCTATGGACCCTGAGTGAGGTAGTAGAACAGGCTAAGAGTGTTGTGGATAACGTGGGTTTGGAACCTAGACCATTAAAAATTCTTCGCAGCACATCAATAGAATCCCACTTTGTGAAATGAAGAACCCAGTATGCAATTTCTCTAGCAAGATCTTTATTGAGAGAGGCGTAGCGCTTGCCGAGTGCCTGCTTGTGCTGTTTGTGAATGAAGTCGAAATCTTTAGCTAGTAAATGACCTAACGGGATAGTTAAATGGAGGCAATCTTCAAGAAGGCTTCTATCATTTTTTTCAGTAGCTGCACGTAAACTCTCGATAAGAAAAGAGAGTTGGTGGTTATTAGCAAAACAAAAACTTGAAAGCTCAATGGAGTAGCGCTTCACAAATATGTTCCTTGATTCAAAACCAAATGCCGATATCTCCCACCGCTCAAAGTTTGGACTTGGCGTAGTTAAGCTTAGGTTGTACCAGTGATCAATAATTTCAAAGCGAAATAAGTGAAAAAGCTCTTGCCTACTTTCTAACCCGCTCGACTTAGCGAGTATGTCAAGACATTGATCCACGTATGGTTGAGATATAGCACGGCTATGTCGTTGCAACAGATCAAGAGCTGCCAAGACAACTTGATGGCCGGCAGCCATTTCCGATTTGGACAAAAGCATCGAGTGAAACGCAGGTATTTCTATAGCATCTTCCAAGGGCTGGAATATTTCTGCAAACTCCGAAAATACGATAATTTGATTTTTTAAACTAATCTTAGCCAAGTAGTTCTGGAACCCTTGAACAGCGCTGATAACTGCGTGCAAAGGTAAACGGCGCAAGCAATTGATGAGAGAACCAAAAATTTTTTGCTTTCCTCCCACAAAGCTTCCGCTCGAAAGGTCGTGAAATCTGAGCATATTGAGTAATAGAGTTGACATATCTGTGAGAGCCAAAATTCCACTGAAACTGTTCTCATTGAGCTTTGTAGTGAGCCAATCCAGAATATCAATTGAATCGGAGTGTAGCTGCTGGAATGTGCCAGGGAGCCAAGCCCACCGCGTAGAGTCCAGAAAAGCTGCTAACCTTGATATTGAAACATCGGACGTATTGTATTTGGGACTTAAGAGTGCCGATCCTAATATTTGCGTCAAGCGCCCCATAGAGCTCAATTCAGACTCGAATGGGCCGGCACTTTTCATGAACCTTATGACCGCAGGCACTGATGCAAAGATGCAGTTATCTGGAATATTCCCCAAGAACACCACTAAGTTGTTAAGCTTATCTTCTCTAGTTTCTCCAACCAGTGTAGAGCCTTTTAAGCACATAAGCCGCAAAACACAATCTATAACTGGGCCGTCAATTGTAGCGATGATCCTCTCAGGCATTGCTGGTGTTGAACTTTGAGATTTTCTTTCGCGTGAGTTCTCGAAATTGTCCATTGCGTCGGTACTATTGGGTAACTTCGCTTGCTCTAGAAGAATACTGCCTAAAACGCTCAACAAGCTCGGGATCGTAAGGTTTGAAAAAAAAATGTGCGACCGAACGGTCACCGTCTTGAGTGTGTAAAGTTCGTTGAGAATATCTTGCGAGAGGAACACCAAAGGGTCTGTAATTCTGCGTGCGGCTTTAATTATTTCGCATTCTAGTTCCCTGATCTGCTCGGTCAAAGTTGGATGGCCCACAAGTTGAAACATTAACTTAACTGCTTTACAACACCATTTTATTCTGGTCATATCACTGTCAGTTGCTTCGCTGATATATGTGACAAACATTTTCATAACATTCCTTAGTTGAGTGGTATCAATAGAAGCTTTGGGCACAACTAGAGAGTTCTGTGCTCTTTGAGGAAGATAACTCGGACGCCCTAGCAAAAACTCACGCTCCTGAGAGTAGCGCTCCCAGTTGAGATAGTAAAGACCAAATTGAGGTGAGAAATGGTCAATGGCTCCTCTCTCCAGATCAGCCGAGTTTACGCCAGCCAGCCAGGCAATAAATACGTGAAATTGCGATTGCTCTGATTTACTGAAATCGACGTACTTCCATTTCGAAATCAGCCATGAGGTTGTTTTGGTGTAAGCAGAGATGTGTGTTGCTGGTCTAAAGGGCTCGAAGATATACAAATGCATCCAAAACAAAAAAGCCTCATTATTGAGCAATGCGGGCCCATTCACATCAGAAAGCTCGTACAGGTTATTAACTTGTTGCACAATTAAACTGTCTGTCACCAAGTCACTGCTATGAAACTCAAGCAGGCATTTTATTAGAGCACAGGCGCTTCGGCATGTTTCGATAGACTTTACTAGGGGAAGGGTCAAATGGAAAATCTTTTGCGTCAATTGTGGCGGTATCTCAGACTTGGAGCTAGACAGCAGCGGCGTTAGCGCAAAACATACCCAGCCTTCCATTCTTGGATCCTTGAACCTCTGAATTATCAAAGTCACCAACTGATCTATTTGAAATCCTTCAAAGTCATGAGACGCTGCGTAAAAACCACAAACTTGAAGTGCAATCAGTTGGAAGTTTTTGTCAGAGCTCTCAAGACATTTGGATATAAAGGATGCTGGGTTGAGAGTCTCCCATAAAATAGATTCAAACGACAGATTTTTCCTTGATCTTTTGAAAAGAAGGCCCTCCTCCTCCACACTTTTTGCATCACTTATTTGATAGTAAGTCGCTAATATCTCGCAAATTGCAAATAAGGTCAAAGATGGCACTATTTCGGAGCTACGATCCAGCTGAAAGGCTTCATATTCAAGCCACTCCATTCGATCTGAAACATTCGCGAATTGATAGGATGATACTTTGAGGGCCAATGGATCAATGTTGGACAAGGTGGTATTTATGTAGTCCTCGAATATTTGGATAAATCGTTCGGGCTCAGGGTGCACGGGGATCTCATTTTTCTGGGTGGGAGCTAGTCTGCGAAAATTAGCCAAAGAACTCAGGTAAACATTAAAAATGGCCAGTTCACGATCAATTCCGTCGGTATTCATTTTTCCTATCCGGACCACATAGCGCATAGTTGACTCCAGCACTTCGAGGCAATTAACATAGTTAACCAGGTGGTTGAACAAAACGTAGCTGTTTACGAGTCGTAGTAGCGATTTGGTGCACCCGTTCTCCATATGGGAGCGTTGTAGGATTTTTATTAAGGGTTCCATAAAATCGGATTCAACTTCGGGAAGATTTGCGGAGTCCAAGTGCAATAACGTGTTCAGAATATTGAGAAGATAATGAATGTCATTATTGTTTAGCGAGAAATCCAATTGTGAGGCCAAATAAGCACAGGATTTTCGAACAAGAGTCGCCCATTGGTGAGGCTCGAATTTTAATTGAAAACATTCGCTATTCACCAGTGACTCCAGCGCACAGAGGAGGTGGACCGAAACACCCGTGAGCAGCTTTGGCGATTGTGAAACTGCCATCAGCTCTGGTAGTAAAGTCACCAGAAATTTGACATGCTTTGACTTGAATTTGGAGTTGGTAGTGAGGACTACCAGTCTCAAGACGTAAGACGCAGAAGAAAGTCGGTTTTCTACGGCTGTTCTTCTGCTTGCTGTGGTCTCCGACTCGTCTGCAACCAGTTTCTCGTACTTCACCCGTTCTAGCTCCACGATTTCTACTAGGATTTCTAGTATCGAGTACAAATATTTTGGAGGCAATTTCCCAGGGTCTTGTTTCAACAACGTCGTCAACTCATCGAGACCGTGATTTCTTTCCTTGAGCTTACCAGAAGATAGAAGATCTACAATAGATGGAACCAGAGAGGAGTCCATAGATTTGATCAGGTCATGGATGGTGTGACATTTTGATTGCAAGTAGGGGAAGATGGATTTTTTTCAATAAGGTGGCACTTAATAATTATATACATACAAGCACATACATTTTTAACGTCAAGATCAACGTACTTTGGATGAGGCCCCAGTAGACACGAAAGGCAATCAGGACTGGCCTAGGCGTTTTACCACATGCTCAAGATAGTCTATACTATCAGCAATCTAACGGCACTACAACCCTCGTCTCACCATTCTTTTGTCCTAGCTTTCTTTAGATGCGATGGATTACTTTTATTGAATCGATAACCTTATTACTTATACATTGCGTGTAGAAAGAACCTTTAGCTTTAACAAAATAACTCAAAAGTTCGGACGATTTACACAACGACACCGGAGTTGGAGGCGATTCTTGGCCACAAATCGGCACATTCCTTACCGACAGGACCAGTGATGGCAGAACCCTTCATTTCACCCTTAGGGTTGGCAATGACACCGGCGTTGTCTTCGAAGTACAAGTAGACACCGTCCTTTCTTCTCCATGGCTTGGATTGACGAACGACAATGGCAGGCATGACCTTCTTTCTCAATTCAGGCTTACCCTTCTTGACAGTGGCCATAACCATGTCTCCCAAAGAAGCGGCTGGCAATCTGTTCAATCTAGAGCCGGAACCCTTGACAGCCATGATGTACAAGTTTCTGGCACCGGAGTTGTCGGCGCAGTTAAGGATGGCACCAGTAGGCAAACCGAGCTGTTGAAAGAATATTTTAGTTAGTAACAAAAGACCACACCTCCCAAGACTCTGAGGCGGAAAGCGACGCTCGGCAGCTTGACAACCAGCAGCTTCGCGAGTTTCGTCGACTATCGGCTGTGCCCAAGACCAGACACTGGAAGAAATGCTGTGCCACCCGGCTTCCACGGAAAAATTTCTTTTTCAAGAACAAAGATGGTCCGCACTCTCCTCTATCTCATATAGACTCCACTGTCGAACTGCGCTGCCATAGTCCACAGACACTAGTCGGTATAACTCTCTTCTGCGCTTCCGCCTCCATCTCAACTTCACTTCATCCAAAGACATACGGAAATTCTGAATTTAGTACCTTGAGCACCGTTACCAGACATTGTTGATGATTTGGATCTGTATTACGATGTTCTGTAAACCTGTATCCAACAAGAAACCGCAAGCTAGCTCTTCTGAAAGTGTATATGTTCGAAGCTAAGAACAGTATGCTGACGATTGCATGGGATGGGATGGGTTAGTTCCTGGTTGCAGGACCATACCATCCATCAGAGTCTCGTATCGCTACTCACGAAGTGATTGTTCTGTGTTTTTCTTTGAAAAATTCATTTTTTTGTGAATGCGAAAATAAATTTGATTTTTTCGTCACTGATGACTCATGATTTCATGGTGCACGGATTTTATAAAAAACAGTCACAGGAGAGAAGCCGCCGTCATTATGGTACAAAGTGATGTCGAAAACTTGACTCTACTGACTCTGTCGACAGAGTCAGTGACTTTGTTTTTTTTTCACAGTTATACGTGCATACGCGTGCTGGCCTGGGTCGTCTCGGCAGCTACGTGCCAGTGCTCTTCGCTTGATAGCCACGTTGGATCCTCCAGGTTCGTGTAGCCACACCTGGGTGAGGGATCCAAGGCAGATGTCAGAATACGATATAGTGATGGGTTTGGTCGATCGTTGTGTACGAGCAGCTCGCACATTGGATATCCGGCACAGCATGGGAGCGATGGTGGTGGCCCCACTGGACGACCAGTAGCCTCGCCAGGAGGTTGTTGTGACACACCTTTCACACGCCTTTACTGTCTTTGCACCCCGGAGACCGCAAAAATCCAGTTCTATATTGTGCTGTCTTGGGTGTTTTGGTAACAGTTCAAGCGTGCATGAGCTAACACACCGCAGAATCACCAGTGCCGGAGGTCACAGTAACGTTTCTGAAATTAGCTGGTGGTACCAAGCTCGGTCTGCTAATCCGGTAGATCTGTCATAGCCAGGGCTCTTGTTGAGCGCAGTGGCGTTGGACCTTTCATTTGGTCACTCTTTTTGTTCCGGAGCCATCGACAGGTGGATGAACAGGTCAGCTGGAGCGCACTCTGATCGCTCCTCAATGGACTCGCTAGGCTCGGAAGATGAGTTCCATTATTACCGCCAACGGCAGCGGAAGAGACGCCGCGTGGACAGGGCACTTTACGACAATGACGACGACGACGACGACGATGGCGACGATGGCGACGAGGGCGACGATGGCGCTGAGGATGTAAGCGCTGTATCCACCGAAGACGGCTATTTCGATAGTCTGGAGGACGAGCTAGAACAGGCACTCATCACAACTCCCGGCCCGAACCATGTGGACCCAATCCTTGTTCCGAGCCCTGGATCTTCCAGCCCGCTCGAGCCGGGGCATTCTGCGGCCGAGAACGAAGTCATAGAGTTGGGCGAACACTCTGAGCCCGAAAGTGCTCGTGAAGCTTCAACGATCGGTAGCAATCCCGAGCCAACCGAAATCCCGGAGTCCCCCGAAGCACTGGAAATTTTAGATCATGGCCCTTCTCCATCTCCTTCGCAGCCTCCTGCCCCATCCACTCCCATACCTCGCTCAGAGCACAAAAGGGCCTGTGATTACAAGTGTCCCATTTGTTTTGAACCCCCCGAAGCGGCGCTCTTTACCCCTTGTGGGCACATCTTCTGTACCGAATGCCTCTTTCAAATGCTTAACAGCACACGAACCAATCGAAAAGCTGGCCAGTGTGCCCTCTGTCGACGAGACGTCAAGCTGAAAGAAGTCAGATTGTTGATCTTACGAAAAAAGAGGATACCCAAGAGTGCTTGAAGCTGGAGTAAGTTGCGCGAACTAACTTTGTTTTTCGTGACGTTCTGCGACACATTCGTTGTGCATGGAATTACAATAACAGTATTCCGTTCTTTGTTGAAACGCACAAATCGTTTCCTCGCGTGCGCATCTGCTTTATAGAAGAACTTACTCTACGCGGTTTTAAAAGTTTTACGGGTCTCTCCTTTTATTGCAAACTGTCCTCTACAGATGTTTTGTGATGTCACAAATTGTAGCCGAAGCGCTCGATCCTTCAAGAAAACGCCAACCATACAATTCTTGAGGCGAGTGGAGTGCAGATCTCGAAGGCCTCGGCGTTACGTCCAACCCTCGGCGGATGGAACGCTATTGGTACGATATGGGATCTCAAATGGTTTTCCAGACCTTCGCGCGATAGAATGTCCCTATAGAGGCTTTAACCATGGTGACAGGGTTAAATCTGGGTGCTGGTGTTTATGCCAAACACTAGCGTTAAACCCGAGTCCCTTGCATAAAGATATATCTCGGGGTTTGAAGAAGAGTTTGCAATCAAAATTGCGTTCATAGAATTTTATCAATACACAAGTTCATAACTCATAAAATAAGGTACTAAGCACACCAAGCCAATCGTTTTTTTTTCTGCGGCTCACGGCAAAATCTTACTGATTGTCCAGCTTTTGAAATTTGGAGTCTCGTAGTATTCAGTTTCGTCTTCTGGTATTGCTCGATCACTAGTATTGTTCAACTTCTTGCGCCCGCCGACTCCTCGTTTCTCCGTATTCGTATGGCTATCAAAACCCACGCGTCTTTCAAGAAACGCACGTCGATCAATTTCCCCATAATCCAGTTTCATAGGTACCCCCTGAAGCTGACCATCGAAGTCTCTTTCCACTTCGTCCAACTTGAACGCGTCTATATCTACCAAGTTAATACCCTTTTCATTCTTGGCCCAGCCGTCGCCGCCCTCGAGGATATCCTCCACACATTCTTTTGGCGTGAATTCGCCCGGGCGAGGGTCCCATGGGAGTTGAAACGTTTTTTGGTACAGTTTCTCCACGAACGGGTTGTTGACGGCAATGGAGAACGAGCCTTGAATATCTGTTGTCTTTTTGGTAAGGCTGTTAGAATTGGCAGCATTAGATGTTGAGCCTTGACCACTGCCATTCGCTATGAAAGAAGAAGAAGCAGGGGAGCTTGCGCCAGAGGAGCCATCAAATACATCTGTGATGCCGTTGCGAAGTGCGTGGGGGAGTTGATTTGACGATAAGTACTGAGGGGGCTGGAAGTCATCGAAACTACCGCGTGTTAGTTCCATTTGAATGGAAAGACTGAGGATCGAGTTCACTTTGGACTTCTGGAGCAGAAACCGGCTGGCTACCTGCCGCTGTTCAGGGTTGACATATTCTGCGATATTAACATCTACCAACCCAAGCAACATTTTCCGTGACACCTTCTGTGAGTGTGCGCTATTTTTCAGCGAGGAAGCCGTGTCAACGTCACTCGACTTTTCGTTGGCAGTAGAAGGACGCGAGGATTCTAAGAACTCGAAGTATACCTCCAAAACTAGTTCCTTTCGAGTCAAACGTTTATACTTGTCAGTGACCAGCTTCACTTGCACTGGTTTGGGCAAAGTGTAGTTCCAGTGGGCCCGATGGTGTTTTACCAGCACCCTCGGAGTGGTTCCCCGACTTTGGGAACTGGATTTCGCACCACTTGAGTTCGATCCCTGGTCAGCGTCCGGGATCATTGATAGGCTCGTGGTTCCCGTACCGTCTTTCAAGTGCCATTTCACAAAACAGTAACCTGAGCTCTGAGGAATGTTGGTCAACTCTGTGATTTTCAATTGGAATAGAAACTTGGGTCTTTTGCTCTTACCTTTATTGGCAAAAGCTACCATGATCAACTAATGTCCACGAACAACCAGTAGCTTTAATTCTGCTTTGGAATTGCGTCGCAGTTATCTTGAACGCTACAAGACTAGCGTGGATGGTGCAGTCCTTTCTTCACGCTTGCTTAGCCTTTTCTTGACTGTCAGTAATGTTGAGAGCGGGATAGACATATTACTTATTTGCCATATTTCTTTAACTCATCAACTGAGCTTTAATCAAGGAAAACCTCGTCCCACACGTTGGGGATTCAAACAATTGGCTATCACAATCTCGGTGGCTGCTGTGGATTGGCCAGCTTTTGAAAATAGTGGTGCATCTCTCCCCATCGTTCTACAATTTATGGCGAACTCTTCCTTTTCGATATATTCAGACAACTGGACCCTGTCAGAACGACCTGTCTCAAACTTGATCAAATATGGTCCCAGTGCCAGTGATTCCAACTCAAGCCTGCTGAGTACAGATCGATTGGTAGATCAGGTTGAGCATGAAGAAACGCTGGCTAAGCGGTTTTCGCTTGACCACCTGCGGCAGTTGACCTCAAAGATGGACACGAAACCTGTGGTAGATTATGACACAATGTCAATGGCACAGCGAAGTGTGGAAACGCTCAATCGCGTGGACGAAAGTATGCGGGCTGACAATGTTATGGTGACGCCCCGGTTGGTGATGCATCGCTACGCGTGGAACATTGAGCAACAGGGCAGTAAAAGTCATAAAAATTTCCCATTGGACAACGTTCCCATCAAGTGCAATATACTGATGACGCTTTCTGGCCTTTTGTCGGAGTACCAGAGCTCCGACAAGCATGTGGCCTTGGAAAATGTGACAAAAGTTCTGCATTACTTGAAGAAACTTATTCAAGCGTCGCAGCTAGAGCCTCCCGACCAAGGCGCCTCTATGCGAGAGACCAAGGTTCTTGATCAGCGGGCAAATCTCCGGAATGCAGCTCATAGGAGCTCGGTCGTCTCTGATATTAACGATTCCAGCAGAAGTTCCGATACACCCTCTAGGAGACAGTCCAGCAGCACTGGATTCGAACTTGCTGCTGTGCGTCAGAATTCCAGACGCATTAATGAACAATCTGGAGCGAGCAAAACCCGAATTTTCAGCAAGTTCTTCTCTCCCATTAAGAGCCGCGGCTCAGCCCAAATGTCGCACACAGTGAGTGCAAGAAACCCTAAGAGTGCGCAGCCCGTGGAAAGCGAAATTTATGCACCTGTTGATGGTATCTCTGGTGCTATACCTTCTCCCGAACTATACTCGTTTCAGGCGCCTAAAGCGGACACAGGACATCCCCATAAGGCACAGGACCTGGCATCTATGCAAGACTATAGAGAAAAAATTTCTATTCTGCGTGCAACATTAGGATCACTTCCACAAACTGAGCAGAATAATATTGTTTTCCATTTCGTTGATGCCAGCATCAATCCATTTATTCTTAAGGACTGTCACTTGCTTGTCAAGCACTACATTCAAGAGGAGGTTATTTTCAGACTTTAGACGATAATGGAAGATTATGGAAGATTTACACTAGGGAAAGAGATGTTAATATCTCTTTAAGGACCTAAATCTGAACAGTTCAATTCTATTGGTACAACATGCAAATTCACATTTTGCCGGAAACTCCTCAATGAACGGTCAATCGAGCCGAATATGTGCATCTTTAGCTTTGATAACGGCTGAAATAATCTCGAAAGTTATTTCACCTGTGGAGAGTGTTTGCTCAGGCCTCTAACAGTATTTGGGTTTACATGTTATTTGGGAGGTACTAGACCCCCTCCCCCAACCTCTGAAAGACTCCCAAAAAAATGAGAAAAGTGCTACCAGTACATGAAACTCCGTATTAATTAATGCTGCTATAAAATTCAAGACACTGCTGCCTTGCTGGCAAGGCAAGCCATTGCTAGTCTAACTCCATATCTCATCTTCTTATCCTGTCATCAAACTCACTCACTATTTACGTAATATATACAACATTAATTATTATCCGCCACAGTCTACTATAGAATGCACATCAGGTAGCTACCAAAACAACACTTGATATAGCACCAAAGTCTCTCAAGTTGGCATCAATACTAGTTCACAACCTCGGTATCCTGATTTAGAGATGAATGGTGGCATTGACAAGGGTAGCAGAACCCCAAAGCTTGGTCAGTTGGAGACAAACTGGGGGAATCAACCGAAACTGCCCACGCCCAACAGTGGGAGCGTGCAAGGAAACCCGAATAACTTATTCATCACTATAACGGCGTACAATAAGCGTATGGAAGATGAACTAGAAATGAGACCAGGAGACAAAATCCAAGTGATTACTGACGACGAAGAGTACAACGATGGATGGTATTTTGGTCGGAATTTGCGGACGCAGGAGGAAGGTTTGTACCCTAAAGTTTTCACACAGCAAATATCGGCACCTTCACTGGTTAGAGCAAAGTCCACTCGTCGTGTCGCTAGCCCGCTCGCTAATGGTAGCACGACTGATTTCTCGACGCTTTCCAACGAGGGTTCCACCAGTGAGTTGCCCACTCCACATCCTTTGGAGACTGCCGCGCCAGTTAAGTTGCATCTCGATCGCACCGCCTCTGTGAAAGTTACAATGAGTGATATTGATAAAGCACTCGAGGATTTTCGTGGGGAGACGCTCTTGCCCAGAACTTCGCAGCAAGGTGTTGAATTGGCTGATCCTACCCTGGAAACTATTGGAGATACGAATACAACTGGAAATTTGACAATGAATTCAGTAACTACAGTAAGCGATATTGATATGTCGCACCCAAAGCACCTACATCGCTCGAACTCGGCTCAGTCTTTGACTAATGACACGTCTTTTGGATCGAGCTCTATCAACGGCATTGACACCAAACAGCTGGTCCCAGAAAATGCACAGAGCTGGACACCCGAGCAGGTGACTGCTTATTTCATAGGATCTGGGTTTGATGTAGAATCGTCCAGCAGATTTCAGCAGCACAAGATTTCTGGCTCCATTCTGTTGGAGCTTGAACTAGCGCACCTGAAGGAACTTGATATCAACTCTTTCGGCACAAGGTTTGAAATTTTCAAAGAAATTGAAGCAATTAAAGATATGATCGCCGCTAAGGGACCCGTAAGGATACCTAGCCGATTGATGCCTGCAGCTTCTGTGAATCAACGCTCATACATGGGGCATGCTCGGAAAACTTCGCAATCGCTCGAAGAGTTACCACTGAGTTCGTCATTAGGACTTTCAGCTGGTCAGGGTGTCGTGAGTAGTAGACAAAGGCCCTACTCCACGCTAATAAATGATCGTGAACCTAGCATTGATGATGTACAAAAGTCCAATGTCATCACTGCTTCATACGATGATAAACCCCCCAAGCCTTCGAAGGCTATAATGGACGACACACACTTTCTTTCTCCCAGAAGGGCGCCAAAGCCGCCATCGTATCCGAGCCCGGTGCAGCCACCGAAGTCGCCCATAGTTCAGGGACTCACACCAAGCCCGTCGAAACTAGAATTTTCTCAAAGTGCACGTAACGGCCCACCAACTATATTTGAGCGTGCGCCGTATATGGAAAGCCGCCCCAATAATAATTCCGCTTTGCGGACACCGAAGTTTCAGTTTCCGAAAACAACTCCTCCGCAACCATCGTCAGGTACTCCAGCTCCAGCTGAAAATATTGGTGTCGGAAGTCAGAACAGTGATGAGTTTGTTGAGAAAGTGGAGAATAGTGTTAGTAAGAGGGGCTCTGTCATTTATTCGGGACAACAGGGTCACAGGAAAACTAAATCAGGCGGATCATTTGTCGAGCTTTTCAATCGGGTTTCACTAATGTCCCCGGGAGTTGCTAGAACTACACAGAATGACTATCATGAAACCCTGGGAGAAGATAACCAGCTCCAGCGACCCTCGTCAAGCATTTACGAGCATTCGAGAGTGGCATCACCCAGTCATATAAAGCATCCTTCCCAGGCAACTGCTGAGCTGAAGAAGCATAGAAGAAATTCTTCAATCCTATCATTCTTTTCCACCAAAGGAGAGGAGACGGGCAGAACTTCTCCTTCGAAAAAAGGTGGATCTAGACATGCTTCCATTTCGCATAGCAGGAAGAACTCTGCTATGGGATTCATTCCGCCTAAATCATTTTCTCCCGACAAGGGCTCCCGGTCTCCCGCTAAGAGGCATTCGGTGATAGTGTCGCCAGCAGACTCCTCAGATATAAACGATAAGCGCCGGTCAGTCAGTGCAAAGGAGCCTAGCTCAGCTCTGGGTGCAACCGAAACTGATTTGTTCTTTGATGCAAAGGAAAGCATGCAAGATGACAGGGAAAAGAAGAGATCCGTCAGTGAAGCTGTCAAAACCAAGCCCATTCGCACCACCAAGTCTAATAAAAATTTACCCAGAAAGATGCAAACTTCCGCCTTTATGGAGGGTATCAGAACCATTAGTGTTGCGGAAGCTATGACAGAATCTCATTGCTCAGGTTGGATGAGTAAAAAGGGCTCTGGTGCCATGGGCGTTTGGAAGAATAGATTTTTTACTTTACATGGCACCAGACTTTCTTACTTTGCTAGCACTACTGATACGAGAGAGCGAGGGTTAATAGACATCACTGCCCACAGAGTCCTTCCCGCGAAGGAGGACGATAAGCTCGTTGCCCTTTATGCGGCGAGCACCGGTAAAGGCCGTTATTGTTTCAAATTGCTCCCACCTCAGCCTGGCTCTAAAAAAGGTCTGACATTTACGCAGCCTCGGGTTCATTACTTTGCAGTTGATACGAAGGAAGAGATGCGGGCTTGGATGGCTGCTTTAATAAAGGCTACGATTGATATCGATACAAGTGTTCCAATCATCAGCTCATGTGCCACACCAACTGTGTCTTTGAATAAAGCACAAGAAATGCTAACTCAGGCTCGTGAAGAAACCAGGCAACGTGAAGAACAACGCTTTCTAAATGAAGAGGATGAAGACCAAATGCTTTGGGAACAACAACAGCGTCTAGAAGAAAGCGTACAGGACAGTACGGGTGACACTTCAACTCCGGTTTCTTCAGTCCAGGTAAATCCAAGTACAGGTTCCGGTTTCCACAGTCCTTACCTTTTAGCTTCCGGGATGTTATCCCCGGGTACCCCTCAAAATGGAGGCCGTATGCCTGATCAGCAGAATGGTGACTATTTTATGATGGGCCCAAATTATGCCAATAATAAAATTTAGACTGCCAAACTGATCTAGCTCTGTTCAAGGGATGCCTTTTCGCATTATTGTAATACTATCTAATATAAAATGCTATCGCGATGATTCAGAATGTTCCTGTTACCCTTATAATTTCAAAAACGGGTCAAGCTCATTTTTAGATGGCTTGTTCCTTCAAGGCCCGCATTTCTCAAGAATTTTGGGAAAATTGTAAACTGCCAATTTAAGGATTGTAGAGAGCGGCATGGTAGGTTGTATGTCAATCGCAAGGTCAGGGGGGGGTGGATCAAAATCAGCTTTCGTGTTCTCAAAGGTCAATACAATTATGAGTCTTGGTTATTCAATAACATTTGTCTGACAATCCCTTGCGTGAAGTGACACACTTATTTTCACATCCACAAGAAAACTTGTAGGCGGCCTGACCTAAGTATGTCACAAATCAGATCTCATGAAGGCAATAACGTCCAAAGAGAAATTAAGTAATGTATGCCAAGTGTTGACAATGCGCTGGCAGAGACTTGACGCTGTAAGAGGGGCGTTCAGCATAAGTCCGTGGCTAACATAACCATTATTCCATCAAATGACACTTTTCGAGCGCCGTTTGAATGAGCTGGCTTCCTTTGGGATCCAGGTTCATTGCGACTGTCAATTCTTTGATCGCATCTTGCTTTCGGCCAACTATCTGATACAGCTGTCCTAACAGAAAGTGAACAGTGGCCTCATGAGGAGCAATGTTAACCAACTGTTCAAAACTCTCCAGAGCAATATTGTATTTTCCCATGGATAAGAGTAGTTGAGCCCTCTTAAAAAGTGCAAGGGATGACATGGGTTGAAGTTCGCATGCGAGGTCATAATATTCTAATGCCTTTTCTTGATGCGAAAGCTTTTCAAGTGCAACACCACAGCAGCAAATGAGGATAACATTCACGGGGTTAATACTCCTAGCCTTTTCAAAATGTAAAAAGCAGTCCTCATACTGACCCAATTTCAAGCAGCACATTCCCAAGCCGTAATATGCATTATAATGTTGCGAATTTGAAGCCAGGGCCATACGATAGCACGTCATAGCAGTGTCCAGGGCATCGTTGCTAGAATATTCGTGTCCTTGTAAAGTGTAAGCATATGTAAATAACGGATCGAGCTGGGTGCTTCTCTGAAAAGCTTTAGTAGACTCTTCGTGATCTTTTTTGAGCGAAAAAAGGTTCCCGACACAGCACCAAGTTTCTGGAGCTAAACGGTTGACCTCCAAAAGTTCGTGACTCAGGTATGAGAGCCCATTCGAGTCATTTAAGTGCCACATCAGCGTTGAGTATATTTCCATATCTCGGACTCTGAAAGGCTGGAGATCCCGCAGAGCCACAAAGAATTTCCTAGACATTTCATAGTTGACTAGTTCAAAGTGTAACTTGCCCAATGCCGCGAGGACCCATGGCATCCCTGTAAGGATATGCCGAGGTAATCTTTCATTTAGGATACGAACTGCCTTGTAACAGTCGAATCTCGAGGCGCACTTGTAGGATTTGGCTAGAGCGTAGAGAATTGCATCCAATTCAACGACATACCCTCCGGAACCATCAAGCCCGTTACCGGCAACTGTATTAGTATTAAAATTCGTATTAGCTCTCTTCGACGTATGATCAGGAGTGAACGAGCGCTCGTGTGCCGCAAATTTAGACGGGGGGGTCGCTAAGAGCCTTGACTTGGGGTTGGACGAGTGTGACGCAACGGCGCCAGCACCGTTGAGAGGCTTTAAGAGTGAAGTAGTGGGTACTCCAAGTTTCGATTTTGCGCCGGGCAATTGATTATGAGTGTGGTGAGTAGTGCGCCTTTTAGAATCAAAACCCGGAACTTTGAATGGCGGGTGGGATTTGCTTCCAACGCTTTTGCGTTTCCTACTTTGCGGCTGTGAAGTGTTCCTAGATTGATCTCGCGACGTCTTGAAAAGGCCACCCACCTTAACGTTCGCTCCCATGTCGCACAAGGCTTTGAAAGACTCCCAAAGATAGGGATCCAGTTCGACGGCTCGAGAGTGTGCCACTCGGCCTTCCTCTAGTCTGTCCAGTTTGAAGTACAGTTGACCCAAAATGCAGTGCATAGTCGCTTCATCTGGCATCCCATACTGTGGTTCAGCACTGGGGAAAGAGCCTGCACCCAGCAAAAGGTCTAAAGTCCTCGTAGCCTCATTCCACGCAGTCCTATCCAGTTTCAATGCACTTCGTGCAAGTACGTACGCACAAAGGAGGCTTTCGGTGGCATACTGGCGAACAACAGCCTGAGAGCTCTTCGGATCACCTTTCAGATAAAGCACCAATCCATACAAATATGCAGCTTCCACCAATTCCCGCTGCGCTCCTTCTAGCCTTCGCACTTCGGTAAAGAGTAACTCTGCCAAGAACTCCGCCGTCTCCAAATTGTTCTGCTCTACAGAGCGTTCAACCATGCATTTTAGGCGCTCACAGTTCTCATCGGTGGTGCGTACCAGGCCACCAGATCCCACTCGAAACATGTTCTGCTGCACGTTCTACTCATGAGATTGGTGTTTGTGTCTAACCCAAACCGCTCATCTCAAGGCGATACTCAATAATCCATATCATTTCGTACTAGAATGACATTCATCACGTGATTTATTTCGAACTAGTTTAGTTACTGGGCCTGAGGCTCTATGAAGCTCTTGCCTGTTTGTTTTACTATAATGAGCTCTTGCCAGTATTTTCTGTTGACGATTTAGTAAAGATATGTTGCGTTTACGACAAACGGCGCATAGGACTTAGACAGGATAGCAAAATCCCCGCAAACAATCGGTTTCCTCGAGGTTCTCCTGATCACGGTCTGAGTTAGGAGCTTCTAAAACATAAAGGCAGTTACCGATCGATGCCGAGCCTAAATTTGACTCTTCTTTCGGAATCTAAATATGGCATTTTGTACGATCACAGTGTCATGTTTTTAAATGCCAACTAGGGTCCTTGGAACTTCTCCAGACAACCTCCGCTTGCTCACATATTTCAGCGTTCTCATATTGTCTAGGGGAATTAAACTTCCGGAATCGAAGCGGGAAAATCCCACGTACAGTAAGTCCTTTCTAAGCATATCTGAAGATCGCTGAAGAGAATTTTTGGAGTCTATTAGACGTACGTTCCTACCGGGGAAGCTCCTGACATTGTGCCGATACGTATTTTTTGGAAGGATCTTTCCGCCATTGAAAACACTAGAGCTCATTTTCTTCAACGACTCCCTACATTCGCTATTCATCATCAGTCTTTGGGCAACGTTATCCCAAGAAAGTGTCGTTTTTTTGCAGTAGACGCTCACATACGCTTCTGAAAAAAGTAAGCAAGTGTTCTACTGGTTCATTTAGCTTGCTAAGACCGCAGAGCGCCTCCATTTGGACCCTGTGAAGCTTTACTCTTCTTTCGCTACTTTTTTTGGCATTCGGCCAGCGGTAAGTCCATCTATCCCAAACGCCCATCACGGCCATTCCATACCTTTTGTCTCAGCTTGCGCCGGTAACCTTGCTTCCCACTTATCATGAGGTCTAGATCCAAAGGCACGACTATATGCGTGATATTTATATTAGTGCTTTGCGGGCTTTGGAAATGGTCTTCGAGCTTTTCGAGGACCGCCGGTCCTCCTATTAAAAAAAAATACGATCCGTTTGAATTCGGATGGGTGAAGCCTAACTACTACAAAAAGGGTGACAAGGTGGAACTGTTGGTCAATAAAGTGGAATCTGACCAAACGCAATTTCCGTACGCCTATTATGACCTGCCGTTCATATGTCCTCCGTCGGAAAACAAAAAGCCGTTACATTTATCACTTGACGAGGTTGTGCGAGGGGATCGCAAATGGCAAAGTGATTATAATTTAAAGTTTGGCGTTGATTTGGAATGCGAACGTCTGTGTGATCGCAAAACGCAACCTCAAGCTTTGAAGGAGGCTGACCGCTTAATCCGCCAGGCTTATATGGCTCATTGGATAGTAGATCGCGATATGCCTGCAGCAACCACATTCGTGAAGGCACGAGATGGCAAAAAATTCTACACTGCAGGTTTCCCGATAGGTGCTGTCGATAGTGACACAGGCAAGGCATATCTGAATAACCATGTTACACTTGTAATACGGTATTATACCTCAGACATTAACAAGCATACGATTGTGGGTTTTGAAGTGTATCCCAAATCTGTTTCTGATTACCATTGCCCTGGGAGCTCTAAAGACTATGAGCGATACGAGTTGAACGTTGACGAAGAGGAAACCACCTTCATACCATTCACATACTCAGTCTATTGGCGTGAGGAATTTCACAATGATTGGTCACATCGTTGGAATTTTTTCATGAGCGAAGAAATGCCCGGGTCCTCTCGATCCTCTCGATCTTTTCATTGGATTTCTTTGGCTAATAACATATTCATTGTGGGTATGATGTCCTTTGTTGTCACAATGGTCTTCATGAAAAGTCGTGGAGATGGGCCTGTAGCCTTTTTGGCTTCTTCCTGGTCTACGGAACACACCAACTTTTTAACACAACTAAATTTGGTCACTGCTATGGGAATACAGTTCTTATTCGCAGTTTTAGGCTCATTGATTATCACATGTGCTTTCAACAGGTTTCAGGAAATAAGAAGATGGGTTTTGACAACAGCAATAGTGTGTTTTATATTTGGCGCCTACGCTTCATCTGCTTTGGGCACGCTATTGGCACCTGGGCAACGAGTGGGCATCTTTTTCTCAATAGCCTGTGGTTGTGCTCTTCCTGGACTTACACTGCTGGTGGTACTTTCTTTGAACAGTATTGTGTGGGCGAAAGAATCTACAAATGCCTTGCCCTTTGGTACCATAATTTTATTGATGGCGTCCTATTTTGTGATATGTGGGCCTCTGTCTGTGTTAGGTGCTTTGAGTGCTAGAAGAATTAAGGCCGACCATAAGCTGAAACTAGATGATGCTTCCCCTTTAAGTTTCCTTCTCACATCGCTTAGAGATAGCGCAAGAACAGACACCGAATTCACAAGTCCGGCAAAATTACCCAAATATATCCAATCACCAACTCTGTTGACTTTGACGTCAGGCGCTGCCCCATTTGTGGTTATCTTCGTTGAACTTCTGTTCGTGTACAAATCACTGTGGCTGAGGAAAAGCAGCTTCTATATTTTCTATGGCTTCCTTCTCGTCAATATCATCCTACTGTGTGTCGTGGTCGCTGAAGTCGCATTAATTGTGTGTTACCAGCTATTACAATACAATCAATCTGGTGGAATAAAATTCGAGCCACAGGACGTTCGTCCCGCGGAACGGAGTCTCACTTGGAGATCCTGTTTGTCATTGAGAAGCATTAATATCTCAATAAGAAATTCGCTTATATTATTCGGGAAGCGTCTGCGACTAGGGTCGTCCTCGTGGAGATGGAAGTGTTTTTTGGCGGGAGGTAGTGTTGCGTGGTATTTGGAAATGTACTCACTCTATCATTTGATTTTCGTGCTCCATTTGCGTGATTTTTCATCCGTCGTGCTCTTTGTTTGCTATACGTCTCTGTTCAATTTTATGTGCTGGTGTGCATTCGGGTCACTTGGATATCTATCCTGTCTCTGGTTTCTCAATTATCTTTCTAGTTTGGCGAAAGAGCCTTAACATTTTTACTTTGCATGTGTGTGTGTCGAGCTCATGTCTCTGGCACTTACTGATGAAATATTATACAACTAATGAATAATTCCATTTTTCGTTCCGTACTATGCATCGACTAAATAGATTGTCCTCCGATAGATGATGGTGGTTGCGATGAGGTCTGGTGGTGTCGAACAAAACCTCCCATGGCGTTACCATTGCCCGGTCCGTCTCTGCGTTCTTCTCCGCCCCTGCTATTGTTGTTGTTGTTGTTGTTGAAACGGCGTCCAACGCCATTGTTAAAGTCACGGCCATCCCCACGCCTGTTATTATTTCCAGCGTTGAAGCGTTTTTCACCGTCCCTCCTACCACCTTGTCTGCGTCTAAAGTCTCTGTTCTGATGATGACCCTGCGCTTGCTGCTGCGCATTCGATTGTTTAACTTTTTCGATTGCATCTTCTTGAAGTTTGATAGACTTAATGAAGTTGCCTCTCACGTAGATTTCGCGAAGCTTTACCGAATCGCTGGCCGATGTGTGTGTGACGTTGGCCAAAGTCAGGTTCATCCAATTGTCAACATTAGTGAGCTGACCGACAATCGCTTCACCATTTTTTAGCTCTATGACCATTTCCTGGCCCTTTGCATTTGTCAACAGGTATAATGGTAGCATGGGACCGGTATGTTTGAGCTTTGTTCCTGGCAGAGATGAATGGAGCCATTCAACGACTCGATGTTTAATTAAACTAATTCTCTTTTATGTCACTTTGTACTAGGAACAGACCATTGAGGTATTCTGGTGCAAGAAAGTTAGGGTGTAAGAGCTCGACTCTCTGCCTAAACGTGCTTCCTGAGTCAATGATCCATCTATGATGGACGATTAAATTGTTGCTATGAACTTTTCAAGGTTCATGTTTAATCAAAGTGTCTTTGGTCAGTAAAAAATAGCACTTATGAGGTAGACCGCAGCGCCTGAGATCCATCAAAAATAGGGAATTTCTGACCATTACACAAGCTTCTATGCCTCAAAGCTTGCATAGGAAGGGCCTGTCGTGAGGTCGTACATAGGGCCCAATGGGTCCGGCAGCCTGTCTCATCGGTGAAGATATGTGGTACGGATGCGCCCATTAAAGATGAGTTCACCCTCTTCTCCTCCGACCAGTTTGTCTCCCAGGTTGTCTCCCTCACTTTTCTCAACCAGATGATAATGGGCACAATGAGTGTGCAACTCGACGTGTTCAAAGTTGTCGCACCCTAGGGACATTCCTTAGCTGCCACTATTGTGTAGGTCCGTGGTAATTGCCAAACTACAAGAAACTTGTTTGAAAGGCATGATCTTCATTACCGGTGTAGAACTTTACGGCCACAAAAGTCTTCTCACTGTCTAGGTCGAAAAATGCTGAATTATTCTTAGCTAAGATGCCCACATAGACCAGGAGATTGCGGACTCTTGCTATTAGGACTCAATGTCCACCCCTGGTCCCTTTGGGCCTCCCCAGATCTCGTCAGATCTGTGGTAGAATTTACCAGCTAAATAACGTCAAAAAAATGGAATAAAACCACCATTTTCTCAGAAAACGCCAACGACTTTCTACTATATCACGGCTTCCGTGTAATTACGATGTCTTCGGCTCTCTCAACTACTCAGTGCTTCTTGAATCGATCTTACCTTTTTTCGTTATGAGTGGGCCTCCTACTTTACGCGTTTGACAATTTACCGTTTTCAGAAGCCTAATGTTCAAACCTAACCACATCCTTCAATCTGCACAAAAATTGCAAAATTGGGGTCATAGCAGTCTTGTTACTATATCAGATACTTCGATAGGTGTGGGAAAGCTTGATACACAATGCAGAATGGACCTGTTACTGGTCAGAGCGATTCTCTGATGAATATTGACTACAGATTCACTGGCACATCTATGGAAAATGAGGTCTCTCCCACGATTGAAGTTGCTACCTACGCAGGCGTGGACGTGTATGAGTGTTATTGCAAAGGTCAGGAATCGCGGATTGTGATGCGACGGTGCCTGGATAACTGGATCAACATCACCCAGGTCTTTAAGATCGCGTCCTTTTCCAAGACACAACGGACTAAAATCTTGGAAAAGGAATCTAATATGGTGAAGCACGAGAAAATCCAAGGTGGGTACGGTCGATTTCAAGGAACTTGGATTCCGCTCGAAAACGCGCATTATCTGATTGAAAAGTACAACGTGCAGGATCTGGTGGTATCGACAATATTGAATTTCCAGTTAGACCCCGCTAATCCGCCCATTCGCAGATCCAAGAACTCTGTCATCAAGAAGCAATCGCCGGGAACCAAGATCAACTCACCGTCAAGCTACAATAAGACTCCCAAGAAAAACGGCGTGGGGATGGTCGTGAAGAAGGCGAAAAAGAAGCTTAGCAGCACCATGGGAAATGTCGTTCAAACCACTGGTGTGATCAAAAAGTCGCAGGTTCACCCAAGTCCTTTACAGAACCTGGCGTTTCAGACCCCTCAGCATCAGCAGCACCTCTCCATGCAGCATAATAACTCAACAGTGGTAGCTCCGGACCAACAGACCCCCCTCCACCCTATGAATTACGAAACGACCCAAAAGCCCTTGCAGTTCTATCCATATCCACAGCAACAGCCAGCATTTCTAACTTTTGATGCGAGTGACCCCCAACATCAGCAAGCGACTAAGAGATCCAAGAAGCCGAGCAGGCCTCCATCGTCTACCCAATCCCAGGCGCAGCATAGCTTCAGGGTCATCAAACAGCAATTCATCGATCAAGCCAGCTCGCAACCACCGCGAACTATCCCTCATGCTATGGTTACCATCCACCCTCAGTCTTCTGCGCATAAGACCTCTTACTCCAATGGTTCAAATGGATCTAATGGCTCTTCGATTGAGTGTTTCTCGGCTCACGAAGAGCATTCTCCAATTTCATCTCGTTCTGCTTCGCCAAAGCTGAGGCAGCCATCTGGACATGACGCCAAGAGCGACGTCGGCGGGGAACCGTTATCTGAGGAAGAATACAAGGAAATTCTGCTGCAGGTTTTATCGTCCGACTACTCTGCAAGTGACTCTGACTCCATCATGTTGCCTGAAGAGGTCTATCATCCTCCTCCGAACCTTGACATTAATTTTACAATTGATGATCAAAGCCACACCACATTGCATTGGGCCGCGGCTATGGCTAACATCCCACTGCTCAAAGTTATACTAACGCTTCCGGTTGACATTTCCTTGTGCAATAATCGTGGGTTCAATACGATAACCAAAGCCTGTTTTTACAATAACTGTTACAAAGGAGGCGTTTTTCCGCAGGTTTTGGAACTGCTCAAACCTTGCATAATCACCCCAGACTTGAATGGCCGACTACCATTTCATTATTTGGTAGAGTTGAGTGTGAATAAGTCCAAAGACCCGGTGGTTATCAATTACTATCTGGATAGTTTGTTTGAAGTCTTATCCAAGGAAGACCCGACATTGCTTCGAATGTGTCTCAATCATCAAGACAATGCCGGAAATACTGTCTTGCATCTCGCAGCCTTGAATTTGAACCTGGAATTATGCAACAGACTATGCTACCTGGGAAGCTCTATGGGAGTATTGAACTTAGAACATGAAACCGCCACATCCATTTTAGCCAGGTACAATTTGGTGCCTCCTACGTCCCAAGGATTGGATGAAGCAGTAGCTGAGCTTACAGGGAATGTCCAAAGCAAGACATCTAAACAACTGACACTCAGTACTCCTGTTATGACCAGAAAAAAGAATGGCAGCTTCTCTCAGCACAATGACCATACGATAAACCTTACCCAAGAGCTCTCCTCATTTTCAAGCATGCCCAATTCGGAGATAAATACGTCAAAAAATAAGAACACAGACGAGCAGAACAGCGCTATCATTCAAGAGCCACTCTCCGTCTCTTCTACTATCAACCGTGATGTGCTGCCAGCGGCAAGTGTGCCTCTGATACGACTAGAGCCTGCTAGATCCTCGCAAACGCTTACCAAACAATTATCGAATCTCACCGCTTCTTTAACGAGCTCGGTAGACGAAGAGATAAGTACCTTGGAGCTGGATAAGGAGAAGATAATCGGCTGTATCGATAGCACTGGTAAATCGCTCAACCACAATGAAGTTGCTATGCAAGAGTTGCTTGTCGGTGTTTCAGGCGTTGAAGAACTCGAGAGCAGCGTCGACAAGTTTACAGAGCAAGTCAGGCATCAAATGTCACAGCTTGCAAATTCGATTGAAAAATCTCAAGCTCTGGCATTGGCAACTTGGGTTCACGAGGAAGAATCAGCTATGGCTTCAAACGCGAATTCTCCACAGAAAGATGACGGGACTGAGCATTCAGTACGCATAATCAGCAGCCGTTTGCTAAGACTAGGGCTCCAACTCACGTTGCTCCAATTCAAGCGTAAGCACACCATCAACAGGCTGGCACGAGGCAAATCCGAAATCGGGTCCTCCACAAAGATAAAGAAATACCGAAAGCTTATTGGTACTACAATCGAAGACATTGACTCTAAACTGGACGATATTGAAAAGGATCTACGAGCCGAAGTATAATGATTGAGCCATTCGGCTCTGCAATCCTCATTCGCATTACGTTGTCACCCCGATCAATCATAGCCCAACGTTAAATGTAAGATGGCTGGGCAAAGGCGTGTATTACCTCTTTTCTACAACACATTTTTAAACAGCTAATCTGTGATGGGGTTGATGTGATCCAGGGAATCACATAAGGCACGGTCTCATCTCATCTCTCGAAGATGTATTCACATACGAAGATATATCAGCCAAAAAAATTTTTAGCTGCGATGAGATGAGATGCGATGAGCTTGTTCTTTTGGTATATACAAAGTCATCGGGATAATCATTAGACATCTCTTTTTGGTTGATTGAGCCACTCTGTAGCACTTTTGGAGGCTATTGCGAGTACTAAGAGGAACAACGTTTTGGTAAACTTGTCCTCAACTTAAGAGAAACTTCAAAGGACTGAACATCACACTAGCTACATCCTGATATGGATCAGCAATTTGTGTCACAATTGGAGCAGTTGCTTAATGCCATTATTCAGCCCAACTCTGGGTCACTGAAAGAGGCTACAAAAACTTTGCAGTCGCAGTTCTACACTCAGCCTGCCGCCCTTCCTGCCTTACTCCACATACTACATAGTGGTGCTGACGATGGTTTGAAGCAGTTAGCCGGTGTGGAGGCTAGAAAACTCGTCTCAGCTCAATGGAGCGCTCTAGACGGCTCTCTTCAGGCTGAGATAAAGAGCTCTTTGCTGAGCAGTGCGTTTTCTGAGCCCAAGGAAATAGTGCGTCACGCCAACGCCCGTGTGATTGCTGCGATCGGCAACGAAGAACTTGATGAGAAGAAGTGGCCTGAACTGGTACCAAGTCTGATTCAAGCCGCCTCAGGAAATGACGGCAAAACTGCTGAAACCGCAGTTTTTGTGCTCTTATCCCTCCTTGACAATATGAACCCGGAATTGAACTTGTACATTGGAGACTTTTTGAATTTATTTGCTCATACCATGGGTGACGGATTCACGTTGGAAACAAGATCTTTGTCGGCACAGGCCATGAACCAAGTTTCAAATTTGATAGAAGAGGAGGGCCAAATTAATCCAGGATACGCTACAAAATTTTCTGCTTCGATTCCTTTAGTTGTGAATGTCTTGGAAGCGGTCATTAAGGCTGACGATACCAACAACACCAAGTTGATCTTCAACTGTCTCAATGACTTTCTATTACTGGACTCTCAACTAACAGGTAACAGTATCGTTGACCTGATTAAACTGTCCTTGCAAATCGCTGTGAACAAGGACGTTGACGAAGAGGTAAGAGTTTTCGCGGTACAGTTCGCAACATCGGCCTTATCCTTCAGAAAGTCTAAAATCATACAAGCCAAGATGGGACACGAAATCACCATGGCTGCACTCAGTGTGGCTTCCGAGGAGATTGATGTCGAAGACGAATTGAACAATGAAGATGAGGCGGGAGAAAACGAGGAGAATACTCCTTCTTTGACCGCCATCAGACTTTTGGCCTTTGCATCGTCTGAGCTTCCTCCATCTCAGGTTGCTGTACCAATTGTCGAGCACTTGAGCGCCATGCTTCAATCTTCCAACCCATTCGAGAGAAGGGCCATTCTTCTTGCTATCTCTGTTGCGGTGACGGGTTCTCCAGACTATGTTCTGTCTCAGTTGGACAAGATCATCCCTGCAACCATTGCAGGCTTGAAGGACAGCCATCCCGTCGTTCAACTGGCAGCTTTGAAGTGTATCTCTCAGCTGACAACAGATTTGCAAGACGAAGTTGCTAAATTTCATGAAGAGTACTTGCCTTTGATCATGGGAACAATTGACTCGGCTAAAAATGTTGTCATTTACAAATACGCCACGGTCGCTTTGGATGGTCTACTCGAATTCACTGCTTACGAGGCGATATCCAAATACCTAGAACCGTTGATGAACAAGTTATTTTACATGCTTGATTCTAATCAATCCTCGAAATTAAGGGCCGCCATTGTTTCTGCCATTGGTTCTGCAGCTTTTGCCGCCGGATCTGCTTTCTTGCCTTACTTCAAAACTTCAGTCCAGTATTTGCAACAATTTATCGAAAACTCAGGTCAAATCGAGGGCATGTCTGAAGACGACATTGAACTCAGATCATTGACTTTTGAAAATATATCCACTATGGGAAGAGCTGTAAGATCTGAAGCTTTCCATGAATTCGCGGAGCCTCTGCTCAACTCCGCTTACGAGGCCATCAAAACCGAATCGGCTAGGCTCAGAGAGTCTGGTTACGCTTTTATTGCCAACATGGCCAAGGTTTACGGGAAAGATTTTGCACCCTTCTTGGCTACCATTTTGCCAGAAATTTTCAAGACTTTGGAACAGAAAGAATACCAATTCAACATCGACGAGGATGCTGAAGACTTGGCTGATTTAGAGGCTGATGATCTCCAACAAAAATTCACGGTCAACACTGGTATCTCCTACGAAAAAGAGGTTGCCGCTGCAGCTCTTTCCGAATTAGCCGTTGCCACTAAGGAGAACTTCTTGGAGTACGTGGAACAATCTCTGAAGGTTTTGAACGAGCAGGTTGAGGAATCATACGGTTTGAGAGAAACTGCTCTCCATACGATATGGAATATTGCCAAGGCTCTTCTTCAAACCGCTAGTGTCAAGGAGGAAGAGTACCCTGTTGGAGTTCCTTCCGGTTCTTATATCGATAGCAACGTGCTAACTGTTGTTCAAAGCATCAGAGCCACTTCTTTGGACAACTTGACGGAGGAGTTCGAAACTTCGATGGTAATTACCATCTTAGAAGATTTCGCGGAGATGATCAAAAAGTTCGGTGCTATTGTGGTAATTGACAATGGCGACTCTTCTTCTCTAGAGAGATTGTGTGTTGAAGTTATGAACGTCCTAAAGGGTAGTCACGCTTGTCAAACAATTGACTACGAAGAAGATATTCCTGAGGACGAAGATGTGGATGCGTCGGAGACAGAAGCCGCTCTATTGGACTGTGCCTTGGAAGTTTTGGTGAGCCTCTCTTATGCATTGGGTGCGGACTTTGCAAAGGTTTTTGAAAACTTTAAGCCGATTGTATTGAACTTATTCCAGTCCAAATCAAAGAACAAGAGATCCGCTGCTGTGGGTGCTATCTCTGAGATTGCTGAGGGTCTAAAGGAGCAAAACCCATTTATGCAAAGCCTGCTCGAAGCCTTGATTGTTAGATTGACTTCAGACAAATCTCTCGAAGTCAGGGGTAACGCCGCATATGGTGTTGGGCTTCTATGTCAATATTCTTCGTTCGACGTATCTGCCATCTACGAGCCTGTGCTGAGAGCCATGTACGAACTGCTGAGTACAGCCGACCAAAAGGCCCTTGCTGCCGAAGATGATGAAGCAACAAGAGAGATCATTGACAGAGCTTTTGCAAACGCTACCGGCTGTGTCGCCAGAATGACCTTGAAGAACGAGGCGCTAGTTCCTTTGGAACATACCCTACCAGCACTCTTGAATCACTTGCCTTTGAACACGGGCTACGAAGAGTACGACCCAATATTTGAATTGATCATGAAGCTCTATCAATCCAACAACAACTTGATCATCAATGAAACTGCCAAAGTTATCGATTTTTTCGAAGCCGTCTTCACCAAGGAAGCCGAGAGAGTCAAACTAGAACAAGAATCTACCTTGGGAAGAGAAGAGAACATGGACAGAATGAAGCAGTTCCAATCTGCTGAGATTCAGACTAAGGTTGTTGACCTGCTCAAATATCTCAACACTACTTACAACGGTGTCGTTGCCCAAAAGCCCGTGTTGGCGCAGGTTATCGCTTAATGAATCGTTAACTCTAGACTATAACTGTAAATTATCTAACGACATTAAATCTTTCATTCAATTAACAAAGAGCCCATTAATTCAAGTTCCGCGATCTCGGGGAGCATAGAAAAAGTTCTTTGCACCATCTTATTTCGTTTACCTTGAAAATGTAAAAACTACATCGCCTTAACAAGTTGCTGAAGTAATACTGCACATCTTTACTGACTATCTTTAGGACTCTAAAACAATTAGCTGTTAATCAGAATGGATGCTGATCAGAACCTCCAAGCAACCAAAGATGGTGAGAGTCAACAACCCGCACAAGAAGAGCAATCGGTCGACATACGCAGGGACATCAAAGATATAGTGCACTACTTAATCTTCAACCCAGAGGCAAACCATGTTTTAATGCCGCTTTTGATCATTTTCGAGTCTCTAGCTCTGAAGTGGATCATAAGAAATGTCGACTATACGGAGATTGACTACGAGGCATATATGGAGCAAATCTGGGCGATTAAAGATGGGGAGAGAAACTACAAATTGATCGAGGGCGGCACTGGCCCATTGGTCTATCCTGCAGGCCATGTTTGGATTTACCGTGCAATGGAAATCATTACGGAGGGATTGGATGACCTAAAGTCGGGGCAGACTGTATTTCGATACCTCTACATTGTAACACTGATGTTACAAATGGGTTGCTACGCGTTATTACAACTACCGCCTTGGTGTGTAGCTTTGGCGGTCTTTTCCAAACGGCTGCACTCCATTTACGTTCTGCGATTGTTCAACGATTGCTTCACTACTCTCTTCATGGTCTTTACCGTCTTTATGCTTCTTCTTTCCGCTCGCATGCAGCAGCGAGCCCTATGTATCGTTGCCAGTGCAAGTTATTCAATGGCTGTGAGTATCAAGATGAATGCACTCCTGTACCTGCCAGGTGTCCTACTGGCCATCTTCAAACTCTCAGAGGGTCGTCTCGCATTTACGCTGGGTTGTATTGGGCTTATTGTTGGCTGGCAGTACTGTATTGCGCTCCCATTTGTTCAGCAGCATCCTCGTGAGTATTGGTCGACAGCATTTGATTTTGGCCGTCAGTTCATGTACAAATGGAGCATCAATTGGCAATTTGTCGATCAAGAGGTCTTTGAGGATCCATGGTTTCATCGAACACTTTTGGTCAGTCAAGTGGCCACCTTGGCCCTGTTGCTACTAACACGCTTCCATTCTGATATTTCCGAAGTCTGGGCTTCGATGAGGGCCCTAAGGCATCCCTTTACTCCGGTCCTGAGTGCATATCAAGGTTTTAATCGCCCCAGCATGCCGGACATTGGCTACATACTGTTGGTAACAAACTTTGTGGGCGTTGTATTCTCTCGATCACTTCACTATCAATTTCTCTCATGGTACCACTGGACCTTGCCCGTGATGCTGTATTGGTCTAAACTGCCACTGCTACCGGCCGTTGTCTGGTATACCATCCATGAATACTGCTGGAATAGCTACCCGCCAAATGCAGCTGCCAGTGCTGGCTTGTTCACGGTGAACAGTTTGCTGTTGCTCGTATTGTTCCTACAAACTCAAGCACCGAAAACACCAAAACTAACAAATGTAATGGCAAAGAAAATACAGTAGCACCGTCCCGCAGGGTCGCATTACAAATAGAATTTGGTCTGGTTACGGGAAGTTCTCGACTCTGGGGCAGAGTCCCCCATTTAATTGCAAAATAATTGTGCATTATTCCTCCGATCCCATAACTTGCGTTGATACACACCGTCGCCTATAATCCGACTATTATTGGAACCAGAAGTAACACCTTGAAAGAATTGCTCAAGTCAAAACTCTACGCCTCTGGAGTTTTGCATGATTTTTTATGTCGGTATGTCATCGATTAGACTATCTAAAGCTACACTGAGATTATGTGCACTTATATTTCATGGCAACACTCCGTTGCAGCCAGTTCCAACTTGCTTCTGACTGCTTCTGACTGCTTCTGACTGCTTCTGACTGCTTCTGTCCTCCTGCTGTCGCCATATTTGTTCATTTTTGTCTGATCTGGATATACCGTCTGGTGGCCATCCCTAGGTGCTGAAAAGGCTTGAAACTAAGTAAATTAATTCCATAGTTCGAAGCGAATAACCCTTGGGAAATTCCTAGCTCCGACACCATAGCTTCTGCCATCAAGACGCCCGCTTGGGCTTGTCGTCATGAAGAGTACACATGTACTCTTTGATGACTTTATTTTTCGTATGTGGATATATTGACTTTAAATTTTCAAGTTGGGGCACGCTCAAGAAAGATTGTCCTCGACAACTCCGAATTCTGGAGAATAAAAGCAGGCTTATAGTGGACCCCAAGAGCTCAATTAGACATTTTCACTTTTGAAAAAGTGATCTCAAACCTTCGCTATCACATCATTTGCCGGTCTTTGCTAGAAACCATAGAATCTCGCTCATCTAGAGAGGACAATTTCGACAGACTACAATATTGAAATAATTAGTTGGATCGTCACATATTTTGGGATAAAGAAACTGCAGGCGTAAAAAGGGCGCAGCTTTGCTTGCTAGTATTCCCACCTATGGCTTCCAGAACTCCTCGGGACCTAAGCGGTATGCAAGGTCAGGAAACTCTGTCACAGCACACAAATTCGGCGCGCAAGGCAACATTACAGGCGTCTCCCGAACTACCCCGACAGCGTACGGCCTCTATGTCGTCTGGTGCAATACACGAGCTGCAAGACGGTGTTTTGAACAGTGGTTTGGATGCAACGGGGACATCTAAACGACTGTTGAATGCTTACATTTACGACTTTCTTTCCAAATCATCGTTATCAGAGACTGCCAAAGCATTTTCGCAAGAGGCCATTCTTGAGGAAAATGGCCAGCGGCCCATGCCTAACACACCCTTTCGCCCACAAAATGATGCACCACAAGGGTTTTTGTATGAGTGGTGGCAAATTTTCTGGGATGTTTTCAATGCCAGGACACACAGAGGGGGTTCTGAAATGGCTCAGCAGTATTTTCAACTGCAGTTTGACGCCCGAAGGCAGGAACATACGTATCGTAATGTGGCTATGCATGCTGCTCGTACGCAGCAACAAGCTGAACAGCGTGGTGATTATCAAGGCGAGACTTTTGATCCTACGATGTTTGGCATGATGCTCGCTGGGACTTCTGCTGCTCCAGCCACGGGGATTGCGACCGAGAGTAGAAGCTATTCATATACAAATCAACCAGTTGCAGCTCCAAGGCGGCCTGAACAAGGTCAATTTGCAGCGGCACAGCAACAAATGGCTGTCCACGCACCTCGCCAACAGCAGCGGCAACAGCAACCAACTGCAGACTATTTCCCGCCTCAGGCTCAAGCTCAAGCCCAGGCTCAGGCTCAGGCTCAGGCTCAGGCTCAGGCTCAGGCTCAGGCTCAGGCTCAAGCTCAGGCCCAACAGGCTCAAGCTCAGGCTCAAGTTCAGGCTCAGGCGCAACAGGCTCAAGTTCAGGCTCAAGCTCAGGCCCAAGCTCAAGCTCAGGCTCAGGCTCGTGCCCAGGCTCACCATTTCCAGGCGCAAGATCCGCAAGCTCAAGTTCAGGCCCGCTTACAAGCTCATATACGTGATCAGCAGGCTCAGGCCCAGGCCCAGGCTCAGGCTCAGGCTCAGGCTCAGGCTCAGGCTCAGGCTCAGGCTCAGGCTCAGGCCCAGGCCCAGGCTCAGGCTCAGGCTCAGGCTCAGCAAATTAGGCAGCGGGCGGCTCCCGCAACTATCCGCCAGCAGCAGGTGCAACAGCAAGTTCAACATCAACAATTTCAGGGGCAATCGCAACCACAGCATCAACAAGTTTCACAAATACCTTTGCAGCATTCGCCACATCACCACCCGTCTTTACAACATTCCCAACCACCCTCCCAAGTTTACTCCCATCAAATGATGCCCAATGGAGGAAATCCATTAGTAGTTTCTGGTGTTAATGGGCCTATGTACATGGCACCCTCGGTTCCACAAAAATCAAACTTTCCTCCTGGTTATGTTCAACAAGTTGGGCCGCCGCCAGCACACCAATCACAGGGCCTACAGCAACGTCGCTTGCCGCCACAACTCACACACAGCCAGCAGCTGCTCCAGCACCAGCAACAGCAACAGCAACAGCAACAGCAACAGCAACAGCAACAGCAACAGCAACAGCAACAGCAACAGCAACAGCAACAGCACCAGCACCAGCAGTCATTGCAAAATCAATTTTATGGACCAGCTTCGTCGCATTATTCTAACAAGAAAAGCGGCGCTGCCGCGTCACCAGAAATACCTCATGATGCTGCACAAGAGGCTCACCTTTCCAATATGGACGGTTTATACAATTATCAAAAGCAGCTGTTAATGCTAGAAAAAGAGAATGAGCAGGCAATCTTGCACAGATCAGCTGCATCTACGCCTGGTTTCGTCTTGAACAAGACTAACGCTCCGGTTTACTCAGGATCATCTCCGCTGAGTATAAATACCATGAATGGCCCAGCAAGCTTCGGTCCTAACTCATCGTCAAGGTCTAAAGATCGGCCACGACGCAAATCCTCGACCACTAAGGCAGGCGGACCTACGCTCAACGCTACCAAAAAAAATCAATCAGAGCCAGTAACCCCTGTAGGACCCTTCACCCCTGCAGGCAGCTCACTCAATAAACACATGTCATCAAGTGCTCTATCGACTGTAAATGAGACGCCAATGGACACCTCTGGTGAAACCAAAGACTTCTTAATAAGCCAGAAAGGTGGACAAAAGCGCGTGAAGAAAGCAAAGAAGATGCAGGCGGCGAACTCTTCAACAGGTTTAACCACAAGCCCCTCCTCTCCGCTAGTAGAATCATCAGCGGATACTAAAAGGCCCAAAAGCTCCAGTGCCTGTCGTAACAAGCCTAAAAAGACAACAGCAGCTTCCAGCATTAAGGGTCCCACCAGAATAGCGCGGTCGGCGGGAACGACCCCGCTAACGGCAGACGATGTTCACCCGGAAAGCGCCAGTAGCAATGATACTACCAGTATTATCGGAACTTTCCCAACTTCGGTTGCCACTGAACCCACGCCACAAACCGATTTTGATGCTCTGGCTCAAAATGACCCTACATTAGGCTCTACAACGTACAATTTTGAGGATGACGATATATTCAGTTTGGGAAGCGAAGTGATCGAAAAATCTGCACCGTCCAAAAACCCCTCATCTAAACCAAGCTCAACGCAATTACAACCTCAAGCTCCTGCTGATGAACCTTTCAACCTTGACTTCCTTGATCCCAGTTCGAATATGAACTATGGCCTCAATCTAATGAACTGGCCCTAATGAAAACAAAAAATCCCTCAAGGTTGCATATAAGTAAGAGGGGACAGACATACTCGAAGTAGAATCGGACTGACTTTTACTAGTATATAGTGAAGCACTGGGCTGGCCCAGCGGTCACATCTTCTATGGTGCTTGAAATCACGTTTTTGTTGATAGTTGAAAAATTTCAACATTACTTCAAGATTAACGAAGTCCGTGTATCCCGTAAACCAGACGTTAGTTGTTCCGCAAAGTAACGGTAGTGACGAATCAATTGGCGTTGGTAAGATGTCATTTTACGGAAACAATCGTAGTGCGGGAGCTTTGCCTGTTTCAAAGGTACAAAATGCCGAAAAAGACCTAGCCAATGACATTGTCCTTCAAAACCCGGCAGAGGACTCCATCTCAGACATAGCCTTTTCTCCACAGCAAGATTTCCTGTTTAGTGTGAGCTCTTGGGACAAGAAAGTTCGTGTTTGGGACGTGAATGGCGGTGCGGCTCAATGCAGAGCAGAATATCAGCATCAAGGGCCAGTTTTAACAACAAGGTGGTCGGACGATGGGACCAAAATAGCCTCTGGTGGGTGCGACAACGCTGTGGTTGTCTTCGACGTAGCAACGGGCCAATCCCAGCAAATTGGGGCCCATGATTCAGCGGTCAAGTGCCTACGGTATGTGAGGTGTGGGCCCACGAATACGGAGTGTTTAGTGACAGGTTCGTGGGACAAGACAGTTAGGTACTGGGATATGCGCCAGCCACAGCCTGTGTCTACTCTATCGATGCCCGAGCGTGTATACTGTATGGACTCAAAGCAGAAACTTCTCGTGGTCGGAACGGCTGAGCGACATATTGCGGTGATCGACCTTAACAACCCGGCTGCTATTTTCAAAACAAGCATGTCACCTCTAAAGTGGCAAACCCGTTCGATTGCATGCTACATAGAAGGAAATGGGTTTGCAATTGGGTCCATTGAGGGACGCTGTGCAATTCAGTACGTGGACGAACAAGAGCAGCGTAAATCTGGCTTCTCGTTCAAGTGCCATCGCGTTCAGCAGCAGGCCACGGGTCCCGCTGGTGGACGTTCTACCACAGAATCTCAGGTATACCCTGTCAATAGCATTGTTTTCCACCCAGTGCATGGCACGTTTGCGACCGCGGGCGGCGATGGCACATTCCATTTCTGGGACAAAAACCAGCGGCACAGGCTCAAGGGTTTTCCTTCGCTACAGGCATCTATTCCTGCGTGCAACTTCAATCGCAGTGGATCAGTCTTTGCATACGCTCTCAGCTACGATTGGCATCAGGGCCACGCAGGCAACAGACCCGACTACCCAAATGTCATCCGTCTACATCCTACTACCGACGACGAAGTCAAGGAGAAGAAAAAGTAAGCTTTCGTAAAGAAAAGTCTGGCAAATCTGTGTAATACTATGCTGATAGCCTGTTAAACCCGGGCTGGGATTTTTTGACCTATTTTTTTTTTTTTTTTTTTTTGATAAGACAAAGAAGTGAGAACCTTCCTACAATTACGAACGCCTTGGGGCCTATTCACCTCCAATTGAGGTTTGCTCGAGTTGTTGAAATTACTACCTGGTTTTGAACTTTTGAGCTTAGAAAATTGTCTCTTTCTGGTGTAGTTACAATATTGAAAAATTTTCCGAAATAATGATGAGAAGCTGAAAAAAAGTTGAAATTTGAGAAAGTGGTGCTTAGAGATTCAATCAAGTTCAAACTAAAAAACAGGCGCTAGGTGGCTTTCAAACTTCTGGTTAATCCCAAAGATCTCTTCATTGGTAGACTGGTTTTTACGCTTTCTCAGTTCAAGTTCGAGTGGGCGTAAGGTTATTCAGATTGAGTTTGGTGTGCAGGATTTAAGCAATACAGATAGGATGCCGGGCCAAATCGTTAGCGTTCCGTTTCTGTCGCAGGTCGAAGACATGGACAAGTACTTGCTGGAGTACAGGAGTTTGAAGCTAATGCCTCAGAACTCTATGAGCTTTCAGCAGCAGCAACCACAGCAGCAGTCAAGACACTCTCAAACGAGAACGTCAGCGCCGTGCAATCAGAGCGCAAGCATGGGTTTTAATTTGGCAAATGGGCGCAAGAAAATAATGGGAAGCAATCCCAGCGTCCACAGCTACCGCTTGGGGAAAAACGGTGTCAAGTTTGGACAACAACAACAACAGCAGCAGCAGCAGCAGCAGCAGCAGCAGCAGCAGCTTCAGCAGCTTCAGCATCCACAACATGGTCAACAGAGCCAGCAATTTTTCCCCACAGCCGACAACAAACAAGCATTTTCGCCTATGCTTTTCGCCTCTGGCAACAACAGCGCTCCATCGCTCGTCCAACCTGCCCATGGCCCTCAGGTCTACCCAACAACTTCTGGTGGAGCTCAACAGCTCGTGACCGCCAGCTCTTCGTCAAGCTCTACTCCTCCCCCTAGGCTCCACGTTTCTGTCAGTGGGACCTCTTCAATTTCTTCTGTTGGAGGTGAATTCGAGTACTTGCTTCCTAATGATTTGAATGGCCAGCTGTTATCGTCATCCTCCCCTCAAGTTCCTTTAAGTATGCCCAGTGCGTCTATTGCAACAGCCCCAGGGCCTGGAACGGGCGCCGGGTTATCGAGATCGCGTAATAGTAACATGAACCAAATGACCATTGCTCCATTATCGGGGAGCTACTTGGACACTCCCGATTCCTCTACCGGATTCAAGCTCGAGGGCGGCCCTTCAAGGTCTAATGACTTCGCTAATGCCTTGCCGTCATCCTTGTTGTCCGACGCTGCAGGCTCTGCAGAATTTGTCGGCTCTCATGTACAAAACTCTCTTTTCAACACTGGGGCTTATCCGGCATCGAACTCTAATGCTAGAGTTGATTCATCGTCCAATTTTATTATACCTAACTCAGGTAATTGGGGCTCGGCAAACTCTAAATCAGCATCCACCTCAGGATCCTTCGGTATTTGGAACAATGATATGAGTGTTTGGAGCTAAAGCAGCACTTTCGCGGAAGCAAGGTCTGTTATGAAAAGACCTTGATAATCTTTTTTTTCCTCATTTTCATTCCCATCAGAGTCTCTGCATCCGTAGGAACAGAAAGATTCTTGGGACGGTAATTTAAATTTGCCATTACGAAAACTGTTTTTAATTTATTACCTGTTGGTAGGTGAAATTGGAGAGTTTTAAGCAAACGCTTAGCTCATGTGGAGATCTCATTTTGGTGGATGGATCTTCGGATGGTGTATTGGAAGTCATTGTGAAATGTACCACTTATCGGGTTTCACTAGAGAAAGTTAAAATTAATTTGGGCGCTATAATCAAGTCGAGGGCTATCGCACTTCGCAAAAATGAATGAATATCATAGATAGAATATTTCAAAAAAACTATTATCGAGTATGTATTGAGTTCCTAGTCATCTCTCTCGTCATCTGGTTACCATTCAACACCCAGCAGTTGTTTGAAGGTGTCTTCAAAAAGCTGAGGTTTGATGCGACCTTGGGAAAGGCGCATGCCTTGGCCCACCAAGTACTTCAAGGGGCCCTTCTTTTTGCCACTCGCAATTCCTTCAAGTAACTTTGGACTGTTAACTTCTGAGATTATCTGCAAGCAAATGTTCCTCAGTTCCTCGGGGTCCACCTCTTGGATTGCGTCAAGCTCGAAGTTAGCTATCAGTTCTTGTAGATTCACAGGTTCCACGACATCTGATCGTTTTGCGGCTTCTAGAATATGGAATAAAAGAAGCTTGGCACTTGCACTTGAAATTTTCTTCGCATGTATAAGGTTCAAAAGCTCAGCAAAGTTGGAAGGAGGCAGCGCGATTAACGCTGAGCTCAGTGGAAATTCGAGTTTGTTTAAGTTTCCCAAAAGTTCGTGAATAATCCAATTCGTTGGTAGCTTTGCGTTAAAGCTTGATCCAACCAGAGCAGTATACTGCGCAAAGGTCTCAATGTAGAAATTGAGTAGTTCTCCTTGGTTATATTGTTGGTCGTGGCCATTTGCATTAATGGCGAGTATCTTGGCATCTTTCAATGATAAGTCATAGGGTGAAGCCATCAAACGGTGAAGGATTTTATCTGGTAGTATGGGTAAAGATTCTTTTACTCCTTTGACTGCTTCTGCAGACAGTGTGATGCAAGGCAGTTCGGGGTCAGGCATGTACCTATAATCTATAGTAGTCTCCTTACTTCTCAATTTGACTGTCTGAGAGCCGTTCCAGCCACGAGTTTCCGAATATTTTAAAAGCTTAGCGGCATCACCGCTTCGAATTATGTCCACTTGTCTCTTGTACTCAAACTCGACGGCACGCATGATCGAGCTCGTATTAGGCAAATTTTTCAGTTCAACCCGACAAAAATCGTTCACCGACATGTTGACGTCGACCCTCATCGCTCCTGTCTCAAGGTCACCCGTAGAAATCCCCAGGTGGCGAACCAAGTTTTGATATTTCTTGATAAAAGAGTGTATTTGCTTCAGGTCTGAGAAATTGGGCAGCGTTACCATTTCTATCAGAGGAACATTGGATCGATTCAGATCGATCAGTGACGTCTGATCTGTCTCCTTGTAAATTGACTTCCCAGTGTCCTGTTCTATTTGTAGTTGTAGAATATCGATGTGGAGGCGCTCCTGGTGTATACCGTCCAACGCCTTAGTGAGTTCGATGAAGCCGCCTTTTGAAAATGGATTGTAATGCTGAGTGATCTGGTACCCCAAAGGTTGATCGCCATAGAAATAGTGCTTCCTGTCGAACTGTGAGCATGAACTTACTTCGCTGTTGAGAGCCACGGCCAATCGAGTGGCATACAAAATCGCTTCGTAATTCAGCTTGGGCAGTGTTCCTGGTAGAGCCACATCGAAGAAAGAGGTATGATAATTGGGAGCATTGTAGGAGTCGAATGGATCATTAGTAGACCGCGAAAACAGCTTGTTTCTAGTGTTCAATTGGGTATGAATCTCAAGTCCACATTTGAGCTGGAAATCAGGCAGTAGCCGGAATTCTTTATGGCCAACAGTTGAAACATAATGTCGAGTAAATCGGAGCATTCCAAGGAACGCCAGCGTGGAGGCTTCCCGTGTAAACTCGGCTCTTGATCAGCTTCTCTTGTGGATACTCTAATTTATGGTCATGTTTGACGTGAAGCGGGATGACAGTCTTTAACATCAGTGAATGCAGGTCTATAGTACCGATAGACAGAGGTCCATAAATCGGGAAAGCGGCTCGCGGTATCCCAACACCAGAGTCTCAAGCTAATTTTGAGAGCTAATAACAAGCTGTGTGAGATTAAATGCTTGAAATATGTTTCTAACAATTTGATCACGTAGGTATCTACCGATATGTGTGGACTTTGGTCACTTAGATGGAGTCTTTCCTGTCAACAGCTTGTTTAGTGCTACAAAATAGCCCAGTGAGTAGTAGTGCTCCATCAATTACGGTAATACTTTCAAAGTGTCACGATATTTTCTTCTTGTTATTGTTGAATGTCAGTTAATCGGTTCATGACTTAAAACAAAGTAGCCACTATGTGCCCGGCACAATTAAAATATAAACATATAATGGAAGAGCTCTGACATGCGGGTCAATTTCCTTAGCTATACATTCGGATCCTTATAAAGATGGGGACTATCAAAATCCTAATAACTGTCCAGCCTAATTGTTATGACGGTATAGGCGACAGTGTTCAACTGGTTTCCCGTCAGTCGACGAAGACAGTGATGAGGAGTCCTTCAGTAGCTCCGAGGGGTTGACGGGCTCTTCAAATACGGCAACTTGATTTCGTGTGGCCAGAAAAGACCCGGGCATGGCCCTCCGCCTGCTGCGAACCCTGTCGCTAGTATGTGAGCCCGACAAATCTTGCACCGTCGAAACTGCCCGTGCAGGTGCACCTATCCATAGCTGGCTACAATCAAATTTCTCAAAGCCCTTGTTATTCTCACCTTGATTATCTGTCGACAGTATTTTCCAATCAGAATAAATGTCACGATATATTTGACTGCTGTAGCAACAGTTTCGCAGGTTGGTCATTTGAGATCGGAACTGGTCGGGTATCATCTCCAAATCAAAAAGAAAGAGGTTTCGAAATTCAGAGAGGGGCAGTTTCACGGATCTCAATCGATGACAAAAAGGATGACCGCACGACACGATATCCATTTCCCGCTCGCATATGGTATATTGTAGTTGATCCAAAGCCTGCTGTGTTAAAGAGTCAGAATTTACATGATGTGGTGTTAGGCTTAAAGCCGAATCCAGCGATTCTCTCTCGCCCGCGGCTGGCGCCAAACTCAAACCTGCTGAAGCGACCTCAGACTTCCTGGGAGACCTTGCAACTGGGCTTCCATCTACATTTCCAGAGACCTGTGGCAATCTTATCGGCTGCTTTCTACCGCTGCCATTGAAGCGCTTTTTATCAATTTTGAGGTTTTTGTTGCTCGCAGAGCGGAGGGCATTGGTATCTTTAGGACACAGCACCTTCATGGTCGCTATCAGTCCCACAACTGCGCTCTAAAAAGGTTCACAACTAGTTAACACACCTTGCTTACTATATAATGCGTCTTGGTAAAGACTAGGACGATCTGACTGTTCTGATTCTTGATGTTAGCCATTAAATGACTGACAACTTTATACTGACGCATTTTCTCGACACAAAATCTGACACACTTTGTCACTAAAAGACAAAGTGATAATAGTGAATCAAGTTACCCGACCCTTAAATCTTTTAAAATTTTAATATTCACTATAGAATTAGATATGCTGAAATCGAAGTTACATCGCAGGTAACACCAAACACTAACACATCGGTGGGTTGTGGGCGTTACACGGCTTTTCAAGCATGTCAATATACTCAACGCCGCTGAAAAGTGGAATTGATTATAGCAGGGCTGTCATGGGACTTCCCAACAGTGATATTGGCACGACTGAAATAACCAACGGCGTCAAAAGACCCCTGGGTAATGAACAAAGTTCTGTGATGGTATCGGGATACAATGTAATTGGTGGGTCGGGGTCCTCTCTGGGTGGCCCTGCGGGACAAGAGCATTTGAGGGTACTCGGCTTGAGCTCGAAGCCTGCTCTGGAACTCGCCAGTCAGTACATCGACCACATGCAAAGCCAGGACTCGAGCACTCCGGTGCTCGACGAACGCTCTTACTACAACAACGGTGTCAATTACAATTTTAGCAAAGAGGTTGGCGGTTTGGGCGCCTTTACGCCGATGGAGCGTACTCAGGTCACGAATATCCCGGATGTGGTGCTGCGCGAAGCTGCCAAGGCCGAAATGAAGAGTGACATGGGACTCTTTCCCGAGCTGAATCGTTGCTGGATTACCATTGATAACAAGCTGATTCTATGGAATTTAGAACAACCTTCCGACTTACAGTCTATTGATGACATCAAGCATACAATTCTGTCGGTGGCTCTGGTGAGGCCAAAGCCTAACACATTTATCGACTCTGTCAATCACCTTTTACTTATTGCTACCCCTTTTGACATCTACATGCTTGCTCTTCAGCATAACGTTAGCTCGGGCGAGCTGGCCGTCTTCAACACCGGAATGTGTGTATCCGTTCACGGTCTAGATGTGAGCAACTTCACTTCGTGTGAAAAAACTGGCCAGATATTTTTCACAGGCAAGTCTAGCGGGACTAACATTTGGGAACTTCAATATTCTAGCACGGAAGACTGGTTCAACAGCAAGTGCAATAAAAATTGCCTAACGCAGTCTCTTTTAGACAGCCTGCTGCCCACGAACCTGATGTCCAAGATTCCTGGCAGTAATCTGATCCAAAGTTTTTTCGAAGAAAATTCCAAATATTCTGCAGAACATTTGGTCCAGCTCTGTGTTGATGATAGCAGGAATATCCTTTACTCTTTGTCAAATAAATCCGTTATCCGCGCTTACAAGATGAATGAGAAGAGTTTAGAGGGTCCTCTCACAATTGAAACGTCATACATCAAACGCATAATGGGCACCACTTCGGCTAGAGGAGCTGCCATTCTGGGCAACAAATATTTGAAGATATCCAAACTAATTGTTGTTACCGCAAAGGAGAATGGTAACCTGTATCTGGTGGCCATAACGATCGGCGGCGTCCGAATTTATTTTAATGGCTCATCAAATAAAACACACCTTGAGGCCTTAAGATTGGAGTCGATTAAATTTCCACCAAGCTCCGTCACCGCTGAAGTGATAGAGAATGAGCTCCAGCAGCAGCAACAAAAGAAGAATTTGCCATTGTATTCATCGCTTGCGAGCGCAGAGTCTATAATGCTAAAATTCCAGAAAAAGTCATCCGTGCTGCTGGAATCAACCCAAGCCAGTACGATTATATCTCCGGGGATTTTTTTTTCCGCTGTGAGCAAAACCACACACCAGGACCATGGGGGTGCTAACCAAGATCAAGTGGCTGGACAGCAACCGCCAACAAAACCGACCGTCCACTGGAATAATGGACAATTACCTTTACAACCAACCCAGGTGGATCAGGCGCCAAACTCTCAGGCCACACAGCAGAAACTGTTTGTGTCTGTACCGGATTATGGAGTCTTAAAGAAACACGGCAAATACGTGGAGAACGCTACCCTATTAGACACCGCTGGTGTTGTCAAACATATCGTTCCAATAAGCCCACTCTTCGCCGCCACAGACAAGCCAGAAGGTTATGCAAATGAGTTTGCTACGCAGTACACCTCGTCAGAATTTAGAGTTGCTGTTTTGACTAGCTCAACTGTAGAAATTTACAGATACAGAAACCCAGATGCAGTTTTTGAATCACTTATCGAAAACCCCTTACCGTTTGTCTTGAACTATGGTCTAACGGAAGCATGCTCCACGGCTTTATTCGTAACTTGCAAATTCAATAAGTCTGAAACCCTGAGATCGAATGCCTTGACATTTTTCACAGTCGGACTACCTGGTGTAGCCGAGATCAAGCCCAGATATAGCAAATACGCATCTAGTGCGATGTCAGCGATGCTATCAAAACCTTCAGTGATATCAACGCCACAAAGATCTGCTTCGACGGCAGACAACGCGGGCCTTCTCACATCAAAAACTGATGACACTTATAATCTGGATGATGTGATTTTGTCACCTCGTTTTTATGGTATTTCGCTATTCATCGCCAGATTGTTCAGAGATATTTGGGACAGACCAGTCTTTCAAAAAGATCCCACCATAAGGATGGATTTCCATTCCAAGCTAATGAAAAGCTCCACTTCGGAAGGTAACTTAATTACTTCGATTTCAAGCACGAAATCAGATGTTGAATATTACCTTTCTTCCGTTATGATTCTGACAGATTTCTTTGATACTTATGGAAATACAATTTCCAGCATTTCAATACCTTCATTCCAGACCACCACAAGCTTGGACAGGTCAGAGGAGATTGCAAACCAAGCAGAAAACATCGCAATCAATTCCCTTATCAAGTTAATTCAATCTATGAAAGAGGCATTTTCTTTTTTGAATGTTTTGTTTGAGGAGAGTGAAATCGAAGGGCTCGAAGGTCAATACATTGCTTTCAAGGACATTATCAAGTTTTTGAGCGTTGATACTCAGGCCGAGCTAGCGAAGCTCAGTTATAGGGACATTTTTGCTCCCACTGAAACCTCTAAGGATCTGCTGCGCGAAATTATATCCTCGATCATTAACAGGAATATTTCTAGAGGGGGCTCGATAGAGTACATTGCAACGGCCCTACAGGAAAGATGTGGCTCGCTGTGTTCAAGTAGCGACATTTTGGGATTTCGCGCTGTTGAGCATTTAAGGAAGGCCAAAGAAGTTGGCATCCGTGACTATGAGACTTCCAACTACCACCTAACCACTGCGATCAAATTATTTGAAAAGATTGTCGATAGCATTTCGATGGAAAGGTTAAAGGAAGCCGTGTCTACCATGTTGGAACTGAACTATTATCCAGGAACCATCAAATTCCTTTTGAACATAGCGAACTCAATGGATAAAGGCAATTTGGCTCACCAATATGTTGCCAGCGGATATTTGGACCAAGATCCCAACAAGGCATATTACGAAAAACGTATTCACGCTTACGAACTGGTATTTGAAACGTTGGTGAAGGTTGATGATATCGTTTCAGCGTCTATTTCTACGGGACTTGGGGCAATGGGGAATGTTGAAGAGCTTTCAAGGTTGCGAGAGGAAAGTTACACAGCAGCTTTGAAATATAATGATAAGCTCTTCCATTATCAGTTGTATGACTGGCTTGTGTCTCAAAACTCTGAGGATAAACTACTTCAACTGGAGACAGACTTTATTTTGATGTATCTTCAAGAAAAGGCCCAAGGATCTTTAAAAATCTCTAACCTTTTGTGGGTATTTCAGTCCAAGAAGTCCCAGTTCTATTCTGCCGCACAAATACTGTATTCTCTTGTGATTTCAGACTTCAAGATACCGCTAAGCCAGAGGATTGAGTATTTATCCAGAGCTAATGGGTTTTGCAATGGAGTATGTGCGCCCAATGATCGGCAGCGCATGATACACCTAGCAGGAATGATACAGGAAATCTTCGACGTCGCAAGTGTTCAGGATGACATTTTGTCGCTTCTCAAAAAGGATTTACGTGTTAACGCAGAGACTAAGGACGGGCTACTAAAACAGCTGGACGGAAAAATATTGCCCATTAGCGATCTATTCAATGATTTCGCTGATCCCTTGGAATATAATGAGGTTTGTTTGACAATTTTCAGAATATCAGAATTCAGAAATAACGAAGAAATCATTTCCAAATGGACGGAATTGTTTGAATCTTTGAAAAGCGAGTTGAAGAAAAACGGAGACATGGAAGAATCGAATAACTTTATCAACATGCTCACTGCAGTTGTAGTTAGAGTTGGAAGAAATGTCAGAACATCTGAGTTTGTATTTCCAATTACGGAATTATTCCCCATCATATGCGATTTATTCTATGAGAATTTGCCCGCACAACATATTAAGAATGGCTCAATAACGAGTATCTTTATTTCAGCCGGCGTTTCTTTCGACAAAATGTACTATATGCTCAAGAACTTGATAGAGACCGCTGATTCGGTGAACAATGTTTACAAGAATGAGATGGTATGGCTAATAAAGGAATGGTACGATTCCGATACTAGATTGAGAGACATTATCTCCTTTGATGATGTTCGCAACTTGAACACTTATAGCATTGAGCATGATCCGATTGAAAACCAAGTCAAAAAGACCGGTATAAGCATTTAGTGTTCTTAAAGTCACAACGCATTCAAAATATCATGTAACTTATCATTTTAATTATGGGACAACAATAGAGACATCAAATCTACCTACCCATCACGGGCATTTCATCAAAGCTTACCTATAATTAAACGCCGTAATTCATAGAAAGCCGGTATTCCTGCACCAGTTAAGGCAAGATGAAGCCATGAGCATTACTATTATATAAAGGAACCAGCCGTTTATAAGGAAAATAGGCAAACATAGGAGAGCGCATGATATGTGATCATGGTAACGGAAGAGGAAATATAAAGCCAGCAGATGTAGCATAAGGAAGAAGTGAACAGGGATGCGAAGATTTCCAAGTCAAGCTGGTAGTTACAATACAGACAATGGACGAGTCCAAATTTGGGAAACAAACAAAATCCTTGTAGAATATTGACAAATAACCGCGCTCGCTTGCCGAACGTTCCTTGCTTTTCTCTTTCCTTACCACAGACCGAAAAGCCGGCGCACAGGAGCGCCTCTCAAACTTACTTGCTGCCAAAAGTGTTCTCTCCAGAGTAAGTGACGTACAAAAACCCGTCCTTGTCCTTGTGCTCCTGGTAAATGGCAGACATCAACGCTGCCGTTGGAGGCAACGTATCATTCACAAATATGAAAATAGCTTTCTCCGCAGGTAACTTGATCCGTTTTCTAATCACGTACACGAACTGTCCCACGGTTAGATCTGCTGGGACGAGATATTTGCGCTTATCGATCTCCGGGATGTCCGATTTCTCTGCCTTTTCGCAGATCACTGGAATTCGATTTTCGAACTTCTGGCTGATTCGCTCCGATTCCGCCTTCCTTTTCTCGAAAGGGTACTCTGACTTGAATGCTGATTTCATGATTACAGTCTAGGGGTGGACTCGCTACTGGTTAATTGGGAGTTCGTGTTCAGTCTCCTTAACACTTCTCAAGATTCGTCCGCCACTTATGTGCTCTCCTATTTGGTCTTTTGGTTGCAGACTCACGAACAACACCAACAGCTGTCCAAGGAATGCCCTGTTGTTTTGACCGGGGAAAGACCTCGTGTAGTAAAAATTTTCAAACTCTATTGCTAAACGCTTGAAGAGAATTCACTCAAGTTCACAGATGTGTTAACTAAAGTCAACCAACGTTCTGTTTAGCTTTAGTAGAGATGAGTATGTTTACAGCTTGTGGTTCGCTTTATATGTGCTTTAATAATTGAGGACCGCGGGGCATTTCACCCCTTGAAGTTCCTTGTCCGGGTAACGGAACTTGAGGGGCAGCACACACATCACGTGAAAATCACACCAGTCATATGCCACGCTGGCATGTGATATACACGTGAGAGCGATACCAGTCGTCAGTCCTGGAGAGAGATCTGGGCCATTGCATCTTCAAGAAAAGCTTGCTCGAGCCTGAGCATGTTTTCGTAGTCGTCGCGTTCTTGCAACAGAGCTATGAGCTCGTTTTCCTCGTCGTCCTCGTTTTCCTCGTCAATTTCGTCGTCGACCCCGTCCAAGTCGAATATGTCCAGCTCCTCCGGCGACAAATGGTGTATCTGAGCCTGCGCTGCCAGCAGTTTCATCTCTGCATCTCGTTCTGAGTTTAGCACGTCTCGCTCCATTTGAGTGGATCCCCCTCGGGCTCTTAGGGCCCTTTTTTCCAGCGCTTGGTGTCGTTGGGCCTGCAAGCTCTGCCGCCTGCTCCGACAATTGGGAAGACGACCTGAGCCTGGGCCATTTCGCAATGGAGATGAAAGGGGCTGCTTGAAACTTTTGTATTCTGCCTGGCGCTCATTTTGCAGTTTTTCGGTAATGGACTCGATTTCTGGTGACCACGGCGGACTGTCAGGGCTTTGATCAAATGACGATCTCGTGGGGGCAGTCGCCGTTGGGCTTGACGGAAGCCTTTGAGGGGAGCTTGAAAGTGCCTGAACCATCCTCTTGCAGTTTATTTCCCGGCAGCCCCATCGAAGTAGTGATGGTCCATCGACAAACTAAATAACATCATATACGTATATCGATCATAGTTTAAGGACTACCCAAAAGGTGGCTGGCAGCTCCAAGACAAGCTCCCCATCTTAGAACAAACAAATATATTAAAAACGATTACATGACAAGAGAACGATTCTCTGGGCTCGGTTACATCTATCTCGCGGGTTCCCAGACAGAGGGTCTTATCACTTGATTCGTACTCATAAACTAAACAGTTTCAATCTGAAAACGGTGTCATTGATGGACTGTTCCTCGTCAGCAATTTCAGACTTGAGAGATCCATCAAATTTAGTAATTTCCGATCTACAAGTCTTGCTCAACATTTCAAAGTGAGTCTTGATGACTTGTGGAAGCTCGATGGTGTCCTTAACTAGTTCATACTGAACAGCGACTTCGTCAGTGGCGTCAAGCCCACACTTCTTCCGCAATTTTTGAATTCTGTTAACGAGCTCTCTGGCCAAACCTTCGGTTTTGAGCTCTGGGTAGATTTTGGTGTCCAAGATGATCAAGACGTCTTGATCAGTCCTGGTTTCCAGCCCGTCCGCAACAGAGTCTTCTGATAAGACTCGCATGACCGTTAAATCGCCCTTCGTGAGTTCGATTCCGTCAACCACAATCTTGCCGGTTTCCAAGTACTTGTGGACCTCCAGGGAAGTGACATTTGGTAGGGCAACCTTGACCTTCTTGGCGTCTTTCTTCAATTTTTTACCCAGCACTGGCCAGTCAGCAGCAGCCTTGTATTCGATGTTGTACTTGGCATCATCAGAAGTAATGATCAAATCACGAACGTTGAGCTCTTCTACAATATATGGAGCAAGCAACTCAACATCCTTGAGATATTCTGGATCGCTGTGGAAAATAACCAAAGACTTTAGAGGGGTCTTCAGCGAGATAGTCTTTTTCTCACGGATATTTCTACCTAGGTCGATGACCGCTTGCATTCTAGCCATAGCCCTTTCGATATCGTCATCAAATAATGTTTCGTCAACCACTGGGTACGATAAAAAGTGGACAGATCTGCTATCCTTACTAATTTTGCTCAAGACCTCCTGCGGTATGTATTCTCTGAGTCTCAAATAAATGTTGTCGGACAAGAAGGGAGTAAATGGAGCCATGGCACAAACGAAAGTAAACAGTGCATCGAAAAGCGCATTGAGAGCTTGCATACAATCTTGTTCGCCGCTTTCACCCTTCAGACGACGACGGTTTAAACGAATGTACCAGTTCGTCAATTGATCAATGAAATCCAATAACCTTGGAACCACAGAGTAAAGTTTGTAAGCTTTCATTTCCTCGTGAATGTTTTGGACAAGTGTTTGTAAGGAAGCTAAGATCCATTTATCCATAACGTTGTTACTCTTTAGTTCCGGATTGTACTTGAAATCAATGTTGGAGTTTTTCTTGAGTAAGGCAATTTGCCCTTCCAAAAACTTGAAGGAATTCCACCATGGCAAAAGAACCTTGGAAATAACTTCTTTAACACCCTCCTCTCTGAATTTCAAACTCTCTGCCTTCAAAACTGGAGAGTTGATCAAGTAAAGCCTCAACGCATCCGCACCATATTTATCTAGAACGAGGTTTGGATCTGGGTAATTCTTCAAACTCTTCGACATCTTTCTACCATCAGCAGCTAAAACAATACCACAGACAATAACATTTTGGTAAGGAACTTGGCCAAAAAGTTGCGAACCAAGAACACCTAGAGTGTAGAACCAACCTCTAGTTTGATCCAAGCCTTCAGAGATGAAATTGGCGGGAACTCTATCCTTGAAAACTTCTTTATTCTCGAAAGGATAATGCTGCGAGGAATAAGGCATAGAACCCGACTCAAACCAACAGTCAAAAACCTCGTCAATTCTCTTCAACACTCCTTTACCCTTCTTGGATGGGATGGTGATTTGGTCAATGCTGTCACGGTGCAGATCTTCAATACCTGTAACGCCAGATAACTCCTCTAGCTCTTGAACGGAACCGATACATACCACTTCTTCATAGTCTTCAGAAACCCAAATTGGAATTGGCGTACCCCAGTATCTATTTCTGGAAACGTTCCAATCACGGGCATTGGCGATCCAGTTCGCAAATCTCTTCTCCTTGATAACGTTAGGAACCCAGTGCGATTTTTGGACCGATTCCAAAAACGTTGGAATGATAGGCTTGACCCGTACAAACCAGGCGGGGACCGATCTGTATAGCAATGGCGTGTCAGATCTCCAGCAAAATGGATAGCTGTGTCTGATTTGGGTGTTGTTGATCATAACTCCGCTAGCGGTCAAGTCCTTAATAATCTGTTTGTCGGCGTCTTTAACATATTGACCAAGATAATCAGTGACAGGTTGCTTAAATCTCCCGGAATCATCAACTGGGTTGGGTAATTCGTCATCTTCGGAAATAATGCCATTAGCCAGGCAGATTCTGTAATCGTCTTCACCAAAGGCTGGAGCATTGTGCACAATACCAGTACCCGAATCGCTGGTCACGTAGCTATCAGCAATCACGCGGAAGGCTTTTTCAGAAAAGGCTTCTTTGAAGTAAGGGAAAACAGGCTCATACTTGATCCCAACAAGGTCCTTACCCGAAATTTTCTCTACGACCTTATACTTCTCCTTCTCAGGTTTTTTGTAAAGGGATTTGATCAAAGATTCTAGCAAGATAAAATGCTTGTCTCTAACTTCATCGTAGATCTTGACGTATTCAAAGTCCGCGTTAACACACAGAGCCAAGTTAGAGGGGATGGTCCAGGGAGTGGTGGTCCAGGCGACCAAATAGGTGTTCTCCAAACCAATAGCCTTGAAAGCCCATGTGACAGCAGGGTCGTTCACTTCTTTGTAGTTCTGTTGAGCCTCGAAATTACTCAATGGGGTGGTGCAACCGGTAGAATAGGGCATGACCCTGTAACCACGGTAAACTTGATCCTTTTCGAAAAGTTGTTTGAAAGCCCACCATGTGGATTCCATGAAAGACGGATACATGGTTTTGTAATCATTATCGAAGTCAATCCAGCGTCCCACCCGTCCAATGGTCTTGCGCCATTCCTCCGCGTATGTCATGACAATAGCTCTACACTCGTCATTGTACTTGTCGATACCCATTTTGTAGACATCTTCTTTACCAGTGATACCTAACTTCTTGTCGATGATGTGCTCAATCGGTAGACCGTGTGTATCCCATCCAAACCTTCTCTCAACGTGATAGCCATTCATGGTGGCATATCTGGGGACCACATCTTTCACAGTGGAGGTAAGAATGTGCCCATAGTGAGGAGTACCAGTGGCAAAGGGAGGGCCGTCAAAAAATGAAAACTCAGGTTTGTCCTTGCTTAGGTTCAAAGACGTCTGGAAGGCGTCAATTTCATTCCAGAAACTGAGTATTTTTTCCTCTTCCTTAGGGAAAGAGAATTGACCAGTTTGCTCACCCATGGAACTGAACTTAGGGTGGAAACGTTTGAAGTTGGGCTGAATGAACGAGAAACTTCTCGACTAAATTATTCACAATTTGTCTCTGGTTTAGTTTTTTGAATGAATCATATTCATATTCTGTAATAATATTCGAAAATTTTTCGAACCCTCAACGTATATCGTGATATTACTCGAGAGGATCTCCTGCTTGCAAGTATACAAAGCTTAGAGGATCCAGAATAGGTAAATTCCATGAATAGGCTAAGCCAGGCTATCCAAGGGCATGATACGACTCTACAGCCTATCTGTCTGTGCTCTTACCTTTCTGAGATGGTTTTTCGGACTGGCAATTTATATATCACTTTACACAATACTGTCACTGCACTAGTTACAATCAGTTTGTTTTAGCGCAGTGAGTTTACGTGAGCCTTGTAGAAGCAGTACTTGCGCATGCTAACCGACATGGCCATCAAAGGTTGGTAGGATCAGGTCAGTAGTGAATCACAGCTAATGCTGACTCACTTCATTAACATGTTGATATAATGTCACGAGCATTGTCTACAGATATCCAAGGACGCATTTATTAGCTGCTGTTGCATAATTATGTCGAGGACGGCTCAAAAACTGTGGCAATTAGCCAGCCAACTCAGTCTGCCATATAATAAGTTTGCTTAGAAGCCTTGAGAAATTGTCCGAGGATCACTAGTTAGCCGTTCAGATAGGCCATTATACTGAACTTTCACGTGAGATGCGGAAAATAAGTCTACACACTGGGTGTTTCATTTTTAGTTCTAAGTCAATTACAGTGGTTAAATTTCGTATTCTAGGATGTTAATGATTCTTTACAGCGAGGTTTCTAACCGAGCTTTATTTTTGGTTATGGATGAATGGGCAGCAACGATGGCTACCGATAAACCTGATATCATTTATGGTGCCAATCGGTATTTTTTTCGAACAAGTTGTAGGTTTTGATAACGGAGAAGAATAACACTGACGTCGTACGTTAGAAGATGAAGTTTCTTAAAATTTGGGAACTTATCAATTATCATTATTATGGAAATCCACCCAATTGAGAATGCTCTCAATTGACATCTTAGCTCAATTTATTGTTCATCATGTCATCTGTGGTTCTAGTCATGGGAAATTTTGGGGACTGAACAAAAATTAGTACATCTATGCAACAATATGCTGTCGACTCAGAATTACCCTTGACAGTTGGGCGTCAATAAACGTTGAAGCTGCTAGGTAACGTGGTCCTAGCGTATGAATATTTTATTGTTGGGAATAATGTGAGTTACCAGCGAACTGATGGTGATGTGCGCCTAATCACACAATCGGCGTCAGGATATATGTGACACAATGGTACAGAATGATAGTACGCAACCGAGGCCGACTTACCATCTACGACAGGCCGAAGACAACAACTGTTGTCCAATGGCATTTGTTCAGGTAACTGAACCAGCTCTAATGCCTAAAATAAAAAAACATGGAGAGATAAATAGAATTCCTTAGATCCAAGTTACTCATCTTACAATGACTACGTCCGACTTACAAGACGAATTTAGTAGTAACCTTTCTACTAATGAATAAGATTTACCTCAGTAATTATTACTTTGTATGCATTGAGCGGGATGGCACAACTACATGTCACTCGCACTCGATTAAGTTGGATAACCAATTTACTTGGCTTTTAAGGCATGAAAATACATATGAACTTATTTTTACTATATACGCAGGCTGTGGTTTGGATTTGTGGTTTTCGTTGCCGGCGTCATCATCATTGTCATCATAAAAAGATAATAACACATCATCTTGAATCGAGGTTTGCTGGCTGAATTGATTGCTTTCACAATCCCTTCAATCAACTTCTTCAACAGTTGGACCAGAATCCGTGGTACCAGCACCGGGACCACCCGTACCAGCACCGCCTGGAGCGCCGCCTGGAACACCGCCAGGAACACCACCAGGGGGTGCACCACCAGATTGGTAAAATTTGGTCATTATTGGGTTGGCAACATCTTCTAACTCCTTTTGTTTATCCTTATACTCATCAGTGGAAGCAGCCAAGGAGGAATCCAGCCATGAAATGGTTTCCTCAACCAGAGTCTTCAACTTTTCGTGGTCAGCATCCCCAACCTTCTCTTTGAAAGCAGATTCGCTGAGCGTGTTCTTGAGGCTGAACGTGTAGGCCTCCAAAGAGTTTTTGGTTTGAACCCTTTCGGCTTCACGCTCGTCTTCAGCCTTGAATTTTTCAGCATCAGAAACCATCCGTTCAATGTCATCCTTGGACAAACGACCCTTATCGTTCGTGATGGTGATTTTGCTGGACTTACCGGTGCCCTTCTCCAAAGCGTGAACATTTAAAATACCGTTGGCATCCAAATCAAAGGAGACCTCGATCTGAGGCACCCCGCGAGGGGCCGGTGGTATACCACTGAGTTCAAACTTGCCCAACAAGTTGTTATCCTTGGTTCTAGTCCTCTCCCCTTCATAGACCTGAATCAATACTCCAGGCTGATTATCGGCATAAGTAGAGAAAGTTTCTGTCTTTTTGGTGGGGATAGTGGAATTCCTAGGGATCAGTTTAGTCATGATACCTCCAGCAGTTTCAATCCCCAAAGACAAAGGTGCCACGTCCAACAACAACAAATCCTGAGTTTTTGAGGACTGGTCACCAGTCAAGATGGCGGCTTGAACTGCTGCACCGTAAGCAACAGCCTCGTCCGGATTGATGGACTTGTTGGGATCTTTACCATTGAAAAAATCGGTCACCAATTTCTGAATTTTTGGAATACGGGTGGAACCTCCAACCAACACGATTTCGTCAATTTGGGACTTGCCCAGTTTAGCGTCACGCAGCACCTTCTCCACAGGGTCCATTGTGGAGCGGAACAAGTCCGCACAAAGCTCTTCAAAACGGGCTCTGGTGAGAGAAGTGTAAAAGTCCAAGCCCTCAAAGAGAGAGTCGATTTCGATTGAAGTTTGGGCAGAAGATGATAGCGAACGCTTGGCACGTTCTGCAGCAGTCCTCAAACGCCTCAAAGACCGCTGGTTGCCGGTCAAATCCTTGCGATTCTTGCGTTGGAATTCCGCAGCCAAGTGGTTCACCAGGCGATTGTCAAAATCCTCACCACCCAAATGCGTGTTACCTGCGGTTGCCTTCACCTCGAATATACCTTCGTCAATGGACAGCAACGACACATCGAAGGTACCACCGCCCAGATCGAATATGAGTACATTGTGCTCTGCACGGCCCTTCTTGTCAAGACCGTACGCAATGGCAGCCGCTGTGGGCTCGTTTATGATCCGCAACACGTTGAGACCTGCGATGGTACCGGCGTCCTTGGTGGCCTGTCTCTGGGAATCGTTGAAATACGCCGGCACCGTGACCACGGCATCCGTCACATTGCCGCCCAGATAGCCCTCTGCAGTCTCCCGCATCTTTCCCAACACCATGGCCGAGATCTCCTCCGGCGAGAACACTTTGGTCTCGCCGCGATAGTCCACTTCCACGTGAGGCTTTCCCTCCCGCGCCACTATTTTGAACGGGAAGTGTTTGGCGTCCATCGTCACCTCCGGGTCGTCAAACCGCCTGCCAATCAGCCGCTTGGCGTCGAAAACAGTGTTCCTTGGGTTAATCGCCGCCTGGTTTTTTGCTGCGTCGCCGATCAGCCGCTCTGTGTCCGTGAACGCCACGTACGACGGCGTGGTTCTGTTACCTTGGTCATTGGCAATAATCTCTACACGGTCATTGGTGAAATGTGCCACACACGAGTATGTGGTACCCAAATCTATACCGATGGCTTTTGACATGTTCTGCTTTTTTCTGCTATGTTTGACTGGGTCAATTTTGGTGTTTGGTTTTGCAGCTGTAGAAGTAATTACAGTCTTGTTTAGATTCCCTCTGAATGCGCTCGAGTTCATCCCAAATGTCTATTCTGCCTGTCCTTTTATACACTCTTTTAGGGGAGCGGAACTAAAACCCCGCGTCCTATGCGCCACCCCTAAAAAACCTGATGACCAGCTAAAAGCTTTCCATGGAACTTGCTAGAGCCGGAAAGAGCAATCCGGAACCATTAATTACAAGGTTAGAACGCACAAAGGAAAGAGAGCGAAAGTGTGTGGGATACGGTGCTAGAATATTCCAGAACGTTCTTCGGGCTCGGCGGCTAAACCGGTGCCGCAATTTCCAAAATGACTCGGGAAGCTGAAGGAGTCAGGAAGCCGAAGGAAATGATCACGGGCCAGCGAGTCAATTGGCCAGGCAATAGCGGTGAGAAAACCGGGAAATACCGCTCATAGTGAAAGGCCATTTTGACGATACACGTCCCAATGCTAATGTGATCGATCCGCTTGACTCTCACCGTTCGGCCCTGGCCAGTTTCTCAAAGCGTCGGAGACACATACGGCTGTATAGAGAGACTCACCCACGGATGGAGCCAGGGCGGTCTGTATCCATCCGGAACAAGTGTTTGTGCTCGGTTTCCGATGAGATCACGCGATACGAACGAAAGTGCCACTCTATGCATGAGATGCGAGCCATGCACATGTTGCATGCAACAGTCCATGGCAACAATGCATAGTAATGCGTTCGTTGCAGTCACCGGTATATAACTCGCTCGGCAACCACAGGACCGTTCTCGTCGCCGCTGTCATCGTCTCCGTCGTGCTGGAAGGCATAAGGTCGGTCAAAGCTGGATAGGAGTGCGTCCGGTTCGCTGTCGACCTCACCTAGGTGCGGCCACAGCTTGCGGATGGCATTCCCCGTATTCGGCAGTTCAGTACTGTGGTGCGAGTCGTGCAATACACGTACCCAGACGTCCTCGTTTAGCAGCGTATCCACGTAGAATGACGGCAAAGATGCGAGCTGTGCGGCGAGAAGTGCATCCAGTTCCGCAAGGAGTACAGTTTTTATACGAGAGCTGAATGCCAGCAGTTCCACGATGTTATGCCATTGGAGGCTGGAAGCGTAGTTCCCGAACATCAGGGCATTCAAGAACGCCCACTGCAGTTCGCCGAAAAGCGAGTATATCGAGCTGTGATGGTGGCGGGGCAAAATGACCTCGTTCAAGTAATAACTCTTGTCCAGAAAATCCTGCATTTTGTGCTCGGGCCGTATCGCGTCTTTGGACTTGAAGACGATGGCTGAGTAGTTGAGGCTCAGTTCTTCCTGCGGAACTGGGCCGCCAAGGCCTGTGCCACCAGTGTGGCGACCCTTGGCAAGCGCCTTCCTCAGAATGCCTTTTTCTTCCTCCGTGGTCACGGCCGAGTCCATGTAGACAAAATGACCGCTGCAACCAGCGATGTATTTCACGTCCAGCATCTTGACGAATTTTGTGATCTCAAACCACGAGTCCCCTTCGTCCACCGATGGGTATGGGACCATGAGTGGATGGAGTTGCTGGAACTTGTTGTAGCCATCGCGTCGCGCTTCCTCGGTTTCCAGGCTTCGTGGTTTGTACAGCTCCTGGGTCCTGTCGTACTCAAACTGGAGGTACTCAAGCTTATCAGCCTCAAAGTAGTAGCCATACCTAACGCCCACCGTGGAATGCTGGAAATGTACTATGTGGAATCGCGGATCTCGCGGGACCTTTTTGAAGCCGTGGAACGGCTGGTTTGGCTTAACATCAAAGGAGTAAAGATCAATGCCAAACGTAACCGGCTGATCAATACGGTCTATAAAGATCTCCATTTTTCATGCTTAACAGCACGGATGGGTAGTGGCGTTGTTGGCCAGACTCATCGTTACTAGCCCTAACTCAAGATCGTAGATTATACAGATCAAGTACGTACATCGCGACAAATACATAAATTTTTTTGTAGGGCCTATATAAATTGAAACTATCAAGCTTGTTAAAAAGACTTTGTCTGTATGTCTGTCTACTCGTCCAAACGACACAACAACTCGCCAATGTGCGGAGCTACGTAGGAAGAGGCGCGATATCGACATTTCCGTCAGACGACAGAATTTGCTATCTGTAAATGCCCTATTCTTGAGATGTATTGTTCTATTATGATGAAAACATATTTTACACAGACCTGTACTGAATCTTTCATGCAGATAAACAAATATTGCCTTTTATTTCTGACAATTGAACAATCGTGTAGAGCTTTGCGTAGCCGACAGAATGAAGTTTTTGACATCAAACGCCCGTTCAGATTGCGAATGTTAGTCTCGGAAAATTGTGCCAACTTTTGTAGTGCTGGTGCCCGCGTGCATGCAGTAGAGTCACGGCTGCCCTTCAAACGGCAGGCAGACCGACTGGTCTTAATGGTAAGACTTGTATTTTGTGCTTTACAAATATTATAGAAACAATTTACAAAATTGCGAGATAAAATGACGTGAATCGGTTTCAAAAAATAAAATCATGGCGACATTTCACCAGATCTATTTCTTGGAAGTCAATCTTCTCAAGTAGAAGGCCAATTCCTCACCTTCCAAGATGTAACCGTCACATCTACCAGATTGACCTGGTCTGGAAGAGATGCAGGCGTACAATCTACCGGCACCGAATTGAGCTTCAACAGTGTGCTCAATCTTGGCGTCAGCAGCTCTGGCGGCCCACTTCTTTTCAGCGCTCTTGGAGCTGGCAATAACTTCCTCTTCGGCACCCTTGGCGGCCTTCTTCTTACCCAAAGTTTGACCGTAGTGACCTTCGAACCATTGTCTGAATGGAGTAGCATCGATTTGAACAATAGCAGCCTTGGTCAAAGTGTTGGTTCTGACCAATTCGTTGTTGGAAGGATGGTACACGACACCAGCAATTCTGGTCTTTCTGGTGACACCCTCGGAGGCCCAGGCGAAGTTACCGGTTTCAATTCTCAAGGCTCTGAATTTTTGGTTACCACCTCTAGTTCTCACGGTGTGGATTCTCTTGGCACCGATCTTAGTGTTGGCTGGTTGACGACCCAACTCAAACTTTCTCTTCTTTCTGAACTGGGCACGCTTGGCACCAGTAGCAGCTCTCTTGTGGCGAGAATCACGAGAAATACCCATATTGAATCTGCGAAAGAGTAATGTTAGTAATGAGACAAAAGACCATCATAAGTTGTTTGAGCCACAACAACCGGACCGCAGCACGCTTTGCAATCGACAGCATAACGCAGTGGAAAGAAGAGCAGTAGTCAGAGCGCTGTCCATACGAACAACGCAGCTGACTCTTTTACATTATCGGTTCTGCCATATCTTCCATGTCTAGTGGGACTATTCTATCTTATCCACATCAATGCCACCAGCACACTAATCGTTTGTATTGTGCTAGCAAGTAAGTCTAGCGATTCCAGTTGTGTTAGCTCCTTAATACCATGGTTTCACATACTATTGTCCTAGTGTTTTGAAATATTCAATAGTAAGTGGCTCTAACACTCGAATTACTTTATCTTTTCTTCCCTCAACACAACTGCTGAGTTTCCCACCCGTGAGTGACAATCCGCAAAGGAATCGTTAGCATGCTCTGCCCTGCCCAGTGAGCAGAGCTCCCTCTGGAGGGGCCCATGAGCTACGCAGGCCAGCTGGAAGCTAGGCAGAGACACTCCATGCGCTGGGCTCACGTCGTGGGAGAGCCTCCTGGGCCTAGGCAGAGATTCCCAGACCGGTGCGTCTTCCGATTTCTTCACTTTCTAATTTTCCTCCGACGCTGATATTTTTTTATTTTTCAGCAAAAATGAAAATATAAAAAATAAGATTCTCAAGTGGTGTACGGGCTATATAAGAGCAGTCACAAATCAGAGCGGACTGTAAGTCAGTAAGTAAAAGGCTCGTCCTGGCAGTGTTGGCAAGGGACCGACTGCCTTCGAACGCTAGTGATATTACCCTTCCACGAGAATAGCAAGAGCCTAGCAACTATATGGAAATGTGCTTGAACAGCTAAATTCTGTGGACGGGTATACTCCGCAGTAGGATCAAGCTACCGTATCTGCAGAATATAATAACTTGAGGAGGAGGAACTCTTCAGATCACAGGAAATAGTGTACTCAAGGATGCAAAAAAGAATGGGGGCACGGCGGTAGCGTGGATTTTAGAAGCCAGTATGTACTGGGCCCGGGGCCCAGAGCCTCGGGTATTGGCCGACAGTCGAGGAAAATGTTGTTTGATTGAAATACAGTCTTAAATGCGCTCTTTACGATTTCATGCTAAAGCATGGCGCAAGCTACTTCATTCTGCTTTTTCCGAATGTTTTGGTCTTGTAGTTCCACACCGAGCGTCAGTAAAGTAATCGGTCCGTCTTCACATGACTGGTGACACATTTCAGAAATGTTATTATATGGTAGTACGTTGAAAAAAAAATACGAGTGTGAGATGAGATGATGGTGGTAGTGATTGAAGACTGAGTTTCACATAGCTGGCCTCCGATCTTATTCGCTATTTCTCACAACTCAACACTTTTTCGCAAACTTTCACAGCCAGGGCCAATAATGTCGACCTACGACCAGGTAGAAATCGAAGACATGACCTTCGATCCAGACACTCAAATGTTCTCCTACCCATGTCCCTGTGGAGATAAGTTCCAGATATACATTGATGATCTGTACGAAGGCGAGGAGATAGCAGTTTGCCCCAGCTGTTCGCTCATGATTCAAGTGATTTTCGACCAAGAAGACCTGCAAGAGTACTACGAAGAAGCGGGTACTCAACCTCCCGCCCCGATCGCCGTTTCCGCTTAAAACCGGACAGGGCGAAGCCTCACAGGCAGACTAGGCATCGGAGATGTATATAGCACAGTTTCCCTGCCGATCCACTGGCTCATTCTATTCCTCCGGGCTGTCTATTGCCAGAAAAACCACGACAGAGACAGCTAACGGAGAAATGTGCCTTCCAAGCAGCTGCTACTTAGATGGCCCAAATTGCATAAACGACACGAGTTTCACACATCCAGGCGGCTTGTCAAAGCGTGTAGTTTACATTGTAACATTATTCTGAAATAAATTTGTAACTCTCTATAATCTATAATCATAGTGTGCAGCGCATACGGTTCCTTAAATGAGAAATTAGAGGGATTATTACTTTAAAAGCGCAAACAGGGCAAAACTCAGTTTATAAAGAGATCGGTGCCTCACCTACCCCGGCGACGATTATTCATCCGTTTGCTGCACAACAAGCACTGCCACAATGACCGACAAGGTCTTAGCTAAAAGAGACGAGTTCTTGAGGTCTCAAACCATCGAGCATGAAGTGCCCACTCCGAAGGAAATTCCCCAAGAGGAGTTGATGAAAAGAGTTCCGAGACCGCTGAGACATGTTAAATATATTCCAGTGAAGAACCTGGTTTTTTTCTCAAAGCACATCCCACCCCAGTTCTCCTACGAAACCAAGATCAAAACGCCCATACCTAGCGACAAACTAGTAGTGCAAGTCCGGAACGCAGGTTTAAATCCAGTTGATCTCAAAATTATGAACAGTTACACGCGTAATATGAATCGTGAAGTTGGCCTAGGGCGTGAATTTAGCGGAGTTATCATCGAAGTTGGCGCCGGACAGCGTGGCCAGTGGAAAGAGGGCGATGAGGTATATGGGCTGTTTTACCACCCTAACTTGGGTTTCGGAACGGCGCAAAGCTCCATCTTAGTTACACCTTCGAAAGATGTTATTTTGAAAAAGCCTTCCAATATTGGTTTTCAAGCTGCTGCGGGCACATTGTATTGTTTGGGTGCGGCATTTAATATCCTTGACGCACTGGAGGCTAAGGGCCAGCTCACAGAGAAATCAAACGTTTTAATTAACGGAGGTACTACGAGCGTGGCCATCTTTGCCATTCAGCTACTGAAGTACCATTACCGAATTCCTAACAAACTGGTTCTGTTGTGTTCAGAATATGGTGCCACGCTGCTGAAATCCTATTTTCCAGATTTATGCGATGAACTGATATTTGTGAACTACGTGATGCATTCTAGACAAATCCACAAGCCTCTCCAAGACATGATTAGTAATCGTGAAACTATCAGCTACGACGCTACTTCAGGCCAGCCGATTTCAATCCCATACGACCAAGGCAAGTTCAGCATTATCCTTGACTTTGTCGGTGGTTACCAACTCATAAGTCATACAGACTCGTTACTTTCCAAGAATGGAGCATACGTCACAACTGTGGGAGATTACAAAGCTAATTATTCTAGCGATGTCTACAATGCTTGGGATAACCCAAGTGCTGGTGCGAGAAAGATTTTTGGTAAAATGCTATGGACATTCGATTACACGCACTTTCATTTTGATCCAAACGCAAAATACGCTACAAAGAATGACTGGGCCGAGAAATGTGCAGAACTTGTTGAGAGTGAGGTAGTGAAGTGCATCGTGGACAAGGTCTACGACTGGAAGAATTTCGATAAGGCATTGGAGTACGTGAAATCCGGTCATTGCCATGGGAAGGTCATACTTGAAGTGGAGAAGTTCTAGGAATTATTGTTTTTAACGCGTAATAGCTTGTGACTTTATGATAACGATTTTGTTTGCTTTATATATTTTATGTGTCAAGCTCTGTAAACTCCGTATAAATGTTGTTTAGTTTTTGTCTGTACTGTCTGTCCATCTTGCAGAAATTTCGAGTCCCCCAGTGTAACACTCTATTTCACGATAAGGCCAACGACTAAAAGCGCAATCGCAAAAAAAATGTACAGCGTGGACCTGCTGGCCTCATTCTTTCTCGTTTGCGACCTCTTAAGCTTTAACAACTCCTCCTCCACTCTAATTCTGTCCTCTGGATCAGTAATATCCGAAAGGTTGATTGCTTGTTCTTTAGCAGCCTCTTCCAGCACATCTCTATCCTGGTCACCCAGATTTTGCGCTCCTGTCCTTTTCAGCTCTTCAAAATACGCAATATTTTCTTTGACGAGGTCTGGGAATACCGCTTTAAAACGTGCGTTCTTGTAGGCATTGAACTCTTTGGAGGCTCTTGCCATCTTCTTCTTATGGTCTGGCGTAGTTGTGATCGCCCCTGTGGTGCTCTCGTTTCCGGTCATGAAACTCAGCAGCCCAGTCAAAATCGTGGCAACAGACCAGGATGGATTCCAAGTGTCTGGATGGTAGTCACTCATAGACAGACATAGCCGTGTGTCTTCTTTGAACCGCCCGCTGGGCGTCACCATCCTTATCGCTGGTGGCCTGAACGGGTAATCTGATGGAAAAACAAGTGTCCCATGGTACTGACCACCGTGATAAGGGGTTTCTGGAGGCCCTGAAATCACATAGTGCCACTCTAAGATATTGTCCTCGTTGGGTTGTGCCATTATAAACGGAGGTGGGTTTTCCACCATAGATTTGTATTCTTTGGTCAGCCTTTTCTGTGCTTGCCTGGTAGCCATAGTGCCTGTTAAAGAAGACGAGGGGCCTTTCAATAGCTAGGGTTAGCCCTTCTAGTACCTTGTTCCTTGAGTGTTTCTTTGGAAGAATACGTGTGCAACATCGTAAATTAATAAATTGAATCAATATACGACTCCAGATTATACCTGAAATCGATATCCACAATATTACCATCTATAAACAAAGATAGATTTGTTTCCAGTCTGCATCTGGCATCGAAGACTATTAAATGGCACTGTCTGAGAGCATTGGTACTCCAAGCCACGTAAGTGGACACTCAGGCAGACCAGGTACTTGACAGAAATAAGCATTTTTCAACAAGCTAGTCCAAGCTACCTGGTGAGTCGATTTGAATGTTGCGGAGCTGACTGACCCCTGGGTAAAGTGTTTTCGGGTACTTAAAGACTTTGGTCGGTGGAGACGGCAACCTAATGGGCCGTGACAATCCTCTCGAATTGTCAGCATGCAGAGTGTACTATCCGGATAGTCGCAGTGACCATATCAAACTTACCCCTATGCCTCTATAGGATGTACCGAGCTTGCAATTGCCCCTAGACCTCTACGCCTTGTCCATCGTGATATCGTCTTTGTTAGTTGCACGTTGTAATTCCCACGATGGGACGCACGATTCGACTAGCCTGAAGGAGAGCTGCTCGCCCAAAACTTTCAATATGCCCATTTCAGCCAGTGAGCTGGGCATAGAGAAGCAAAGGTCGCCGATCCCGTCACCCGCGATTGCTCGTGTTTGGAACCAAATGTAAGCTACCATAACGTCAAAATCAGACAAAGAAGAAGATGGAACATATCGAGCCAAGTGAGACGGTATGGACGCTCCTGGAGCGCTCAACAGGCGGCTTTGACACTTTTTACAAGGCGTCATGTATAACGACGGCGCGCGCTAGAACCGTTCCGCCGTGTCCGGTGCTCACAGGGAGCATCCAAATTGGCAGTGCTAATGAAAACTTGAAGTGACCAACCTGACGGCATCGGTCGAGTGCCATAGAAAGCTTGAGATCATAGAGTCGAAAACCTCTGCGTTCCTGCTTATCGTGTATTCCGTTTAAGCTTCGCTAGAAAGTCAACTACGAATTTTTACCGAACGATGGCTTCAAACAGCATCAAACTCTTATCTGGGAACTCGCATCCTGAACTCGCCGAAAAAATAGCCAAACAGCTGGGCCTGCGGTTATCCAAAATTGGAGTGTACCAATATTCCAATAAGGAGACATCGGTGACTATAGGCGAGAGTATTCGTGACGAAGACGTATACATCATTCAAACAGGAACTGGCCAGCAAGAAATAAATGACTTCTTGATGGAGTTGCTGATCCTAATCCACGCCTGTAAGACGGCGTCGGCCAGAAGAATAACAGCCGTCATCCCTAATTTCCCATACGCTCGTCAGGATAAGAAAGATAAAAGCCGTGCTCCAATTACTGCCAAATTGGTAGCTAATCTGCTGGAGACTGCCGGCTGCGATCATGTCATTACCATGGATTTGCATGCCTCACAAATCCAGGGGTTCTTTCACATACCAGTTGATAATCTATATGCCGAACCTAGCGTGCTGAACTATATTAGAACCAAAACCGACTTCAATAATGCTATTTTGGTGTCACCCGATGCTGGTGGTGCGAAAAGAGTAGCGTCCATCGCCGATAAGCTTGATCTAAATTTTGCTCTGATACATAAGGAGAGACAAAAAGCCAATGAGGTTTCTAGAATGGTATTGGTCGGTGATGTCAAAGGTAAGTCGTGTATCTTGGTTGACGACATGGCTGACACATGTGGTACGTTAGTTAAGGCGTGCGACACTTTATTTGAAAATGGCGCTAAGGAAGTCCTAGCTGTTGTAACGCATGGTATCTTTTCAGGCTCGGCAAAGGAGAAGCTGTATCATAGCAAAATTTCCAGAATGGTCTGCACAAACACATTACCGATTGACTTGAACTTGTCTATCTGTGACCAAATAGATATAAGTCCTACCCTGGCAGAGGCTATTCGTAGACTGCACAATGGTGAAAGTGTCTCGTATCTATTCACTCATGCCCAATGATCTGCTCTGAATTGTAATATTTTGTTACCTCAAAATCACAAAAATTCTTACGCGCCTAAATAATGCTCGTTCCTATTTACTGGATGACCAGCTAATGAAAATCTCTATACTTGTACTTTTAATCCCTTGCCGACTTTTTGAAGCTAAATAAGCGGGAACGCCTCTTAGAGTTTTTGTTAGAAAACTTCCCCGACATATTGTGCTCTATGCTGCGCTTATCGGGTATCTCATCTAGTACACCAGCTTGATCGACTCTATTGATTTCCAACTTCGTTCTGATCTTGTCATCAAGTTTTATCAACTGATCAACACTTTCGCTATAGTCATGCCGCGCCTCATTCCCACTCGTATCTTCATTGCCGAGGGGTACTTCTCTATAAAAAAGGAGGTACGCTGTTGTGAGGTCGTCTGAATTACCCACAAATTTCAAAACTGTGGATTCATTCACGGTTTCTACGGTTTCATCGTCATATAACAACCAGCCAAATTTTTCGGTCTTGCAAAGCGAGACGTAATGGCCATGATGGGGACCTCCACCCATATGAACAACAAGCCCAATCAACTCGTACCATTTGCAAACCGATGAGTCAAAGGTAGAGCAAACTTTTAAATTTAACGGGTAGTGAATTTTGTTGAACAATTTGATGTTACAATTCTGCTTTTCAGAGTACTTGAACCGTTTCATGTGCAGACCAAAGTAAAAGGGTAGCTGCTTTATCCCTACAATCCTTTCGGCTTCTTGAAGACCGCAACACTCATCACAGTAGAATTTATTAGCTCCGTTGAGCATCTCTCTCTGATGGTAATCAGACAAAGTTGTCTCAATGTCAGTTTCTCCATCGCCTTGTACCTCAATTGCAAAATCTAAGAACGGCTCGTCGCGATGTGTGACATTATCGCAAGTCAAACATCTCGTGCGATTTGTCATTGTACCTTTGAAGAGCTGCTCAACAAAATTTGAGGGTTTTTGACCCGTCGCTTGAGCATCACTCTCTAAGTAGTCGCTCATTTCGTTGAGCAAGAAGTTTAGAAATTCATGAGCATCCTGATGCATCATGGACCTGAAAAGGACATTCTCTCGTTTCAGGGTCTCCACAAACTGTGTGGGCGCTACAACGCCGCTTAGGTGTTTGTTCTCTGCTATGCTTTCGTAAACATCTTTTAGCGCGGTGAAGAGCCCTGTTTTTTCACCTTGCGACGTACTCAACGAATGATCCACATTTATGACGGGACCTCTGATCAAAGCTGCTTTCTTCCTTTCCTCACTGGAGGCATCTTCCGGTCTAGTTGTGGATGCAGTAGACAAATCGGAAAATGACGACTGTGCTGACTCTTCCGCAACAGTTGCCGGAGCATTACTCGAGCCCTCTTGTGTACACCTTCCGCTGTGCTTACTTGTCACTCTACCCACCACTATTCTTGTATAACCTTCGTGGAGTTTCTCTGTAATTGCATCAGAGGGCATCACGGTACCATGAACCGTAGCTGAACTTTGCGACCTGACGCTTCGAGAGCTCATGGCAGATCTCAAAACCTCTCTATCCCTGGATTGTGGCGCCGAATTTTTCCTGGGACCTGGCTCTTTCGGGCTTGAATGACTTCCATTACTGCTGCCTGACGTTGACTTTTTAGAATGATCGTTTGCACAATTGTGCGGTAAGAAACTAGTATCGTCGAATATGCGTGGTTTCAATCCTGGCATTTCGGATTTTCGCTTTCGCGGGTAGGCTGAGTTCGTGACTGGTTTTTCTAAGACGTTAGTGCGCAACTCTGACAAGTTATACAGCACTTGAAGGACTGAGTTGCAGTAACAGGTGTTTCCAAAATTTTCATAGCCAAACACCTTGTTAGACCCATCTCCATAAGGCATCAGCTCAGTGACCTGGGGGCGTACGAGCGGAAATAAATCGTACTCAGCCTCGAGGTCTTCTGGATCACTGGGGTCGAAAGCCAGGCCGGAAGCACCCTCCAGGGGAGCCCCACTCACCTTTTGGATCTGTCCATGATGGCCATTGTGCGCCAGAAGAGGTGCCTGAGCATCTGGAGTGGAACTTACCTTGGCATTCGTATCACCGAGTCCAACGGCATTCAGTAACTTCTCTCCGGTCGACGCCCCACTCTGTGAGCTGTTCGGTTCGAAGCTCGATTCTAGCACCGAGCCGCTCGAGACAGGTTGCTGGAGGGCTGAATCCGCCGACTTAACCTTCGACTTGGTAGCTTTGTCGTTCTTCGAAAGCCACTTTTTGAACGACATCTTTCGTCTCTCCTATAGGCGCTTTCGGACAGCCAAAAAAGCCACCTAAAATTCAACTCCGCAGATTCTATCTATGATCTTCAATTATCCGTGCACTACTGCACTTTGATACTACTGTGGCTTTGATGGCCGGAGAAACAATGAAGTTATCTAAACTGAGATACTTCGTTTCCCCGGCTGAACTGTTCATGAGTAATGTTATACGAATGCGCCTGATGGTTAGCCATTCTGGAAAAAAATTATTAGACAATCGAAGGCCCACGTTGTACGAGATGATCTCTCTAGTCCGCTGCCGCCTTTGTTAGCCTATGAGCCGAGCGCGAAGTTGAAAGCCAGACGCTTTATCGAATGCACGACAGAAGCGTCATGTAAGATAGATTCGAGACTTTCATTCATCACCTGAACTGCAGGTCGATCTTCTTACAGCGCAGCGAGCTCTTTCTTTCGGTCGTTACGGGGTTTCGTGAATGAGGGCCCGCTAACGGTCAATTTCGATTTTGATATAATTGCGGGGCAGTAATAGAGTACGAGATCACATGGAAGTCACGTGACTGGGTGGGATGAATGTCTTCCGAAACATGACAGGGTTCACTGGCCCGTTGGCTAGCTCATTTCCAGAGATGGCTCTCCCCCGAAGGCAGAGGGAATGGTGCTTCTTGCATGGTCAGACGATATCCAGCGCAAGATGCAACGAATTTTCACGAAGCAAAGTAAAAAATAAAATGCCATTTCCTAGAATCGAACCAGGGTTTCATCGGCCACAACGATGTGTACTAACCACTATACTAAAATGGCACGAGTTGTGAAACAGCAGGCAGTTTTGTGTATCGTTGGTGCTTATCTGTCACATGATCCTCGCTCTGGTACGTAGGCTGTGTAGATCTTCCTGTCCACGCAAAATGCCCTTCCCTATCTAACGTTAGGAGTAGGCTGTTATGTTTCTCATACCATAATATTCTTCATGTGCTCGCTGTACGTAGGCCTATGAACTTATCTTTACGAAAACTCTCGGTGTTTGACCATGCCTGTGAATAATAAATACGTATCTGCTCTATATCTTGCATCTTCCTAAAACTCCGGGGCCATATTGATATCGAACCAGCCAAGAAAATCGTCATCGCTGGCACTATTCCGTTCCATCCAACCAGCGCTCTGCGCCTGAAAAAACATGTTTAACTCCGATGACTGTTTAGAGAAAATTTGAGTGGGGACTGGAGTGGCTCCATGATGGGTGTTGGTGGCACTATTGCTGTTGAGCCCACTTTCTTCGTTCAAGAACATGTTGAAGGTTGAAAACGAGTTCGAAGGCAACAATGGAGGCCCTGGTGGAACAAAATCCGGAGAGGCAGCCTTATTTGTTGCCAAGGGTGGTAGGCCTGTGCTGTTAACAGCAAACAGAGAATTGGTATTTCCAGAAACTAATGAGGGCGAAATGCTAGTGACGCGCCGTCCACCAGTGGACGGCTCTGCAACTGCTGGTGTGCTGGCAGAACGTTGCATTGGTTGGGTGAACAGGGAAGGAGACCTGGGCATAACATCCTCTGTCGTAGCGCTTGGTTTTGACGAGTTGTAAGGTGTATGTGGCGACGACACGTCCGAGCATAATGCGACTCCGGGGGTTGCCATACTGGCAGCATCGAATTTCATGCTTCCCGTCTCGTCGAGTACAGAGATTGGGATCCCATTGATGTATTTAATTGGCCCCTTTCGGTTTCCTTGACTTTTGGCCAGTTTCTTTGCCTGCTGTATTGCGTTTTCGGTGGGAACCAAGGTGGTTATCGTAGTGCCACCAGGAGTGGTTTTTGTGATTGTTTCAAAGTCTTCTTTTGAAATTTGGTTGTAGAATGGTAAAGGGAAAAGCTTCCTTTTTGAGCGAGCATCATCTTGAACATCTACCATTTTCGTCTCTTCTTTACCAGATGCTGAGTCATTTTGTCGTCTACGAGCTTCATGGATGCACCACACTAAGTCGTAAAACAAGGTTCCAGTTAGATGGGATCTCATCCGTGATATGATTCCTTCGCTCTCAATGAATATCTCTGGTTGTGATATCAACACAAAGTTCAATTTCTCTAAAACACCGGCGGTTCTGGAAATGTCATTTTCCACACTTGCGGTCCACGCTGTTAGTTGATTCCTGCATAGCCGGTGAACGGTCACAATTGATTGGCGGGCGGAGTCCACATGCTTGTCGGCCAATAATGGCGTAAGTTGTAACTTGAAAAGAATTAAGGCGGAATAGGTTACACTTTGTCGAACATAGATCGGTAGTTGAATCAGATTCGATCTTTCTAACAGTTTTGTTAACAGTGTAACAACTTTTGTAGCACTCAAGTATGCCTTTTCGACGTACTGCTTTTGATGGTCGGTAGAAGTGCCAGGAAGGAATGCAAAACAGCAAATCATGAGTTGTACGTATAAATAGTAGATTTCTGTCACCGTATCCTCTTCGAACTTCAACGTCAACCTTAATCTGTCGAGCTCTTTCTCCATGGTATCCAGAGCTTTTGGTCTCTCCTTTGCGTCCAGCAGACCATCCGGAGATGACACGCTCGACCCAACGGTTTCACAAAGTTCTGCTTGATAGTTGGCAAGACATATTAGTCGACGGAATCTTGTGGGTACGATACCTTCATCCTCTTGAAGTCGAGCCATTTCTACCAAGTAATCGTTCCTGGAAGTTGGTGGCAAACCCAAAATACTCGCCCAACTTTGCTCGGTGAAAAAAATCCCCAGCCACGTACGAGTTCTCCATTTTTCTGCGTCTGGCATGGAAGTTTGAGTCCTGCTAAATTCTGACATGAATTTCCCACGATGTAAACCGAGCTGGAATGATAAAGACTTTGCCAGCCCGACAAATCTATACGAGCAATCGTCCAAGACTTTTTCATTGGGCAGCGGCCAATTGCAAAGGATCAACAGTGCCTGTGATATATGCGTAGATCTCGGAGTGCGGATCCAACAGGTTTCTATAGCCAGCTGCTTAATCAGTGAAGCCAACTGATTGTAAAGAGTCGGTTCGGGCTCTGATAGACAAGCTGTGAGTATCACCGTCCAGAAGAGAAGCTGTGATTGTGAGTAAAGTTCAGTGGCGCTGTTGGAATACATGATTGGGAAATACGGCAGAAATGACTCAACGAAAACTTTGTGCAACTCTTCTGCCCTAGAGATGGAGATCCTTACGTCACCGAGAACAAACTCGTCTATTCCGGCCTGTGGAGAAACCAAGGGCTGTGTGGCACTTGTAGTGGCAACAACGTGGGGCTTAGTTCCAATTGTTTCTCCACTCCCAGTATTGTCGGGTGTCATGCTTCGACTTCTGCTTTGGCTAATGACGTCGTGTGAGCCTGAGTATTTTAATGCATGGTGCTTCAGAGCAGTTCTTAGCACCGGTGGAAGGGTATCATCGTTCAAAAGTGTGGGATCTGTGAGCAGGGCCATCCGAGTGCTCTCAGATTCGTCCTCCGCAACCGCCGAGTCTTTGAGCCCAGCCCCAGTGCTCCGATGCAAGAGTTGTGGCTCTTGAGCCAGATATGTTTGGACACTGATCTTGGGTTGTGACGAAGACCTCCCCAGGACCGGCAAAGGCCCCTTCGGACGGAGCTCGCCCGTGCGTCTAGCGGGACGCCCGGCCAACTTCACGCTCTGCAAAAGTTTTTGGCCCCACTCCGTCTTTTCAAGAGCTCGTGCAATTAGACTTTCATTGTATGCCAGGCATTCGACTTTGAGTTTCAGCTCGTCCACGTCGTTACGCAGGCTCTGGAGCTGAGATCCCTTTTTGGGCTTGAACTGAGGATCAACCTCACACGTAAGACCCATGCGCTCGCACCGAGAACAAGCTGCCGGAAACTTTTCGCTTGCATTGCATTTGATCTTGTGCTGTCGGCAGTGCGTACACGACGTGACTGGTCTGTGACCGGTTGGCCCCGCAGGAGCTGACGTGGCCAGCTTTGTTTCTCCTGATGTGCTTTTTTCATAGTTTCCCTCAGATGTACTTTTACGCTTATTCTTGGCGCCATTAGAGCTATTACTACTTGCCAGCGATTGTTCTTTAGTAGTGGCATTTACAGGTTCTACCGGAGAGAGGTTCTGTTCTTCATTCTTCACACTTTTGCGCTTAGCCTTCGGACCATCAGCATCCTCGCTAGCTCCCTGGGAGACCCTTTTGCGGATTTGTGGTGCTTCCAGATTACCATCATCACTATGCAAAATTACCGGTGAAGCGCTCATTACATTGAGATCAACGACCAAACTCGAATAGCACCGGAAAACACACCACGAATAATAAATATAATTCACCAAGTGATATACCAGCAGTTGATTCCGTGAGCTCCGGTGGATGAAGGCCTTAGTTTCGCGGTGTTTATATGTAAATGTGAGGCTGTTGTATGTTCTGAGGTAATTTATTATTGATGAGGTCGTAACTAATTTTTTAACGGCTATCTATAAGAGAATCTGGGCAAGCTCATCGCTTCGACATCGACACAAAAATGACAAGGACAAACTTGCCAGCGAGCACTTCAGGATGATAACTTGAAAAGTGTCTTTGAGCTTATGGAGAAGTCGACAACTTCAGGATTCGAACGGTACCAGTACGGTTCACAAATTCTCTTGAATGAATGTTATTTCGTCATCATGGTAGACCTCGTATAGTGTACGTAAACGTATGAACAAACCTGTCCGTAAAATCAGGCTTTGGTGTAACGCAAGTAGGGCTTGACGGTGTTGAAGTCTCCAAATTTCTCCTTAGCAGCAGCGTCTGAAACGGTTGGTGGGATGATAACATCGTCACCAACCTGCCAGTTGATAGGCGTTACCACACCCTTAGAGTCACCCTTTTGCAAAGCATCAATAACACGCAGCACCTCCGAGGAGTTTCTGCCTACGGACGCAGGGTAGGTAATGATTAAACGCACTTTTTTGGAGGGGTCGATCACGTACACCGATCTGATGGTGGCTACAATGCCGTTGCTCAAGTTTTTGAAGCCCTCTTCGTCCACCATGTCGTACAAGAAGGCTACTTCGCGGCTGGAATCACCAATGATTGGAAAAGAGAACTTGTCGAGTGCGCTAATCTCCTCGATGTCCTTGATCCAAGTTTGGTGTTTGTCCACCTCTTCTGCGGAAAGTCCGATCAGCTTCACATTGCGCTTGTCGAAGTCGGGTTTCAACTTGGCGAACGCGCCCAATTCGGTTGTGCACACTGGCGTGAAGTCAGCGGGGTGCGAGAATAACACACCCCACGAGTTCCCCAGGTACTCGTGGAGGTTCAACTTGCCTTGTGTGGAGTCTGCTGTGAAGTTGGGAGCCAAGGAATTGATTCTGATTCTTGGTTGCTCTTCCTGATTGAACGTTCTGATCATTCTGACGCTGGTTTTCAACAGGCTCTGCTGTTGAACAGGCTTCTTAACCGATAAAAGGGAGCGGAACATGGTGATGACTATGGAGAACAATTGAGTGCTCGTGAGATTCTTACTTTTGAACAAGAGGTATGAGACAAGGTTGAGAACGGTTCCATACAATAGACACTTGCGATTACATTATATATCGATACAAGAAGTCGTGTCCCTTTAGCCATGGATGCGCAAAATTTGTCACCATATGTTGTTGTGGCTTCTTGGCTGACCAAGCCAGCGATTGGACCTGTCACATGAAATTGGCCCAATGTCAGACATAACGAAAGTATGAACAGGACGAATAGGATGATGATGGCTGAAAAGTGGGTGAATGACATTGGGCTGTTGATGAAAATACGATCAGCTGGCGGGCTTATTAGCCGACGGGAAAATTTGAGTTTGCAGCACCTCGCGGGTGACAGATTCACTTACTTAATTGTTCGTATGCTTATTATGTAACGTAGGCTAGCGAGAGTGGCAGCAACAATTCGCGAAGCCTCACCCCAACAAGTTGTGTGGGCTGTCTTGGTTGTTACTGGCGTTCCTTCCTCAAGTCAATTCCTGTTTTATTTTATGTTTTGGTGACAAACGTGGGTTTTGAAATTTGAGCTTAGACATTATATATGTTACTATATGATTACTTGTATTTAAATGCAATTGTATATGGGATGGGTATGACAAAAAAAAATGGTTCCAACTAGACTATGCGCACGCTCGAAGCTTTACATTATCACGCATTTCTTGTCTTTCTTCTTTGAACCATTTTTTTCTTGCTTTTCTTGACCGACGACGTATTAGCCGAGTTATCCAAATCTTCCTTCTTTGCACCGGTTTCTGGTTTGGCCGTATCTTCCGTGGCACGTTCGTCTCCGACCAACTGGAACGCGGTCGGAGGGCTAGAAGCAAGTGGCTGTTCGGGTGCCGTCGATGTTTCAGTCGTGTCACCCTGGACAGGAACGGAGTTGGCTTGGCCACTACCTGTGCCACTAAGCTCTGATGGCGCCTGCACCGAGAGTTGGTTGGAAGTATGCGCTTGGGCCAGCTTTGGCGGGGTCCCTGCATCGGTTTCCAGTAGATTGGCGGCCGACGCAGACGAGAACAAGTTCAAAGCAGTCAAACTCTTCTGTTTTCTGTGAAGCGGGACATTTTGATCGTTGAGCTTGTTCAAGGCACGCGAGTCGTTGTTTTTTGCAGCGAGCTCGTACCAATACCGAGCGCTCTTGGGTTCAACGCTGCAGCCGCGGCCCTTCTCATAGAAGTAACCGACCGTGAATTGGGCCTTCCCGAGCCCCAATTTAGCAGCTTTCAAAGCCCACTGGAAGGCCTCCTTCTCGTCTTTTTCAAGAACAGGCTCCGCGCCCATCAAATACCACGCACACAGCCCTAACATGGCGTGCGGCTCCCCCAACAATGCCGCTTGTGTATAGTAGTGCACACTTAGACTGGTGTCTGGGGGAACGACTTCGTTACCTGCTTCGTAGATCTTGCCCAGACCAGTTGCCGACTGAGCGTGACCTAGGGAAGCTGCCTGAATATACAGCTCCATGGCATACTTAAGATCTGGTATGATAATGTCCAAAAATCCATTTTTGTATATTTTGGCGAGTTCATAGGGAGCGGCACTCGTAAGTTCAGTAGCACGAGCTGCAGCACGGGACAGCCATTTGATACCATTTTGCTTAGTGGTAACCTCGTTTGGAAGTCCCATTCGACCATAAAACGAAAACAAGCCCAGTTTGTACATAGCCGAGGTGTGATTCCTGCTTGCAGCAAATTTCAAGAATTCGACCGCTCTTCTAGAGTCTCGAGTAGTGCCTAATCCCTCTTCAAAACAATGCGCTGTCCTAAAAGCACTTTCCACATGCCCGTGCTTGGCGGCAGACTGGAACAATACAAACGCGTCTTTGTTGTTTACTCTTCCGAACGCACCTGACGAATATGCGTCTCCCAGCAAATATTGTGCATCTGAATAGCCTTTCACGCTGAGCTTTTTGAGGTACACCTGAGCCTCTTTGAGAAACTGCTTGCGCATCTCTTGCTGGGACACTGTCTCCTGCTTACCTTCGGCAGAGGTCGAGTTTTCTTCAACCTCTTCCGTGGGATCGATTGTAAGCGCAGTTTGAAGCATATACTGTGCATACTGGAACAGCACGTCGGGATCCTTTGATTTCTTTACGTTTTGCTTGTACATTTCAATTGTCTTCAAACGGGGAACCAGTGACGAATTGTGAGCCTCGCCAAGATACTGGCCTACCATCTGGTGCGAGAGATCCGCCACACTTTCATTCGTGGCCGTGAATCGCGTGTCCTTGTTGTCCAACAAAAATAAATGCGAAAGATCCAGCGATCTGTGGGCTCTGCGAGCGTGGCTCGACATCCCGTTCTCGGATCCTGTACGCAGCTCAACGGCACTGCTGCTGGAGGCATTCAAATTGGAGCGCGATGAGTTCGGCGATACGAAACTCGAAGGCGCAGGCGACGATTCAGACTTGCGATGGTACTGGACGGCTTCTGGCGTTGCAAACGGACGAGGTGACGCAACTGTGCCACTCGGCGGTTCACTGAGCTCTATATTCTCCTCATGTTCTGATTGTTGAGCCACCAATGCCTCATTGTGACCCTTGTTTGTCGTGCTGAGCTTCACCGGAGTTGCCGACGCCAAGTTTCGACGGTATGGGTGCTCTGTCGTAGCCATTTACACTGGTTTGCAAGGTAGGTCTATTCAGCGCCTTCCAGGGCTCGCTAGTCGATACCAAAGACCTTGAAAACCCCTTTGCAGAACGCCGAAGCTTTCAACATTTGTTAATCTGTTCGAAGCTCTTCAATCGTGGTCACTTTATCGTTGCGAGGTGAAATTTTCTCGCCGTCTAAAATGAAATTCGAAACTTCAAATTTAGCAGAAATTCGGCCGCAACCATAGCATTGAGTAGAGGAACAACTAAAGAGACGAGTAGAAACGCATTGATAAGCGACGGGAAAAGCGACTGGATGGGAGGATAGAGGAACGATCAGAAGGACAGTTGACGGGCCGATGACACGCTCGATTTATTCATTCATCCTTTCATTTATTCGTCTTCTTCTCGTGGATCACCAATACCGTCCTCATAGATAGCAAAAACACACTCGGCCTCCGGCAAACACGGCGAATCGACGACTTTGCATATTCTTTGACACCCTCTGCCCTTCTTGAAGCCCAGACGCGTTGTGGATGAGTGTGCCATGATATTTCCTCCAATGGGTTTTTTGGGATCGGGATTGAAGGTCATCCCGCCGTCTACTTGGGCCACCACCTGGTTCGTAACGACCACCGCGACCCCAAATTGATCGGCCAACCTTTGTAAGGCCCGCATAAATTTTGCCAAGTGCATCTGCCGGGCACTCAACTCACCACGCCCTGCGAAATCGGTACGGTACAGAGCCATGATGGAGTCCACCACAATAAGGGAAAAACGTGACTCGCTCATCATCTGCGCTGCCGCGTCCAACAACCGGAGCTGGTGGTCTGCATTATAGGCCCTAGCATACGCAACGTTATTGAGGGCATCGTCCGGGTCCAAGCCAAACCGTTGGGCGATAGAGACCAACCTGATAGGCCGAAAAGTTCCCTCCGTGTCGATGTACAGGCATTTGCCCTCTCCTCCGCCCATATCGAGCGGGATCTGACAAGTGACAGCCAGCGTATGGCACAGCTGCGACTTACCGGTCCGAAACTCCCCGAACAGCTCTGTAATGGACCCTGTTTCCACACCACCCCCCAACAGAGTATCCAGGTTTTTCGAGCCCGTGGTCAAGCAGATCATCTCAGAACGCCGCATATGGAAGTCGGCCGCGGTGACGAATCCCATAGGTACCAGTCGTGCTGCCTCGTTAAGCAATCTGTCAGCTTTAGCTTCCGAAATACCTTTGATTTCCAGTAGTTGTTTGCGAGGCGCGTACGCCACCGCCTCTGCGGTGTGCAGACCGTTCTCTCGCAGTTTTTTCAGGTCCAGCGCTGAGATTCCGTTGATCTGGAGCCGCTCCAATGGCACGAATGACACCAGTGCTGCGTCTTCGCTATCCTCCTGATCTCCATGAGAGTCGTTGTTGTCCTGTTGGCCCACAAAGAGTTGGCCATCTGTACTATCACCTACTCCTGAAAGACCGCCATTTCGTGTTCCCAGATCTTGCTCGCCAGCTTGCGAGTCCTGAAAAGCTGTTTCTGCCTCTAAAGACATGTTTTTTTGTCTCCTATAGCGAATGTACTTGGTGTTTATTCAGTTGGAAGACATCGCTTTTATTAAGTTGATGAGGACGCGACACGTAAATAATCATATAAATATGAACACTTTTCGCGTGAATTGAATCGAACTCAAAGTCCAAGGTCAGAAAGGCCCTCCAATAAGCAAAAATTGTACAGGATAAATCAAGACTTTCTAATCTTTTTTTCTACAACAGCTCGAAGCATTTCCATGCTTTGTAGTAAGCTGGCGAGTCAATGCTTATTATCATGACTTTTCGAGATGTAGTTCTTGGTACTCTAAACAACCATAAATTCATTAGACTACGCCCAGGACTTCAATGTGCACTTTCACGCAGGCTTGAGAAGTCGTTACTATGACTTTTCGGACGTATTGTACACTCATTAAGAAGCAGATGTCTAGAAAATTGTTTCATCCAGGCCATAGGTACAGGAGCTCCAAAAAAGCCACCATTATTAAATGCTAGATCAGAAGCACGCTGGTATACTCTCTGATCGCTGCTAAGTATCCAAGTTTACTGAGAACTTGTCCACAATTCTTGATCGGCAATTTGAAACACCTTGCTCTTAATGATAGAAGCAAACAAAAAAGATTCAAGTTAGATCTCACGAGGCGTCCTTAGAGCGCAAGGAGACTCACTAACTGGCCATCAGCTGAATTGGTTCAGCTCGCCTATTCAACAGGCCGTTTACTGCGGTACTTTTGCACGAAAAATGATAAGCTGGCGTGTAAGTTCTTATAACCTCAAGCAGTCTATCAGCAAGCCTTTAGAGACACAAAGAGCTTACCAGCATATCCCGGAATTTATAGTCAATGGCCAGTGCTGCTGCCGTGGACCACCCCTCTGAGCAGGCCCTGCCGCCTGCAGAAGGCATATTGACGCCGTCGCCAAAAATTGCCAACATCCACGAAATTGTGGGAAACTCAACATCATACCCAGAAGCCAAAAACACTGCCGTTCGCATCTTATCGGGCCGCTACGACAAAATTGACTACAAAGAATATGCAAATTTCCTGGGATCAACCGGCAATGGCCCCGTTTTACATGAATTCCTGCTCCTCTTACAACCATTGCCCGGCTCTCTAACAGGGACACTTAGAAAACTCTCCACCAGCATATATTTCATTGCCGAAGCAGCCAACATTGATACCATACTCGAGGGACTAGCTCAGCATTGGCTACAGGCTCATCGGAAACCTCATTACTTGGAGAATTATAGACTATGCCATATAGTAATGTTTGCTTTGCTCATGCTAAACTCTACTTTGCACAGTGACGCTGCGGATTGTAAATTCACACTTCAGCAATTTCAAGATAATACCATATATGCGCTTGAACAGGAGTGTCCTGAAATAGATGTGCCCACTTTTAGGAAAGAGCTGGGTGGTTCATACCTCTCTCTAGAGAGAGAACAATTGCCTCTTTTACGATCGAACGCGCCGAATACCCGAAAACCTCTCATTAGCCGGGCAGGAACACGCCTCACACGAAGTAGTTCAAACAACATGAAAAAGCTCTCTATGCTGTCAATGAAGGGCAGTTCTCTGGAAAGGTTACATTCAAACCAATCTACTGGCTCCACTCCTAGTAGTATGGGCACATTTACGTCGCGAGATACCGCCACCACCAGTAATTTTCGATTGCGAAATAATCTTCCCCTCCAAAGACTTTACATCGAGGAGCCATTCGACGTAGAAATGCGGAACAGAGATCATACACCATGGCTCATCGACACTGTCGTTCATTACCAGGAAACGTCGAATGCTCATAGCTCTACTCCACAATTGTTGGCACAGCTACATTCTAGAAAGCGAAAGCTTCTAGGATGGTTCAAGAAACATTCGAGGGACTCACTTTTCAAGGAAAATGCTCATGCCACTTCGACACATCATCTCTCCAGTGCGCATATCAGGGTTCAGGAGGGTCGCTTGTTTGTTCATCAGCTGAAAAGCCGTGGTTCGGAACACCAGGAGTCTCGAGCGCTCGACCTAGAACGTTTGAGGAAAGCCAACTCCCATTGCCACGTATATAATCTTTATGGTGCCTTGGCCTCATTCTCTCGGGAAAGCATTGTCGCAAGTGAAAATTCCAATATAACTGCGGCTTGCGTAACAGTCGACTTCCCTCACGCTTTAGATTCGGCCACTAAGTTCGCTTTCTTATTTGAAACTCAAACAGTGGCAGAGGCCAAGCACTTGACTGAATGCGTCAATTTCTGGAGCGCTCGAATGACGCCTATTCCCTCCGCCCAGATAGAGATGATCTCCAATGAAGAATATGGATGGGGTCCGCATTCACTAAGCCAGGGCGCCGACCTTTCAAAGGTCAAGCTGGCACGATGGGCGCCTCTGGTAGGACTAGACTCATTTTTCGAAGACTTGGAAGAGGGAATAGCATTATGGGACTACAAGTCACAGCTGCAAGGTTTGAAAAGCTACACAAGTACCATACAAAATCAACTAGACGACCACCATTCTTTGAAGCCAAAAATGCTCGTGGCATGGGCAGGTAATAATAGCGGCCTTTCGAGCCAAACTGATCGTTTCGAAGAAGCTATGGATAATTGGAATAACAAGTATTTGTATCTCAACCAACAATACAGCAAGTTCTCGGTCTACTTGAAGGCCCTAGAAAATGCATCCAAACTCTATCAAGATTGCAGGCCAGTATGTGGCTCTCCATAAAGTAGCACTGGTGCTATCGAGCCTGTAATATGTCTATTTATCTTTTTATAAGATATCGATGATACACTTCACGCTAAGTCTTAGAATATTCACGGAAAAAAAAAGAGGCCGACTGCAATATTCGAGCTATACAATACTTTAACGAAGACAATGACAATTAAGTTTCCCGTAGTTATCCAATGCGAAACATCGCTGTTCCTCGAGTCTTGGTGCTGGTCATCTCTCTAGAAATGCCGATATCGTATAATATGATGTTTATTAATTTTGTCGCCGAGCTACTGGAACCCAGATTGATGTATTATACCTTAAAGCAGTGGCAAATTCATACAAACCAAGAACTAGTCAATCTTGACCAACTCAAGTTTCCCAACAATGTCAGACCCAAGTTCGATTAATGGTATGTTTAAATGAGTTAGCCATTTGGAGCTCAAGTGAGTTACACGTGTACATTTCGAGAACAAGATCTCCAGGAACTATCGTATCTGGATGCTGGATTGAAACCGTACTGCGGAGTCTCGTTAGGCATTTTTCTTTTCAATGTTGCTAACTACTGTTTCTGTGTAGGTGGTATTGTGGTAGCCATGACCGGTAAGGATTGCGTGGCAATTGCTTGCGATTTACGTCTAGGTAGTCAATCGTTGGGTGTAGCCAATAATTTCGAGAAGATCTTCCATTATGGCCACGTATTTCTAGGCCTTACAGGCCTCGCTACAGACGTGACCACACTGTCAGAGCTGTTTCGTTACAAGACCAACCTTTACAAGCTTAAGGAAGACCGTCTAATAGAGCCTGACACTTTAACACAGTTAGTTTCCAGTACGCTGTATGAAAAAAGATTCGGACCTTATTTCACGGGCCCTGTTGTAGCCGGGCTGAACTCTAAGACGGGCAAGCCATACATTGCAGGATTCGATTTGATCGGATGCATCGACGAGGCCAAAGATTTTGTGGTTAGTGGTACAGCGTCGGAACAACTTTTTGGTATGTGCGAGTCCCTGTACGAACCCAATCTGGAAGCTGAGGATTTATTCGAGACGATAAGTCAAGCTTTGCTGAATGCAGCTGATCGCGATGCCCTTTCCGGCTGGGGTGCCGCGGTTTACATAATTAAGAAGGATAAGGTCACCAAGAGGTATCTAAAGACCAGGCAAGATTGAATGATGGGATTGGGTCCTATAGAATTCTGATGATTGGTCGATGACAAAATTAATGCATTTTAGATGAGGGTTGGAAAATGAGCTGATTGCAAAATTACCGACAGTGTGCTCGAGCTGAAAGGTAAAGTAGGCGCGCCTTTCCGTTTGATGACTCCCTCTTTTTGAGTGCTGAAAGATGGAAGGGTTGCCCCTCACTGACACCGCAACTGTGTTGATGTCGACTCGTTTAAAACATATGTATAATCCCTTAAAATATTTACACGAAATTTGACAGTGTTGGGTCAAACACTCGAGCCAATAATGTAGCTCTGTAGTAGGATACCACTGACGTATACAGTTTGCCAACATTTCCTGACTGAGTTCGGAGCTTATCTAGACCTTTCTGCGGCCTCTTTGTGTCTTTTCGCAACCTGCTCTTGAATAATTCGTTTCAAAATAGCATCTTCACCATACTCTTCCTCCTTGATTTGCTTCCACTTGGCATCAATCTTCTTCTGTCTTTCACGATTTTCTAAGATAGCAGCTTTTCCCACTGCCAACCTTGCTTCATGTAAGCACTGTGTGAGAGCCTCCTTCTCATTATTACAAAGCCCCAAAGCTCTCTTATAGTACTCCGCCTGATGGCATTTATCAAGAGCCTCTATTAGGTCCAAACATGCTATTGAAGCCGTTAGTGTTAGCGTCTAGCTGGTCGCTACCGTCTACAGCTTTCAAGCCATAGAAAAAAACCAAACCCACACATACAATGAAACCTTTGGGATTCTAGTTGAGGGTGCATTTTAGCCTCAAAGCACTTCTTGATCGCTCTAGCGTGAAATTAAAGTTCTTCTAAACTTTAATAAATGAGATGAGCTTTGATTTTTCGTTACAGGAATAATTAATACATGAAAGATGCCAATTCCAAGAGCGTTAAGCTCACCTAAACGCAGATTGAAGCTTCCAAAGTTCTCACAATACGCAGCGCAATGTCCTCTACTGTGACCATAAGTACGCGAGAAATTTCCGTTTTTTCAGAGGAGTACAAGAAACGCCGGAAATTGCAAATGATGAGGTTTTTTGGTGCTACTGCCTTCACTTTACTATCTGCCCGTTTGGCATTTCGCGGAGTCCAATCTCGCAAATGTATGTGCATGCTATCAACCTGTTTCAACAGACGGTGATTTTTACTAACGAAGAATAACGGTTCAGATGTTCCAAATATGTTTCAGCTCAACCACAAACCTCCATTGTATTCCTTCCAGGGAGAAGCTGTAAGTGCTCTAGCGTTTGGAACTGGACTAGCTACAGGCTCTTTTGGTATGCTAGTGTTTGGAACGTGCTGGCTCGCAGACATATCATCGTTTGCTGAGTTTACCTTGAAGGTCAGAAAACTGATGGGTGAACCCGCTACTCGAATTTCTGAAGAGCCGTTAGATATAGAAACGCAAAAAGTGACGCAGGCCCTTCAGGAACTTCTCGAGAACTCCAGACGCTAAGACTCGGCACAGTAACCCGAGTACATACCTAGGAATCAGCATCTTGTAAATAGAACTCAACTGCCACCGTCAGTGGATCACACACTACGTCTTAGCTGTGGGAAGATTAGTTACCTACCTTGAAGAGCACAATCTGAGGGCCGAAAACAAAGAGTGGATAATAAGGATAAGGCTGGCAATCGGCTTGCAAAATGGTCGATATGGCCTCGCAACGGCCCAGCCCTCATTTAATAAAATCATCATCGTCAAGTGAAGAATATTTGTCACGAAATAGGCCTAACACAGTGCTTTCTACCTCATTTGTCTCGGCGCGCAAACTTGATGAGGCACCGTCTTCACCATTGAGCCCTCAGAACACGAGACGTAAGAGAAGTGGCACTGTCAAGACTATCAACAATTTGAAACATGACATTCATCATGTGCAGCAGGATTTGGCACGGTTACGGAGGTCAAAGGAAGATGTGGAAAAACGTCGTGAATCGGCGACGAATGACATATACCCTGGAAATTACTCACAGGAACATCTACAACGACACTCTATGGCTTTACAAAGCAAGGACCAACTGCGAAAACTTGACCAGCAGATTAAAAAGTCAGGCGATTTGCTTTCTACACTCCGAAGGCGCTTAGATAGTACCAGTTCATCTGCGTCAGGTGAAACGCGGTTTAATGCAATCCCAAGACCTCAGTTTTTTGTTCGCAAGTCTCAGGCTACTTCTGAGAGTGCCTTGGCCAATGACAGCGTGACAGAGGAGGAGGAGGTAGACGAGGAATTTCTGTCCGACTCACCTTCAGACAGTGGCGACACCTCTGCCGAATTCTATAGTGGGGCTCAAACAAAATCTCACTCTCACTCTTCCTCACCGCGCAACCCGGCTGGTCGGGACGCAAAAGTGAGTAAAGAACATGCTACCTGGCTCGTGAGCGACTATCTGCAAAGTTTACAAGACACCAATTCGGATAGGAGTTTCATTCTGAGTAAGGCTAACGACCTGGTCACTCTTTTAGAGCAAAACCCCACGATTAAATTCGATCTCGTTTTGCCTGCCTTTTCCAGCACCATACAACAACTGCTTTTGAGTGAAGACGAAGTAACGGTATCTGCCGCCTACCGTATTTGCAGATATCTTATAACAGGTCCCGAGTTTATACAGGAGCTTCGCAAATTATATCTAGAGGCTTTTGTTATAGCATCATTAACTAAAGCAGGTCAGTCGCACACGGAGCGGCTTCAAGCATTCAAGTTGGTTCGTTCATTTTTGGAATACGACATGGGTTTATCCGTGGGGCTTACTCAGTCGGTGATTAGCTGTATTGAGAATACCGATGATCCTTTGAGAGATTTGGCTATGGAGACTTTGCTAGAACTGTGTTACTTGAAGCCAGCACTCGTACATCGCTGTAATGGAATACAGGTTTTGCAGAACTTTGTTGCTGAGAACCCAGCCTCAGCTATATCATCATTTGTCCTCGATGCGCTCCTTGATTTGATGACTTTCCCCGACACCAGAAAGTACTTTGTCAATTGCTTTGATATATCGGTGACACTAGCGACCTTATCTGATAGCCATGTGAAACTGAATACGAGCACTGAAAAGCTGCAGAGCAGCATCAGTTTGATTTCAAAATGTCTTAAAAACTACAATGGCCTTATAATTTTTTCCGCCAACAACTTTCAGCGCTTTCGAGAGCTGCTGGCCTTCTTCCGATCTCCTACGTTGGCAAGGTACTTGATTGACCTTTTCCTTGACGTGCTAAGAATTAAGCCTCTGCCGTATATGGATAAAAAAAAGGCACCTCTTGGATTCAAACCGGTTCCTTCTCAGTTTCAAGTTGAAATTATGCCAATTAATCAATATGTGGGGCTTTTGGCTATAATTCTTTTCAAATTGAATTTCGTGACTTATCTTATTCCTCTTGTAGGCCAAAGAGGTGACGTTAAGAAAGATCCAACTTTGGCTGCCAAAGCTCGATACCTCATCACGGAATATTCGAGTGTTTCTGTGAACTTAGCGGGCTTGAGACCAAGTGCACCATCTAATTTACACTTCCCCGAGAAAATGACAGTTGAGGCGGTCTTATATCAAGCTTTCCAATACGAAAGGATGACAAAGAGACTGAATCGAAATAGAAATACCATTGGAATGACAGGACTAGACTCAAATCATGGCATTATGGAATTTTCCGAGAGATCGAAGCATAAAGCTCTTATAAGCAATATTGACGAGGTTAGATTCAAGAGAATGGTGTATGACACCAAAGTTTTACAGACAAAAGATTTTACTTTGTGGAACTGGGGAACTTTATCAGATCTCATCGAGGGCCCCCTTTTAAACCCAAGAAGACTAGAGGAATTAGCCAAGGGCACCAAATTTTTTCGTCGGCTACTAGTTTTTTACCGTCCAATGAGGTATCGCTTTTCAAGAATTCGCTCCACCTCACGCTTAGCAGCTAGGTGCGTGCACGTAGGATGCCAGTTGTTCAAGACTCTAACGGCTACCTCCGAAGGTATGCGTATTTTATATGACGACACGAAGTTGCTCCCTCAAATGGCATCGCTACTTTTCAAAGCGATGGAAGGTCAGCTGGCAGGTAATGTTTTTTCTGAAGACTCCCTATCAAATACAGTTTGTTCGGGCTATTTCAAGTTTTTAGGTACACTCTCTGATTCCTCAAGAGGCTGTGCAGTGCTAGAAAAGTGGAGTGTTTTCACTGTGATTTACAAAATGTTCCAGCGAACTTCCACACTTTCTACTGCTTATCTGCTTCGCATCCTTCCTGAATTGAGCATCATTCACTCCAACCACTCTCGAACTATTTTAGGTAAGGCACTTGTTCACCCATTAGCAGACGTGCGGGTTGAGGCTACGAATCAACTTGGAATTAAGTTGCAAAGCCTTTTATCTGAAGCCAAACTTGGTAGAAGCTTGGGTGAGCTCGAAAGGTTTTTGATTGAACTATTAATACGCCAGCTGTACGATTTATCTTCCACAGTGGTTGCAGCTGCGGACAAGATACTATACGATTATTGTGCCTTGCAAGACTGGCCTCCTAACGTAGATACCCCGCGCCACCATCTCCTCAATCAACTGGTTTTCATCAGATCCCCTATTTTGCTGGAATTCTTGAAAACACCCGCTGGTTTCAAGCAATTGAATGAGATCGGTTTCTTAGCTAGTGAACGAGAGAAGTGGCTCCGGACTAAGAACATGGAATACGTTCCCAGAGTAGAAGCTTTCATTCAGCATGAAATGATGGCATTTCCAAATGCCGTCGAGTCCAATTCTATCCCTAAGAGGAAGTTGCCGATGCATTTTTGTGGCAGTTTAGCGAGTACCGAAGAGGGCATCAATTTGATTTCCCAGATGGGCGATTTTGTCGCAATTGTCAATACTATCAAAAAGTACAGGCATGACGGATATTTAAGTGCAAGTGTCGAGCAGCATTCCGAAGTAAAAGCAGCTCTGTGGTGTTGTGGTTATATCGGTTCGACAGCACAGGGGATAAACCTTCTTGATGCCTATTCCATTGGTGGTGACATTGTGTGTATCAGCATCATGGCCCAGTCTACTTCGGTTAAGTTCACAGCATTCTATGTCCTTGGATTAATTGCTAGCACAGAAGAAGGATGTGAGATTCTAGACGAACTGGGGTGGGACTGCAGTTTGGACGTACAGGAAGAACCCGTGGGCTTGGCATTTCCCAGAGATGTGGAACAATTTCTGCAATTTCGAGACGGGGGCGAGGCACGCGAATTTCTCTCCAGTCCCAGTCAAGATGATATGGAATCGGAAGAATCTATTGCATTCGAACTACCAAACATGGATCTTGACAGATTATTGAACAGCAAAGCCAAGATCGAGAACACTACAGATGACCATGAAGGGGAATTTCAGGCCGAAGTAGACCGCCAAACTCGTGTTTTGCAGATGTATCAACCGCCTATCAAGCGACCCAACGATACCGACACAGCGGACAAAGTTACGAGAGCTGCAAGCAGATTGAATAATCATATATTTTCGAGTGCTGCGGTTAAAGAGATAACTGAATTGAAGTCAACCTATGGCGCCGCTCGCTTTGAAACTGTCGATGTATTGTCCAAAGTGCTTGAACTTATGGAACAGTATCGCTTCAAGCCCCAAGCGCGCAAAATTTTATGCGAGAACTTTTTAAACAGAAGCTCGTTTGAAGCGGTTATCAAAAAGGACAAGAAAAAGTCTCGCAGGTAAGATGGACCCTGGCTGAGTATCTTGTGGGTATCAATTGCATCTAAAATGGGTCTTCCATATGTAATATTATTAGCATTGCGTTGGACATGAGTTAAGTGACATATATGAAGCATTAGAGATAAACTACAGTCACAGGTCTTTGTACATGAGAGACGAGTTTTTGTAGAGAGTGTAGGACTCTTGCAAGAAGTCGGGGACTTCGACGTCGTGTATATCTTGATTTTCAAGTTCTTCCAGCCGTTTTGCATAGGCTACAAGCACAGGGGCCTTAGACATTGCTGTCTCTGATATGGACAGTTCTGATGCTTCTGTTTCATTTCCAATGTCTTGCACTATTGTAATAACACTGGCAAGTTTTCGCAGCATGGTTGTATATTCTCTCTTCAGGGACGATTCCTGCTTTATCAGCTCCTCCCGCCTGGATAAAAGCTTCTCATATTCTTTGGTCGATGCTGGGGCCTTCGAACTAGTCATGAAGTAATTGCAAGTGGTACTGGAGCCCGCCTAAAGCGGTGACCGGCAGGCCTACTTTGAGGTGCTCACATTAGCTTAATTACCAGCTCCTCGGTAGTAACGCAAGGGTACGTCCAGAGTGACATTATAGATTTGGGCAGCTCGTAGGTTTCCTCATCCATAGCTCCTGGTACCGCTGCCATTGCTTGACTCCATTACTCAACTACCTTACGTGCTAGCTACACAGTCAACCCAAAAGGCTGAAGGCCACACATTGTTGAAACATCGCATAGGGCACTGAAAAAGGTTCCAAAAACAAGAATAAGTTCTACAATAAAATCCCACTGAGGGCGATTACAATCATGAACATATTTTAAGCTCAGAACTACCAATCAAACCCACTCATTGCACCACCTCGAATAATGACAGTGAACATCACGTTACACGAAGATAGGGCTTCTCACAGAATCTTTAAAATAAGCGCCCAGCTCCCTGCCTTCCGCTCACACCTTCGAAAAGGGTTCGACAAGACTATTTCCCAGAAAGTAGTCAGTATTATCGGAGGCTGCTGTGTGCGGAGCTTTAGGATTACAAAGGAAATGCTCTCTTTGGGCAGAAAGTATCCCTACCGCAAAACAAAGTGATATCAGTTCTTAGGGGCACAGTGAGTTAAGCAGAGCCGAGGGATGAGTAAGGCGATTAGGATAGACGTTCAGCTTTCTTATCGCTCATCGGCTCCTGCAAGCAGTATTCCACTTCTATCCTTCATGTCAACAGGTTTTCCCGAGGGACGGCACTCAGATTGACCGTTGTATAAGCTCCCAATGCGAGACCTACAATCCGTACCACGCTTTGATCGTTGTTGTTTTCCATTCTTTGATCGGGTTTGAGGCTTGGCCCATGAACGTCACGAGACTCTATTGCGCAGTCGGTACCATAACATATTGTTTACTCTGAACGTCGTTTTTCTGGACTCGGCCCCGCTGAGGGACTCCTCCACTGTACTTTGACACGTGCACTTGCCGAATGCTGGCCGTGGCTCTTTTGCCCACTATTCTCCATCACGTTCGAGCCACGTTCAAGAAAGCCACAAATACGGGCGAACTCCTATCGTGGGCCCCACCACCATGTGAATTGTACACGTATGCTCCCACACTTGCGAAATTATAGTGGCAGATAACCTGTTACGGTCCTCACTTCGGTGCTTAAAGGGTTGAAACTGTGAAAGATAAATCACGTTCCCACACTTTGTGGAGCGGACTCACGATCACACCGACGTGCAAAGTGGCGGCTACAACATGAGGAAATGATTGCACAAGTGGAAAGTAAGGTTACAGTCGACAAATGGGGCATTAGCTTCTCAGTAAAGGGAAAAATTTTAAACGACGAAATTCCAGCCAATCGGTGTTGGAAAAGTTGTATATAAAGGGTGCGTTTGGATCATCCTGGATCAATGCACTCCTTTATTCTACATTTTTTTATTGACATCCGCAGATAAGACCTACACATCACTACTCGATTCACCATGGTTCAATCGTCCGTCTTAGGTTTCCCAAGAATTGGAGCCAACAGAGAGCTAAAGAAGACTACCGAAGCCTACTGGCAAGGAAAGGTCAGCGTTGAGGAATTGTTCAAGGTCGGAAAGGAAATCAGAGAACATAACTGGAAGTTGCAAAAACAAGCCGGCGTTGATGTGATTGCCTCCAACGACTTCTCGTTCTACGATCAAGTTTTGGACTTGTCTTTGTTGTTCAATGCTATCCCAGAACGTTACGCCAAGTATAACTTGTCCCCAATTGACACCTTTTTCGCTATGGGTAGAGGTCTACAGAAGAAAGCTACCGAGACCGAAGCTGCTGTCGATGTCACTGCATTGGAAATGGTCAAGTGGTTTGACTCGAACTACCACTACGTCAGACCAACTTTCTCGCACTCCACTCAATTCAAATTGAACGGCCAAAAGCCAGTCGACGAATTTTTGGAGGCCAAGGCTTTGGGTATCCAAACTAGACCTGTCTTGGTGGGTCCGCTCTCTTACTTGACCTTGGGTAAGGCGGACAAGGATTCTCTAGACTTAGAGCCATTGAGCTTGCTCGAGAAGTTGCTACCAGTCTACGCTGAAATTTTGAAGAAGTTGGCCGACGCCGGTGCCACTTCCGTGCAATTAGACGAACCAGTTTTGGTCTTGGATTTGGATGAAAAGACCCAAGCTGCATTCAAGACTGCTTACGATTTCTTGGCTTCTCAATCTGGTTTGCCAGCCATTACTCTAGCCACCTACTTCGGCACCGTCGTTCCAAACTTGGGTGCTATCAAAGACTTGCCAGTCGCTGGCTTCCACTTTGATTTTGCGAGAAACCCAGAACAACTAGATGAAGTTGCTTCCATTCTAAACGACAACCAGACCTTGTCCGTTGGTGTTGTTGACGGTAGAAATATCTGGAAGAACGATTTCGCGAAATCTTCTGCGATTGTTCAAAAAGCCATTGAAAAGGTTGGCAAGGACAGAGTTGTTGTTGCCACTTCTTCCTCTCTACTACATACTCCCGTCGATTTGGAAAGTGAAAAGAAACTAAACCCTGAGATTAAGGACTGGTTCTCTTTTGCCACTCAGAAATTGGCCGAAGTTGCTGTGATCGCCAAGAACGTCTCTGGCGAAGATGTTTCTGCTGAACTGGAGGCTAACGCCAAATCTGTTAGCACCAGAGCTTCTTCCAACATTACTAACAATGAAGCTGTTCAAAAGAGGGTCCAGTCCATTGACGAAAAAATGTCCAGACGTCTCTCCCCCTTCCCAGAGAGACTGGCTGTTCAAGAAAAGGCTTTCAAATTACCATTGTTCCCAACCACAACGATTGGTTCCTTCCCACAGACTAAAGATATCAGAATTAACAGAAACAAGTTTGTGAAGGGTACCATCACTGCTGAGGAATACGAGAAGTTTATCAATGCTGAAATCGAAACCGTCATCAGATTCCAAGAAGAAATTGGCATCGACATTTTGGTTCACGGTGAACCAGAAAGAAACGACATGGTTCAATATTTTGGTGAACAGATTGACGGGTACACCTTCACCACCAACGGTTGGGTTCAATCCTACGGTTCTAGATACGTTAGACCACCTATCATCGTTGGTGACTTGTCTAGACCTAAGCCAATGTCTGTTAAGGAATCCGTGTACGCTCAATCTATCACCACCAAGCCATGCAAGGGTATGTTGACCGGTCCCGTCACGTGCTTGAGATGGTCTTTCCCAAGAGACGACGTTGACCAAAAGACTCAGGCTTTGCAACTGGCCTTGGCTTTGAGAGACGAAGTCAACGACCTAGATGCTGCGGGTATCAAGATCATTCAAGTGGACGAACCTGCCTTGAGAGAAGGTTTGCCATTGAGAGCTGGCCAAGACCGTTCCGACTACTTGAAGTGGGCTGCTGAATCTTTCAGAATTGCTACATCGGGAGTTGGTAACGAAACCCAAATCCACTCTCACTTCTGCTACTCCGATTTGGACCCTAACCACATCAAGGCGCTAGACGCCGATGTCGTGTCCATCGAGTACTCCAAGAAGGACGATCCAAAGTACATTTCTGAGTTTTTGGACTACCCTAACCACATTGGTCTTGGTTTGTTCGATATTCACTCCCCAAGAATTCCATCCACCGAGGAGTTCAAGGCCAAGATTGAAAAGATTTTGGAGTCCTACCCAGCTGAAAAATTCTGGGTCAACCCTGACTGTGGTTTGAAGACCAGAGGATGGGCAGAAACCAAAGAGTCTTTGACTCACATGGTCGAAGCTGCCAAGTTCTTCCGCGAAAAATATGGTGCCAAGAAATAAGACTGGAATGCTCAACCTCCCAGTCGTTGCTTGACGATTCCGAATTTTTTTCAAAATCTGCTATGACAAAAAATATATTGGGCTTATACCGACGGTCGCAAATGCTCATTGACTGAGATTCTGAATCTGCCACAGGGGCTTATTTTCAGGGCGATTGTATGGGATTCAACATCGGTGCTTTAATGTTTATAGTTTTCATTTCTCTTGTATAATAACGTGTTCAACATCCGTTCATCCTAGACTAAAATTCCAGTCGATTACTTAGAGGGTATATATTCGGCTCTCTGGTGGCTGAATAAAAACGATGTGCATTCGATGGAAGGTAGAATCCTTATGGTGTTATGTCAGTCCTCCTTTACCGTCTTCACGTGAATAGTGATGGTGAAAGAAGAATATTGAATGGCAAACATTAGTATTTAAAGCTATTCAGACCCTAATAGCTGGCACGACCCCCCACATCGACCTTAGTGTGATTTCCTTAGTCGAGAATATAGAGAAATGTCTGACGAAAATATCCACCAGTTTATGGCTTTGTCCAATGCGCCTTTAGATGTTGCTCTAGAGTATTTGGACAATCATGCAGATCTAGGAGTATGTCTTACCAAGAGGTTCGCAAGGGAAACTTTCGAAGAAGATTAAGAAATATACTAACATTGTGAATAGGATGCTTTGGATGCATATTTCGCCGCACAGAATTCTGGAGCACCTGAGCCGGAAGCATTTACACAGGCCCACAGGGATCGTTCGAATATAATCAAAGGCGCAACGTCACAGACCAGGGCCTCGCCAGCTCCCATTAAAGCGACCTCTCCGGGACCCAGAAGGAATGGGAACTCCAATCCGAAGTTCAAGAGCTTTTCGGATATTCTGAAGGAGAACAACCAAGATGAAGAAGACGAACAAAGAAACACTTTCGCTGGCGGTGAAACATCCGGCTTGGAAGTAGCTGACCCAAACAACTCAGACTCGCTGATAAGAGATCTGCTTGAGAAGGCCAGAAGAGGGGGCGAAAGAAATCCTGCAGATGACGATATTTCTCAGACCACACCCAAGCAGAGCCAGTTCACGGGTAAAGGTTTCAAATTAGGGTCGTCACTAGAAGAACCAGCCCAGGTAACAAATGACCTTCCCGAAGAAGGTCTTCCTACAAGGCCTTTGAAAGTGACCCGCGAAATCACTTTCTGGAAAGAAGGGTTTCAGGTAAACGAGGGGGAATTATATCGATATGACGACCCTGCAAATAGCTACTATTTGAATGAGTTAAATCAGGGAAGAGCACCTTTGCGGCTGTTAGATGTTGAGTTTGGCCAAGAGGTCGAGGTTAATGTAAAGAAGAGGTTAGATGAGAGTTTCCAACCACCTAAGCGGAAGCTAGGTGGCTTTATCGGCAAGGGCCATCGACTTGGCTCACCAATCCCGGGAGAGTCCGTTTCTCCAGAACCCATTGCTCAAACAACGGCCAGTGAGACGGCCAATGAACAACGGGAGAACATTGAAGAGCCCAAAGGAGACACCAGTGTCCAAATTCGCTATACAAGCGGGAAGAGGGAAGTACTCAGATGCAGTTCTCAGGATACAATTCGGTTTTTGTATGACCATGTAAAAAAGGAAACCGATTCTAACAAGATCTTCACCCTGAACCACGCATTCCCTGTCAAGCCCATAGAAAATTTTGAGGCCAGTCTGAAAGACGAGGGACTCTGCAATGCAGTCGTGGTACAGAGATGGGTTTGATGATTGGAGAACGGTCAATGTTAGTGAAAACGCATGCACGCTGACCAGCGCGCTCCCCCACTAAACCTCAGAAACGACAAAATGCTAAGCTAAAACGTAACGATCGTATATAAAAACACCTCAATTTGGGCCTGGCTACAAGGTTCAAATGACTAGTACAACTTCAGCTCTCCAGTGATTTGATCAAGAACCGCTTTTGGTGCGGGTCCTAAACCCAAGACTGTGGCACTTCCGGCTGCGATCTGAGTCCGACCAGCGTCGTGAACAACATATGAATTCACACCCAGAGAAAGCGCTTTTGCAAATAATTCATCCATTATTTCTTTGTCTGGGCATTTGAGGGTTATTTTAGCCTGCCCGTAACGTAGCCATCTTTGAGTTAGAGGTAGATTGTAGGATTCGCGAGTAGGGTCTGCAGCGATCAATCGGTAGCACGCTAAAGCAGCGTGACTGCATTGGGCTGCAATTTTCCCCTTTTGCATCCCCAGATCTTGTCGGATGACTAGTGCCATTCTTACTTCGCCGGGAATGTCGTTCAATGACATCGAGTTGATTTCCACCTCTTCTTCGTCTTCTTCATCATAATCCTCGCCGCAACTCTCTATGTCGCTCTCGTACTCTTCGTTCTTCTCCATCTCCAGCTCTTCTATGGCCTTCTGCTTGCATTTGCGCAGGATGTCTCTGGGATGTTCTTGCTTGATTCTGACCGAACTAGCGTTGATTTGGCCCAAATAGAACCCGCTAGCTAGCGACACTGCGGCAATGCCAAACAATGTAGCCATATTGACAGCAGAAGGAGCCATTACTGATACCCAGTGCTATTCTTGTTGTCGAACGATGTTTTTCTTCAATTCAAGTAATATGAAGATGCGTTGATATCTTATGGGAACTTGAATACCTTATTGATTCTAGTATAAAACCAACTATTTAAAGAGTATTTATGTCATACTGGCTATTCCGTGGTTCCAACCCGCGAGGCCCAGAATTCTTCGGCTTGTACAATGGTTCTATTGTTGGCCAACATCTTGTTGAGCGTCTCTTCATATTCGTCTTGCTCATCAGAATCGAAAACTATACCACCACCAGCTTGTAGATAGGCGATACCATCTTTGTAAACCATGGTTCTTAAGGCAATACATGTGTCCATGGATTTACCATCGTACGACCAGTGGCCGACCGCTCCAGCGTAAACTCCTCTCGTTTCGCCCTCCAGCTCACCAATTAGCCCCATGGCCTTTACTTTTGGGGCCCCGCTTACGGTACCGGCTGGAAAAATGGACCTCAGGGCATCGAACCTAGTTTTGTCATCACGGAGAATCCCAGACACCTGGGAAACCAAGTGCTGGACGTGAGAGAATTTTTGCACGGTTAGTAATTTGTCAACATTGGTAGTCAACGGGTTGCATACCCGGTTGACATCGTTTCTAGCCAGATCCACAAGCATAACGTGCTCGGAGCGATCCTTCATAGAGTTTCTGAGCGAGTCGGCCAATTTATCATCTTCCGCTGGAGTAGATCCTCTCTTGACAGTACCTGCGATCGGGTGGGTGATGACCTTGTTTTGGGCGTCAGTTTGACATAGCAGCTCCGGAGAAGCCCCGATAACTTGGAAGTCTAGGAGATCAATGTAGAACAGATATGGAGATGGGTTCACAGTTCTTAGTTGTTTGTAGATGTTGAAAGGATGCAATGAGGTAGGGCGGGCCACTCGCTGGGAAGGAACAGCCTGGATGATATTGCCGACTTTGATGTTGCGCTTGAGAGTCGCGACGTGCGACTTATAGCCCTCTTCACCGATATTGGAGGAGAAAGTTTGGTTGAGTTTGATCTTGGGTTGTACGACGTTGTCGGAAGTTCCCGGTGCTTCGAGAGTCGCCACCACATCTCTGATAATTTTCTGCGCCTCCTCATAGCCCTCTTCTAGAGTTGCCACAGTGGACAAATTGATGTTGTGGATAATCTGAAACCGTTGGTACACATGGTCGAAGGCCACGATGGTGTCGTAAAGCATCAAACACGCTTCTGGCAGCTGCAAAACATCCTTGAGTGGTCGCTTGATTTTAGGCTCGAAATACTTGACACAGTCGTACGACACGTAACCAATGGCACCACCGCTCAACTTGGGAATGCCCGGGATGTTTTCGGCCAGTTTATAGTCTTCCAGTTCCTTCTCGAGCACCAGAAGAGGGTCGACTTCCAGGTTTTGACTGGCTCCGGTGTTAATGGTTTTGCGAGGATTGGTTCCGAGGAAAGAAAACCTTCCCAAGGTGTTGTCGGAAGTGGCACTCTCTAGCAAAAACGATTGCTTTCTATCGGCATTGTTTATTTGGGCCAGCTTCAAGTATGCCAGGTGTGGTGTTAAATCCATGGCAGGCAGATAGCAGAAAACAGGGTACATGTTAATATCACTATCGTTTTCTTTGACATAGTTCCTGAGGTCTGCAAGACCAGGCTGGATTTGAGCGTCTACCATTGGTGAAGTAGGTAATATAGGGTCTCTGCAGAGCTTTCCCGGATTACTGGTTGTACGTCTTTTGAAGCTCATCGCTGGTTTTTTTTTCAATACTATCATTATAATTTATTATGGACCTAATGAGTCAACGCTGTGAACTTGAAAGATACACATATAATAGCTCTTTGAGGACAGCGTGAGAATTGGAATTAGGGCTCTTACACCTCTCTTGCTACCTCTGGAAAATGCATTTAGATTTTGGGGCCCAGGTTCTACTAGACATCTGGTGTTTGTTGGTCAGAAGGAAACTAAACGCAATGACAGTATCGGCAGAAGTGAGAACGTCGGTATGAGGGACCGAAAGAAGGGTGGTAGAGTATCCGAGGTCCAGGTAGGAGAGCAAACAGGTATCCGGACCTGGCTGTAGACAGTAGCCCGTAGTACAGAAGTTTAAGCAGCATCACTGCGTACGCTTCTGACGCGCGTACTTCAATACCATCTTATGGAGAGCTGGCCCATCTGAAGCGGCCGCTTATCATCCGAGAAGCCTTTCTGAGCTGGTCTGAGTGCTGTTTAGACATTGCAAGTTCTAGTTTTGGCAGACTGGCGACTGTGTCATTATTGTCAAAAGTGATGTTGGGATGAGCAGTCGGCGTCTGCCACCGACCTTCCCTCCAAATTGGGGAACTAGGTGTGCTTCCTCCCTGGTGCTTTCAGCTTTGCTCGTAGACCTATCACTTGCTCCATTGAGCACAGGCCCTCGCAGCAGACGACAGTACGAGCGTCCGCACGAGCGCCCGCAATGTACACGTACAGCAAGCTGGTAGAGCGTTCCCCTAGGCTCTGCCACAGCTGGTTGCCGCCCCGATTGCGCAAAATTGCGTATGAGCTCCAAACAGCGAAGATATCCGACCCTCCAAAACCCTTGTCCAATGGTCTTTTCTCAAAATGAACCCGCCAGCTGGTGCACATGTGTTTTAGTCCTGCTCTGGGCTCTGTATTTGGCCCGTAACTATCAAGCTACCCTCGTCCAAATGACATTTAGGGTGATCAATACGACACGTCCCCCCGCATTGTGCCATTGCTGCCCAATGCTCAGACGGTCCGTCAAGCCTTACAACGACGGAACACGAAGCTGGCTCCAAAAAAAGACCTCCTGGCTATCCACAGAGCTGCTTTTTCGGCTGAAGTACGCACACTTCACAAGGTTTCCTTCAACTTTATTCGTTTTCAGCCGCCACACATATCTGCCTTCAAATTTCCAAACATACAGCTCCTGTGGTCCAAACATACAGCTCTTGTGATCCAAACATACAGCTCTTGTGATCCAAACATACAGCTCCTGTGACCCAAACCCTTTGCATAGCCTCCGGCCCTCCTCCTCCCGCACCGAAACTACCGTACACGAATGTGCCACGCAGCCCGCGCAACAACAAGCATCTGTTCTTCGAAGAAACCGACCTCGTCACCTCAATTGCGTGCTCGAGCAGCTTGAGCAACACGATCCCCTAAAATGACGACATCCTACCCCGGAGGCTGTTTGGACAGCTATATAAAGGGAGATGAGCTATTAGCGGGAAACTGCTGGAAGAAAGTCACAGCATCCTCGAACTTTCGACGCGGGCCCTCTAGCCTGATGACCAAACCTCAGTCAGCCTTCCTCCAGAGGTATGTATCACACGACGGACATGTGTAAGTAGATTAGCACATGGAGGATGAGAACCACGAGGGCCCGTTAACTTAAAAGAAAATACTCAGAGAGCGGCACAGTGAACAAGACTCTGACACGCTGTGCAACCTGTGGGTGGGATACCATAGCTCGTCTACTACCAGCTTCTCTCCAGCTCAGGTGGGACTCGCTTTCCGTCCATTATAATCGTCTCAACCAGGGTTCGAACACAGGCTTCGAAGATCACGATGTCCAAAAACCACCAAGACGTGTGAAATGACATCAACAAAAGCGTTCCCCGTTAAAAAATTTGCCACCCCTACAGCAAGTATTTAAACATCGAACAAGAACGCAAACGACGAACAACGCCAAACTGCCAAGCCCAATAGGATCGGAGCTTGAAATTGAGACTGAACACCGTGTTATCGCCGTCTGAATTAGTTTTGTCCGAAGAATAGGATTCTCGTCAGCCATCTAGCATCTTCAACCCCGTGTTTTGTGTGTGCATCGATTTCCCAGAAAGATAATACCTGTCTCGCGCTAGAACCCCCGCATCCCAATGGGCCAAATACTCTCGAACCCGATCATCGACAAAGAGGTGCACTCGGGACATGATCTCCTGACGGCCTTCGGCCTGTGCGCCATGCAAGGCTGGCGTATGTCCATGGAAGATTCGCACGTGTGTGCCACGAACCTCGCGGCGCCAGACCAGGCCAACAGCCATGTGGCGTACTACGCTGTTTTCGATGGTCACGGAGGCTCGTCGGTCGCGCAATTCTGTGGCGACAGGGCTGCGCAAGTGGTGCAGGCACAGGAGTCGTTCCAAAAGGGACGATACACGCAGGCTCTGATCGACGCGTTCATCGCCACCGACAAGGAGATTCTCAAGGACCCGCTGCTCAGGAACGACCACAGTGGGTGCACTGCGACCACAATGCTGATTTCCAAGGAGCAGCAACGATTGTTTTGCGGAAACGCCGGGGACAGCCGAACGGTTCTCTCGCGCAACAAGGTCGCCAAAGCTCTCTCGTACGACCACAAGCCCACTTTGGTGAGTGAGAAGTCGCGGATCGTGGCCGCGGACGGGTTTGTGGAAATGGATCGTGTCAACGGAAACCTGGCGTTGAGCCGTGCCATCGGGGATTTCGAGTTCAAGTCAAACTCGCAACTGCCCCCCCACGCACAGATCGTCACCTGCGTTCCCGACGTGGTCGAACACACGATCGACTACGCTCTTGACGAGTTTGTCATCTTGGCGTGTGACGGCATTTGGGATTGTCTTTCTTCGCAGGAGTGTGTGGATTTAGTCCACTACGGTATTAACAAGGGCGACATGAACTTGGAGGATATCTCTTCCCGCATTGTGGATGTGTGTTGTTCACCAACCACCGAAGGTACCGGTATCGGCTGTGATAACGTGAGTATCGTCATTGTTGCGCTCTTAAAAGACGGTGAGTCGATTGATGAGTGGTTCTCCCGCATTAGAAGCAAAAAACATTCTACCCCCATCTCCTTCGAACAGAGGAGAAGGGCAGTGTTTTCGTTCTACGAATTTCCAAAAGACGACGCTGAAGTATTTGCAGTTTCCACTAAAAAACCTGATGATCATAACAATACATACTCGTCCAATGACGATGAAGACACCGAAATGGAAAGGAGCGAGACCCATCCAGGACACTCTCAAATGGATATGTTTTCCTTGGAGACCTTACTCGGAGCCAATGGAATTCAAGTTTCGCAGGGCGGCAATAATGTGTCTTATATTCACGGATCTGCTCTTTCTGAAGTGCTGGCTTCCTTAGGAGGTGGAGCCGGAGCTGGACCCGGTCAAGCCATCGATGAAGAACCAGAATCGGATGATAAAACGGAAAAGCTCGAAGAGATAAAAGATTAGAAAATTAAAGATGCACAAAAACGATTCACGTACTATCATTGCAATGCTCCCCTCCCCCCACCCCTCCTTTTCCCCTTTTCTTCTTTTTAATGGTTTTGGCGTTTTTACTGTTTTGATATACCAATGACACTTCTGTCACCATCATCTCTTTAACGCTTCTTTACTTCCCTGGAATTTCCTTGTCCCATTTTATTAATGAGATAGCTTGCCGGTTTGACCGTGCCTCAACACGCATGGCTGGTAAACCATTATACTTACTTCGTGGGTAGAACCACCTACGGCGGACAAGACGCTTACGTTCCTTACTGTTTGCGTGTTCCCATCGTGGATGGAGATATGCCAAAACAGAGGAAGAACTGTAAAACCTATTGTTCCATTTTCTTAATTTGTTTGTTCTCATGTTTTCCACCTCACCGGCCTTCACAAAGGATCTCAGGGCTAGCTGTATACTAGTTTCTCGCTCTTAGCGAGATAGGTTATAATGAATTCCAAATTGTTTAATCAAATAAACTCTCCAATGATATATCTACGTAGAGCACTCCTCAGTCACCATAAATTTCACAGCTGGTTCGCCAAACTTGAGATATGACCTCTTCAGCAGGAAGAGCTTTGACTTTAGCCACGACCATTGCCACATGCCCCATAAAGCAGGGCTCGTTTCTCGATTTAACAACTATGCCGTCGCGCTCACCTGCTGGATTTTTATCAACTTTATCGCGCTTTACACCTCTAAACCACTTTTGAATATCTGGGTATGCTTTTGAGAGACCATTATCCCACGGATCATCTTTTGCAGTATGACATGACGATACATCGTCATAAAGGAATTTGTAAGAGTCATGAGTTCTGCGGATATCGCACCAGGGCGCATCGGTTTCCAAAAGTAGTCTATCTAACGGGATCTCTCTGACACAGTCAATATTTTCTTGGGTCTTGAAGGAGCAACCGTTCATGCCAATAAAGGAGTTGTCAGAAAGAGCCAAAACCCGATGCATTTCTTCAGTGGAACCAGTAAAAGAGTGAGTGACAAATTTACGGCCTTCCGAGAACTTGTACCATACTCCACCAGAGCTCTCGATTCGTGGCATGTACGGAGTGCTCTGACTTGCGCGTATCAGCCTTTTGTGATCGAAACGGTCAGTGCTATCGGTAAACCCATCTATAAATTTCTTGAGCACTGCTTCGAAATCAGAGCAGCAGTTCCGCATGTGTAGAAACAAAGGCTTTTCTGGGAAAAGACAGCTGATCTTTAACTGCTCCTCAAAAAACAGCAGTTGCATTTTTTTGGAGGAGTAGTAGAGCCGGTCGTAGTCCAATCCAATCTCCCCCACAGCGCGAAATTGAGGGTCACAAGCTTGGCCCTCCATAAGTCTGTACAGCTCTTCAAGCTTGCGCTTGGTAAATGCTACGTCTGTCACCTCCAGACTTGCATTGAACTTTTCGTCATTCGTCGGAGCGTCGATGGTGGACTGGGAATCTTTCAGCACAAACTCGTTTACACAACATGGATGCACCCCAAGGGTATAATATAGATGCGTGTCTTCACTGTGATATCGACCAGCAATTTCTATCGCCTGACGAGATTCTTGAATGGAGGATCCCGTAAGAAGCATGTTTTCGACTCTTGCCAGCTTGGCTCGATGCAGAACAGACTGAATATCACACTCATGATATTTCTTGCCATTGTAGATTCCCTGGTACATAGGGTCTGTCAGATTGACACCAATATCATAGTATCTAATTGCCTGCGACATTCCCTTGAACAAGCGGGCACTGCAACGAGGCATCAAGTGGAGATGGAACCAACGAAGCTCGACGGTAATTTTTTGGTACGATTTTGGAATCCCATCTATTATTATTAAAACTTCGCAAAGTGAGGACGTTTTGGAGCCCTTGGAGCTGATTGAAACCCTGGAAATGCATTCCGATCGGTTTAGCGAGTATTATCAAACACCACACTCGCAGTCATGAATCCGTCCCGTCTTTATATTGCAGAGACATGGTTAGGAACGCCCTCAGAATGCTGACGACATATTGGTAAGAAGTGATCTGCTCATCCAACGATAAATTGCCAATGTAAGAACGGGCTGTACAGCAGACTGCTTTCGACCAAGCAGAGACAAGCACAACGAGCATACCAACCACAGCAACGCAGCACAATCGGAACTTGACTATACCAGGCCAGATGACCTTTCTCAAATCCACCACCATCGAAACCGTACATAATGATACACAACGGCTTGAAAACTCAACCTTCGAGGATCAACGCTGAGCGTCTGGAGTGCTGGAGCGCGCAGAGCCTGTGGTACCTGTCAAGCTTCATCTATCGCTTCAATTCTGTTTGTCTTGTCCATTTCTGTAATATATGCACGTGATAGCTTTATATAGTCGGGTAACGTCCATGGAGCTTCTTAGAATGCTATGGAATTAAACGCAAATTTCAGGAATAAGTATATAAAGGTTCGGAGGGCCCTATCATGCTCCTTAAACACGCTCAACCACGACGATTATCGATCTGAGTAAGGATAGCTCTTCCTAGAATAGCTACGAAATAAACAGAGAAACCGTTCATTGGGCCTGTTTTTTGCACTTTCTGATTTCTGCTCAAAGGCTTTTACAGGTTTCTATACGTCTAGCACTTAATTATATCCACAATGTCCGACTGGGATAGCACAACAGTTATTGGTCAGAGAGTGAGAACCGGGGGCGGTGGTCCAAGACAACAAGTGGCGCGGTCTCAGGGCCAGATCAATGCGGCCAGAAGAAGTGGTAATGTTCTTTCCGTCGATAAGAAATACAGTTCGGCCAACGCCAAGGGAAACAACGAGGGCCAGAGACTCACAATGGTCGACCGTGAAACCGACATTGTCGTTCCCAAGAAAATGGATATGTCTGTGGGGAAGACCATTGCTAAGGTGCGGGGTGAAAAGTCCTTGACCCAGAAGGACCTGGCCACGAAGATCAATGAGAAGCCTACGGTCATCAATGACTACGAGGCTGGTCGTGCCATCCCAAACCAGCAGATTTTGGCGAAATTGGAGCGTGCTTTGGGGGTGAAGCTCAGAGGAAAAGCCGTTGGTGAGCCACTGGGACCTAAGAAGAAGGCCTAGTATCCTAACAACACCAAGTGCCAATGATTCATGATTCATTCACGTTTTATCCTTTTGCATCCATGACTATTACGACCAACCCTCATAAATTCCCATGTAGTTAATATCATTTTTTTTCTTCTGATTATGTTTGTAGATGCATCCTACCCTCTATGGAAAGTGTTGCTTCTCATCATCCGAAGCCAGCGGGTCTGACATTGGTACGACGAGTTGCTAGGATTGATGGCCATGTTGCCAATCATGGTATAGAGAAGCCGGCCTGTCCAGATCCTAACTACGTACGAGAACATATGGCTTCACCAATACAATAATTATGATGATTATGGCCAATGAGCATAAGTTTACGAACAGACTGTAAACCGAAGCAGGTTATACCCAACGACCACTGAACAGTGTCAAAATGACATTTTTGGACTTTAGCGCCCTGCATGAACCGTCAAACATCTTCACTATTGCCAACAAAGCCTTGAAGCTCACTTCTGCTGAAGATGTCGAACCCATCTTGAACGATCTAAATAAGTTACCTAAAGTCACGAAGATTGACTTATCGGGGAATACAATCGGCATTGAAGCTTCCAGAGCGCTGGCAAATGCTATTCTTCAAAATACAGCGGTGAAGGACAATTTGATCGAAGTTAATTTCGCAGACTTGTACACCTCTCGGTTGGTGGATGAGGTCGTTGAGTCCTTGAACCTTTTTGTGCCCGTCTGGTTAGCGTGTCCCCAGCTACAAATCGTCAATCTGTCTGACAATGCATTTGGTCTGAGGACAATCGATTCATTGGAAACCTATATTAGCCAAGCAGCACAGTTGCAACACTTGATCTTGTCCAACAATGGTATGGGCCCCTTCTCGGGGGAAAGGATCGGAAAAGCTCTGTTCAAACTGGCCAAACTCAAGCAAGAAAAGAAAAAACCGCTTCTTGAAACGTTCATTTGTGGCCGGAACAGGCTTGAAAATGGATCTGCCACTCATTTGGCCCTGGGTCTCAAGGCTCACGGCTCTGGTTTGAAGACTGTGAGGCTATACCAAAATGGTATAAGGCCACAAGGTGTTGCCGTTTTAATCAAGTACGGGCTCAGCAATAATGAAAAGCTAGAAGTGTTAGATCTACAGGATAACACCTTTACCACCAGCGCTTCTTTAATACTGGCCGAGGTTTTGCCAGTATGGCGTGAAACACTTATTGAGTTAAATGTCAACGACTGTCTGTTAAAAGGGCCAGGCGCGAATGCTGTTATGGAATCCTTGGCTAACCATAAGTTCCACAATTTGCACACCCTGAAATTACAATACAACGAGTTGACTCATGAAACGTTGGTTTCGAGCTTGCTACCAGCTTTACAATCTGAGAAGTTTCCCGCTCTAAAGTTTCTGGAACTGAATGGCAACAGGCTCGAAGAGGACTCTGAGGCCCTGGCAGAACTGGAAGAGGTTTTTGACGGCACTTTGGATGAACTAGACGATTTGGAAGAATTGGACAGTGAGGAAGAAAGCGAGGAGGAAGAAGAAGGCGAAGAGGAGCAAGGGTTCGTCACGTCAGCAGACGTTGAAGCAGCAGAAAAGGCTCTCTTGGAATCCCAGGTCGAAGACCTCACAGACCAGTTGGCCAATGCCTCGATTTAGAGTTCAAAGCAATAGAAATCATTTATATTTAAGATACTTTAAACTAGTTAATTTATCTTCACATTTTTCTGCATGGAATCTATCAGGCTGTCCTTTTCTATCCAAGCATTCTCGAGCCACGATTCCAATTTCCTCTCGCTAAGCCGAGTCAGGTTAGCAAGCGGATGCTTTTTAACATGAATTCTTACAATTATTGGGGACTTTAGAAATTTGTGGCTCAAAAGCTGCAAAAATGAAGGTGTAATTTGTTCAAGTTGATAATGACTCTCACCGTCATCCAGTCGGTACAGTTCCAGTTTGTGAACATGCGCATGCTCTTTTCCCGATGAGCACTTGGCTCGATAGTAAAGTATTGTGAAATCCCACAGAAAGGGATTCAACTTATTGATATTTCTAAGAGCTCTGGGCGTCGAGTTCACTTGAATGCTATCTCCAGCGATCTCATCTGCACCTAAAAACAAACTTATTTGAGCCAATTCAGTAGCGCCAACTTTTGTTCTCGAGTGTCTCAATTTACTAACCATACCATTAGCTCTAATGAAGGCCTTACGAAGATAACGGTCTCTGTGTAATTTCTCCACATGCTGAAGTCTTGCAAAACACCTAATAGAAGAAGTAAAGTTCTTAAATCTGGGGTATAGCACATTGTTGAGGACAGGCATATAACTTTCTTTTGTAAGCTTTCTTTGAACTAGACGTAATTCCGGGGTCATTACATTAACCTCGGGGAAAAGAGCAAGAGTGTGGTTTCCGCGCTTTTGTAAAATGTTCATGATATCGTTGCTTGAAACTGCAGCATTCTCGTCCCTCAATACAATCCTGGATAAAAACCTGACAGAGGGCATATTCGATATGGATCCCCATGAAATGAATTTAAAAGGTATTGTTAATGGAAAATTTAGCAACTGATAGAAGCAACTCCATGACAATTCCTGTTTACCTGCAAGGATATGGTCCTGTGCCAAAAAATTGAGTAGTGTGTAATCCATGATGGACCGGTGGTTCGCCATCATGAGCGTTGTATCAGTATGATCAAATTCGAATGGTTCACCCGTGCGTATAATCCTGATGTTGTTGCCTTTGAACGTGAGCTCCACCAGAAGCAGTTGAAATAATGTCTCCAAGAATTGCTCGAAATCATTCATACGCGGTACAACCTTGCATTTTATACAGGCTACCGACGTGTCCAAAGAAGAAGCCAAATGTTTACCAAGTATAGGGCACCATAAGCATATCCTCCCTGCAATTCCAATAACATGCAAAGCAAATTTTGATTCGACTGATTGCCGCACTAGCCATGTTTTGTAACTCCAGAAATTATAAATGACAAGGTACTGGACGAGTGACATGATTTTAATGATGAGCTCTAAAGGCCAAAAAGAACAATCATTTTCACGCAAAACGCCAAAACCAAAGACGTGTGTTCGTATTGTGTTTGATAACGCCATATTTGATATTGTGTATGAAAGCCGGGTTTATAATTCCTCAGAGGGTCACAATTAGTCTTTGTGACACTCGATAGTACAACTTAACCAAGGCTTGTAATTTGCTTCTGTGACAGAAAATTGATTACAGTGTAACAGATTTCGATGAGTGGCAAATTAAGTCAATACCAATTTCAGGTGGTTATCTTTCTGATGGAAGTTGAGTTTGATAAAAGCCCACTATCTACACTGACACCTCATCGAAAGGCGTTCAGAGGAAATGACAGATTTCGGACGGTACTCATGTGAAGTACTCATTTGAAGTATTCGTGAGGAAGACTGAAAAATGATGGACAACTATTGGCGATGATGATGCAGGCCAGTCAAAATCATACGTTCATATCAGCCACCGTGCTATTCGATCGTCTGGTTGTTGGCACATTCTTTCATGATTAGAAATTGTTTGAATTTGGGAATACGAAATTCCCTGAGCTTCGCACGCACGGGCCAGCCGTTGGCTTCAAGTATCGCCATCAGATCACTGTCGTTAAAACCAAACTTTTCGAAATTGAAGCTCACTCCACCACCACCCGGTGGTGTTGTTGGTGGGGTAAATGATAAGCTAGAAACTCCTGAAATTGATTTCTTCCACGGCTCGTATCATTGGGATTATGAAAGAATCACTGCTATTTCTCTGATTCCACTGACGTTAGTGCCAATGTATGGGGCACTATCAAGTGGAACGCTTTATCCCATGGTAGATGCTACCCTTTGTAGCGTCCTGCTGATACATGCTCAGCTGGGCTTGACTAGCTGTATCGTAGACTACATACCAAAACGGAAATTTGGTGTATGGCATTCACTAGCAATGGCATCGTTATACGCTGGCACAGCTGTGGGATTATATGGTGTTTATGAGCTCGAGACTAGTAATAATGGGTTGATAGATCTCATCGGGAAACTTTGGAAGGATGAAGAGGCAGACTTGCCTATATTCTCGAGGTATTGAAATGTGGAAGCTATCCTTCATAATAATCACTCTAGCAACGCATCGGGTCTACCGACTTATATATATAGCCAACCTATCATAGAGACGCTCAATTTTTAACTTTTCATCTTTTGGCTGCCCCATCTCGTGCAAGTTGGTCAGCGATCTCATTTCCGGGTTCACCAGAGTGACCCTTGACCCAATCAATTTTGAAAGGTGACTCGCCGAATGTTGAATCATTAATGGCGTAGTACTGTTTGACCTTGGCAAATTTATTGATGAGAGGTCTGATCAAGTCGCCATTAGGCATGCTTTTGAGTTTTTCGTCGTCGTAACCCATGTAGCGGTCATTAAGCAGCTTCGATACATATTCAGAGTCCGTTTTGATTTGATATCTCACATTTTTGTTTTCATCAGCCAAATTTGTCCAAATTTTATCCAAAGCGCTCGATACAGCCTGAATCTCGGCTCTATTGTTGGTGGACGCACCATTTTTCAGAGGCTCTGATATACTGTCTTCACTTTGATCTTCAAAGTAGACGCCATACCCTGCCCGAGAGTTGTTTTGCCCATTGCTCAAGGCTGAGCCATCACAGTAGACGTTACATTTTTTCGGGCTAGACTTTGATGTGCTAGTTTTCTTGTAACGGCTGTTAAATTCGGCCCTGGGGATGTCAATGTGCTCGTAATCTCTGAAACTGGAGCCATTTATGAAATCAACGGCATCGCTCTCACTAGAAAGCTTCTTGAAAGACAGGCCGCCTTTACCAGAAACGTAGCGTTGACAATCAGCCCAGTTGTCAAAAATCTTATTTTCGATGTCCGCGTTACTACTTCTCACCGCGTAGTATTTTTCAGGCGGCAGTTTGTCTTGCACTGGTTTAGCTTTGAAAGTTCGAGAATAATTTGGATAGCCCGACGACGATTTACGAGAGCTTTTATAAGATTTGTGGTGACCGTAAGAGCTGTCCGTTCCAAGTTGATTTCTTGCAGATGGGGTGGAGATTTTATGAACGTGGTGCTCATAGTTTCTGTCGCCACGACTGCCGGACTGGGATGAACGAAACCGTTCGCCGTAATCAGTATTCCGCGATCCATAACCAGAATTGCTCTGCCCACCGCTCGAATAAGCCCTTGCTTGTTCCATTGTATCAAACTTCTTATAAACGGCACCTGGATATCCATTCACTTGATCCTTACAGTCGCCCCAATTGGTGAATACACCATTGCTACGACCATTTTGCACCGCGTAGTAACTTTTCCTCGCCATGATGAACTTTTCTCCCACTCTAACTTTCGAAGTTGCTGGCCAAATAAGAAGTGACAACTTGTCACAGAGCAATATGGAACTAACCTTTACAGATCAATGCTTCATTCGGTCACTCTACCCTCTGAGCCTTCATAAACGTTACTTGATCTGATAATCTTACGCAGTAGTGGAATATTTGTCAGTTATAGAAGATCATGTGATGTGAGGTGTCGCGGAATATATTCCTGGCACACTAACAGTATGGCGATGGAGATGCACTCGCCGTCTGAGAAATATGTTCAAGTCTGCTTTTTGAAAATACTAAATCACTTCAATGACACCTTCGTTTTTATAGGCGGAAGTTGTAATGGTTTATCTCTAAGTACCAGGTTGCCACGACCTAACACTGCAACTGGTTCAAATGCACTAGGCACAAAAAAGTAAGACATATACTCCATATCGGCCTCATTCATAAAGAAAATGAACTACCGCTATCGCTTCTTGGCATAGAGTATTTTCCATAATTATGCTTCTATGGGATGGCATTTTTGGACTGGATACTAGTGGTGGCTGGAACGTGCAGCTCTAACTATCTTCTCAGTTAACAAGGCTTTGGTCATTCTCTCATGGCATTTTAGACAATCCGCGACAAAGTCACTCTCACCTTTGGCAACTAATATGCGCAAGAGAATGTTGCGTGTAGCTTCTATGTTCTCTAGAGGATTCTTCTCGGCTTCCTTGATTTCCTGGTCGAGTCGTAGTCTCCGCTTCCGCAAAGCGTTTGCGATGATGGTTTTGCGACGTGCAATACTCCTTTCTCTTTTGCCAACTACCATGGACTTCTTGGGATCATGAACCTCGAGTTCTTTACTCTCAGAAATTAACTTGCTGTATTCACGGTCTAATGATTTCAATTCGTCTTTTAGCTCGTTAACTGGCTTGTCATAATACGTTGGAATGAGCAGAAGAGACTGATAATGTCTATTTTTCAAATCTTCGATGGCAGGACCTTCTCCATTGTTGTGAAAGAAGTCAACGCATAACGCCCTTAACCATTCAAATATCGTGTCAATTTCAATTTTGGTCAAAGGACGGTCCGATGTGACTGGTGAGTTGATTCCTTGTTTAGCAGCATCAACGGCATTTTCCCAAATTGTTTTTGTTTTGGAGCTTACCTTTGGGGCCCTCGATATTTCAGTCACAAACGGCAACAAAAGCTCATCCGCTCTGTTCAAAATTTCCTCCCATGCTTCCAACATCAGTTTCAATAGCACCTCACGAGGCAAATGTGACGCAAGTATGTCTAAATTTGCATTTAAGTAGTCAAACAGCGGTACTATCGAATCATAAACGACGTTGTTACCAGCCTTAGTTGTTCCAGTGCTGCCGCATACTGTTTTCAAGGTTGTTTTCGATAAGGCAAAATGAACGAACACTTGAAATTTGCTAACCATCAGTTCAAGTGATCGATCCCGAGCACGGGTGAGTGATCTAAATGCCCTACCCATGGAAAATAGGGCATCGAGCTTTTCAGTCTCGACAGATATTTGTATTATGATTTTCCCACGAGAGTCCAAATTAAGATTTATTTCTTGCGGATAACCGTCATCTCGAAAGTTTTTGGGATCCAAGCTCAAAAGTGCCCGCCCATATAACTTATTCGATTCAGAATTAAATCTTGATTTGTGGGTCCACAGAATAAAACTGATGAGTCGGGAATCACCAACCGGAAGATCGAGCTCGAACTCTTCATTCCATACTGGCCTTCCAGATTTCATCACCTCGCGTGTCTTGGCAACCTCTCGTTGAAGCTTTGTATCAACAATACTAACAGCTGTCAAAATATTCGAGTGCTGTGCGGAGCTGCTCAGGTCCTCTGCACGAACTACCCTTATAGTGTATAAGTGCCTGAGGGTACTATTCTGTTTTTCTGTCTTCATTTTGCGCTTGATGTTAAATTGTTCATGTGTGGTAACCACAGAGGAGACTTCTTCCGGATTAATACGACTTTCTAAGGAGTTCAGTAATAGCATCATTTGGCTGAGGTTGTTCAAGCAAATGCAAGTTTTTCTCTGGAACTCAAATGGTTTTGGCACAGTAAATTCGTGAGATTTCAGTACGTTTTTCATCTCAGTGTATACCCATGAATTCTTCATTCTCGCGGCAGCAGATTGAGGAATAGTCTTCTGGACATCACCGTATTCCTCAAAATCTTCGTCTACCTCTTCCGTGGCCTTAATATCATCAACTATTACACTCGCAACAGCAGTGGAATAAAAACTCAATCCATCGGCAGCTGATTTCAAAAGGAATGTGTATATCTTAGATATTTGATATTGATCTTCCCAACCCAGCTTTCCAAAGACTTCAAAAGACTCGTTGATCATCTTGAAAACATCGATGACTGAAGTACTATAGTTTAAATTCTCATCAACTGTATCCCAACTTTCTTTCGCGATGGCGGTCTGTATAACATTTCGAATACCAAGACAAGTGTCATCGCACAGCATCGATAGATACGTGAGGAAATACTTCTCCAACTTGAATGGAAATGGTTTTGAAGGCTGTATTTGAAGGTGAACGTCACGCAACTCACGTAGCGATTTGTAGGTCTCAGTAGCATCATAGTAAGGAATATGGTCACTTTGAGAGCTAGAGGCCTGCCTAACTTGTGCTAGCATAGCAGAACAATCTACGCCAAATGCCTCTACAAGAACCTTCCCACATTCCAGAGCAAGGTTGATTTCACCGAGTAGAGGTTTACTATAACGCTTTTGAAGATTTTGAACTTCCAAAACGATGCTGTCGGCCATGTTCTTGACGTCTTGGAATTCTATGTCCCTTTCACGGGGGAGATCTCGGACTAAATTGACATAGTAGAGTTCACTTGCCTTGAAGAGGACACGTCTTAATTTTTTTATGTGTTTTCGACGGGTATCGCTACCAATCATAGTGCTATCAGCCAGTTCGATATTGGGCAAAATCTTATTGTAATAAACATCTAAAGTTGATGAAAACTTTGGTCTTGGTTTCTCGTGAATCCCTGCTAGTTGTTGTCGTAGAAGATTGAAACACTGTTCATAAGAATAGAGCAAATTAGCTAACCACTCTTCATGATCAGTCGAAGTCCATAAAGAACCGTCTTTCAAAGACGGTTCTCCATCCAAAATTTTTGAGTTGATAATTGTAAAGACTTGGTTGAAGACCTCCGTGTTTAAACAATTTCCAGCCATCGGTCCTTCTATTGCAGCACTGTAAAGCAAGGTGGCTTTAGTGGAAGGTAGAGTTATTCTCCAATAACTGGCGCATTTGTGGATCAGAAAGAAAGCATTTTTCGAGCAACTTGGCTCTTCCAAATCATATGATAGCTCTTTAGCCCAGATCAGTTGCAATAGCCGATTGTAAACTCCTCTAGTATTACGAGGAATATAGTCATCACCTACCTCAGATGAAAGAACAGGGTTTGAGTAGCCAAATTTGTTTATAAGTGTTACTAGGTCCGAAAGCTCTTTCTCCCGCCAGACTTCATAGCTTTTTGGATCCACAAATATCAGGCTAGGATCTGACCTAGGTTTTTCGACCAGAGACGCTCTAATTGACCCAAGTGTACGGCAGAAGCCTGAAATGGTGGTCTCGTTTGCGTACTTAACAATTTTTTGTTGTAATTCAATCTCTGAAAGGCCAAATAGTTCTATTAGATAACTTGAATGGCAAATATCGGACAATCTGAATGAAGGTTTCGAGATGTGTTTTTGCGGAAGGGATGTGTAACTCGGAAACGGTGACATGTGTCCTGTTCTTCTAACTTTTAGCTCAAAAGACTTCTTATATTCATGAATTCGCTTCGCTAAGGGCGAATTAGGAGCTTCGTGGTCAGACACCAATTGCGTCAGCGCATCGGTAAACTTCGACACTTGGTTAAAAAGCTCTTCTTTTCCATTTAGCTGGCCCCCCATCTTCGCTATCTCATTTTGTGCCGCCTTAGTGAATAAAATGATAAGTTCCTCCACCCGACTCATAGATGCAAGCTGTTTTGACGCTTGAGGGTTCAAAAAGTCATCGTTGTAAAGTTTGAGAAGGCTTCGCCGAAAGAGCGCCTCACTTATGCTTATTTTCCCCATTGCAACTAGCCTTAAGTAGCTTCCGAGCTCTGGAATTATCTTTTGTAATTGTTTTGCCTCGCTTGCCTCGGCTCTCTTTCCTTGTTCATCACCAAAGAGCCAAGACCTTCGTTTCATACGCTTTTGCTCCTTGATTGGGTTGGTCTGAGACTGTATTTGATCCGCAACCACATTTCCAACATCCCTTGGTTGGGTTTGACGGAACCTTGGTTCGTTGAGGTATTCTAGCAATATCACTTTAATAGTATACTTGAGAACCTCATCGAGGTTGACGGCAACCTCGTCGTGGAAAGCTCTCGTTGGACGCAATGAATCAGTACTTTCGGTACTATAGTTGCTCATATTCGATACATTTCGAAGAGCCATCGAGGTTAGTTGGGGCTGGCTTAAGCAGTTTTGTCCACATATGATCGGATTGATTGTTTTAGCTTTAGGAATTTTGACCTGAGATTAAAGACAAGCTGAATCATGCGACAGAACAACAAACAGGCGGCCTTCTCCCGATTTTATCGGATATGCCCTGAGTTGGCCAAGAAATATACTTAGTTGAATTCTTTTCAATTGCGCCTAATCTACATACTTACAGTATCTCATAAACATCGAATCCGAATATCTTCCGAATTGAGTGAAACGTGAATAAATCAAGGTGGTGTTTACATCGTTTATCCTACTAACCTCAATTACTGAAGACATCTTTGGCCATCTAAGGCTATCTAAGGAGGTGATTAGTTGGGGTAATAATTGCAAGTTGAGACAGCTACCCAGACTAACATAAACTCGAAAGTAACAACGTAAAGCTCTCACAGTTCATCAGTCGGCAGCTTCAGATGTGCTTTCATCAACCGAAGGTAGTTTCTTAGGAGATCCTCGGCCAGATGCAGAGTTCTCGGCTGTTAAGTCTTCGGCCGAGGACAAGGACTGTTGATCTTTGTTTTGGGAATTGAAAATGTGCCTGGACAAACTCTTGTTAAGAGCAAACATCGTAGTTTTGTCACCAAATACTGGTTTTAGCTTTTCGTCACATAAGATTTCTCTACGATCTGCGGGATTTTGCAGGTTGTGCTCTTTAATGTATTCCCATATCTTCTTTACCACTTGAGTGCGTGCCATTTCGGGCTCTTTTACCAGCTCTTGCAGTTCTGGACTGAGCAGCATTTTGTTTTGACTCAAAGCGTTTCCTGCCTCACTAGCCTTCCGCTTTTTACGGGGCTTGGATATTTTCCCATTGGATTTCGATCTTGAGCTGCTCCCATTAACCTTTTCGAGGAGCTTGTCAGCTACTGCAACATCCTTATCTACCAAGTCTTGATGGGAGATCTGGGTTCTCGATTCTTGTATTTGATCGAACCTTTCAACTATCAAGGCGTTGACCTTCTTTCTCTGGGGCTCTAGATCCACGGCAAAAAGCTCCTGAATCGCCTTGCGAATTCTTTTCGCACTAACTTCATCTGGATTAGAGGCACTTAAAATTGCCTGTTTGCGGTGCTGTTAATACACTAATTCGATGTCAAAAGATCAATATCCGGAAATTCACACCTGCATACGTCAATCATCGGCACATAGTCGTCAAGCTTTCCCATTGCATGTGGTTTCTCTCAAGCTGCTACCTGCCCTCAAGTGCGCTGCCAGCTGATCATTTGTTTAAACGACTATATATCTTCAGAAACAAATTAAAGCCTGTGAACCCAACGAAAAAGTTTTAGTCCATGCCTTATATGGCTCCTTTTATGGCGAGGGCATCTCAGTTTTGCTAATATACAATAATCTCTACTTTTACAGGCTGGGCATGTTGATCATTTGGCTCCTTTCAAGTTTCTCTTATGCTGGAGCTCATTCTTTTTTATGATTTTCTTACGGTCCGCCCTGCTCAGTGTCCTGGGGTCAATTAGTTCGTCTCCGGCCTTCTTAGGTTGGTCATCGACTTCAACTAGCCATTGTGAGTCGAGTTTCTTATTCGCGCCGTTGAATCCCCATTTAGGAACCCACTGTCCAGCTTCTTCGTCGTAAATCATCTTACCAGACTTCTCCTTCGGTTTAATGCCCTTCTTCGCAGCAAATTGTTCCCACTTAGTTGGCGCCTTAGGCTTAGGCAGAGGCTTCTCTCTGGGCAGTTCTGTAATAGGATCAGGCAGCCTCACCAAGGTCATGCTGGCACTTTGGCCGGTAGAACTACCAGCTCCCTCGGTAGTGTTCTTCATGGGCAATGACAAAATCTGGTTAATCATCAACTGGACATTATCGCGAGTTAAGTCACGGATATGACTTTCACGCTTTCCATTAGATGAATCCAAATCGTTTCTGTCTAAAATGTTGGAATCAAATACTGCCAAATTTCCCAAATCGTAGGTGACTGGGATGGCCTTCTCGACCGTCACAGGAAGTGACTTTTTCTCTTCGCCAACCGAGGACATTATTGGTGTGATTGTTGCGTTCTCAAGTGATTTGTGAGGGAACAACCTTGACGCTTAAGAGCTCATCGCATACACTCATCAATCATCCTCATCGCAGTGCATCTGCACTAAAAAAATTTTAGGTTAGTGTTGATATCATTTGGTACGTGTATGTCATCCACGAAGCGTCAGATGTGTGCCACATGTCAAAGCCGCACCTAGCTACATTTCAAACAGTTTTCGAACCACTCGACTCTCCTCTGCCTTGCCATGGCAATTCCAATTCTCGCGGATCAGTCGTTTAGCGTAGAATCGCGAGGATGAAAACAATTGTAAGATATCAAAGTTATCACCTGCATCCCTTTCTCCCGTATCGATGAGCCCTAGTTCTCGTTGGAGCAGCCGTCTGCCTCCACCTAGAATTTCCATGTAGCTCATCATGTTTCGATTATATGCAATGAGTATCGAATAAGTGACTTTCGAGACAATTTCTAAAAACAGTGGCAGCTCCCTCAGAAGTTGATCCTGCAGAGACTTGAAATGTTGTATAATTACCTCCACTCTAACATTTCTTTCTTCTTTAGATTTTAAAAAGCCGATGTAGTCTTTTTTCAAGCTCCTCAGGTCCTGTATCTTAGACTCTACAGGTTTGCATAGTTCTAGCATCCGACATAGCGGATCAAGTGTGTGTGTCTGTATATCAGTTAGCTTCATGAGCATGACTTCCTGCCGCTGTTGGTGAATCTTGTTGACATAGGCGCTGTAAATGGATTCGACATTTTTGTGTTCTGTAAGAAGCGGACTGGGGGGCTCAAATTCAAATATTTTCCTCCATTCCTCTGCTTGTTTCAAATTTTTGTCTAGTACCGCTGTTAAATCAAACTTCCTTACCTCTTTCTCTAAAATACTCAGAAGCTTTTTCACACGCTTAAATCTCTCCATTAGCTCGGCGAGAGTTAGGCCCTCGTCAGGCGTAGGATATTTTTCGGCATCTGTGTGAAGAGTTTGTTCTACATTTGTGTCGAGAGTTTTCTCTGCCTGGCTCGAAAATTCTGCATTTGAACGGTCAGAGTACCTACTAGAGGAAAGAGAAAAGTGTGTATCACTCGACCTGCTTGAAGGAATACTGGCCGGAACTAAAAGTCGCGCTTCGATCTGATGGGAATTAGGGCAAAGAGAGGCACGGATTGAAGCCGACGGTGCGACATCTAACAGCCTTTTAGCCTCTTTTAGGAACAAAGCATAGCGCCCTTGAAACGACTTGAGCTTAATGATCGTTTTACCCGGTAAATAGTTCATTGCTCTGGAAATCATGATTTCAAGCTCATTTTGAAAATCCAGGCTCCTATTGATTGGTGCTTCTATTATGTCTTCAATTCGCAAATGACCACTTTTTTCAAGACAAATTTCGTACCATTTGTAAAAAAGAGATTGCCTGTTGAATTTTAACTTCGCGAGGAGCTGAAGCTGTCGGTTATGGGTCGAAAAGTAAGCGCTATAAGTTGACTTGATTTTATTCAAATGCGATTCCAGAAAGTCAGTAGGATCAAATACATCCACAAACTCTTGAGGAACGCTAATAGTATTGTCATGGCCCTCCCATAATATACGATCAGTACCTGACTTGCAGCAAGTTCGAATATAGTTCTTCAACGTTTTGGCGAGGATTGAGCTTAGCTGCGATATGGTATCGATGTTCCCAAATAGCATTATTTCGTCGTTAGAATTTTTTGACATCAGTTTATCGCGAAATCTCCGATTGTTGTATAGTTCCTGCCGATAAACCATGTTTAGAGCGTCGGTAGTGTATGAGAACTCCTCTTCATTCTTCAGTATGTGAAAAAATGAGTCAAAAAAAGCACTAATGCGGGGAGCCAAGTTAACGGGCCCCTCTGGTGACTCGAATTCAGTATTCTTTGGCTGTTCACTAAGAGCGCGAGCTAAGCTCTTTGTTTGTGACGTTGGGTTCTTCGGAGAATATTCGGTGACCTTCGATCTCAATTTTTCGATCCTAATTGCGTCAGACCTAAATTCCTGTTCATTTTGCCATATTGACTTTGAGTAAGGGTTGATTGGAGTGAGTGTGTTGCTTTTATAAGAGTGGGAGTTTGTAACTGAGCACTGAATATTCCCAGGTTTGACAAAAAAGTCTTGACCACTTTCACGGATCGGAGTCATTGTAGACTTTGCGGGACAATTTATTGGGTATGCTAAATGTGCTGATTTCAACATCGTGAAGGTTTACTCGATTCAAGTCCAGAGAGCATCCTCCTACAAAATCCTTTTTCCTTAAATAAAGGAGGATAACCTGTTACACTGATGACTTGATACAGTCCCCGTACTTGTGTCAGATTTGGATCATGTTCGAGGAAACTGACACATATAGTCACTTACAACGAATCTATTCCACCGCGGCCTATGAACTCTGTGACCACTTTGAAACGGTCTTTTCTGTTTTGCACATCATTCAAAGCCATTGTCAGTAGTTCGCTATTCTTTTGCGCCTCAGTCTGTGCTCTTTTCATACCCTCAGCTGCGTTATAATCTACAATACACTGGGGGCACTGAAAATGTTGGCTTTCCTGAGTGGAGTAATCAGTCTCATCCAGGCACATTTGGTGGTAAATGTGGCCGCACTTAAAAGTTATCAAAGGAGTTGTTAGCTTCAAAGAACACGTATTACAGGTTTGATCTTTGATCTTGATAGGCAAGGGCGTGTTCTTGTCGGTGAGGGATTTGAGTTTGTTCTCCTTTTCCATTAGTTCGGTCTCATACGATTCAACCAACCTTTGATTATTTTTAATCTCCTGACTCTCGGATTTTATGTGCTGGATTAGAATCTCTTGTACAAGACCAAATGTGGAAACATTAGTAGAACCGAGCACTTGAAGAACATCCAACAAGGGCATCAGATCCAAATCCAAGACTTTCTGTAGAATTTTTTCTTTGAAGACAGCTTCACCGCCGATACCTTTTAGTGCACTCTTTGAACTCACAAAGTGCGCTAAACCCATTGTGTATAGTGTTGGCTCTTGTTCGCCGTACTGTTCGATGAACTTAAGTGCGGTCTTAGGTCCACTCGTTAGGGATAAAGACTCAAACTTGTAAGTTAAATCAGCCTTATCAAACTTCAAATTAGATTGTTCGGATTCATCGTATGTTTCGTGCATTAAATCAATGTCGTTCACTTGGGAGATGAGCATCATCAGAGAATTGTCTACAGGCTTCGTAAGCTTTTCTGATGAAGTTGTGCTACTTGCTGATCTGCTCGCTTTCACAAGTTTTGTACTCTCTTGGTATACATGTCGCGCCTTTTCTTTCCACTCGTTTTGACGGCTTTTGTCATCTTCTTTTGCCAGAGATAAGTAGATATCATAAAGTGTAGTCAGAACAAGCTGTTTGTCATGGTCAAAGCCATTAAACTCGTTATAACTACCCAAGCAAGCCTCTAAGAACACAACAAATTCAAATGGTTGGTTTATGAAAGAGCTGAAAATTAAGGCAGGGCGCGGTGGGTGGTAGGTCGGAACATTCTCAGTTGAAGGCAGATCTTTTGAGGACGAAGATCCTCTCATAAAATCGAGGAATGAATTATAACTGTAAAAAACGCTGTAATCAATCTTTTCGTTCTTCAAACTAATATCATCACTCATTTCTTCAAATCTTACGGTTTGAAATTTTCCTGTGAATAGCTCTATCAGTAATGCATTAGTATCATTCGGTATGAGCTCCAATAACTTTTTAGAGAATGAGATCAAGACTCTCAAAGTGTCATCGACGCTTAAACTTTTGATATATTTTAACGCGGAGTGGGGATCATTCAAATCAGTAATCAGAATATCTACAACATCTTCCGGTCGTTTTGAATATTTTCTTGCAAATCTATAGCCATGCAAGCCAAATCCTGAATCTAATAGCAGCCGCAAGACAAGTTCGAGGTCGAAAAGATTGAGGTCAGAATAAAAAAAAGATTCTTCATCTTGCATCCAAGATGACTCAGGCTCTTCCGTCGCAAGATATTTGCCTGCTCTGTTAAAATGATTGACAAAATTGTGGAGTCCTTCCTCATTTTTAAGCTTTATTAAAGTTATGATGTACAGTGTAACATGATCACAATTGGTCATTCCCTTTTGCATCATAGACAATAAGTAGAATGACAGATTCGAGATGTCATCCGGGCTTGAAGAATTTTCGGCTCCAAATTTTGCAATAACCTCGCTTGTCTCGGTTACATTAAGGCATTGTAAGTATTGCTCTATTGCCCCTGACTTTGAGCCATTATTGTACAGGTACTCGGCAAACTTCTTTCTTATTTCCTCGATTTGAATAGGTGCTACCTTGTGCTGCTCTGCTAAATCGATAGCAATTTGAAAGAGCTCCTTTTGCTCCACTATTTGCAACTTCTCATTAATCGGTCTTTCGCTTATTTTGTGCAAGGTTCCATCTGAGGTCAGCAATGCAACAGAAGGCTCATCCGTAAGCTTGCTTGGAAAGATATCCAATACAGACCCGGTTATCAGATTGTTCATGGCTATAAGTTTGTTGCGAATATCAAGTATCACAACGCGATTATTTGGTCCTGTGGGAGTGGATGTGTTGAGAGCGCTAGTATTCGATGCTTGAACTCCAGATAAAATCAATAGGTGATCTTTGTCAATTGAGAATACTCTTCGAATCATAGAGAGATCAGTCACCAAAGACCGCTTTTCACCACTGGACTTGTAGAAGTCAATTGAGTTGGTGAAACAACATATAAATTCATTTTTGTCGCTACTTGAACAGCTGCAATTGAGGTCGACGCCTGATTCTGAGTTAAGAACCATTTCAGGTTTGCCATTATTCCTGCCCGACGTGTTGAAAAGAAAAAGCGCAGATGTCGTGGACGCAAACAGGGTTTGACTTTCGCGATCCAACATTAAAGACGTGATTGGCTCTTTGTTCGGATCTTCATATATAACTCGTTGCTTTGATCCGCGATCGTGGACGGTATCCCCCCGTATCAATACTATCCGCCCATTTACAAACCCGATGGCCATACAGGTTAAATCGTTTGCAATTGACACAGCAGACAAAGGGAATGTGTTTTTTCCATTTTTTATTTCAACAGCACTATGGAAGTCGTATTCATCTCTCAAATGTTTGTCAGCTCTCCATACCTTTAACGAGCAAGGTTTTCCTAGCTGCTCTGCGATACTAACCAGGAAGACGTCATCTATACAGCACAAGTGTGTAATCTGAAAGCCTTCCGGATAAGCTTTGAATTCGAGCTCAACTTCCAACGTAGTGAGGTTGACCTTTCGCAGAACTCTCGAATGAATAGCGGTAAATAGTTTGTCATTTTGGAATGGGCACGCTGCAGAGAGAGTAGGATCTGAGAATAAAGGTGATTCGCTACCAAGTTTTGGATCCCTGATCGGGATATTCTCGAAGAATTGAAATTGCCGCCATGATCTAAATGACATAGGTGGTATTTGAGCAGGTGCTCTTGTGGAACGTGAACTTTGATAAAGGTTTATTAAACATATTCTGCGGAGGACTTAATTATTGGATCACGTGTCAGAACTCAGGTTGTCGATACCGGTGACACAATCCATCGAAAACCTCTTAGGAAACACAATGCCACTTTCTATTTCAATTCAAATGGACTGAAGAGGGCTTTTAAGCAAAAGAGGCGATGTGTTGATAAAAATTCTCGCAGTACAAAAGTGATACCAAGCCAAAATTCAGTTAATCAAACGTTTTACGTATTAACGAAATATACAACTATAGTATCGAGGTGTCAAGCCAGGAATGCTGCAGAAGTTCAATGCTGCTTGGCCTTTTGCGATAATCCAGTTCAAAAGCTTCGCGCAGGAAGTCCTTGGCCTCTTCACTGGCCCAAGATGGAGAGTCTGGGTATGTGTTCGTCCCGATCTTGAATATGGCTTGCATTTGTGAGAAATCTGGAAAGGGATGTTTTCCCGTGAACATTTCAATTACTACGCAGCCAACAGACCAAATATCAGCCTTCTCCGTAGTGACAACCTGCTTCACTACTTCAGGAGCCATCCAATAGACAGAGCCTTGAAGGGAGGCTCTTTTGTTTTGTTGCTGATTCAATGGAGAAAGTTTCTTGGAGATACCAAAATCGGTAATCTTCACACATCCCTTTATATCGATAAGAATATTGGCACCTTTGATGTCCCTGTGAATGATATTCTTCTTGTGCAAATACGAAAGGCCAATTAAGACCTGGCGGGTGAAGCTTTTGATCAGGGGCTCCTCAAATGGACCGTAGCTGTTAAGCATGGATGATACGGATCCGCCTGGAACGTACTCCAAAAAGATGTTCAGGTTTCCACCTTCTTGGGAGGAACCGTAATAAGTAACGATATTGTCGTGGTGAAGTTCCTTCAGTAACCCCATTTCGTGTTGCAAAGCATCTATCATTTTCCTGTGCACCTGAGAACTGTTTTTAGCTGCGGATGTATTAGCATTTTGATTGTACTGCTTTTTGATTTCATCAGAAACGGAAACGACGCCCGCGGTCACTGCCGTTGGTTGGAGTTCCACCTGCTTTACGGCCATAAGCTCTCCCGTTTGTGCATTCATTCCCAGATAAACACTCCCAAAACTACCAGCACCGATCCTGGCTCCTTTCAACCAGTTCTTGGGTGTTGCAATCTTTGTTGGGAGAGATATCACGTCTCCGTCATCGTCATCGTCACTTGAATCAGGATTCAATAGCTCAATACGATCAGGATTCTTTTGTCTTAAAGAGGCGAGATTATCAACAGGCTGGCGGGAATGTTGAATTGTATGCTTGGGCAGTGCTGTTCTCTTCTCAATATCACTGCCTGAGCCTTGAGACACACGAATTTGTTCACCCAGGTGATTTTGATCATTGATATTGAGAGTATCTGGTTCTAGGTAGGTGCGTTGACCTCCCCTTGTTGTGCGTGTGGCCACTGAAGCACTGTCATGTTGAGTATTTGTTCTGTCAAGGCTCTGAAGTAGAGCCTTTCCTACCGCGTTTGAGCTATTCACCCATATATCTCCAACGTTATTACCATTTGCCGGGATTGTAGCGCCATTGATAGAACTGAGCCTTATTGATTGACGAACAGAGTTTTTCAAGGTCTTGCGCAGACTCTTAGCATCTGTATGAGGAAAGTATTCACCCAAATTGGTGGAAATAAGTTCACTTGATGGCCTCTGGTTGAAGATTTGTCTTATAGTGTCCTTACTGTTTTCAATCCTCAAGGAATTGGGCGAGACGGTGGTAGTTTCATGGGCAGCAAGCTCATTAGCGGCGTGAAAACGAGCACGGGAGTTTGGTGTTGCGCTGACAAAGCTGGAAATTGACCCCAATTGGTGTATGACGCTCAAGGTCTTGAGATAGAGCTTTTTTGATGTGAGCGTGGCCTTATCACTAGGAGTTTGGTCTTTAGAGACCAAAATTAACCTGTTTTTTTCTACGCGATCCGTCGAATGGCATATTGTTACTAGTTCCACGTCATAAAGAAGATGGAGAACGTTCTTTGCGTAGTCTACCACGAAAACGTCGTAATCTTGAGAGTTGCGTGTTTCCTGACCCTCAGGTGTGCACGCAATAAATTCGTTGGGCAACTTCTTGATTAATTTCTTCTTGATGGAATCCGCATTGAAGCAACCATTGACATTGACCTTCTTGGCAGACCCATCGTTCAGAATGAAAATGGCTGAATGTTTATCCGTAACGAGCTCTTCTGTGGTGGTCAATTGGCCTACACCTAGAGCCTGAAATTTTTGGAGAAGCTCATGAACCTCTAGAGAGTAGCTAACCCTACTCGAACGGAGGTATTGGGAGCGTTTGAGGATCCTAATACGGTCTCCAATTTTTTTTATGCCAATTTCAATCAATATTTCCTTGTCCAAATGTACTATGTCATTCTGAGACGTGAGATTCCAAGACTTGAACGTATCAACATATTGCATACAATTCAAATCCTGCAAGAAGTCTTCCACAAATAGGTGGCAATCGGACATCTCAACGCCAAATGTTAGCTACTTGCAGGGATGTGGTCTTTAGGTTGTTTGTGTAGGATCTGATCGGCTCGACACTTCATAAAATTAAGGTGGTCCGTGAATCATGACCATAAAATGTGTAGAAGGTAGTTATAAATTCCTTCGAGCTCCCTCCACTTCACGTCTGTCTAGGCAAATGAGCATCCAGTACTGCTGGAGAAAAAAGCTACTATGTCGCTAATGAAAGTGCTGAAGTGCTCCCTCAAATTGTCGACCAACCTCGTGAACTGTATCTTGAGTGCTGGAAAGCAAACTTAGTCCTTATAAAGCTAACAAAGTATCTTCCCTTTGATTTATTGAGGGATATGAGGTCCGCATTTGAGATTTAAAGTTGGTGTGTATGTAGAAATTTCTGGTGTATAATCGGACTGCAGCCAGTACCTGATTGTACAGAAAATTTACTCAACAATAAACAGAAAATTTACTCAACACTACTTCTTGAGTAGTTCAATGGTTAAATTGGATGGGCAGGGTCTCTCTAGATGATTTTTTCTATTCTGGATTCCTCTGTTTGATGATTTACCTTGCAGATTCTTACTTAGCTCGCGTCCAGCATTGCGATGCTCACTTCGTCTTATTCTGACATTATGTAAATTTTGAGGTATAACCTCATGACAGGATATTTAATAGTATTCAGATGGTGCTTCAAGGACGGTTGACGTTAAGCATCAAGACTGGGGCCTGTCGAAGTAGAGCAAATGAAAATACTTATCACTTACTAGCTGGTAATAGGTAAGAACAACATAGCTTCATTTTTTACCTAAATATCATATTTACATATTATATCAGATCATATCACCACAAAACTGTATGTTATGTCACTCAAAGCTATTCAATAGTAGTAGTTCGTTACCATCGTTAGTTCGACGATCGTTATCGAAAATATGGCGGCCAGGCGTTGTGGACCTCCCATTTTCTCCAGGAAAATTGAAAAATGTGCAGGCAGGAAAGTTAGCTCGGTAATAGCTATACTGTCAGCCGATATTCTGGCTTCAAATACCCTACATGTTCAGATCTAGGGCCACCCCCACCGTAAGTTCGCCCTTCTCGCGTCTAATTCTGCTTTCAGTCATTTTGAACTAGCGGCAATGTGACAAATCGAAGTGACATAAAAAAGGATCCCTCGCACGGTCATCATCATAAAGACTCTCTCTTCTGGGCCTGCACAAACAAACTCTGAATTGAAAATGAGCGATAAAGACCCTGGTGAGAACCAAAAATTATATTTAAATCGTGCCGGTAAAAAAGTAGAGGTGAATATTGAGCACTTAAAAAAACCACATACACTTCAGCCCAAAGAGCACCCCTCCAAGCGTTGCCCATTGGTTTTAGGCGGGGATCACAGGCCCTCAGTAGAGTCGAAGACTAAAAGTACAGAAGAACCACACAAATAGGAAGTGTTTCACTCCATTCTGTGAAATTGCAGATCCACTTTTAACCTTTTAGTTTTCAACAAGTGTACTCCGAGTAGCCGCTTCGAATCTGCAAGTTCAAAGGATCTCCGGCAGCAATATCAAATGTGATATGTTAGATGGGGGGGGGCATTTCTTTCGTGTACGCGGAATATCATGGTCGAAGGCACCAGATTGAAACTGTGAGAAAGGAGCCAGAGGTTGCACTTTTGATCTTGTCACTAATAAAGGTGTAAAGATGAAATCAGAAAGGACGGAGGAAGGCCAGAAACGAGTACTTCAAGACAGTTAGGGAATAGCTTAGAAAATCGTAAGTACAGTTTGACCATAGTGTATTTTTCTTTGGGAACACGAAGATCAAGGAGGTGTTACGACTAGTTCAAGATCACCTCCTCTCGATTCTGAAGAGTCTTTTGCGAGGCACCCAGCGAGCTGACTACCCGATATGCTGGCCCGGAACTCAAAACGACAATCGTTCAGAATGCTCTTAATTCTTCAAAGCCCTCTTGAACCATTCTCCATCTAAGGTTCAGCAAGTAATCCGGGGAAAAGACACCAAGTCTAAAGATGTTTAGTGGCCAGTGACGGCTTATTCAAGATATGCTAGGATTGCCAAAGCGTTACATTCGGACACTGGTAATTCTATTGTTCTTTTTGTTCCCTGTCGCAATTGTAAGGTTCTGGGTGCATTGGTATGACCTGGGGGTTCGATCATCGATTAGAATAGCGATAAAAGAGGGTGGTATCAAGGACCAGGATAACTTAAAACTACTTGATGTTTTCAAAAATAAAGATTTGAAACAAAAGTATGTCACTTCCGTGGGAATCTCTACATGTCTGTACGTTGGCAATTTTGGGGAGTTTTGCCCTTCCTTTTTGAGACATTTGATGAGCCACGGACCTAAATTGTTTGCACAAAGTGAACTGCATACTGTTCGAAAGGACCTCTCCCGGTCGCGAAAGCTTCGATTGGCAGGGACTGCCCACTACCTGACTTACGAAACTGTGGAGGTGTCCGAGCTCATCACCTTTCTAAGTCATTCTCAAGAGACTGTGTTCGCTGTAGATGGATTTCGTCCCCAAGCTGAGCAGGCAGCTACTAGCAACCCTGAATTTGTCTTCTCTTTACAAAGTCTAACAAGTGACTCTGTTGCTCAAAGTGATTTTGTAAGCGAGATTGACGTCTTATTTGGTTCAGACAGCGTAGAACCCCGGTTGGACTGGCATATGTCAAAGAAATCACCATTAGCTGTAGGCAAAGAACCTAAATTCATCACAATGAGGAAACCCTCTTCTTTGGTAAAGACTTTAACCCAGCACAGACTGCAGGCAAACGAGGAGAATACTTTCAAAATAGTTCAGTTAGCTGACCTACATTTTAGCGTGGGAGAGGGAAAATGTCGAGACGAGTTCCCGGAGACCGACAACTGTCGTGCAGACCCCAAGACAGTTTCTTTTATTGAAAAGGTCTTAGATTCAGAGAAGCCACAGTTAGTTGTTTTCACGGGCGATCAGATAATGGGCGATGAATGCTACCTAGACTCTGCCACTGCCCTTCTAAAAGCAGTCAATTCTGTAATCAGTAGGAGAATTCCTTACGCCATGGTGTGGGGCAACCACGACGACGAGGGCAGCTTGGATAGATGGCAACTATCTCAATTTGTTGAAGGGTTACCTTACTCGCTATTCAAAACAAGTGAGCGTGATACTAAGGACAACTCTTTCGGTGTGGGAAATTATATGCATTACGTCTATGACAAAAATGATAACCCTGCATCTGTACTATACTTCTTAGATGCTCATAAGTACTCTCCGAATCCAAAGGCATACCCCGGGTATGACTGGATTAAGGAGGAGCAATGGAGCTTTATGCAAGGATTCGAAAACACGTTGGAATCTCAGGAAGATTCGTTATCCATGGCATTTTTCCACATTCCGCTGCCGGAATATGTGAACTTCCGATCCAAGAATTCTCCTGACTACGATAACCCAATGATCGGCAATCTCAAGGAGGGAGTAACGGCGCCCAGGTATAATTCAAACGGAATAAAGATTTTAAGACAACTGGGCGTTAAGATTACCAGCGTCGGTCATGATCATTGCAATGATTATTGTCTACTTGATGATTCTCAATCGCCCGCGAATGAGGACAAAATATGGCTATGTTTTGGGGGTGCCGCCGGTGAAGGTGGGTATGCTGGGTATGGTGGGACAGAGCGTCGGATCCGAGTCTATCAACTTGACTTCTCTGAAAGAAGTATTGTGACTTGGAAAGTTCTTAATAGTTCGCCAACAAGCCCCTTTGATGTACAAGTGCTAGTCAACGATGGCGTTCCAAGAACTGGCTAACTTGCATAACGTCCAGATTAAAACAATCGAGGGCTCTTTCGAAGTCAGAAATATGTTGCTGTGTACTCGACATATTCAGGTACAACGGTAATTTGTTGTCAATGACAGATGTACTCCCATAGAACGAAAGATGATGAGGAAGAGGCAGGTATAGAATTCTACTTGCTAAAACCTGAACGAAGAGCAAGTAGTAGCCAAGTAATGTATTACTGGACAAACGATCAGCACGGTTTAGTATCGCGGAGCTGTCGACCTTTTTTAGTTGTATGTTGTAAACAGACTCACCCTTGCTATGAGGTGTGATGAACCCATCTGGTGCACATAGCCCCGTCTTGTACAATGCCACCAGGAGCTGTCCAATTTTTTGGGCTTCAAATAATCGCAAGTCGTGAAGTATGTTTGTATACTCTGAGTATATGGACCCATATTCTTCCTTAGTTCGAGTTTCTTCCGTTGATTCGGGCAGAGAGAAAGGTTCTGCAGCACACATAGCCTCTAGTAATTTTGCTTTCTCCTTTCGTGATCTGACTTCACTTTCCAACTGCTTCTGTGCGCTTATCAGAAAGCCTTTTTGAATTGGTTTTGGAAGCTCAATTACTGCAGTATCAATCTTATGAGATAGTTCGTCAAGATCTGCTTGGAGTTGGGTGCAGTACTCCATCAATTTGTTCAATTTAAGAGCACCATTAAAGCTGAAACTCTTGACGTAGCGCTCTCCCACCAGGTTCGTTGTAGACTGTCCTTGAACAAATTCTCCCTGTATGCTGAAAGAACCGTCTGCAAAATGCAAGACTGGTACATTTATCCCATGTTTAGGACTCTGTGTCGCATCAGCGGCCAGTACGGGACTCAAGTGGGCGAAGTCAAGAACGTAGCTGGCTAAAAGCGTCCAGACAGGATCTTGAGTTTGCCTGAGAAGAGTTTCTGGCACTTGGCCAATGATTTTCAGTCTGATTTTTGATAGGGTATACGGTAAATGTGGCATTTCGTTGAACTGCGTGCAGAATCGAGATCCTGGTTGTATTTCACTCGCGTACAGACACGTTTCTTTCATATCCTCAATCACCACAAAGATGTTGGGTATCGTTCTAACCACGTCTTCTGACGTTGCCGGATCTCTGACAATGGAAACGTTGTATACCGAAATGGCGTTAAGATGTCGTAGCTTCCGCTGGAAAAGACATTGTTAGTAAACTTTACTTAAATTAAAGGCATGACACCATGGATCAGCATACTTTCAGTAGGTACATGACTATCGATTTTGGCATGTGTTGTGTTCGGATTTCATTTGTCGATCATCAGTATGATGGTGGGCTAGAAATTTCGACATTCAAACGCATCATATATATTATACTTATACACACCTCAAACCAACATTATAGTAGAATTCTGCCAAAACTTTGAAAACCTCGCTATATTGCCCTTTAGCTTTCTCAACTGTCACCATGGTCCTGGCCGTTCTGTCTACTTTGATAAGTTGTGTTTTAGCTCATGCTGGGCATTCCCATGGTGGAAAAGCAGGCGTTGAGTCCAGCTTGACAGCAGTATTGTCAAAACACCTTTTCCCTTATTCCGCTCGCTACAATGCGCTTTTGGCAACCGCGTACATTTCAATTGCTCCATGTGTGATTGTCTCTGTCATCCCAGCCTTTAGGAAGTCTCAAAAGAGCATGTTTCTCTCGCTAATGGTAGCTTTCGCTTTCGGCACCTTATTTGGGGATATCCTTTTACACTTATTGCCAGCGATATTCACAGTAAATGGGGAAGGTATTGACCTTGGTGGGTTGCCCCAAGCGATCGCGCAGCTTCCGCAGTTTGATGCCACACATGAAATCGCCAGTGATTTGCTGTCTGCGTTAGAACCACATAGCTGGAAGTTGGGGGCTGGGGATCAAGACCCCATGCGCCATACAGTTCTTGGAGTGTTGATGTTCATTGGATTTCTTCTGTTTATGGCTATTGACAAGACCTTCCGCTTGATAAATTTCGGTTCACCTCAAGAAACTGGCGTGCATGGACACACTCATGGGCATTCGCATTCTCACTCCCATCTTCCGGTTCCGGAGCTGAAGTCCCAAACACCGTCGGACGACTCGCCAGATGCAGTCAAGAGCGAGGTCCAGACGTCCGCCTCGCTCAAGACATCCGCCTATTTGAGCTTGGTGTCAGCATTCGCGCACAACCTCACGGATGGCTTTGCATTGGCCTCGTCGTTCTACAAATCTCGCAGTACCGGGGTGGTCACTACGGTCGCAGTACTGGTGCACGAGATCCCGCATGAGCTCGGCGACTTTGCTATTTTGCTGGCCTCGGGCTTGACTTTCAGCGGCGCCTTGAAATTTCAAAGCATGGGTGCTCTTGGGGCCTTGATGGGCACGATGTGTGGCTGTTTGGCCAACGAACTCAGCTTCAATGGCTGCACTGCGACGGCTGTTGGTCCAGGTGTCCTTTGGGGTGTATCGGCGGCTGACGCTATGCTGCCAATCACAACAGGTGGGCTGTTGTTCATCTCAACAGTCGGTATCGTCCCAGAACTACTAAACACTAGTGCAGAAACTAAAAACCAAGAACTTGCATATACCGGGCTGCAACTTATTAGTGTACTCCTAGGTTTCGCTCTGATGGCATGGATGAGCCTAAACGAATGAAACCAGTATACAGAGAATATCACAAGGCACCCATTATCGACTCAGGCTATGCTTGCCAAACCTGCGTCCACCATCTGTTATTCGGATCGCTGGTTGTTTTTCTACTCCCTCCTCTACTCGCACATCTACTCGTTTTCAAGATCACTTTTTCCAATGCTGTCACCATTGCCTGTGAAGCCCCAATCAAAGAGGGGGACACTTTAGCTACAAGAGGATAAATCGTTAAGGATTTCCAGATCGAACAACATTTATTGGACTGAACAACATATTTCAGCTCTTGAGTCCACTTTGTAGGATCAATTAAAGTCGCACAAGCTATACACAAGATGACAATGCATGTCCTAAGAATTCCTGCCCACGCCTTGGGCGATTTTTCGCACAATGACAAGGTAGTGATAACCGGGAGTTTTGACAACTGGGAGCATACGAAACACGTTTTGAACTACAACGACAGTGACAAGAATTACACGGTGTCTATTCCAGATGCAGGCTCGGGCCTCATAACATTTAAGGTATGAAAGCGATAGGAGGAGGAGATCTTGGTGCGCACGCCTGCGTGAAACAAGAAGACGAGTTTTACTAACTTTGTGTGATACGTCCAGTTTGTGATCAATGATAGAGAATGGGTTACGCTGTCGTACTTCGAGACGGAGACGGACAGCAGGGGGCTCGTCAACAACGTCCTACGATTGCAGGATCACAACGATGAGTGCCTAGACGATATTACGATTTCTAGCGTCATCCACACGGACCCTGTTCCGGGAAGCAAGTCTGTGCCACCAACCTCCCGCGATCCGCAACCGTGCCAAAATAGCAGCGCCAAGCTGAGCGATAAATCCACCGAGGCGGATCCAGTGCCCACGAATTCGTCAACCTTCAACGCTGTTAGTTCCAAGACTACGTCTTCTTCTAGCCGGGCACCACATGCACCGCCTGTGGAACACGACTACATCCACGTCTCCTCGCAGGACGAGCTCAGTAGTACTGAGAATCTCGACCTGACGGGACACGAAAGCTGCGAATCGCAGGAGCATGTTGGCCAAGCCGAACCTGCAGACGGCGAATACGACTCTCAGGAACTCGAGGAGCAAACTACACCTGCGTCTCAGAAACGTCTTCGATCGCTGGTGTCCGTGGTTAAGCGTGTGAAGATGTACTGGAGTGGCTGACAGCGGTAATTTGGGTCCCTTCTGGAATTTTTTTTCTATTTTCTCATATGGTTTCGCCAAGCCACATACCCTACTATGCGACTTGCGGGCTGTCACCGTTCTTCTCTCTCGGCTGCTAATTAAACCTTCATTTGCTAACCTAATATGCCTTTTCTTTCTAATCCTTAGGTGGGGATTTTTTTTAATTTTTCAATTGACGCCCACTGGAGATGCTGGCACGGTTCATGTCACTATTATGATATGTCACATTACCTACACGCGCGGGCGCTTGAATATACAATCTGATCTAAGTGGTTTATATCCAATCGATGCCTTCCCAGTTACATGCCTGGTTGCGTGACACATACGTTAATAATGATATTAATCTTGACGCCAAACATATTTACTTTAATTTCTGTCCTCTCACAGATTACGCGTCTGGACACATCATAGACAAAACAACCGCCTTGAAACATATAAACACTCCTCCATATAGCTCATAATTACAAGCAGCAACCTCAGTGCTACTCCAAGAATGTCTGAAACTCGGCGATCCACAAGGATCCGTGATAAGTCGTCTGCGGCTGATAATGAAAGCGAACACATGGATTCGATGGGTCTGGTACATATGGATGAAGACATCGATTTTGGCTCCGATATCGACAGAGTCACCGTCCATGACAGTCCCAGGGGCAGTGACGGCGAAGCTTATAGTGAGGAGGGCGATGACGAAGATTACCAGGAGCCCCAAGCTAACAAACGGAAACGTGCTTCTAAGAAAGGCCAAGGTTTGAAGCAGGCATTCGACAAAAAGAGCTCTAAAAGAGCCAAAGTCTCGACTTCCAATCTCAACCGATATTCGAAGAAAAGTCGCGAAGCTTTCATCCAAATGCAACAAGATTTCGCACCCACGGAGCTTTTCTCGATCCTGGCAAACTCAGAAGATTCTTCTTTGGAAGAATTGGCGAACAGGTGGCTTGAGTCGTACTCAGCTAACAGAACTAAAGCTCTCCAAGAATTTGTGAACCTGTTGCTCAACTGCTGTGGGTCCCTGGTCCAAGTTCAAGAGCATGACGTTGCGTCGAATGACACCGCCAACGAAACCGTAGCGGAGATACAAATTATGTTCCAAAGGCAAGAGCTTCACGAGTCGTATTTGCTTCTGAGCAAAACACATAAACGTCGTGCCAAGTACAAGACGTTGTATCAAAACTATATGGAGTTTATGCATAAGTTGATCGAACTCGCAAACGAACAGGGTCTTTTGTATGAAGAAAATACTAACTCTCAAGGAGCGAGTCAGTCTCTAATGTTAGACCTTTTAACTTGGCTGTCCTCCTTTTCGGTAAGCAAAATTAGGTGTCTACGACACATTGCGACTCTCTGCATGTACTCTTTCCAGGACTATCTGACAGAACTCAGTGTGAGCCTCGAAAACAACTACCTCATGAAACTTAGACGACAGCTAAGCTTAGAGCAGAAAAAAAAAAGAGCTAATGCTAAAACTGCTGAAAAACTGGAAAGTACTATCGCCGAAATAGAGGCCTCAAAGTCTGAAGTTGAAGTCAGTATTGACAATATCATCAAGCTGGCCTTTGTGCATCGATTCAAAGATGTCGATGAAGACATAAGAGCGGACTCGATGGTTCATTTGGCAACTTGGCTGGAGAAATATCCCGGCTATTTTTTAAAGGTCACTTTCCTCAAGTACTTTGGCTGGCTTCTATCAGATCTATCGTCTACCGTACGATCCCAAGTACTCAAAGTTCTGTTGGAAATTGTTCGCTTTGACAGCAAGCGTAGCAAGCACAAGGTAGGCAGTGCTGCGCTGAGACAATTCTTCGAGAGATTTAAACAAAGAATCGTTGAAATTTCGCTCAAAGATATCGACATGCACGTTCGAATAACAGCGATTCAAGTGCTGACTCAGATTAACTCATTTGGCTATCTTGATGACAATGACATTTCCCGGGTGTCAAGTCTGCTGTTCACATACCAGAAAGTTGATATCTCGTCAGTCGCCAGGAATGCTAAACTATTGAGTGCAGTAGCCAAGTTTTTTGCCACAACACAAAAAGATAAAATGGAGACCTTACTTGAATCGCATAACTTCCCTTCTAAATCAAAAGTTCTAAAGCCACACGACATCGTTCAGGCCGGGTTTTTCATGAAAAGCTTGACTAAAGCTCTATCGAGCCATCTCACGGACGGCAGGGTTGAATGTTCGGAACAAGATAGAAATCGCTTGATTTTTCAAGCAGCAGAATTTCTTGAACCGTATTTTGGAGCATTAATTGCCACGATGTGCCAGTTGTTGACGTTCGAGGGGGACTTCCAGGGGTTTGCTGATATTATGAGTGAAGAAGAAGAGGGCCAAAAAGCACTACTATTACCAAATGAGGATGATTCTATTACACAATATACTGTAGTTTTAAGTGGCCTCTGTCATGGCGGGGCCATTAAAAAGAATGCTAATAAGACGGAAAATGCAGCCATTGCTATCCACCATCTAGCTAAGCTATTTGCGTCTTTGCCACTACATTCTGGAATCGTCATGCACTATCTGTTCAGCATGTACTCACTTTTCACTTACGAGGAATGGGTGAGTGCCCACTTAGAGTCAGAGTTCCAGCAGGTAATCGACGCGATTGTGAAAAACTTCGATAGATCGCAGTTTACTAACGATGAAAGCGACATTAAACGGTCCTCGTTTGCTCACATTTTGCAATTTCACAAAAGCTTGGGCATACCTCAAATAAACGACACTTGGAAAAATCAGGTTGACCAGGTTCGTATCCCTTTGCAATTGTTTTTGGAGACAAAAGCTGACTCTTTTGAAGATACTGATATTGACGAGCTCCTCACAAATGTCTACGAGCTCTACATCAATAAACTCGTTCTTTTAGGTAAGGTGGTACCATTAGATTTCAATCAAGAGATTATTCGTCTTTTCTTTGACAAGGTAGTCAACAGGTTGCCACTCGTACTACACCTGTTAGAAAATGATAGTGTCAAGGCTGTGGACTTTAAGATTCTCACTTTAGTCGTTACTTGGAGTCTACAGCGTTGGTTTGAAATTTTACAAAATAATCCTGAAGCCAGTCCTTTGTCCAGCCAAGTCCTTCAAATGGTCTCGAACATAATTCATCAGTTAGCGTACGACTTGAACGAGCTACAAAGCTCCCAAGTCGATGAACTGCACACTTTGCTGCACATCAATTGGACAATGTGCAACACCTTGTCGGATTGCATGATTGCTTACAAAATGTTTGAGCTGAACATCCCTGAGAAAGATATTGAGTGGAAGCAAGCAATACATCAAGACTACCCAATAATTGTGGACCATTCTTTGGAACAGTCTTTACTTAATACTTTCTTGTTTTTGGAAAGCTTGAGGGCGAAAGAGTTGGATGTTCAATTAGATCGCCTTGAAGGCGAGGATGTAAATCTCAACAGCATATCTGATGAAAACATGGAAGACATCGAGAGGGAGCTTTTAGTATACGTTGTAAAACTAAAGAGCCTTTTGAATATTGGCCTTCTCGGCACGGTGTCCATTGAAAATCGGATTTCATTGAACAAAGATGCTCTGGGATCCACATTTGCTTCCATCATAGACGAGACAGCATTCAGTGGGACCGCTGCTCCGAAGCGGCGTCTGGCTTCTGCAAACCACGAACGACAAGTTTTTGACGACAGAAACGTGGAAAGTGATCAAGAATTCGAGACAGGCAGAGAGTCTAAAAGCCATGCCATCGTAATTCCAGCGACTATTCCTGCAACTATCCCAGAGGATGACGAAAATTGGGAAAATGCGTCGGAACTACTATGAAGATCTCTTAGGGTCTTACTTGTCTAGCATGTAACCCATAGCTACTTCAAATTGTCAACGAAAGAGATTTTTTGCATCAATTGAACCTTAGTCAGACTGTTCTTATATACTGAGAGAGCGGCTCAAAAATCATTGTCGAGTAGCTCCCAGCCTGCTGAGGCTGAAACTAGTCACACAGGCGTTTTAAAGAAGTTACATGCTAGTTTGTTGAGAATTGTGCTTCGAAAATTCCTCGTCGGGCTCTCAATACTTTATTACCATTGTTGTACATCCGGTACAGCTTATAGGCTGGCATGGCTAGCCGTAAACCACGGTAAAGGACATCAGGGCGGAATGTCAGCGACCTCTTATTATGATTTCATTCGTGCCCTATGATATTTTGTATCTCAATGTATTTGGCTATTCAATCACTACAAACACATTGCAAAGAACGGTGTTAAGGTTATCTCTTCAGATCTAGACAGAGATCATTTGACCTACCACAAAACTGTATGGGACTCTTATCTCAAGGAATTTTGCTTATATCCATTCTACAGCTTATACACTCTGGTTTTTCCAGCCACGAGTTTTTCATCCTCAAAAAGAGGCTAGTGGCTAACAGTAATCTGGATGTGGACTCATTAGCGCTGCCCCGAGATATACATTTGGAAGCCGTTTGTGGGATGATTTTGTTGACGCTGTCTGTTTTTTTGTCGTTTAACAAACTAGAGTTCTTGCCTTTGTCAAGCAAACTCAAATTAATGAAGCAAAACAACATTCTCCAGGAGATTGATATGAATAAAGCTACAAGTACTAAGAACCTCATGGGCTGTAACCCTTACGGAGATTTTATGAACCTTCCGGGGTTTGTCGATATCCATGCCAAACGTGAGGAAGTTAGAAAGTGGCGAAAGAGCCAAACAGAAGTAGCCGAATGAATATGCCCAGAGACACTCGTTTGGCCGTTATGAACAGAAGGAAATCAATTTCATTTAGGTACTTTACTTTAACTGCGTCAATGCTCTGTGTAAAACGGGTTGTGGTTGGTGCCCGTTGTGCCGGTTGTGCCCTCGTTGGCGACGTTCAAACTCTCTGAAGGGGGGCGAGGAACTCCAACATCTGGTCTTGAAAGTTTTTGAAGGGGACTTTTCTGAGCCACATAATCGTGTAGCGGCATTGTCTGTTTGAGATCCTCTGCAGCTAGCCGGGTAGCCGAGCGTTGCAGGTTTCGTTGCTGTGCTTTAATTTCACGTTGCAGCCTAAATTCCTCCAACTCTTCTTCTAGCTCCACGATGTCCTCGGACGTCAAGCTTATTGCAGTCGGTTGTCGTCTTATCATGCTCTGTAGATAAAGCTATACATAGATATAAAACTCATGTACTCTCTCACAGTACGTGAAATGGAACTCACAACGATACTCTTGAGATGAGGGTGGAAGATACAATGAGGTGTCAGTGCGGTGAAAATATGGTACAGAAGTATATTAGGTCACGAACATCAAGCTGCTAACTATAGATTTTATACATTTGTTCCATTTCAACAAATTAAGAGCCTTGTTGGCGCAATCGGTAGCGCGTATGACTCTTAATCATAAGGTTAGGGGTTCGAGCCCCCTACAGGGCTTAATTTATTTTTGAAGTTTGCTCCACAGCAGTTGGGCTTTTGGAGGCACACCCACGGGTTGGGCTCTAAACATCAGCTTGAAGCTCATTCAACCCGATTCGATGATCAGTCCTAAGTTCCAGTGTGCCTCAATGTTGATTCCTGTTTTATCTTCGGAGCTAAAGCCGCTTCTTACTGCATGAGGCTTCTTCCAGCGAAGGGTCGATAGATAATGAAACAAATATAAGCCCCATCCTCTGTACTTAAGTACTGTCTGTCTTGTCCTTTACCCTCAGTGTGGGTTATTTTTGGGATGAACAATGGCGGAAATTGTTATATTGAACCTGAAAATTCAATTATCAAGCTATGAAGCTTGTACTTTTCGAAATCCGGACGAATTCAAGCGGCAAGTATTTTAGAGCTTCTCAATTTTGTGGTTAGATTGTTATTGGAGGAGTTAAGGAATTGCTGGGATTTTACTGACGTTGAAAACTTTAAGCTACAAGAGCCCTTTAATTTAAAAAATTTGATTGTAAAGAACTCTCAACAGATCGAAAGTTTACAAATCAACTGACGTTCGCATAAAACAACGTTCCTTAGGGATTTGAAAAGGAACAGGGGGCGTTGAGATTTCATTTCTATAATCATGGATCAATCTGGACCAGGAGTTTCCAGCTTGAACGAGAACATGGGCGTCCCAAATGGAGCCTCGTGCAGGATCTGTCGTGGAGACCATACCGAAGAAACACCTCTCTTTCACCCTTGCAAATGCCGAGGATCTATCAAGTACATTCACGAAGGCTGTCTGATGGAATGGGTGGCGTCTAAAAATGTCGATTTGTCGCGTCCAGGCTCAGAAATTAAATGTGACATTTGTCACTACCCCATACAACTTAGTACCGTTTACGACGCTAACACTCCAGACAGAGTTCCAATATCACTGGTAATCCGAACCACAATTGCTGTACTTCTTCGAAAAGTTCAGCATACGCTTTGTATCACCTTAGCGGCGGTACTACTCGTAGTGGGAGTTCCTCTTACCTGGAATTTTTTAGGTAAGTTAACGGCAATGGTATTGTTTGGCGGAAAACTGCCCATAAGCGGTCAATTTTTCAAGAGTGTTCTGTTCGGTTTCGAGTCAGATGTGCCTGACAAGGTTTCAGATTTAGACATTGTGATTCAACTTTTGAAAAACTACCGATTTTCCGTTGCTCAAATCATATTTGTCGCCATAATACACATCGCATTATACTTTCAGTACGACATGGTGGTACGAGAAGCCATCTTCAACAAGATGGTGTTTCATAAGATAGGGCCACGCTTTAGTAAAGAGGAACTTATGACTGAAAAGCTTAAGCAACAGTTTCCTGGTATGGATGAGAATACCATACATCATATTGTTCAGCTAATGAGAGCAAGAGAAAGGCCCGCCGATCCAAATCAAGAAGAGCATTTTGATGAAAATCCTGTAGAGGGCGTTCGGGAGAACGACAATAATGCCAATGAAGGCGAGAATGGTGAGGGTTTAGGCGTTGAAATCAATAGAGATAATAGGGTAGCTACTGCGGACTATCAAGAGCCTGAATCTTCTACGGGCCAAAGTGTGCAGGAGGCAAGAAATGCCGAAGGCGAAAATTTTGGCCATGTTGACGATGAGGACGACGATGAGGACGATGGTGATTATGTGCCCAGTGACGCATTATCATCCCGAAGCTCAAGCTCCTCCATAATCTCTAGTGACCATGAGCCCAATGACGAAGAACGTGGCCAGCTTTTAGAAGATGCCGATCCCGTAAGAGTGTTTCAGCAACGTCGTGCGGTTAATGAGCTGGAGGAACTGTTGGGGGCACAGCAGCCCAATTTACCAGAAGGGCAGCCCCATAACATTGCTTTCATGGAGGTGCCTAACGAACCGGTGGCTGACGCCGCTGAAATAAATGAAGCTTTGAATCAGCAAGATGGACCGGCAGTTTTGGGTCTTCATCTGCGCTTTAGGAATATCCCGTTCTATTTCCTGGCAACCACTATATTTTTAGCCTTGTACCTTTATCTGGCTTATGCCATCCCTACCTTTGTTGGAAATCTCCTCCAGGGTGCCTATTGGTTTGCATGTTCTTGGGGACTCCGTGGCATTATCCAATTGGCGAAGCTAGCCAGAGTGCCTGCTTTGTATGCCGAGGCAACTAGACGCTACCCACCCATTGATACTTGGATGTCATGGTCATTGTCCAGGATCTTTGATTCTTTTACTTATTTGCATTCCACCTATGTCGACTATGAAAACAAATCTTCTACTGTGGCCCAATCCATTCCGGCTCTGACCACCTACTGCACTTTCCTAGGTTTGATTTGTGGTAGCACGAATGTCATCTGTAGGGGGTGCGGGGCAACTAACGGCATGAAGAACCCTACGTGGCGCTTTATATTCCAGTTGTTCTTTGCAATCAGGTGCTCTTTGAAAGTTTTTCTTTTATTTGCCATCGAATTGGTGGGTTTCCCAGTTTTAGCTGGCTTGATGATCGACCTCTCTCTCATAAGTCCATGTCTTCAAGAGCACTCCAAGTTTCTGTTCGTAGGAACATTAAATATTTGGGTTCCTTCAATTTGGGCATTGTACTGGAGTATAGGGACTTCTTACATGTTCTGGTTCGCTAAATATGTTGGGATGGTCAGAAATTACATTATTCGGCCAGGTGTCCTGTTCTTCATTCGATCTTCTGACGATCCCAACATTCGCATATTGCATGATAGCTTGATACAGCCCATGAGAATACAAATCTCGAGGTTAACACTATCCATGGGAATATATGCTATGTTCATCATCATAGGTTTTGGATTTCACACCCGAGTTCTATTTCCAGTTGTTTTGCATTCCAATGTCTTACCATTCGCGGACCAAGAAAGCTTAACTCTTTCCTTAATTGGACTATCGGTGCTAAATTCAAATCTTATCATGGATTTCAATAAAACCTTCAAATTGTTTATTAGACAGTATTGGACTAAAGTATTCGGCATATGTTGCGGAAAGTTACGTTTGTCGTCATTTATTTTGGATAAAGACATTTCAACTGAAAGAGGCTATGTGATGTATCGCAACGTTGCTTACAAGCTATTTTTCTCGGAACGAGCGAAGTGGTCCAACCCAGAGCTTTATCTGGATCCAAAAACGCCATCACAAGCAAGGGAACTCTTCAAAACCCAGAATAACATACATGCATACTTCATACCCAATGGGGTTTTGATGCGAGTTCCAGCGAATGACATAATATCGCGTAACTACGTTCAAACACTTTTTGTGCCAGTGACAAAGGATAACAAACTCCTAAAGCCGCTCGATATAGAGGCAATCAAGGAAAGAAATAAGGAGGTTATCGGGGAATTTAGCCATTTGGACGACCAGAGTACTGAATTTGACGCCTACTCCAGGGTTTACACGCCGCCTAATTTTCGCTTGAGATATTCTTCTTTGATATTTTTGATCTGGTTGTTTGCTTCACTATTGTTTATCGGCTTGGGACTCCTATTCAATTTAATTGGCAGAATCACACTACTGGGTCTTTTATACCCATTCGTGAGATTTCAATTTGTCCGCGGGTTATGCGTAATGTACAAAAACCTGTTTGCAGTCGGCTTAGTCCCGGTAGTTGTAGGGGCGTCCGTTTTCATGATTGGTCTTGAGCTCTATCAAGAACTTCGAATCTCTAGATTTCTTCGCGACCAACACGCTGTAGAGGAAGAACAGCAGGAGCAAGCTCGAGAGGAGGCTCGGGAAGACCAAGAAGGTTTAAGGCATCCAGTAGAACATGCCGGAGAAGACGAGGGGATCCCTCTTTGGAACAGGTTGGCAGGACAGCAAAAAAACATCATGTCTTGTTTGATTGGCTTTGTCGGTGCGGCAAAGTTTGTATTTGTTCTCGATTACAATTTTTCTACAATTGTCTTATTCGTGAAGTTATTATTACGTGGAAACTCGCCTACTGAAACCCGTCAACGTTTTTTTATGACCATGACCTTTACTGATGCTCCTTTTGACCTAGCCGAATGGAAATCCATCGAGGTAGTACTATTTGCATGCTGGCTTCTCTCTAGCCTTTTAGTGGAACATAAGGCATTTTTTTCCGCTCTGATGCGTGAGAGGGATGATGAGACCTGTCACCTCTTGAGAAAGCAGCTAAGGACGTTATTGACAGAGTGTTTGACAACCGCAGGGCTCATCATACCTTTACAATTGACGGTGTGTGCCATGGAATACGCATCTAACGGGGATTATTACAGTTCTATTCTATCTACTTTTGACTTTCTCCTGAACTCGAGAGGGCTGACACCGGCCTCTGAAATGCCTTGGACAATGCTCCAAATGACATTTTACTTAATTTCGCCTGTTATTTGTGCTAGATACTATCTCACAGGTCTACTAAGAAGCGCCAACAACTTCCTTCACAAATCTATTTCAATCACCAAAGAAGAGGTCTACGGTAGGGGAAGAACATTGACGAATCTCCCCGAGGACATCGAATTATAAATCATTATAAATAGAGGAGACTTTAAGACCATGTCCGAACGTTTTAGTATAAGCAGCATTCGCTTAAAAGTGATCCTTGGTTAACACATGATTGAAAAACGGTACTTTGTTTGTTAGTATGTCTTTGAATGCTACGTATGCTACAATTGTAATGCTATTATCTGATTGCTTTAATGCAGTTTTGAACCTTACATTAATGCTTTAGCTTGTTGCTAAATGTGTTCAATAGTTCGGCTTATTTCTAAACTTGTGGATGGGAGGCCCACTTGAAAGCGATTCGCTCGCCTGTAACCCACCCTTCTTAAGGTATCTTACTGGAATTCCATGGTCTATACCCGACCCATCGTCGCTGGACCCATCCAACTCACCGACTTCTTCAAATTCTACACCATCGCTATCGCTTTGGGGTTGTACAGCCTTCAAAACCGGGATGTTTTCAGATTGCTGAGGCTTCCTTGGTTTCCGATAGCTCTTCTCTTCTACCAGTCCAACTTCTTCGTCGTTCTCTGCACTAGGAGAAATAACTATTCTATCACTTTCATAATCACCAATGTGAGCATCAATTTTTTTCTCTGAAGAAACGAATGGATATCCACAACTGTGATTGATACTCTTCGGAAGATTCTCACTGGCAATGCCTTCATTTGCGTCCGCACTTCGAATCGAACCAGTAGCCAGAGTTTGTATACTCGGCCCAAAAGGTGCCTGTTCTTCTGGTGCAGTTGTATCAGCATATGACTTATTCGATACATCCTCTCGTCCCAGTTTCGCTGAGCTCTTCAATATGTTGGAATAGGGAGATGAATGCGGGCTTTTATTCCCTGGATTTTCATATTTCAAATTCGTTAAGGACAAGATTGGTTCTTTCGGAGTTAGGTTTTTCGTATGCTCATTGCAAGTTCTTTCGCGCTTGTCTGGCGTTGAGGCTACATCGCAGGCACTATGAGCTAAGTCAGGAAAATTAGCACTTGCCAAAGGTACATTGCTGAGGAGATCGAGTGCTTTTGGCGCAGGCTCAGATATGTTATTTTTTTCACTTTCATTGTCATCGTTGGCCATGGGTTCAACATAATCCTCCAGAATTTCGATGTCACTATGCCGCTCGTCATCATTGGAATTACTTTCATCACCAAAAATCCCTTTCGTCCGATTTAGTTCAACCTGCTTCTCTTGAAGCTTCCACAAAACTTCCCGAAGTTCGAAGCGCGCGTTAGTTCTATCTCGTTTGTTGAAATACTCGTTGACGACCCTAGAAGATGCCTTATTCCTAAGCTTACTTTCCCACCACAAACCTATAGTTTTCTTCGGCATTTCGAAAAACGTCCTGGTATTTAAAATAACATGTACTCCGCAATCGCTCATGTTCGGTTGTTGCGGCACCATGCAAGTTTTCATCTTGATTTGGTTTTTCGACAATTCCAAATCGTACTTATCTGAAGCATAAGCAATCAAAAACTCCTTGATAGGCTCCACTTCGCGAGAATGGGTTTGGCGCAGAGAGTCATACACCATTATGGACACGACCGGGGAAGTTATTGAAATTTCATCTGAATTTTGGCTTTCGCCATTTTGGCTTTCAGGCGGATTTTTCGAATTGAAAGTTCGTTCTTGAACTAGAAATGATAGTAAAGCTGGGAGATTCGTTATAATACAGCCGAACCAGTGAAAGCTCTCGTTAATTGGCATGACCACGTAATCCTTGGTAAATAGGTCGGTATCTCTTACCCATTTTCGGACATTCTCATAGTAACTATCCGTATTGCTCACCAGTTTTGTATAAAAAAAGGACGATAGAACGTGGATTTGGTTCCTGGAGATAATTTGCTTTTTAATTGAAGCTTCTGCCCAATACTTGATAAAAAAATCTAAAATAGAGTCGTTAATCCAGTCGTGGTTATAGAGACATTTGAAGTCTTGATTTGATACAGACAGCGTTGTGTTGTCGTCAAACTTGTAAAATAGAGAAGGCTTGAAAGTCTCTGGGATCTCATGATCAAGCGAAAGTTCGGTTGGTGGGGACGCCTCTGGGCTCGTATTTATGGTTTCTGATCTTGTGATACGCTTAGTAGATGAAAGCGCATGCTTCATTAGCGAGTTTTGGAAAGGCTGATTTTGAGAGCCGTAAAACTGATGAGTTGGCGTGGTATGGGTGTTACGAACATTAGATTCATCTGGCTTGCTGATCCTTTCTCCACTTGCATTTGAATGCGATTTTGTGCGGTGTCTTCGCAGCGATTTTAAGTCTTTGTCTGTAAAACTTTTTGCTCTCGATCGAGACTTTTGTATGTTGGTGTTCTGTTGGTCAGGGAGGGTCATTTCGTAGGTTGCATCTCGATGGTTTTTCGCATCGGACTTCATTAGGCGCACTAACGCGTCGCCACCTGTGCCGTGATCGTCCACAATCTGATGATCCACTAATCTGTACCTAATTCTCTCCCTGATGTCTGAAAGCCTAATTTCATCCCTCAGTGCACTCCACAGAAATACGCTGATTCCGTCATCCGATCCTAAATTGAGTATTCTGGGATGCTTGAGCACCAAGCCTAGATGTCTTTCTTGTTGGCTAAAATAAACTTTCTTGCAATCAACGAGGAAATTGACCTCTGTTCCTTCGATGCTCTGCCCCTTCCACCTGATGTGCATTGAAATCTGATCCTTGTCGCTAAGGAACTTCATGACAGCGTGATTCTTAAACGACTGCCCACCAGAATTGTGAAAAGCTTGGAATGTACCATTGAGAGAACATTGATAGGGCCGCTGAAGAGGATCACAATCGGATTCGTCCAAGGCTTCCAGAGGGCTTCCAATGAACCTTGGGCGCTTACTCTTGAATTCTATACCAGTTGGTAAGTCCGCACGACTGTTGTCTACATCGGACGTGTCTCCATCGTTAAGTACCATAGATCGTTTCCCACTAGATCTCATGCCATTCGAGCTTAACGGTGAAATTGAAGCAGTGCGCGCTAGTTGTCCGGAAAACAAGAAAGTGCGCTCTAAATTATGGTTGATCTCGTGGCGTATTTTATCATCCCTTCGCTGTGTCGTGTATCGTGTAGGTTCGGTGTTTTTTGATCTTGCAGCACCAGTCAGGTTGTCAGAAGGTATCATCCCACTGAACCTTGCAGATGGCCTGCCCATAGCAGTATGCGGGGTTTGATAGGGAAAACAGCGGTTCTATCGAGTGTTTGACGTCGTGCTTTGATGTACTGTTCCAGCTAATAGTAGGTTAGTTGATGAGCACCAACATATTGGAAACATACGTGTGACGTGATAATGAGTAACGAACTCTGGCCTAGCGTACTTCCAGTGAGCTTTTTAGAGTTATAGCCACTCGGATATCGGCTGCGAAGACTATTTCTAGCTTCGCTTTACTTGTTTTGATCTTGTCATGGTTTGCTCAGAGTTTGCGTATGTAGTTTTTCATTTTAACGTCACCGACATTGTAGGCCACTGGCTAGGGTGCGAAGATGGAACCAGAACTAATGGAGAATTGCAGAGAATTTTGGGCTACTAAACAATATATTGATGGTATGAAAAATCTCGATTAGACAAGAGGTTTTTTAATCGTGAAGAAGAAATTCTGTGATTCCCTTTTCGGGCTCAATTTGAGATCTTAGAAAACTACTGGGCATCTTGGCTAAATACCGTGGTTTTCATGTTGCCTTTAATGGCTAATGAGTCGCAGATGGCCACTGTTTGTCTATGATCAACACTGTCATTTGTTCTGTAGTGAAAAATTTTGAAACTTATTTAACAATTTATATCACCTCGATAGCTTCGTTAACACAGCGGCCAAAGCATAGCAACACGTTAGGAAGGATGTTGAGAGTCGGAAAGTCGCTACCAAGAAGCTTCGTGATTCGTCGTAACCTGTCGCAAACGTTGGTAGCCAGTCAGGGAAATCCCAGGTCTCCATTACAGATATTCCGTGAAACGTTCAAACAAGAGTGGAAGAAATCGCAGGAGTTGCAAGACAACATCAAGGCATTGCAAGATGCATCTGGTAAATTGGGAGAGTCAGAAGCGTACAAAAAAGCCCGTGAGGCGTATATAGGAGCGCAGAAAGGCTCGACAATCGTGGGGAAGACATTGAAGAAAACGGGTGATACCGTGGAATCGATTGCTGCTAGAGCTTGGGACTCAGAGTTAGGTAAGAGCACTAGAAGCGCGGTCAATAAGACCGCCACTAAACTGGATGAATCCTTTGAGCCTGTTAGAAAGACCCAGGTATACAAAGATGTCTCTGAAGTCATGGACAGCGAAACTAGTTCCCGCTACGGTGGGTTTATTGGGAAGGAAGAAAGAAGACTAAAGCTAGAGCAGGATATTGCCTCTGGTAAAAGACCCAAGGCCATCAGAAGCAATGAAGAGGCAGGGACGGCTTTGGTAGCCACTGACATTGAGGCGAAAGAGTCGTTTGGCAAAAAAGTAGACGATTTCAGAGAAAACACTATGCTAGGTCAAAAGATACACGAAACAAAAATCAAGCTATGGGACGAAAGTGAGAACCCTCTAATTGTCTTGTTACGGACCATCAGTAACAAGATCGGTGGTCTGTTTGCCGAAACCGAATCTGCGCGTGTAATGGGCCAATTCAAAGTGATGGATGCTAATTTCAACAGTGAGACGTTCATGAACCACCTTAGAGAGTACGTCATCCCAGAGGTGCTAGAAGCATACATTAAGGGCGACGAGGCGGTGCTCAAACAGTGGTTCAGTGAAGCTCCTTACAATGTCTATGCAGCCCAACAGAAAGCGTTCCGTGAACAAGGACTATTTGCCGACGGGCGTATTCTTGACATCAGAGGGGTCGACATCGTAAGTGCCAAGCTTTTGGCCCCTCAAGATTTACCCGTGTTAGTGGTGGGTTGCAGAGCGCAAGAAATTCACCTTTACAGAAAAGTCAAAACTGGGGAAGTGGCAGCTGGTACGCACTCCAACATTTTGATGAGCTCCTACGCCATGGTGTTTACGAGAGACCCGGATAATATCGAAGATAAAGAAACTGAGGGCTGGAAAATCCTAGAGTTTGTTCGTGGCGGCTCTCGACAATTCACATGATGCAAGCAAGTAAAGACGTTAACCAAAACCTGGAGAAGACATAAGCCAACATTGAACTTGTATATATTTTAACGAATCTAATTTACAACACCTCACCCATATCGCCACGATCATGATCAATTCCTTTTGGGAATGAGGTTTTTACCTAGTATCAAACTGTAGAGTTGATGACCGCATAGCTGTCCCTGTCGCACCATGAATCGCAGCCATGGTTTCATAGCTATCAATATTCCCGTCCACAACATGCCTTGTACGAGAGGCATAATAATGACATCTCTCAGAACTACCTTACATATCACTGAAGCTGTGAGGTGACCTTGCTTGTCGCTCTGGGTCTCTGGCCTTTCATTAGTTCTTCTGGCCTCTTTCTTGACAGCATTCTGGAAAGTTTGTTGAAAGCGGAGATCAGGAATGGCCAACTTTTGGACTTCGCCCACCAAATTGGATTTTGCCATGCTGACGAGGTGCTAACTTGGAGTTGAGTAGAAGGCTCTCAGTCTCGAACGAACTAGTGTGGAGCCTCTTTTCGATGCTGCTTCAACTTCAACTATTATTGAATTGCGTATCCCAATAATTAATTAAAAGATAGTAACGAGAAACACACTACATAGCGAACGCAAAACCATGATTGAAGAAACACAGTAATCTTCGTTCTCAGTTAGCGAGCGGCTCAATGTTTTGTGATAAAATGCTGCGACCTCGTTGAACAAGTAGTTTGGAAGTCGGTCCACGGAGAGATTTTTCCTAATACCTTGCACTTTGACGATCAGCCGTAAGGAAGGGTTGGAATCATGGAAATAGCCCGAATAACCAGCCGTGTAGCATAATTGGACTGTAAGACCTAAAGGCAGAGGTGAGGTGGGGGCAGACGACCTCCAACTGTGCCGTCAAAGTTCTGTGTCATCATCGACGATGTAACCGTCGATTGGGTCATTAGCCGATGAGGAAAGTGGTTACATTTACGTTAACCGGGCAGGCCGGCTGGCTCTGTATACTATGGTTGGTTATTTGGCATCGGTATCAGGGATTTCTTGAGGGTTGTAGGTTGCTGCTATAGTGACAGAAATTTCGATCGAAACGCAGAGAAGATAGATATTTTCTGGCACCGAGACATTGGTACAGTGGTGCGAAAATACGGACGTGCTGGCTGTAATTACCTCAACAACTTGAAACTGATTGCCGCAACTTGCCCAGCTCATTGTCGAAATTAACCATCCTAGAGGTGCCTAGTAATTAGTACTCTCGCAAGAAGCGCTCTTGCACTTGACGTTTGTACAAAATGGCGTTGAAATCTATCCGTTCAATCGCGTCAGTGGTCCCGCATTACCCACTGAACTCTGTTGTCCAAGGGCCCTGAATTGTGCACTTGAGAGAAGCTAGAGACAAGCTCTAAAATTTTAAGTATTCAGTAGTGGACAAGAAAGCTCCACAATGGTTCCACTGCTGCTTGTCGGCTCTACTCGTCCTTCTGTTCGAAGTGTCAGTGATTGGTGATGCTTAACATGTAGAAATACAAATGTACTCAACTTATGTTTTTAGGTCAATATCTGAAAAATTTATCCACAATGTTCAGCAGGCCGGATTTCCAAGCATCGTTGAGACCACTGCAACAAGCATTTGCTGGGCCAGCTGATAGAAATCCACTAGCTTGACGATGGCAGAGGAAGGACCCCAAGTTAAAATTAGAGAGGCAACCAAAGATAATGTGGATTTTATACTGTCGAACGTCGATATGACGCTTGCAAATTCGCTTCGGAGAATAATGATAGCAGAAATCCCAACTTTGGCGATCGACTCTGTGGAAATCGAAACAAATACTACTGTCCTGGCCGATGAGTTCATATCACACCGTTTGGGACTGATCCCGCTTCAAAGTGCGGATATCAATGATCTAATCTATTGCAGAGACTGTTATTGTGAGGATCATTGTGATCGTTGTTCTGTGGTACTGACTTTGCAAGCTGTCGGGGAAAGCGAGTCTACAACGAATGTTTATGCAAAGGACCTGGTAATTGTCAGTAACCTAATGGGACGCAATATTGGACATCCGATTATTCAGGACAAAGAAGGGAGTGGTGTTTTGATCTGCAAACTGCGTAAAGGTCAAGAGCTCAAAATTAAATGCATTGCCAAGAAAGGGATAGCCAAGGAACATGCTAAATGGTCGCCAGCATCTGCCATTGAGTTTGAATACGATCCTTGGAACAAGCTTAAACACACGGACTTTTGGCATGAAACCGACGCTGCCGCTGAATGGCCACAGTCCAAAAACTGCGAGTATGAAGACCCGCCTAACGAAGATGATGTTTTCGATTACAAGGCAAAGCCCAGTACTTTTTACATGAATGTGGAGGCGGTGGGATCGCTGACATCGGATCAGGTAGTACTAAGAGGCATGAAGGCACTGCAAGATAAAGTTGCTGACATTTTATTTTCGCTTAAGAAGATGGACCAGGACAAGGTAAACTTTGGAGGAACCGCCGGTCTTGCAGAGCAAGATGGCAGTGTTATGCCTATGGAGTCAGATGGCGGTTACGGCTACGCAGGTGGTTCTGGTCCCTACAATGCGGCAGGGCCCAATCCAGGATTTGATGACGCGTGGTAAGTTGGCTACACGAAAAAAAACAAAAATGCAGGCTCATATATATATGTATATATACTATTAGACTTGTTCTTGCTGTGTAAAATTACGACCAAAAATGAAGCATACGAATCTTCGGTATTAATGATGCTGATTCCATTGGCAGCAGTTCTCGAAAGTTACTAAACTGCCACCAAAAATGTCTAGTGCGCTTCCATATGTCAAATCGATTTTACCACGGCTCATTTTATCCACGAGAGCTAGATCGTCTATGCTCTTCGCACCACCCGCGTAAACAATTTTCAGATGCGGCAGATGCTCGGTCCACTCATATAGCTTGCCAACAAGGAGCTCGTCTACACCACGGCACAGCCCTTCCACGTCTGCGGCGTGAATCAGAAACTCGTCCGCGTATTGGCTCATCAAACTGAATGTCTCCTTGCTTAATTCAACGTCAGTGAGTTTCTGCCACTTGTTCATGGCCACCACCCACTTAGGTGCCCCGCTGGTTTCCACCTTTCTACAGCTCAAATCGACAACCAGCTTGTCTTTTCCACAGCGCTGGGAGATTTTCTGCAGGTTCGAAAGCGAAAAATGCCCGTCAGAATCAAACAGCCAGCTCGTCACGATCACTTTACTAGCGTATTCCAGCCATTTAATACAGTTGTCGTAATTAATTCCACCACCTACTTGAAGAAAATGCGGGGCTGCTTTCAAAGCAGCGAGCGCTGCATCGTCATTATTGGGACCCAATTTTATGACATGACACCCTGTAATGTGGTTTTCCCGATACAGTTGGGCGTAATATGGTGATTCGTGCTGACACACGAAATTGGTCTTCAGCAGCTCGTTTTGGCTCTCACTCAAGGTCCCACCCACAATTTGCTTGACTTGGCCATTGTGCAGATCGATGCACCCTACAAAGCGTGTCATTGGCCAGCAATATTGAATTGCGCTTCTATTGGATGTGTCGTTTGTGGTCAAGATAAGTTGCCCAACGGGCACCGAAGCCATTCTAATTTTTGTTCGTTGGTTATGATTCTTGGGAGAAACATTTGATGCCAGATGAGATGAGATGAGATGAGATGAGCTAGATACTGAACTGGCATCAAAAGGCACTGCTAACCCAGCCTTCTAGCTGTGAACGTTTGGTAAAGTTTTAAAATGAGTGATGGTGATTATGCGGAGCAACTGAGGCTCCAACGTCAGGCATTTGAAGCACAGTTCGGTTCTCTAGAATCGATGGGATTTGAGGACAAAACGAAAGCTGAACAGCAACAAAACGAAGAGCTTTCGGAGGACACTTCTCTTGCTAGCGAGGATTCAGGTGGTGAAAGCGACGGGGCGAGTTGTTCTGACAGTAATGAAAACGAAAGTTTCGAAGGATTTTCGGACCACGATTTTCAAACACAGGACAAAAGTAATACCACCCAACGTCAGCCTAAAGTTATCAAGTTTGATGGGTCCAGCGATGTGTATGTTGCACCTAGCAAGAAAGAACAGAAAATCATTAGGTCTGGAAGGGCGCCGGGAAAGACGTTACTGGATGCGAAGCTCGAGGAAGACCTGATTAAGGCGTCAGAAAACGATACGGGCGATGTGACAAATGATGGAGAGAAGGAGAACTTGCAGAAAGATTTGGAACTGCAAAGATTTCTGAAGGAATCGCATCTATTGAGTGCGTTTGGTAACAATTCGCCCAGTGGCGCCGATCTGACGCTCCAAACAATGGACAACGTCGAGTACAAGGATGACCAGCTATTTGGTAAGGCTAGATCGCGTACACTTGAAATGCGGCTGAAAAACCTAGCGTCGGTCAACGGCAAAGCTGAGAAACTTGAGAAAGTGCCGATGAACATCAGACGAGGAATGACCGACAAGCACATCAAAAGGATCAAAAAACACGAGCATGAGGCACGGGAAGGTGGTATTGTGTTATCCAAGGTCAAGAAGGGAGAATACCGCAAGATCGACGCCACCTACCGCAAGGACATCGAAAGACGCATTGGACACAAGAATGCATCAAACGAAGCTCAAAGGAGAGCCAAACGTCAAAAGGGCCTCAAGGTCCATTCTGTTGGTAGATCAACCCGTAATGGGTTGATTATTTCCCCAGATGAAATCAAACGCATTAACGGAGCGCCAGGGAAGGTTCAAAAAGGCAAGGGTCGCAGAAGGTAGGACTGTGTAGTATATATAAAAATAAGATAGAGGGTACTGTGACCACTTGACGAGAACAATATATAGAAAAGTCCCAATGTGCGAAATATATTATTTTCACTTGGAGGTAATAAAAAGGTTGTAACCCCACCGTTACATCTTACAATTAGTTAATTAATGTCTGACAACACATCAAAAATATAAAACCTTAGGGATGATAACCCAAAAAACCGAGTCGGCTTTTTGGAGAGTATCGGAGTTTCAGAAAGACTCAGATGAATGGCCATTTAATAGCTCAGCCTTTTACTAGCATCTATTCTTGCATTGTTTCAGAAATTCACCCTGTTCGAGCTTGAAGGTTTCTTTAAGGCCTGAAAAGTTGAAAATTTCATCCAACAACAATACAAGTTCTCTTCCACGCGCTTCTGAAGATCGTAGTCATTTTGGAAGACCAAGTCGACTCATTGTTCACTGTAAATGCAATCATACCATAGACCGGTATCATAGAAAGAAAAGCCATAGATCACTTCGTACTTTAATGTCGCGAATTATTGATGGTCGTTGCCTGAAAATAAAGATATTAATGACCACACTTCAAGAAGTGCACCGAGAGCAGCATAAATTCAAACCAAAATACACAGGTTCCAAACCATCCAACGACTCAGAAGACTGCCAGAACGGATTGAGAAAGACTTTTCTTCATATCGAACGTTCACGAAGAGGGCAAACGACTTTTTTTTAACGCAGCTCAAATGATAAACAATTTTACCCACGAATCTCCGCATAATGAGGCCGTTCCTGATGGTAGGAGTGTACTTGACCAAGTAGATCAATATCTCACGGATCAAGGTACCTCAAGGGGTGTAGAAACCAGCAGATCCATGCTAGATTTGGATTTGGCAGCTGGATATGGGCAGGGCCCACCAGCAGACGAACACCAAATGCGAACAAGGCCACAACACCACCGTCAACGGTCTAAAGAGGGCACTAATCACCAACAACACCATCCGGTGCCTTTTAACTTTGACCTCGATGTTTCGTCCATTCCAAATGCGGCGAACGATGCAAGGGTGGTACGACCTGACATGGTCTTTTCTCCTATGATGTCACCTGTAGTTGAGCCGGTACCACCAGGACAGTCCCATCAATACCACCACCATCACCATCATCACAATTCTGGATCAAATGCTAATACACCACTTTTGAGATCGCAAGCTAGCAACCTTCCTCATCACGCTATCCCATCATCCAAGGCGCACTGCTCCCCACTTTCATCACCTGTTCTTGATCCGGCAGCGGATAGCAATATGGTAAACCTGAGACGTGTCACCTCGAGCTCTTCTTCTCGTGGCAAGAGAACTCCAATGTCAACGCCTGCTCTCACGGCGACCACAGTGGGAACGTCAACCTCTTCGTTTGGGAGTGCATCAACAACATCAAAAGTGGTGAAGAACAGTCCACAGTTGGTTCATAGACGATCTGCAGCCTCGATTCAAACAAAACATAAACAATCGATTCAGACAAATTGGGATGAGATGTTCAAATTACCGGACAGCTCAATCCCTCCGCCATCTTTGCCGCTGGCGGCAGCGGCAGGTTATTCCCCAGCAGGTCAGCAATATCAATACCAGCAACCGCAACAGCTTCAACAGTCTCAACATCCGCAACAACAACATCATAATCATCCTGATGAATTTGTCCATTCTCGTCCCAATTCGAGTGTGTCCTCCGAACGCACGCAAAATTCGGCCAATTCCACTGTCGCGCTCAGTAGCCTAGATCTCGACCTCGAAAACTATGACTATCAACCGTCACACCAACACGAAGTTACTCCGGCCACTTTAATGAATTATCCTAAAGTGATTTTGCCTTCAACTTCTCATTCTGCCGCCCAGTCACCAGCCCGTGATTTGTCGCAGCTGCCTGCAGGTGTTAACTCGAGTAATGAAATTGGCAATGGAAGCCATCATGGTGGAACCAATGGCCCTAGTAGTAGTACCTTTATTGTCGCCTCCGAGTCGCCAGTAATTAAGGCCAAAAACCCCTCGCCCGTATTTTCGCGGCCGCTGGCGACCCGCAAAGTCAGTACGGGTACCACTAGCGTGCGGGGAACCCCAGAATTAAAACCACATCGAAAAAACAGTAAGAATTCGCTCAGAGAAAAGGACGACGACGAAATCTCTGTGAGATTTGGAGATGGCGACGGCGAAGGGCCAGAAGATCAACACAAGAAAGATATACACAAGGCCGCCGAGCAGGGCCGGCGTAATCGTTTGAACAGTGCTTTGGCTGAGCTTCACTCTTTAATTCCGCCCGAACTCAAGGACTCTATCTTGATTCCTTCAAAAGCCACAACGGTTGAGCTTGCTTGTACCTATATTCGTGAGCTTCTTGCCAGAAATCATAACCCGTCAAATCACGGATAGTTGTATAATACTCTGGTGGCGCGTTGATTGACTAGGGGCTAGCTAGACCTCTTTAAACCATGCCAAAATAAGGGAAAATATCGTGGGCGTAGCATCGCCGCCTCAAAAGTTCTAAGAATTCACAGCCCACCAAAAATGAACGGCATTGCAAGATAATATAATAATACGCCCCCCCCCCCCCCTCTCCAAGGAGAAGACTTCAAATAGCGTTAGGAAAAGCGGAAGTAATTAGTTTGAACTTATATCATTTATCGTTTGCAGTAAAGAAGTAATGTATTCTACTCAGGATTACCAACCTAAACACTTAAGTGAGAAAATGTGCTAAGAATTTCAATTTTGAAACATTATAGCGGGGAATACAGAGTAAATGCAAAATATTGGGCACAGGTTCAGTTTGACCGCGGAACATAAGCCTTTGGCGCAGCGAAAGTGAGAATGATTGAATCCATTAAGGTCACTTTGTCATTTTACCGTCCTTCAAAAAACTAACCAATGAAAGTGCATAAAATCTGTGCATCTAAAAAATTTAAATAATAGGCGAACTTGACCGGCGAATTAACTAACCGAGCGAACAATCTAAGGATAGATAACAAACAATCGAATCGTTCCCTTAACTTAGCGGATCCATTCAATTGATCAATATTTTGGAATTCACGTCTGAAATATTTGAATAGCTCGCAAACTAGGACATTATAATATGATTGCCAGCATCACTGAGTTTTTGGAGGAATTGAAGGACGCCATGGTGCCAACTTTGGCCAGAGCTGAGGACGAAGAAGCAGAGGAATCCCAAGAACAACCAGCGGAGCAAGAGGAAGAATCCGGCGATGCCGAGGAGGGTGATGAGGACGAGGAAGAGGAAGAGGAAGACGAGGACGACGAGGACGACGAAGACGACGAGGAAGAAGGACAAGCCGATCAAATCGACGCCTTGAGAGAAGAATGCAAGCAAAAAGAAGATACTAAACCACTTTTGCATCACTACACCGAGTGCGTGGAAAGAGTGCAGAAGGCCCAAGAGGACCCCAACTACGCGGACTCCGAACACAAGGAGGACTGTGTGGAAGAATTTTTCCACTTGCAACATCACATCGACAGCTATGTCGCACCAAGATTGTTTGACAGATTAAAGTAAACGCCTGGTCCGATGTTTCGCGCCCGTATGCCTTGCTGGCTGCGCTAGCATTCGCATTCGATGTTCGATTTTCTTATATTCCCACTTTTACCCACGAAAACGCTCACGATCCCAGAGGGCCTGTCTCCATTTTCCCACCTGTCCACTTATACAGAAGAAACTAGTTGAAAGATAAAAAGAGAAGTTACGCCAGAGGCAGTTCTATTGTCGTGCGTTAGTTTGACCGAGCCCTCCAAGCATATCCGTGGCAATGAACTAGGAGAAGAAGCTCTGCTCTTAGCTTAACCCCACGTATTTATTATAATAATATAGCCAAAAAGACTTCATTATGAAACCGGCAAGAGATTATAGCGCCTATAAATTCCAATACTCCGTGGCTGAGGTAACTAGTAATTGTGCCGTAACTTTGTGCCCACACGAACGACAACCGGTAAGAAGATCGCCGTCACAGGTTGATTAACGAGCCATGCATGCTTGATTGATGGTTCACCGTATGAACAGAGCGCGTCCACACACACGACCGCCATGCGGTATCCAAATTATCATGGCCAACAAATTTGCCATAATTTTTGGTCTTCATATTGCTTGCATGCCAATTTTGTGGAATACGGATATAGATTTTCGCCTGGGATAATTCGGGCCGGCGTTGAGCAAGCATGGGCGATTTTCTTGATTCAAGGTGTTGAGATATTAAATTCAAGGTGTTGAGATATTAAATTCATATGTCACAAACAAGCCAACCACCAGTTTGAACTAGGACAAACTGTATCTGCGGGTATTGCATTTGCCTGAACGCGTGGTTGAGACTTGTTGAAAAAATTCTGTAGGACATTGACAACAATGGCATAAGACTCGCTTACAAAAATGGACTGAAGCAATGGGAGCTTGAAAGTGGTCCGGGAGAAACTCGTGCCAGGTTAGTGGCCTGACACCAACTGCGCCAGAGCTTGCGTCAGAGCTTTCTTTTGTTCGTCAAGGAGGAATTTGAAGCGGTTTTTAACCTAGACGGACAAAATACTAATCACAAGATGCTCTGAGTATGGTTTGTCGGGAAGGCTGAAACGTGTAGTTGAAGCTTTGACTATGCCTGCTTTAGGGATCGAATTATAGAGCCATTCGTGCCATACGGGACGAATTCCTCTGCTTTTTCTCAAGCCGCAGCCTCAATTCTTTCCGGCGAGTAAGTATCCATCTGCACCATATTTTACATTCGAGTGAGCATCGGCGCTTTCTTTCTTCAAGTTCGGCTAGAGAAATCTACATTACTGGCGCTTGTGACAACTATGTAAGTCACGCCTGCATCAGTCATTCCACAATAGACAAGTCACTTCCTCAATTTACGCCTAAAACTACAACAGTTGTGGGCATCCCGATGAACGGGCATGGCTGATGCTGCCGGATTTCATGTTCAGATTCAAAGCCGTCATACATAGATTGAGATAAGATGTAATGCTTATGCAAGCTTCGGAGATGGTGCTCAGCTAGCGATGTAGAACATGCTTATTTTTCTCTTGGGAATCACTAATTAAGGTGTCAGACGACACTAACGAAAAAAGAGGCTAGTTAGCAGACACCACAAGGGCCGGATTACACTCTCTCACAAGCGGTGGCTGCGCATGTGGGTATTATATTCTTCGTCGACCCGTATTCCAATGCCTTCTTACTGAACAGGTCATGGTTTATGTCGATAAGACTCTGACTCTTCACGTCGACTAGATTGGAGGCAGCCTACTCCCCGTGCAAAAGTGAAACAAAGAGGACATGGCGACGCGGCGGCACTTACCGGAAGCAAGTGGAGGAATAAGTCCCTGCCCTAGGTAAAATTAAGTCATTTCAATCTATAAAAACGATAACATCAAATTGTAAAGCAATTACCGCATGTAGTCTTGACACAGAACACTACTTCGCAAGCCCTCCAGCGATTTTCATCACGGTGTTTCTCTTGAACAAAATCCTGAGATAGGTCCGCCTTTTAAAGCTTTGACTGCTTCTGAACCCATACATCCACAAAATAAAATAAGTTTCAAGAAATAATGAAAAATTATAAAAAATGTGAAAATTAAAGTTGCGTCGCTTGGCGTTCGCTTACACAACGACAAGGATGGTCTGGCCTAATGCTGAGTGAGGAGCTAGGCAGAGACTCTAGCCTCAGCCCTTTGGCCACACACCGTTCCAGACTCCTACCGGCTCCGCCTAGCGTGATGCCTGCTCCCGCCAACGTCCCTCTGCGAGAGTAGTCTCACCGCCTGTCTCTCGCATACTCCCATACTCCCATGGTATGTATCATTACAGTAGATATATCCAAACTTGAACAATTACACGATTTTGGCTTGAGAGGGCCAGCAGAGTAAACTACCGACAGTACGTACCGCATGGGCAACAAGCAACAGCAGAGGATGGATGAGAAGGGGACAGAAGCCTAGATTTCGCAGCCAGTGGGTAGCCACAGAAAAATGGGGAAGAAGACACCGTAAAACACCATAAAATATGATGTTTTGACCGAGACGATGCAGCCCTGGACCGCCGTTATTAGCACATGGGGAGGCCAAATCTTACATGTGTGAATTGATACCAGATAGCCGAGAAGAGAAAGTGAAATGGACAAATTGTGACACTAGGAGCACTGGCTTAGCTCACGACCCACTTGGCATATTTCACGGCTCCCCGTAGAGAATATTTCCGGCAGTCACCTTCAGTCCTGTCTACCTTGTGCATTTGACTTTCCATCTAGTTTTGCTCAAAAATACTAACTTCCTGTTTTCCAGAAATGTCTAAGTCTAAGAACCATACCGCTCACAACCAAACCAGAAAGGCCCACAGAAATGGTATCAAGAAGCCTAAGACCTACAAGTACCCATCTTTGAAGGGTGTTGACGCCAAGTTTAGAAGAAACCACAAGCACGCCTTGCACGGTACTCAAAAGGCCTTGGCCGCCAAGCGCGCTGAAGAGAAGAAATAAGTTTATCAGATGTGTAAGGATACTCTTGACATAATATAACTATAAGAGAACAAGCAATCAACAGTCATTTCTATCAACCCTTCAAATTCTGCTATTATCGCAACTTGCTGTAGAGACATGTAAATTTTGCGGCCTGTGCTACATTCAGCCGGCCTCGACAAGGACAGAACCCCGTGAATGGCTTTGCCAGTGTCGAGTTCGGAGGTTTTGACTTTTGCTGCGATCTCCCACACAAGCCACGGGATCAAAAGTCCGGACTGGCTAGTTATATATATATATATATATATATAGTTGTTTGCTACTGGGTTTTGTGTGGCGCCAGTGACACTTTAATTATTTTCGTTTTTGTGATCTGATACCATTTATTAGTATATAAGTAAGTAATCATGGGGATATAGGGCCCTGGGGAACTACCTTGCTACCGCAACTGGGAGTAAGGAAGGCTAGCGTTTTCTTACGTCCAGTTACAGAGAGTTTTATCTACTACACATGGCTACACAAGTTATTGCGAGAAGAGTGCCTACGGATGCAACCATCCCTACAAACTGTACAGGATCCGGGGAAGTGAAACGGATCTACGTGTCAAATCTAGATTTCAGTACCACTGAAGAAGAGCTCAAAGAGTTCTTGAGTGATTACAATGTATTGACAGTGCTGATACCGAGTCAGACGATACGAGGTTTTAGAAATAGCAGTGTCAAACCGTTGGGAATCGGATATGCAGATTTTCCCACTGTGGCAGACGCACAGAACGCCGTGAAAGATCTGAATGGCAAAATGCTACACGGGCGCTCGCTGAAAATCAAGATTTACGTTCCGTTCACAGCGGCTGCTCGCGAAGATCGCAAGGCTTCGAAGCACCTATTCAAATCTCAAGCTCGCCCAGTGGCCGCACAAGCTGGGAGCGTTCATGACGCAGCAGAGCAGGCTGCAGGAAATAGAGAGAGCACTATGGTGGAACAGTCAGCTCCTGTGCCCAGCAAACCAACGCGCAGCGGCCCAGAGCCGGTCTCAGAGGACACCGTCTATTGTGCATATCTACCTTCTTCGACAACAGACGTAGAGCTTCGCGAGTTTTTCGCAGCTTACGACCCTCAGGATATTTTTGTTTACCGCAGTAATGTCTCTAGGCATCGCGTTCATTTGTATCGGCGGTTCACAGCCGCTCTGGTTACGCTGGGAGCTCCAAGCTACCTTGAAAATGCTTTGAGTCAGCTGTCCTCTCAGAAGTTCATGGGTAAAAAGATAACGCTGAGACCTGCTCGTCTCAATAAGATACAAGAAGTGAAGCAGGCCGCCGTCAAAAAGCTGGAGCTCGAACAAGCACAAACGCGCAAGAAGTCGATTGTCGAGGCTAACGAGCCCATCTCAGAAGACAGGGAGTTGGAAGGTCGAGAAGGGGCCTAAGGATGTCTAGATTTTTCTGTCCTGATTGGTATATCTGCTAGGGATCTTAGCATAGCTTATGCACCGGCCAACGGTATTCTGCTGTAATCGCACGCAAGAGCGTAAACACGTAGCATGAGGTGAGCTACAATACGTAGCATAGGGTGAGCTACAATACGTAGCATAGGGTGAGCTACAATACGTAGCATAGGGTGAGCTACAACACATAGTAAAAGGGGATTATCCGGCCATCATCAGTCATCATCTTGAAGTCCAATTTAAGTACTTTCTCACATCGAGCCCTTGAAGGCACAGCGTAGGCTGTGTGCATTTTCCTATATACATCCCGCTTTAAGATTTTGGGCTTCGATACTATAGAGTTTAATATGGCAGGAAGTACTATGACACAGCCCAGTGGCTCACTCAGTGATTTAACCAGCCTTAGTCCTAACCTTCATCGTAGAGTCCCCGCCATTGCACTTTGAATATACACCCATGCATTAGCATCCTGATAATGTTTGACTGCTATTTAACACCCATACATAAGTTAAGATTGAACTTCAGCTAGAAAATATGTTTTGCTAGAAACGTGACCTAAATATAAAAATTGGGCTAAGACAACTGTGCGCCATTTCGCTTAGCGGGCGTGCGACCCTCTCAAGCTTACTGCAGTGGCAGCAGAAGCTAGGCTGAGCGTTCCGCAGGGCAGTGAGCCTGGCGGTGGGAGGTCTGCCTGGCCCCTAGCCTAGCTTCTGCTACCACGCAGGATGGGTCTGCCTAGCAACTCTGTCGGAGCTGAGACAGACTGGCGTGGGTTGCCAGACTCCATGGCACCGTCACCATCGTGGAATAGTAGATTATTGAAAATTCAACTGAGTTCACAAGGTTTAGCGATTTGGTATAGACAAACCAGAAATCAACACAAACAATGGGTATGTGCCAAGGTGAACAAGAGCGTTACAATCAGCGCAAGGAGGAGTACTAGCAAACCCGTGGGTGAAATATCTCAAGAGCTTTATGACCGGAACCTAGATAGACTGCGATTTTTACAGTTTGATGGGATGCACGGAGTATCTGTGAGATACTAAGGAGCATGCTTTAGAACTTGTGAGATAGGAGTTAAATCAACGTAAAGCTAAGACACACTTTGATCTATTGTGGCCCGATCGGCGTGGTTTGGAAAGTTTCCCTCAGTGATTTAAGTTGGCCTCTTACTAACTAACTATCCGGTATACAGGTAGAGTTATTCGTAACCAAAGAAAGGGTGCTGGTTCTATCTTCACCTCGCACACCAGATTGAGACAAGGTGCTGCCAAGTTGAGAACTTTGGACTTTGCCGAACGTCATGGTTACATCCGTGGTGTCGTGAAGCAAATCATCCACGATGCCGGTAGAGGTGCCCCATTGGCCAAGGTTGTTTTCCGTGACCCTTACAAGTACAAGTTGCGTGAAGAAACCTTCATCGCCAACGAAGGTGTCCACACTGGTCAATTCATCTACGCTGGTGCCAAGGCTTCTTTGAACGTTGGTAACGTCTTGCCTTTGGGTTCCGTCCCAGAAGGTACCATCGTCTCTAACGTTGAAGAAAAGCCAGGTGACAGAGGTGCTTTGGCCAGAGCCTCTGGTAACTACGTTATCGTCATTGGTCACAACCCAGATGAAAACAAGACCAGAGTTAGACTACCCTCTGGTGCCAAGAAGATCATTAACTCCAGTGCCAGAGGTGTCATTGGTGTTATTGCCGGTGGTGGTAGAGTTGACAAGCCATTGTTGAAGGCTGGTCGTGCTTACCACAAGTACAAGGTCAAGAGAAACTCCTGGCCAAAGACCCGTGGTGTTGCCATGAACCCTGTTGATCACCCTCACGGTGGTGGTAACCATCAACACATTGGTAAGGCTTCTACCATCTCCAGAGGTGCTGTCCCAGGTCAAAAGATTGGTTTGATTGCCGCCAGAAGAACTGGTTTGTTGCGTGGTTCTCAAAAGACTCAAGATTAGAGTATTTAGTAGAAACAATTCAAAATGAAAATAATCTAACAAATGGTCATCTCGTATTAGTACGTGACAGTGTATATTGTTTACCCCTTTCTACGTGTCTTCTTTAAAATCTCATGTTTATCTCAACAACGGTAGGTTTGTAGGGACGGTTAGAGTTTACAACCTAGCGAAGCAGATCGTAAGCCTGCAATATTAGGCCAAATAGTTGGCCCTCTCGGCGAGACGATGTCACAAGGTCCATTGATGATTTTCATCTTCCGAATTTCAAATAGTAGTTGAAAATCCAATGTCTAAAAACTTTATTCATTGTTGAACACGGGAGGCCCGCCCTAGGTGCAATACAACCTTATTGGAATTGATTATATTTATGATATGGTTTCGCTTAGGCGACCTGTCGTTAACCAAAAAAATGTAATTTCAACATGAGCCTGTGCCGCAAGATGGTCTCCGATTGATTGGTTACCATTATTTTATGTACCCATTTAAACTCTTGGCTCTCTAACATGACCTCTCGTATCGGTGGCCCCGATTGACAAACCTAAAGCCAAGTGTGTTCCTTTTCTCAATTATTCCTCCATTAATTATTAAGTGATTTATTTCGTGCATCTCACAATATTAATACGTAAACACTCACCAAGACGCACAGACACACACACAAACACATTCACTCGCACTCTCAAACTTTAGCCCATACCCGTTCATTCAGGATATTCGAATGACTGGAGCACCACCTGTAGAATATTTGTTAGTCATACATTCACATGAAGGTTGAGGAGCTAATTATTGATGGCTTCAAATCATACGCGACAAGAACGGTGATCTCCGGCTGGGATCCTCAATTCAATGCAATAACTGGTCTTAATGGATCAGGGAAATCTAATATTTTGGACTCTATATGTTTTGTGCTTGGCATATCATCTATGGCTACCGTGAGAGCTTCTAATTTACAAGATCTTATCTACAAGAGAGGCCAAGCGGGTGTGACAAAAGCCAGCGTCACGATTGTTTTTGACAATACGGATAAAACAAACTCGCCAATCGGGTTTGAAACGTACGCTCAAATATCAGTGACACGACAGATCGTCTTAGGAGGGACCAGTAAATATCTGATCAATGGACATCGAGCTCAACAACAGACCGTATTGCACCTCTTCCAATCCGTTCAACTAAACATTAATAACCCCAATTTCCTTATCATGCAAGGTAAGATTACAAAGGTGTTGAATATGAAGCCAGCAGAGATTCTATCGTTGATCGAGGAAGCAGCTGGAACAAAAATGTTTGAAGACCGCAGGGAAAAAGCCGAGAGAACGATAGCCAAGAAAGAAACTAAGCTGCAGGAAATAAGGACCCTGTTAGAGGAAGAGATTGAGCCCAAACTTGAGAAACTTAGAGCCGAGAAACGAACGTTTTTGGAATTTCAAGAGATTCAGGCTGATCTCGAAAACACGTCAAAAGTCGTACACGCATTCACTTACAGCTCCCTAATAGAAAACCGAAATAATATTGAGGAGTCCAATAGAGTAGGACAATCGAAGATTAAACAGCTCCAAGAGTCAATCGAAAAAAACACGGCAGAGTTGAAGAGTCTAGAAGAAGACCTTGAAGTGATGCGAGCTCAAAAGAAAAATGAGATGAAAAAAGACGGATTGCTGAATCAACTGGAAGCCATAGAAAGTCGATTGAACAATGAACTTTCTCGTTTGCGGACAACCCTTACTATCACCACCCAAAACTTGACCGAAGAGACATCTAAGTATGAAGCTTGCCACACAAAGATTCAGCAATATCGCGATGCTCTGCAGCTCAAAATGAATTCATTCGGAAGTACTGAATCAGACTTTAATAACCTTGTATCTCTCGTCGGTAGACTGAAAGGTCACCTACAAAACAAGGAAGAGCTATTGTCTACTTTGACTACTGGCATATCATCAACAGGCGCAACGAGCAGTGGTTACAGTGCTCAACTAACAAATGCTGAATCAAAGTTGAATGATTCTCGTATACAGGTCCAAAGGTGTGACATGAAGATTGAATTGCTGAAAAAAGAGCTCCATGCTAATGGACCCAAGCTGCTCTCGGCCCAAGAGTCCTGCAAGGAAGCCAGAAAAGAGGTTGACCTGAATAAACTGCGATGCTCAGAGCTAAATCTTAAACTACAGAAGTTGGGCTTCCACCCAGATATGTACAAACAACTTAAGGACAGGGAAGTAAGTCTGAAACGACAACTTCATGAGAAATCAAGAGAAATGGATATTTTGAAGAGAAGGGTAGCCAACATTGACTTCAATTACTCAAAGCCGTCATCTGATTTCAGTCCTACCTCAGTCAAAGGCGTAGCAGCTCAGCTGTTCTCATTGGATGAGAATAACTTCGCAAGTGCGACAGCTTTACAAGTATGTGCTGGTGGAAGACTATTTAACGTGGTAGTCGATAATGAACGAACTGCTTCACAGCTGCTTGAAAATGGGAGATTGCGGAAACGTGTTACTTTGATACCGCTGAACAAAATTTCTGCTCGACAACTGAATCAACGAGCCGTTCAAGTCGCCAAAGGCTTAGCTCCTGGAAATGTTGAGCTAGCTCTCAATTTGATTGGCTACGAAGAGGATGTTTCAAAAGCGATGGAATTTATTTTCGGTTCGAGCTTGATCTGTAAGGATGCAGAAAGCGCAAAAAAAGTCACATTTCATCCCCAAGTGAGGGCCAGAAGCATCACACTGCAAGGTGATATCTATGACCCAGAAGGGACACTTTCAGGAGGAAGTCGAAGCAACAACAGCTCAGTTTTGATCGACATTCAGACGTATAATGCCCTATCGAAAACCGTTTCCGACTTAGAGATTGAATTGCAACATGTGCTAGAGAAGATTGAGCGACAAGCTGGCATTCTTGACAAAACTAAGTCGATTCAAAATGATCTCAATTTGGCTACCCACAGACTCCATTTGGCCGAAAGAAGCTTCGAAAACAATCCCTCTGTACAGCTAATATCGAGAAACCACGAGATAGACAGCGAAATTGAAAGCTGCCTTGGATCGCGAGCTACCGCTGTTGAAGATATCAAACGTTTTGAAGCGGAGTTGTTCAAAATTAGGAAAGATATGGAGGAGTTCAGTCAGGATAAGGGTTCGAAGTTGGACCAACTAAAATCTGAAATCAAGGACATAAAATCGGAAATACAAAGACACCAAACTGTTCTAGAGAACAATGAAGACCGCAATCAATCGCTCCAGCTGGAAATCGATCAACTAAGAACTGATCTTGTGGCGGTCCAAGAAGGGGAAAAGGAGGCGTCGGAGGCATCCAAAGAGCTCAATGCCAAATATCTCATGCTGCAAGAGAAGGTAAACACGGCTTCTGCTGAGCTGGAACATGCGAAGGGAAGAGTAGCCGAAGAGAAGAAGAGGCTATATGAGATTGACGAAGAAATGCGTGTTCTCTCGGAGCTGATCAAAAAGAAAGATGAATTCTTGAAAAACGGTAATATTGAGCTCAAAAAGCTGATCAACGAGGTAAGTAAACTGGCAAACAGTACCAGCTCTGTTGAAGAGAATATCAAGCATTTATTGAAAGAGGAAGAATGGCTTCATGACGAGGGCCTTGTTTCAAGCATTATAATCCAAAACCAAGGGGTGAATTTAGCGGTCTACAGACAGCGATCGCAACAACTGGCTGAAAAGTTTGGTGATATGAAGCGAAAAGTTAACCCGAATATTATGAGCATGATTGAGAATGTGGAGAAAAAGGAGTCTGCTCTAAAATCTATGATCACAACCATAGAGAGGGACAAAACTAAAATTCAAGAGACAATCACGAAGCTTAACATGTATAAGCGTGAGACTCTCATCAAAACGTGGGAGAAGGTGACTGTTGATTTTGGTCAAATATTTGGAGAACTCTTACCTAATTCTTTCTCTAAACTAGTTCCCATGGAGGGAAAAGACGTTACGGAAGGACTGGAAGTAAAGATAAGATTAGGAAGCATTTGGAAAGATAGCCTGATAGAGCTATCTGGTGGCCAAAGGTCTTTGATTGCATTGTCATTGATTTTGGCTCTACTTCAATTTAAACCTGCGCCGATGTACATCCTTGATGAGGTTGATGCAGCTTTAGATTTAAGTCATACTCAAAACATTGGGCATTTGATTAGAACAAAATTTAAGGGTTCTCAATTTATCGTTGTGTCATTGAAGGAAGGCATGTTCAATAATGCTAATCGCGTCTTCAAAACAAGATTTCAAGATGGAACATCAGTCGTCAGTGCCCTATGACCGGGTGTTACGCTTTCCCCATGTTCGGTAGCTATATACTGATCAATTCTTCGTAAACAAATAAAAATAAAATAAGGTGATTGTAAATAATTTGTATTTATCAATACACTTCCAAGATGTAACGGGAGCTCTCTTTAAGTTCTTCAATGGCTTCATCCAAATTAACTTTCTTGCCCTGCTCATCAGCGGCAGCCTGAAGAATATCTTTCAATGCTTGAGTAATATCAGGAACTGGCCAGGTAGGTCCACACAAGTAAAAGGAGCCAGTCTCATCGACCATTGCAGTCTTCAAGTCTTGCAAACTTTCACGAATTTTATCTTGGATATAAATTTTATGGGGCTGGTCTCGGGAGAAGGCCGCACCAATGTGAGTAATCACGCCAGCGGCCTTGTAAGCTTCCCACAATTCCCCATACAGGTATTCTTCTCTCTTATGTCTGGAGCCCATGAACAGGTAAACCTTACCAATTTTGTGCCCTTGCTGTTTTTGCCACAATTTTTCCTCAACAATAGCTTTGAAAGGTGCCAGACCGGTACCGAGACCACTCATGATCACTGGCTGCTCTGTAGAAGGGGGCAGTTTCATTACGGAAGGCTTAACACTAACTACCAATTCAGAACCAACTGGAAGTTCGGAGAGGTATTTGGATGCTTGTCCAAACCGTTTTCTGCCTTTGTTGTCTACCCAGTCCACAATAACAATCAACAAGTGGACTTCGTTAGGATGCATTCTTTGCGATGAAGCGATAGAATACTCTCTTCTCTTGAGAGGAGCGATGATACGTACCAAATCAGAAAGGGAAGGCCTAGCAGAGGGAAATAGCTCAAAAATATCGGCGTAGGTGTAGTACTCGACATCCTGAAACTTTTTCAATTCGACAGCTCCGGCGGCTGAAACCAAATGCTCCAGCTTTTTCTTCTCCTCGTCATTAGAAGCAAACTCTAAAAGCGATTGGTAAAATGCTTTAGGAGGTTTGCCAAAAATGTCCAAACAATCGGTAAAGGCTTGAAGAACAGTTCTGTTTTCTAAATACCGTTGATCTTCTTTGTTAGGAACTTGAACTATGTCTTCCTCATTCAAGCCATAGGACTTTAGAAACTGTCTAACAAGTTGTTGGTTATTTCTGGCATGTACACCCAAAGCTTCACCGATACCATACGTCAAGCCAGTATTAGTGATATCAAACTCGATGTGGAAAATATATCTGTCATAGTCGGCAGGCGTTACGCGCCTATTTTCTTTGACCTTAACAACGTAATTGTTCACAGGAAGGTCTGGTCTCAAAGAGGTCTTAGTAGCGAAAGCTTCCTTAAAACTTAGCTGGCAGGCAATATCTGCAATGGCAGAGGCACTTGTTTGGGCAGGGATTTCCTGCTTCCTCGGATTAGGGAGAAAGCAGGTTTCTGAGAGTAATGAAGGAAGTTCTTCTTCTTCCGACTTATCAAAGGCGAGTTCTTTAACTGACTTCTTCAAGTTCTCACAGTGAACTTCTCTAAGACCAACGTCAAATGCCGTGGTGATTGTTTCTGACAAAACAGCAGCTAACAGCTCTATGTCAGAGCCAGCTGAGTTCCAAATTCTGCGAACGCTCTCAGCAATAGACAAATCATACGCATACTTCCAAAATGCAGCCTGGATAACAAATGACGCAGTTCTGCCGTTAGTTTCTTCTCTGTCACCAATGGTTTCCGCATCCAAGAAAACAATTCGAAGATCTTTGTGGATAGCATCTGTTAAAAACCTGCTTGGAAGTTTCAAGTCATCAACCAAAACCTTTGCATCAGAGAGATTCTTGTCCTTTAATGACTTTTCGCTCACGATCAAAACAGTACTTTTCTCTTTGCATGTGCTGGTTATATCAAAGGCATTTAAAATGGACAGGTTTTCAACCACAGTGACATTAGCACGATCAACGTTATCGGCAAGAGAAGAATTTCCTTTGCTGCGCGAAACAATTTGAGCTTGGAAAGTACCACCATTCGCGTTGTTATCGAATTTCGTCCTGAAAGTAATATCACGGTGGTCTACCAAAGAGAGAGCATGTGCAAGTCTCGCAGCAACGTCGAGATTGACACTTGAGTCAGCTGCCCAATAGATAAACTTTTCACTGTGATTATCGGCAGCTTTTCTGAATTCAGGGACGAAAGACGCTATGACTTGTTCAACGGCGTCAGGAGACCAAACGAATGAAGGTAAGTACACATATTCGGAAATTTTGACCGACCTTACATTATGCGTAAACAAGGCGGCAGAAACTTGTGATTTCATGAAGGTTGCAGATGCTCCAACCAACGATTGACCAACAACCACAATGTTCTTTACGGATTTTGGAATCAAGGCCACAAATTTGTCTGTGTCAAAAGGTAAAGCAATTCTTATGGCAATGAGTCCAACTTTGAACTGATTCTCGACTAGACTGGCGCCAAAGAGTTCGGACTCTACGCTTCCGAACGATACAAAAAGAGTCTCAGCACCTTCGTCCCCGTAGAACTCAAAGTTATGAAGCTTGCTAGTTGAAAGCTCATTAAACTTATCTAAAATTTGATCGAAGGTAGATGGGACAGTTAATTGTTTGGACAAGCGCGCAATGATGTCCTGATCCACTTTCTCAGTGATATTCAGGACGGACTTGGCATAATTGGGGCCATCGAAAAGATTGACCGCCCCCAAAGCAGTACCAAACTTTGCCAAAGCAATAGCGAGTAGCGTTGTTTGCTTGGCCTCATCAACACGAACTGGTGAAACGACTGGGAAACCTAGCGATGCAGCCGTCTTCAAAGGAGTGACAAAATCACTCACCACTTGGCCTGCCTCCTCATTATAATCAAGTGCCCCAACGTTGAGCATAAACCGACTTCCATTGGAATTTTCGCGCCGGAAACTGTTGGCAAAATATGGTAAACCGTACCCTGGGGTTATGATTCCTACAAGTGATTTGTCTTCCGTTGCATGCGCATAACCCAACGCAGTTAGACCGGCACCAGACCTCAATTCTAACTCTTCGAAGTACAAGGTCTCCAGGGCTTTTTTTTTAACCCAGCTTTTAACCGATTCGTCTAAAAGATCTGCATCGGAAAAAGTCTTGTAACTAAATATGCTGCTCACATTTTGAACTAAAGCTGACGAAATCGAGGCAACGGGAGTCGTGTAAGCCTGGGTGCTTTTCCAGTCGGAGGGAACTCCGAAAGGATTGGTCGAAAATTCAATTCCCATTACAGATAGAATTCTCAAAGCCGGTCTCGCAATAGCTCAAAGGTTTGTCTTTATAGCGAAAAGAATCTAGAAACTGGATGGGTATCATTTTATAGTTCGCCCTCCAAGTCTTTGGTTACCTCTTATAACTTCTTCAATCCTTTCTTCAATTGTGCGAGCCACATAATGTCTGGGCACATGATACTAAAGGTCACATGCGATGAGCACAGTTCTACGGATCGCCAACATTGGCACTTCGATCATTGCCAAGGGCTCAAATTCCTTTCCGAAGAAGATCCATGTGAAACAGGAGGAGCTTGGCCTGTTCTCTAACTGCTACGTTATTTTCCAGCGCCTTGGATTTTACAAGATCGTACATCCCCATATTCACTAGCTTAGAGCACCTTTGAGCGGCGAAAAGCTTGAGCTTTGCGGGTGCATCAAGGCTCTTGGGTCTCACAAACTCACCAGATATCCCCACGTTGTGGGCCTCGTTGACGCTGGTATGATAATTTTCATGATTTGTGTGTTCATGGTCATTTGCGGGCGGCCTGCTTTGGTCTTCTTCGTAACCTTCTTCTTCTTCTTCCTCTTCGTCGTTAACCTCGTCGTCAACTTCTTGCGAGTCCTCTTCGTCATCACGATATGTATCGCTCATTTCGTCGTCGTCAAAATCGCCCTCATCTAACGGTCCTGCACCTTCAATGGGCGCTTTGTCGGCATATTCCTCTCTATTGTGTAGCGATCCACCTTCTGCGGCATCTGCTGAGTCCATGATAGGATGAGGCTCCGTGGCTCGGAACAAAAAGTTTTGAGTAGTAGATGCCCATATCAAATTTGTAAGGATCCACAAGCACGCCACTTGGATGTCACCTTTTGTATACCCCGACTCTAAGCTCGCATCATTTTCTAATACCTCCTTAATGAACCACAAGAGCTCATCCTGTTGTATGACCAACTGCCTCTTATTTTCATTGATTGCGGTAATGTTGACTATGATGTATAGAACTCCTTCAAAAGCCTTGGCTTGGTTGGAATCTGCAGGGTCCAGCATTTTCAGTTTGTGAGCTAGAAACTCAAACAGATAAGTAGAATTGGCATGACCGAGTCGTCTCGCTGATGAGCCCGATTGCTTAACATCCTCGAAATTTTCCAGCAAGATATTAACAACTTTGCGGGAATTGCATGTGAGATTTCTCAACAGTTGGAAGCATTGTTCTTGGACGAGCCAATTGCTGTTATTGACAAACTGGAGGATTGTCTCCATTGATATAACTGAAAGAAGCTCTAACTTTTCGTCATTGTGCGAATTGTACATCAAATGCCTCAACACCCACAAAGAATTTGTCTGGACTTCTGCAGTATAAGTTGGCATAACCTCCTTGGATACTGGCTCAGTAAGCACCGCAGCCTGGTCATTGAAAAGCGGACTTTTCAAAATCTTGTCTACTATAGTGATGATCCCATTCTCAACAATGAATGCTTGCAAATTCGAAAATTCTACAACAAAGTTAGAAAGAATACCGAGTGCTGCACTCATTACTTTAATTTCCGCGTTTACAAGTTGACTCCCTCGGAGCGCTTTATCTTCAGTCAAATAGAATATCTTTTTCACCAGATCAAGTAGCAGCTCTGCTAGTCTGTTGCGCTTCAGGAAAGTTCTCAGAGCGGTTACGCTTCTAGAAAATGATTTCAAAAGCATAACCCAGGCAAACGTACATTCTGAATCGAAGAGGGGTGGGATGTCTTTTCCAGATAAGGGTATCGAGTAACGCTCTTTGTGACTGATGAAGCTATCGATCAGCTGAAGATGGCACTCTAATCCTGATTCAGCGTGGTGGAGTAGTACTCTGTTAGTGAAAAGGCGTTTTCTGGTTAGTTCACTAAAGGCTGTCAGTGAGGCACAAAGCTTCACCAGTTTCGTTGTAATTTTCAGAGGTTCGGGGTCTCTGTTATCCAAAGACAAGCATCTTGCTAGTAATCGTATAACTGAATTCATTAGGTTTGTTTCGGAGAGAAATTCGGATACAGGATTAGAAAACTGCGAATTCTCATTGAAATGATCGATTAGGCTAGTGAGCGTGTCCAGCGGGTCGAACCACCACGGCAAATCGTCATAGTTGAGGGTTTCGCAAAGATGAGGCAGCCACACTAGCCACGATCTTTCCATCGCCTTCATTTCTGACTCATACAGATAAGGAAACACCATGAACTGGATGGAACAACATCGCAGACCCAGGCAATCGCTCTTTAGGAAACTGGCCATGAACGTATTGAAGTTTGCATCATTCCACAAGATAGCATTCTTTCTCGCTGTACCATCACAGACTGTTAGCATTTTAAGGTAGACGTTAACAGAAAGGTAACATAAGGACATGTCGTAAGGGTCGCGAATTTCCGTCGCGCTCGGGCTAGTGAGTAGTGATCTGGAGCGTTGCTTATGGCTTTCGCATGCACTAAATGGGTCATATGATGGTGATGACTTGCCATGGTTTGAATGGCTTATGATATATTTGAATTTGATTTGAGATCGGTATTTTTGAAATAGTTCCAAGAGAAGGGTTGTGGTTGCAGCAATGACATTCGGGTTAGGTTCCAACACAGGCAATTTCAAGATACAAGACAGTATCTCTGTTAAGATGGGCTTTTGCTTATCCATCTTTTGGTTCATGTTTTGTTTCTCAACATTTCGAGCAAGAGTCGTGCTCAACTCAACCTGCAGCGTAGAATTTGCCCTTAGGCAATTGTCATAAGAGTCAAAACAGGTGTTCAGTACCTGTGCCTTTTTCAAAATCGTCAAGGGAGAATCTGATGTACTGAATCTTATCCCTGCTACAACCGAATGGACGAAAGTCTCATATATCGAACCCCACCCTTCTTTTGTCGTTTGTCTCAAATTTAGCAAAATTTGCACCAAATCTAAAGCTTCGTTATTCAAACTTGGGCCCTTGCTTTTATTATCTTCCAGAAAAGGACTGAATGCCTTATCCATCACCTCCTCAACCAACTCGTATTGCTCCCGGAGTAGCCTCCATTTAGCCAAATCGTCACCAATCAGGCTACCCTTCAGTCTAAAAATATCCTCAAATAGCTCCGAGCAAGGCCTATTTTGATAATAAGGCATTGATGCAGTTTTCCGCGAGCCAAGTATTGTTTGGAGAGTACTCGGGCGATGAGACGTTAAGTTCAACCTTTCCTATTGATTAAATTGTTCCGGGGTTATTCCACTGATATTACCACAGCAGCACTATAAACGAACCATGAAGTCTCTCAAAACGTTACATGGTCGCATATAGCTCTTGGAAACGCTCTTTGGCATAGTCTTGGTTATGTGAGTTCTGATTATTTGGTATAGTTACCTCTTAGAGTCGTTGAGTTCAATTCAAGTTCTCTATAGCCCAATTTGTCAGTCCCTCTCTTCAAGCATACGTATTTGAAGCTTGAATTATTTAAGTTGGACAAGTTTTTGAATAGTGCCAAAAACAGGTAAGATTCTCTTTAGAAGCTAACAAGATGGATGCGACCTGGGCATGGTTAGAGTCATTTGGCTTAGTAGAGCACTACAATTTGGTAAAATCAGAGCTCGAAAGCGCGATACAAACGGCTCAACAGAGCGAAATGTCTAAAATATACACGGCAACAGCTCTTGGAGCCCTAGTCCTTTGGCTAGTGCTGAGGCCATCCACGAGAGCAAAAGGGAGAAAAGAGAAACGGGGGAAGGGTAAAAACAAGAAGAAGTCAGGCGCCGCTGAGAGAAAACCATTGACATTAGAAGAGCAGCTAGAGCTAGTTCAACAGAGGTACGTTAGCGAGTTTAAGAGTGATCTGGACCATTTGATCGAGAATTTCGATGCAGACTCCGAAAAACAGCAATATCAGCGCAATTATTTCAACGAAATGCTGCTGAAACTGGTCATTGAGTTGGATGGAGTTGACCTCGTAGATGTGGAAGGCGAGCGGAAAAAGGCATTGAAAATCAAACGGAAGCAGATCATCAAGGAAATTCAGTTTGATTTGAAACGACTTGACTCTCTAAAGAGGATCACATCATGATGCTCCGCCGTTTCCGGGCGCTCTCAAGGCACTACAGGAGAGCATATTTCTTCGTTTTAGTCTTTGGGCAATTATATACAGTACTTTTTAGCGGTAACGCGAAGTTTGAGGTGCTATCCAGGCGTTAGAGTCCACGTTTGTGTTCCTTTCGGTACGGTTTCCTTTAGTTCTGCTATGAACTAGCTGATCAAGTAGATGATCTATTTAGAGTGACTAAATAATAATGATAAGTACAACAAAGACAAACTACTATTTGATCCACTCTTTGAGAATAAAATGTTCACTGGCATTGTCGAGCTCATAGGTACTGTTTCCGACTACCAAGAATATGACGCTACCCATAGCGGTGGTGGAGGTGTTTCCGTTACCGTGACCAATGCCTCTGAAATCTTGGGCGACTGCCACATTGGTGACTCGATAGCTGTGAACGGGATATGTCTGACAGTAACAGAGTACTCGGACGACAGTTTCAAGGTTGGAATTTCCCCTGAGACGATTAGAAGAACAAATGTTTCTTCTTGGGAAACGGGCACCAAAGTCAATTTGGAAAGGGCCGTGGGTCAAGATGTCAGGTTCGGTGGCCACTACGTACAAGGACATATTGATGGTGTGGCCAGGATCACCAGCCGCGTCCCTGAAGCTAACTCTATAGTTTTTGGGTTTAAACTACGGGAAAAAGAGTTCGAAAAGTACATTGTGGAAAAGGGATTTATATGTATTGATGGTACCTCTTTGACTATCACCAAAATAGACGATGACGGTGTGTTTTATATCGCCATGATCAAGCATACTCAGGAAAAGGTAGTACTGCCTTCAAAGGCTATTGGGGATGAAGTCAATATTGAGGTTGATTTAACCGGAAAAGTCATTGAAAAACAAGTCGTCTTGCAACTGCAAGACCAGATCGAGAACGAGCAATCCCCCCTGACCAAACTTGTCGAGAAGCTAGTTGACCAAAAGCTGCAAAAATTGATTGGCAAATGAATGCTAATGGCGAAAATGACTGATGTTTATTATTCTAACTATGTATATGTTTACGGAAGCTGGAAAATCAGCGAAACACCTTCGTCACCAGCTGTTATCAGCTTCTTATTGTTGTCAATCAGCGCGAAATCCAAAATACCCATGTTATGACCGACGCACTTGTGGAGTTCTGATCCAGTCCTGGCGTCGAAAAGATACACTTTCCCATCAATGCATGCCACAGTCAATGTGTAGCCGGTGGGTCCGTCGAATTGCAGTTTGGTTACCGAGTCTGGCAGCACAAACTTATGCCTTACTCTCCAGGTTAATGTATCGTAAAGCAGTATGTCGCCGCATACCAGACCTATGGCCATCAATGACAATTTTGGCGACCAAGCAATGGATTCTATGGATGCATCCATTTCCTCTTGATCTTCTTTCAACTCAATGACGGTGCTCAATTGAAGAACGGCACCATTATTGCAATTGATGATGGCCAAAACACCATTATTGGCACCGCATGCGATTACAGGTGTATTTTTGGTCATAGAAATTGGCGCTATCGAAAGAGACACCCAAGGAGCTTCAATTCCCTTTATCTCGCTTTTTGACACCTTGAAAATTTGCTGGTTGGCATAACAGTTCCAGCCGATAATTGTACCATCAATCGAGCAGGTCACCAGGCACAGATTCGCGTCGCCTTGCTCGATGTTAATAAACTCACCCATCGTACAGTCAGCCTGGTGTGCAAACTGACTCATGATCTGCTCGAGCTCTCCGCTCTGTGAGTCAATCTGATAGCACCACGACGAACCATCGGTGGAGCCATAAGCGAAAACTCCAGTCACCGTAGGGTGAACTTTAATCCACACTACTTCGTCGACTTCCTGAAGTTTTGCGCACTCCTTCCATTTGGCGCCACCGCTGGCAGCCTTGTGTACGAGAATCTGTCCATTCATGTCAGCAGTGACCAGAAATTTTCCGTCTGGGGTAAATCCGCCACCAATGACCGATTCCGAGTGCGAAATTGATCCCGCAAGCTTTGGAGGCTGCGAGTGAGATGTCCATAGGTATGCAGTATTGTCACCTCCGCCACTGCACACCAACGGCAGCGTAGGGTGGGTGAAAACGGTGAACACTGAGTCCGTATGTTTGTCGAAATACGCCATTGAGTTGTTGGACATGTCGATTTCCAAACTTTCTTCCCCGCCATCTTCTCCCTCCATATTTTCCTCGACGTTTCCATCAACGTCTTCGTCGTCTTCCTCAACAGGGAAGTCTCCATCCTGGTCATTTTCGTCAACCCACACTTCTTGTTCAACCTCTTGATTCGAAATGAACTCTTCACTGGGAGCTTCACCGTCCATTGTCTGCTGGTGATCTTCGGGATACTCGGACATGATGAAGAAGTGGGAATAGCGAAGCTGTGAGATCCTTTTGCTTGAAGCCTAGTGAGGGTAGAATCTGTAGTTTGTAAGCTCATCTCATCTCATCATCGAATTTTTTTCAAAGTGCTAAAAGAAAAACTATATGTCATTTTGGTACAAAGTGACTTCTCTGGGCACCATTAAAATCAACACAGAATATTGTACCGGCGGAAATCGGACGTAATAGGAACTCTCTGGACTACCTCACAAGTCCTATCTCTCTGTCTGGCGCGGCAGGGCTTGAATACATTAGTATATGGAATCTGAGTCAAAATTAGGGTAAATGGGACACGTTGGAAGCGCAGAAAAGACAATGTTTGCCGCAGCCAGTTTTGACCAACACCAATCTTTTAAATAGCCTGGAATGCGCGTTAAGGAAGGTTGTTTTCGATATCATTTGTACAACATTCTGTGATCATTACTGACGAAGGGGTTATTTCTTTACAATATGCAGAAAATTTGAGCTCTTAAGCTACCGCAACAGTGACTTTCCACTAAGCCAAACCACCGACTTAGCCATACCAAACCAAGCGAAAACAATTATGAGCCAGTCAATGGGATTCAACTGGGGTTTCAAGCCTAGCAGCGAGTCACCTGCGGCAAGTGCGATCTCGCCATGCAAAATCACTAAGCCACGGGTGAAAAGACGGCTTGCACCAGAAGAAACCGCCTCAACGGCATCCACGACACCCACGTCGGCGACCAATCTCAAACCAGGAAGGCTGATAGCCAAACGTAGAACAGCACTGTCGGGTATTCAGGGCCAGCCTTTACCTCTGGCGCGTGCCGTTGAACTCATGGACAAGAACTTATTGCAGTCGACGCTATTGGAGTTGGTCAAACTGCATCCAGAAATACAAAGCACGTTTATGGCCCTGCAACCTCCTTCGCGCTCTCTGGACCAATACGTAAGCGTTTTGCGTACTAAGCTCGACCAAATTTACCACAATCTGCCATACTCGCGGCTGCGAGGATCTACTGTTTCCGGTGAGGACACGGAACAATTGAACGATTACGCATTTGTGCGAGTGAAATCCTGCGTTATGGAATTTCTGAACTGTCTCGTGGACTGTGTGCTGGAGAGCATTCCACCTCAGACCCACTCAGCATTGCATTCTCTCAAAGTTTTAGACGCTGCGACCGAACTTTTGAGCCAAGTACCAAACTTTTCCACGGCCAGTAACAACTATTACAAAAATGTATGTTACGAGCAACTGGCTGAGATTTGGTGCACCGTGATTCGTCAAGTTACGCAAGATATCACGTTTACAACCTCTCCTTCTGGCATTGTGGACTGGCATAATATTCTACAAAAACATAACGCAAACTCGCATGGCAAACTGCAAAAGCCCTGTCAGCTTTTGCAAACCTTTCAAGAACAGCTGGATCCTTCTCACATACAGGCAGCCCTTTCTCAGGATCAACAACACTCATCCAACTTGTGGAACAACTTAGTCTAGAATGAGATATAAGGTATATAGTAACGGAAACAATAGATCAACTGGTGATCCAAAACGGAGCTACTGGTCCATAAACGGGATGAGTTCATAATGGCCAGACAAAATGGATGTCTTACTATGAAGCGCCGTAGAATGTCCACACCCTGTACCCAATATTGTAAATCCTTACTGACTACTTAAAAGTGATTAGTGGTCCCAAATTGGTAGTAAAATATCAAGTATCAGTGTACCACACAGTCCATTACTACAAGGGCCGGGACCCATTCAGGCACAGCGGTCTTTACAACGAAATCGCTGAACAAATCAAGATGTAATCCTCTGGTACTCGTCGTTTGCAGTGCTGAATACATTGCTTGTACCTCGGAAAATCACCGACACCAGACAATTATCGTATACGTTATTCCGGCTCAAACGCTATTTCAGTTGTATCAATAGCGATCTTATCTCCTCGTTTACATCTTCTGCAGCGACCAAAATAATGGGTGGAGTGCAGCCTATTCATTATGATCCAGAAACAGTTAAAGAACTAACACGAGAGGTAAGTTAGTAATTAAGGTGCTAATAATCTATATCGTTCCCCGGCTCTGAGGTGTATCTTTCGTTTACTAACTGGAAGGCCTCTGTTTCTCTGCAGCTTTTTATTGCAAGTGGCATAGGTGCTTTGAGAGGTGCTGCGATCGGACTCACCACAGGACTTTTATTACGTCGATTCTCTACCGTTTACAGACATGTAAGAACGCAGGTCAGGGTCTTTTATCAGATATCGTGGATCTCCATGGGAGCCGTCTTCTATGCTGACAAGCAGCTTATCAAGTTTCAAAACCGATATTACGAGAAGGAAACAAAAAGGCGGTCCAGGATCCTGGATGAGGCTGCAGACAGAGGAATTTTTCTGGAAGACGACTCGGTGGTGACCAGCACCACATCATAAAATTCTTCTACGGACAAAAAAGGTACGAATCGGTATGGGCCTTTTCACGTCGCATAGGCTCCCTACCAGACTACCCAGCCCACTAGCCTATGTAACGTCAATATCATGATCTTCGCACTTTTGAGTATGATGAAGACAACCCAAATGCTCCAAAAGAGTAAGACGATGAAAACCTCCAAGACGCGGTATAGGAACAGCTGCACGGGCTCCTTGTTCATCCGCTTCAATGTCCCGAACTTGTCAATTTTCTCTTGTAGTTGCTTGAGTCGCAGCGTCAGTGTGGTGTTGATGTCACTGAGGACGCGATCAGTGGACGAAATCAGACTTTCGACCCGAATGGCATAGTCGTTCAGAAGTTTGGACTTCCAGGTGTCGCATTCTTCTAACGCCTCGGTCAACGCATTGCGGTACTCGTACAAAATCTTCTCAGCAGGACGACTAAACTCGACAAGATCCTCTACCATGAAAGCACGGGCTTTTTCAGCATTCTGCTCCTGTCGTCTTTGCAAAGTCCTTTGCCGATGCGCCATTACGGTCCAGGCGCACTGTTTGTATTTTAAATCATTGCACTGGTTCTGTAACAAAGAGGCTTCGGGATTGGGCCTGAAAGGTCCCTGAAGCTCCAAAAACTCGTATGATGCTTTGTTCGATTCGCTTGAGTTTAATGGAGCTGGTGAATTTATGGTTTTCATATTCTTTATCGGGACTTCAGATAAATTTCCAGAGTGGCCTGAAATTTCTACAGGCGTCGTGTAGGCTTGGTTGCTGTGGCTTCGCGAATGTCGTCCTCTCGTGTGTATATTTGGTTCATAAATGATGTGCTGCTGACTACTTGACTTACTTTGCAAGGTTGAACGTGAAAGTCTCTTGGTCTTGTTCAGTGCCCTTTCCCAGCCTCGCGGCGTCTCGTTTGTAGGCTCGAGGTCCACACTATCAACAGAGATGAGAGGAAGCTCCCAACTGGGCGACCTATAATGACCAACGGCCAAACTGGATCCTACCATCATTTGGTCAGAGCCTCGGTGACTTCTGTAGAAGTGGTTCGAATGCGAGCGTGCTGGTACCGTGTCAGACTGTGACCTGGCCTTGTGCTCTTTTTCAAACCATCGGCTTCCATCAGGTTTGCGCAATTTATCCCAATTTGAGATCCGCCAAGCCAAATCTCCGGACTTCTCGTTAATGTCAACGAACCAAGGAAAATCCCTATCGGGAGACTTCGAGAAATCCCGAATCGCCACTATTGGCGGCTTCATGAATGCTATTTCATTTCCAATTTGATGATGAAGTTTTTTCTTTATCTTCCGGTTCCGTATCAACTGCAGCGGGTTGTAGACTCCCTCTACGCCTCTATATGGCGAGTAGTCCTGCCTACTGTCCAATTCCTTCTCAATCAAATGGTAAAACAACTGGATGTACGACCTAACTCTATCTGCTCTCACTTTGCTGCCTTTGGATACTGTTTTCAGCGGTCTTTGTCCGTCCTCGTAGCCCACCTGGCGTAAACCATACCCGTTTTCCCTCGCTTCTCTGATGTTATCCACATTCAAATCCTCTAAGAGGCTAGATTTGGCGTCAGCTAAAAACCTTGCGGTCTCCAACAGCTTTGCTGAATCTAGATGGCTTGCTGGGCTGTTTTCAGAGCCATTGGCCTTTGTCATATTCTGCCAAGAATACGAAGCAGTATCTCGATGTTCTGCTTGAAGACAATATATGAATAAATATATATAAGTCATTATCAATCAAGATCTGCTGCAGAATTTAATATTCATCGTTAATCATCTAGTTAAGAGCAATGCCATGTTATTTTGCCATCATAGGGGCGAAGGATAATCCTATTTACGAAGCTGAGTTTACCAATCCTCAACTAAACCAGTTTCCACCAGAATTGAAAGAGCTGAACCCATTCATCCTCCATGCTTCACTAGACATCTTAGAAGACCTACAGTGGCAAGCTCACCCGCAGTCTGGCGCTAGCACAGGAACCAGCGGTGGCTTCTTGCGCTCCAGAAGCTCTGCGAATAATAGCAACTGCTATTTGGGCAAAATTGATCACTTCTACGGACTAGCAATTACAGGGTATTTATCCTACGGCAACATGAAATTTGTAATGATTCATAGCGGCAATACTAACTCCGGGCTACCAGTTACAATAGAAGACGGTCCCGTCAAAAGTTTTTACCAAGAAGTCCACGAGCTTTACATCAAGACTCTGATGAACCCGTTTTACAAGCTGAATGAGCCTATTACCAGTCCTGTATTCGACAGTAAAGTGCGAACACTGGCTAAGAGGTACCTAACAAAATAGCACGGCGGAAAGAATCAACAAGTCACGGAAAGACGAACAAAAAGATCACGTATATGTGAATATGTATATGATATTATTATTACACGGATAAATTGAAGCTTAGGGATTATGACTTTGATTGGTCAATGACCTGCTGAGACCCAGCAACAGATCTTTGGTACTTGTCCGCGCCGAGGGCCGTCCTGCGCCTTGGCATAGAAAAGTATTCTCATTAATAGTGTTGGACATGATCTGCAGCTTTCGCCGCACGCTATCAGTTAAAAGCTGCGAGTTGGAATGCAGAAAATGGGATATAGCGTGAAACTGGGCCATCCGTGACTGTAGTTTCCCTTCCAGCTCTGCCAATGGATCGGTGACCTCACCCGCTACAGGGCTAGGTGTTGATGATGTGAGTTTTGTCTTCAAAGAGCTGATCTCATTGCCCAGCCTATGCCACTCAGTGACACCTTCAGGCTCGTCCAACTCATGTATCCAATCTTTAATTTCTTCATCAAGCGTATTGATCTGCATCTGTAGAACTTCCATGTTCTTCGCGTTCTGTATATTTTTCTCATTAGGTACTTTGATGGACGGCTTTCGGTTTCCTTTCATTCCCTTTCTGCGAGCTCTTTTTCTATCACGGATATTGTTATCATCATCATTATCGTCATCGTCATCATCATCATCGTCCTCAAAGAGCTCGCGTAACTCTGTATCCTCTTCTTGATACTGACTGTGATCTTCTTGTGCACCTTCGCGAGATTCTTCAGCATCCCAGCTGACTTCTGCCTTCCCCTTTCGCAGTTCGTCTACGAACTCTTTGATAATAACCAGTGCAATTCTTTTGGGATTAACGTAGGCTTCGCCATCATTACTTGCATCAGGTTTGTCCAATTGACCATCCTTCGTTTCCCATTTCCTCAAACACCTAATGAAGCACCAACTGAAGAGCTGTCGTATTTGTAAGTCTTGGCCAAATGACGTGTTTGCGATATGTCTATAAAAATCATCTTCTGGTACATCTTTGTGAGGCGAAATGATATGACTATTATCCTGCGTCGATAAAATTGATAATCTACGACCTCTTTGAGCCATTAAGGTAGATCTTCTTTCCCTGCGCTGATGACTTTTCTTGGCCACTGTGCTCTGCACATCATTATAATAGTTATAGGCCGAGTAATTAGGGTAAAGTGGAGGCGCGGGCATTAGTCGGTTGCTAGAGGCATGCATAGGTGGAAGGAAAGGTTGGGTAGACGTGTTTGGATATGCTTGGGAAGAATTCACGTATTGTACAAGTTCTTGGTCGGAAGGTCTAGTCGGCGATGTCGACATATGAGGCACCATGGGTGGAGCATATGGATAGTAATACATATATGGCATGTAAGGGGGAGCCTGTATCGGCAGCATTGGCTCGGGTTGTTGGCGCTGCTTTTGAGAATCCTGAGAGTCATCTCGTTGAGAATTCCGCGGTAGCCGATCCAAATTGTTTGCAGATGAGTTGAAGTTCTCCATCCAGCGTGCATTTTGTAGCTCCTGGATATTGTCAAGCCTTTCACCAAGACTGGCAACCCCCGTGTTGTTGCGGCGTTTGTGTCGTTTAAATTTGAAATCATCGTCGCGTTCAAAACTGGAGTGCGGCGGTCTTCGCTGATACTCATCACGCTCACCCTCCAAGGCGTCCTCTTCTTGCGTAGTTCTCACAGTCTCGTGTGGTTTCAGATCTTCTGGAACTGGCAACGTTTGCATCTTAAGACCACTATGTCGCCGCTGCGAGCCTCGTTGACTTTGGGGCGTCAAAGAACGCACGCTTTCGCGATCGCGATTCATTGTGTTAAATCCAATATAGCGGTTGCTCAGAGTAGCAGGAGACGCTAAAGCCTTGTTCACTTTGGACCAATGTTGGTGGTGATGATTTCGTGTAAAGTAAACAAACATCCGGGAATATTCTTGAGTGATGCCAATTAATAACATTATTCGTGAATGGTGATTTTGAAAGTGCTTTCGGATGGTAGACCGCTCTTGATAGGAGATCATGAACAAAGTCAAATGCCCTAGTCGCGCAGACAATCCCGCTAGTGTTAAGCGTACAAGATCTCTTTTATTTCCTAATGTCCACGCAATGACCTTCAAAAAAAAAAATACCCCAGTCCTTTTTTTTTTTAAGCTCTAGCCTAAAACCTCTTTCTCCCATTGTTCCAGCAATTGTGAGCATTTTTTATAATCCAGCTCGAGCTGCGATTCATCGTTTTCGTCTGGAATCTGGGTCAGTAGCCACTTTTCACGAATTGTGCGAGTCATCACCATCAAGTCCTGAATTCCCCTAATCAATTGCGCCGTTTGGGCGTTTACTAGCATCAGCCCCGAGGTAGACGTTCTCGCAGCGGACTCTGGCGTGTTGTAGTTCCCATGCTCGTCCTCGTCTCCTTCCTTCGAAATCGACGAATTTTTCACCAGGTTGGCGAGCGAGCGTGACAAAGTATCCGTAATTCGATTCAACTGTTCCAAAAGACCCCTATCGCTCATATTGGGTGAGTTTCTTCGTGACAACCGGTGTCTGTGTCGATTATTGTGGTTGAATGTGTACCACGTATATGCTAATTTTTATTATGTATGTCTTCACAGTTCACGTGAACTTGAGAGGAGAACTTTACTATGACATCTCTTGCCTTCTTACTAAAGTGACAGTTGTCGCTATGCCACTTGAGATCTTATATTGGCTAATTGCCGGTGCTTCCGAACCCTCCGGCACCCCTAGCACTTTCCTCTAGCGAGTCGACGACAACGATTTCTGCGTCATCGACAATCTTTTCTAGCACCAACTGGGCGACGCGGTCGCCCTTTTCGATGCAAAAGTCCTTTTCAGAGTGGTTGAAGAGCACGATTTTGACTTCGCCTGTGTAGTCCCTGTCGATAACACCTGCACCGGTGTTGATACCATGTTTCACGGCAAGGCCGGATCTCGGCGCAATGCGGCCGTATGTTCCAACAGGCACGGTGAAGGATACGTCGGTGGGGACCAAGCCCTGCCCTCTGGCTGGAATAACAGTGGTTTTGGAAGCGTAGATGTCATACCCAGCGGCATTGACAGAGCCTTTCGTTGGGACCGTAGCGTCTTTTGACCTTAGCTGGATCTTCAAAGCATTGTTTAGTTTTTGCTGTTTCGTACAAGGCTGTTCAGGAATACTCATCTCTTTGATTTGATTGAAACACAGGAGAGACTTTTAAGAAAGGTAGACAGTGATTTGATTGCTTCCTTCTTGTAGATGTGCATACATAATATATATAGACATATATTTCTGTCAAAATCATGACGCGTAAATGAAATAGAATTTTACGCGTCACTTTCCTCCGCGAGCTCGCTCGCAGGCATAGTACTCTCGGATCAAATCAAAGATGTAAGAATAAGGTTTGTAAATGGAAATACACATGCAAATCCATCGCCAGCTACTCAGCACTCAACGCCCTACTTCACAAGACGATGCAGATGCGATGTCACTTGTGCAAAACTACCAAATCTACTTCTCTTTCTTTTTCTTCAATTCAGTTAAAGCGCAAGTGGTTTAGTGGTAAAATCCAACGTTGCCATCGTTGGGCCCCCGGTTCGATTCCGGGCTTGCGCAATTTTTTTGAAGTCTATAATACCTCCCTGGTCAGGTTGTGTGTGATCAGGTTGTCTGGAAAACCAAGTGCTACATTTTAGACTAGTATGGCTTATCTTCTATTTAGAGACTTAAAACCAGCAAAATTTTGCATTGTTGACCCATAAGATTTTTTCAGGGGCCACATTAGCTATTCTTATAGCACTTCTGGAGGGATTTTCTTGGTACAAATTGGAGGGCTCCTCCGCCTGTTGCAAGAAGCCTAGGAATGGTTTAGCCCATTCTTGTTGTCCCAGCTCCGTGTCCCAAAATTGTAGAGACTTGACATTGTGTTCCTTAGCCTCGTGGACGGCCTGCGCCAAAAGTTTTTTCAAGTCTTTCTCCTGGTCTTCTGCATTTTCTGTATCTTCATTGATCTGCAGCTTCAATATATAAAGCGATCTTTCGTGGGGCCAGTAATTTAGGTGCCACACGATGTGACTGCCATTGGCTAAAGCATAACCAAATCGAGCGGTACTGCCAGGATCAAGAAATTTCTTTTGATACAGTGATCTTTCGTGAAACAATTTGAAGTTGTCATTAGATGGCTCAAGTGCAAACTTGAAGGAATCCGGGTTTCTTGCATGCTGCTCTTTCAAGCTCTTGAGAGAGCTGCGCTTTTCAAATTCTTCAAGTTCCCGACAACCATCAAACCCTATATCTCTATCATTAGGCCCAACCTGCAAGCCACCGCAGTACGAATCGAGGACTGCATCCAAGTTTTTCACGCTATGCAAAGGTACAGGACGTGAAACGTAGCCAAACTTGCTATAGTATTCGCCGACTTCGCTGTACAGAAAGATCACAATGTTCTTTAAAAAGCCTGAATTTCCGGCAGTACTTGAGAGGCCGTCAAAGAATTGATTCAGCCTCGTTATCATTTCAGCCGCATATTTCTTGCCTCGATGTTCAGGAATCGTGAAAACACCCCCGATACACGCAGTCAAGACAGGCACAGCTTCCCCCTGGGAATGTGGCGTGATACTCCAGCCTACGCGGTTCAAAGTCTCGCAACTCGAAACAATTTGCGATGTCTTCGAAGAAGCTGGGAGATTGAGGTCTCTTAAAACGTAATACTTGATACCTAAGTGTTCGCTTGCTTCGGCAAATCGTTTTTGCATTTCGACATCTTTGTGTTTAGTTGAAATGTCGGTGCTCCCTAAAATCCGTTCACGAATGGCATAATCCTCACGGCTCATGAACTCAGGCTGCCACGATGATGCATTTGCCAAATGCGTAAAACGAATTATTTCTGGATCTGTTACCTGCTCGAACACTAGATTATCGTTGTTCGATATCATCTTCCTTGTTCGCCAATTAATCTGGAAACTCCAAAGTTCAGAGCAAGAATGGTCTTGTTGTCAAAAACTTCGATTGAATTTTGTCTATGCTGCCTCGGAAGGTAAGGACCAAAAGCACTGCCCTTTTATATATCTTACCAATTGTTTGAGATTATTGGTACTTCAGACCGCGCTTAGAAAAATCCACCGCTTACGCGGTATGAGTCACATGCTTAGTTCAAAATGATTTGGCCAGCTGACAGCGACAGCAGTAACGGATGAGTCGTGGTTTCGCTATAAAGTATGGAAGGCTGGACGTGCTGTGAGCTTCTTTTAGCAGTTGAAGCTTGGAATAAACCAAGGATTGGGCCAAAAATCGTTGATCGGGTCCTACTTCATAGCTTTCGACGTAAGCGATATTCATTAACATTGTGGATTTGTGTCAAAGGTATTTTGCTGTAGTTTTTTTTGGTGATAGCAGGCAACTCCTCGGGGTGCATATAACTCACTTTTTGTACCACAGCGCTTATGACTGCTTTTAGACTTTCTTTGAGAGCTATGTTGCACAGCTTGAGGGTTTCTCCCTTGCTAGCAAAATATTTTATCAATTCTTTTAACAAGCTTTGCGGCCTGCCGCCTGCCTTCTCTATAATACCTTCTAAGTCCCTGTTCGAAATTTTCAAACCTTTCACTTTCAAATAGCCGCCGACTTGCGAGCATAGGCGTTTTTTTGAGATTTCCTCTAAGCCCATCGTACTTTCAACCATGATGGACAACTTGCTCCTACGCTCTGAGAAAACAGAGATTGTTCCACGGAAAAAGTGGCGGTAGTCCTGCAAAGTTAACCCTTCAAGAAACTTCGCATCCAAAGGCTCATCTTCCACCTCAAAATTATACCTGCGAGTCGATATTTGAGAAAACATTCTTTTATGGTCGAGCATCTCTTTTCCCTGTTCTGATAAATTACCACTCTGAACGCTGGCCTTAATTTGTGCAGAGATATCTGAGGGCCCTGAAGAGCTTTGCGATTTAATACCAGCGCTACCTTGGGAAATTCTGCAGAATTTTCTCAAAAAAGAGTCTTGAAATTCATTTTCAGACATGTTTTGAAGGACATCGAGCTCCAAGTGTGTGAGGTATTCGTCAATTTGCACTTCCAAGTGCTCCGGCGTAGCGTCTGACATGCATGTTACATGTATTCCTACGGTGGTGGAGAGTAGTCGCATGCCCCCGAAAACGACATAGCCAATCTGTCTCTTGATCCGCAAATCTGGAACAAGAGTCAACGACATTAGAAATGCGGTGAAGCTCGTTAAAGCAAATATGTGCGCATTATCTCGAGCACCTGTTTGTATGAAATAGACTATGCAATTATTGGGATCTTCCAAAGGCCCCTGTTTTTTAATAAAAGCGTTGGTTCCTTGATCTAACACTGTGCTTGCTGGTTCGGCGATGATGTACTCGTTTTTTGGAGTGGACTGAGAAACCAATTGCAACATCAGCCAGTCTTTTATAGCATCCGCGTAATCAAGGTCGCCTTGTATTAACAAATTCAAATAGACTGGCCCTCCCAAGTATTGAGAGCAGATTAATAGAAACGAGCTTAAATCAATTTCTTCCAAAGCCTCTAATCGGTCTTCCATCGGCCACATGCATTCCTCCAAAACTACCAGAAGCCCTAACGTAGCAAGTACAGTGCAGTTTCCAGATGCTGCACGCTCATACTTGTTCCTAACCGCTACTCTAGCCTGTCGGAAAAGTGCGGGTGATATCCTATCACCATATGCTAGATCCTTGATCGTATCCGTGATTAGTCTAATAATGGTATAAACACCTTCAGGAAACCCCGTGATAGTGAATCCTAGTCTTACATCGCCTTTAACAGAGGGGAAAATCTCGTAAGTAAATCCGATCTTTTCAGATGGATAGAGAGCCCCAGATAAAGTTGCGGACAACAGCTCTCCAAGTATTTCGAGACTTATTGTGTGATACGGTGAAGCGTGGAGCATCCTGCTTATAACCTCGAAACTGACCATAGACTTGGATTTGAAGGATAAATTGAACTCCTCCTCCTTTACCCACATTTCACAATGCCGGTTTTTACATACCAGCCGCGGTATGCCTGCTACAAGATTTTCATGAGTTACAAATGACAATGCTGCATCTTGTGCCCTAGCTGATGAAACTTCCAAGGCTCTTTTAATCACCTCCAGTTTCCTGCCCACTGACGGCAAGAAGCAGTCATAATTTGGGATGTGAAACGGAAAGTCAGGTAAATTGGCTTGCTGATCAAGATATGCGAAATCCAACAAGCCCTTAAAATACTCAAACTCATAATATGGATCATAACTCAATATAAGTGGATTCGAAAGTGGATCCAATAGACCAGAAGCTCCTTGGTCTCCCAGTATAATGATTCGCATATTTTGGCGGTTGACAAAGTCGCTGATAAAATTCTGGAACATAATAGCCTGTCCAGTCCACCAAACTATACTTTCTGAAGAGTCGTGATATGATCCTAAATTCGTTGATGGGTCGTTACACTCCGGCAGGGGACATCCCTTCAACAAGCACTTAGGGTCTAGGGCCTCCAGATCTGATAGCATTCGAGTACTGTATTCAGCACACATTTCCATTGACGAAGTTTCACGGCTCTGATAAAGAAATTTCAGCATATCAATGGCGTTGAGGTCACTCAGATACATGGCGAGGTTTCTTGTCTGATCATGAATGAACTTTGGGATGTATTGGTCAAAAATAGTTTGCAAGATCTTATGAGCGTCACGCGATCCGTCTCGGGTCAAAGACAACTCTAGTACTAGTCCATCCTCCCCACTACAGTAACTTGGGCATGAAGAGGTTATACTGGTGACAAGATTTAGCTTCCTGAGGCAATCTGCCAGTGATCCGACACTCTCATCGCCGAATATATCGCACCAGTTCTTGGAAAAGATTGCCAGATTATTGACAGAAAATCTGGCGTACTTGTGGTTTATCGGGAAAATAAGTCTCATTGTTGGACCTTTAGAAGCTTTTATAAGCAGGAAGTTTGCCGCTGAATCAAATATTTTAGAGCCTTGATATTTTGGAAGCCACACTCTTTTCAAGATCTTAGATCGTAATTGAGAAGTAGTGCCCACAACTTCCGATGATCTTGAAGAACTTCCTCTCCCTTTTGCACTCAGATTTGAAGCGCAGCTGTGTCTATGTTCCCCGGATATGCCACCAAAAAATTGGATTGCAAGTTTTGTGAGTAGGTTTAAAGATTGTGAGCTTTTGATGCAGATTGCCATATTCGAAGGCCTATAAAATTCGTTGAAGTACGCCATTAAGGAGTTCTTTAAGCTGAGCTTGCGAAGTTTCGGAAGATTGCATAAAGTTTCGAAGTTCCCTGTACAAAATCGACTGAAAGGATGCGACTTTGATGCTAATAGCCTAGTTGCATGATATAACTGCTTATTCTGTGACGCTTTATTTGCGCCATGCTCACTCTCAATTGTGTATATCTCTTTAGTGATTGTTGTCTCGGTAAACACAGGATTTTTGAGAGAAGAAGAGAGAATTTCCAGGACCCTCTCAAATACTAATTCGCCCTTATCACTGGAAACAGGAAGCTCAAAGTAATAAGTAGTGTTCTCACCCGATGTGTAGGCATTGTGAGAGCCCCCGTTTTGAACTATAGTCTCGTGGTATTGATGCCGTTTAGGAAATTCTTTGGAACCTGAAGCTAGAATTGCATGTTCGCACAGATGGGCCAGTCCAGCAATATCATTCGGGTCGTTGTGAGATCCTGAGGCCACAGATAAGCTGAAGGAAGCAATTGTTTCTGCCGGATCAGATATCACTAGCGCCATGATACCATTGTCGAGCTGGCAAATTTTGAAACTGCGATTGGAACATGAGATTGGCGTGTTGAGCGCAATGTCAAAGTTTTTAACCATCGCAAAAGGACATCTGGCGAGTATGGACGAGGATGACTGTGTTCTCGTGGCCTTGTAACTGGAATATATATCTCCTGCAAGGTACTCACCCTCATTCGTTTTTGAGGTTCATTCACGCTGCGAGGCCAATCAGCGAAAGCTCGGCAGCAGAGTATCCTTCAGAAATAATTTGAGGAGCACCTTTTGCAATCTGATAAACGCTGTGGCATCCCTGATCCTTAGCGAAGCGTTCTGATGGTGTCAACAACGTTGACGTAAATTGTGTATGAAGAGACTCTTTTCTTCCCCATCGCTATCGATGGGGCAAAAAATTCTCCCGGGGGCGATTCGAACGCCCGATATCAAGATTTCGTGATAAATTACAGTCTTGCGCCTTAAACCAACTTGGCCACCGAGAGGTTGTTGTTAATGCCCTCAGTTTAGTTTAGTACCATAGCACTTCTAAAGCACCTGACTTGTAGCTGGGCGGCTATTTGCTGGCTCTGCCCCTTGTTAGTCCTCAAGTGTTTCTCACCGTCTGCAAAAGCCATGCAGCCCCCTTCTAGCAATCTTGACTATCGAGCCTTACCTGAGATGCTGGAGCGTTCACTCATGTCCCCGCTTCCCACGTCTCATAATCTTTCCAGCCAAAGTTGTTCTCGGGAACCATCTCTCCGCCATTACGCCTTGTTTTCATCCCAATGTTTTCATTCCAATTCGTTTCACTTCCCTCAATACAGCTCACTGATCAGCATTAAAGGAATCGTGGCTCGTCAATTTATCCTTCTCCACTCCCATCTTGCCAATCGCGAAACGCGTTAACAATAATCAAGAAGGCTGTCCTTTTAATTATCGTTTAGTTTACTTGTTGATAGAAAAAATACTTTCGTATACTGTTACAGGGACCAAAATGTCAAAAACACGTCTGAGACGCGTCGAGCGTAAAAATCGCGAAAGTTGTGAGGCCGCGAATGGTGGTTTGGTCCGTCTTTTGTATCGGAAGCGGCATTGAAGGACTCATTTGCGCCGGCAGCTAGAGCTCAGAACGCAGTTCCGGAGAAAAAAAGCGTGAAACTGCTAATAGGGCAAAGAAAAGCGGTAGGAGAACAGAGTGCACGCTGCCAAATTCGAATTAAGTACGCGTGTACTGGAGACGGCTTTTTGGCGAGGACAGGTTGAAGATTGGTATTTAAAGTTGGAGGGTTTAGAGCGATCCTAACGTATAGCAAGGAGACTAGTCCGTGGAACAGGCTAATTGACGGCTTCACAATGGGCGAAGTGGGCAGAAGTCGCAGCTACAACAACGCCATCACGGACGAGAACGCCATGGCAGACGCCAGGAAACGGCTTAGGAGGAATAAGACCATCGCAGGTGCCTCGTCAGGCACTCAACGCAAAGAGTTGGCGGAAATGAAAAACTGGCAGACACAACAATCGCAGGACGATTCGGCATTGGAGACGTCGACGCAGGAAATACGACCAAAGCTTCGTCGGACGTCTTCGTCGCAAGAGGGCAAGCCCAACAAGAAAAAACAGAAAATATACAGGAGCGATGATGAGTATAGCGATTCTAGGAGTGACTCGGTAGAAGTCGAGTTCCCAGCCACATCAGCTTCGACCTCACCGGCTGCCGCAACGTGGAAGGACCTTGACGTCGATGAAAAGGATGACGTGAGCATGGTAGTAGAATACACAAACGAAATCTTCGGGCACCTTTACAACCGCGAAACACAAACAACCCCAACATACAACTATCTTCTGAGATCCGATTCCCCTCAGCATCTAAGACCTTCCCTTAGAGCAATTCTGATTGATTGGCTTGTGGAAGTCCATCAAAAATTTCAATTACTACCAGAGACGCTGTATCTCGCGATCAACGTCATGGACAGGTTTATGTCCATGCGCAAGGTGTCAATGGCTAAACTACAGCTATTGGCGGTGAGTAGTTTACTAATAGCGGCGAAATTTGAGGAGGTCAATTTGCCTAAACTATCACAGTATGCATATATCACAGATGGTGCTTGCAGCACCCAAGATATCAAAGACGCGGAAATGTACGTGCTAACAACCTTGAAATTCAATATCGGTTGGCCTAATCCTTTGAATTTCTTGCGCAGAATATCCAAAGCTGACGGGTACGATAATAGAGCCAGAAACGTCGCCAAATTTTTCATGGAATACGCAATGTGTTGCCCGAAGTTTGTGAACGTGATACCGTCTAGGTGTAGCGCAGTGGCTATGTACTGCTCACGAGCGTCTTTGGACAAAACCTTAAGGTGGGACGAAACCCTCAAGCATTACAGTGGAGGAATCGATCCTTTGAGTGACAAGGATTTCCAAACTCTATGTTGTCAGTTGATCCAGGAAATTGGAAGTCCTACTACTCAACTAAAAGCATTAGAGCTTAAGTACAAAAGCAAATCAGCTGATAGCGTTTTCGAACCCGCCAAAGTTTGGTGCGATTTGATGGTTGCAGCCGATTATAAGGATTTGTTCTAATAGTAATTATTAATGTCATTAGCATAACGAAAAGAGTTCATAAAGCATTTCGATCATTCATATCTCAAAAGCCATCTTATTCTGCTCAAAATTACCTTTCAAATGATTTGTTTATTTGGAAATCCCTCCCTTTAAATTAAACTAGGCTATTATTCGCGGCTATGCTAAATTACAATTAAGATTTTTGAAAGAATTGAGACTACGGAATCCCAACGCAGAACTGAATTAAGGTAGGTTTCGATCATAAAATTTGCCAACCTTGATATGCTTTTTTTTTTGACTTACCGCTTTCGATTTCGGTTTAGAAATTGTTAAATCAAAGGCATTCCTTTCATTCGGAAGTCTCATGCAATGTCATGATGTCGTAACCGTGTGCGACCACTTTCTTCGCCCATTGTCTCGAGATAACTGATGCCTTCATGAATTTTCTGGATGCGTACTTTTTGAAAAATTCATCATGAACAACTGGCTGGACCAAATAATCCATAACCATGTTACAGACCGGTGCCAGTTCCTCCCTTGTATAACCCCCACTGTAATGTATTAGATTACCATCCCATTTTCCCTTACCTAGCATTTTCCTTGATAAAAACATTGCTGTGGCGCCACATAATGATGGTAAAACCCCGATGAACCTGAAGTCCACGATAGATATTTCTAGCAGATACTTTGCAAGCGTTCGCGATTGTATGTCGTAATCGTCTGCTTTTGATATTCTTCTCAAGAAGTTCATAGGGTTGGGGTAATTGAGATTGAACTCTAGTGTCTTCAAAATGAATTTTTCGCCTTCCCTGATTTCGTCTTCATCACAAGCACCGTCTGTCTCATATGCAAAATGTTTGACACTTGGCGAGTAAACTTCCTCGTATTTAGAGGCAATGAAAAGGCATGCGGTGCCCACAAGCTGTAGTTTCTCCAACTGTACCAACTCTTTGCACAGAAACCTATCCATGATGTTCAAGGATAAGTACAGCGTTTCTGGGAGCAGTCCAAACTTATTGTGCACTTTAACCATCCAGTTGACGAGGATGTCTCGATTTTGACGAATATTACTGTGCTTGTAGAGGTCATGTCTATTTGGCAGTGTCATTATTTCCAGCTTGTGAAGGTACTCAAAGATATCTGTAACATATTCACTCACCATGAAAGGATCGTTGACATCTTCAGCATCCAAATCCTCCCATTCGTACTCGGTTCCTTTAGCGCACACTTTGAACTTCTTAGGCTCTTCTTGTTCAACTACGGTGGAAATTGGTCTTTTCTTGCTGACGTCAGTAACAGCTTCCATTTCGTGGGAGTGAACTTCAGATTGGTCTTGGTCTGGTAGTAAGCTACCTTGGTGAACCTCTGTCTGCATTACACTACTGTAGTCAGAATCTTTGAGCATTGTCTGGTTCTCAGTATAATTAATGACTTCATTTGAACTCGAAAGCGATTGACTCTGAGTTGTCTGTTGCTCTTCTTCGATACTGGAAAGCTTGGAGCTGAATGGGTCTACATTCTCTTTATCCAGTTCAGATATGATTGGTTTTGGCAATGCTGCCGGTCCACTAATGCTCGTGTTTTGTGTGGAACTTGTGGTATCCGTGAGGGTGGATGAGGTTTCCTGGCCTGCATTTTCTCGTCTCACCTGTGGAATGAGAGATCCGGCGGCTTTAGCGTTCTGAAGCCTCGACCTTGCTGTACGTAAAGCTTTGCCTAACGACCGCGCACCAGAATTGGCAGCTTTGGCCTCTTGTGCAATCGTGGTGTTAGTGACATTATTCAATGCCGCACGAGTAGACTTCAGCGTTCTGGGTCTGGGATCCAGAGAGTTCTCATTGGGCACAAACGACATGTCAGAAACTTGGGGTGGGAAGTAAAAGGGCTGTCAAGCGTCAGACTCGGTTTGGGAGGCTACTTCCTAGTGCACCAAATCAAAAATCTGATGGTACTGGTAGTGCTGATGGTATTTCCGGGAAGCGCGGATCCTCCAATAGAGTGCCAATGTGACTTAACCGACAATGAACGCTACTAAGTGAAATGAGAGTCTGTTGCCGAGGGAAGCCGTCTCTGTCCTTCTCTCTATGTGTGCAATACCGGGAAGAGAGTTCACAAAATTCCTTATATGTATCTTGAAAAATGAGCACAGCCAGGTACAAGTGTTTTGAGGCTGCCGCTTAAGTTTGCTTGCTCTGTGAATAGGACTCAATGTGTTTCCGTTTTGCCTGAATCGGATGCTGCGCCCAACTTAGTAGGTCTTGATCCGCTACAATCCAGTCAGCACACTCGTCTTGGCTTATCTGCAGGACTGATTGTGAGATTTCCACAAGAGGAACAGAAGTGGCAGAAAAGGCTAGGGCTTCTTTGCTTCTTTGCTTCTTACAGCTTTTTTCTCCCCTTCAGGCCCTTCCGTTTCTAGGTTGGCCTGCTCGTGTGTATGCGTGTGAGTTTGATCTTGTGTTTGGATCTTTCCAGCTTGGGTACATACACGACCCGATTTGGGCTACTTGTAGGACCTCGAGCTTTTGTTGATATTTACCAATTTCCCTAATAGGCAGCCGCGATGGTCCCTCGTTCCCAATGATCTTGTTCTTAACCCGACGAGGAGATGTACTCTACATCATTTGATGTCCAATTACAACCCAAACATGCTTGCCCTGTTGAATATTTATTAAACGGACGGTGCATGGCTGGCAGAAAGGACCCTGAAGAAAGTAGGCATTTAACCGTGATCCTAGATCTTTCGAGAGCCCAAGGTCATGAGCGGGACGTCCAAGACTAGTTTTGAAAAGTTTGTATCACTCAAGAGCCTCCTTCTGTATTGATTGCTCATGATTCGAGGTTAGGCGTAACCACCAACGAAATAAAGAACGGATCTTGTGATTTTGAAGTATCTCGGTTGGTGGATATGATGTGTCATTTACCCTTGGTGCTCTGAGAACTCGTCCTTGTTAGCTCAGTTGGTAGAGCGTTCGGCTTTTAAGCATTGCTCGCAAGGAACCGAAATGTCAGGGGTTCGAGCCCCCTATGAGGAGTTCTTTTTTTTGAGCTGCATCCTCAAAGATAGTAATTCAACGCACACTTTTTGCAAGTGGACGGAAGAATGTGCTCTCTCTCATCTGATCGGTAGTTTCTGATAAGTCACTACGTGAATGTTAGTTGGTAGTTGTGCTCAGTGCCAGAGCCGCCAAGGTTCTGAATAAGTTTCGAGTATGATTAAGGTACTTTACTCGAGACATAGCTTCTTATCCAAACTCGAGTAACTAACGGTAAAGGCCTCTCTATCCTTTTATGTCCTGGGGCCCCAGTAACCAATTGGCACTGACGATATGAGAGTTAATATAAGTAACGGTTTTAAAAGCAGTCGTGCTGTCTTCGTTTGTCACGATCTGGGACTTAGAGGTATTATTGTTTATGTCTTGATAGACTACAATAACAATAATTAAATGCATTGGACCCCAGCAAGTTTTTGTAAATGAATGTTGTAAAAAGAATGCTTCTGCTGCAAATGCAGCCGTCATGGATATGCATGATGCTTTGTAATTCTTGTGTGTATCTAATTAAATAAATCTTCCAAATTGAAGTTTCCCGATGAATCTTTGGTGTACACGCCCACCTCAGTTACGATCCCATCGATCAAATCATGTGGGGTGACATCGAATGCAGGATTCCAGACGTTCATATCCACGGGTGCTACACCTACTTTACCTGCAAGAGGCTTTCCGTTGACATCTAAAAGCGGTTTACCCGTATGTTCATCGATAACAGTGCCTGCGACTTGTTTAAACTCATCAGCTTTCCGCTCCTCGACTATGATGCCCGCACCCGTTTCAGTGACGCTATCGATGGTAGTCTTGGGAGCAGTGACGAAGAATTTGATTCCAAATTGCCGGCAAATGAGAGCCAACTGGTAGGTGCCGATTTTATTAGCGGTATCACCGTTACGTACAATTCTATCGGCCCCCACGAAGGCAGCTTTTATCGGCAATGAGCTAGTAGCAATCCGGTATACGACAGAACTGTCTGGGATCAAGGTGGCAGGAATCTGATCATGGACCAGCTCGTAAGCAGTCAACCGAGACCCTTGGTTATAGGGACGAGTTTCCAAAGGGAAGACATGCGTCATCTTAACGTTCCCTGAGCTAAGTTTGCGTTTCTTATCTGTTCGCTGATTAAGCGAACTCTTAGCGCGTGAATCTTCCCACAGCGAACGTACCACTCCCAATGCTGTACCATATCCAGAGGTTGCCAAAGATCCAGTGTTACAGATCGTGAGCACTGCAAAGTCTCCATCGAAACCCTCGCTTTGCAGCTGTTGCAAGAGGAACTGAGCTCCATTATTGCCCATTTTAATGTTGTTCGTTAGATCGTCATCTACCAAGTCAGAGACAAATTGGAAAAGCTGGGTGCGGAAAGCTTCAAGAGAGGAAGCTTGATCTAGTAGTTTTGCGATTTCTGACAAAGCATTTGATAGATTAACCGCTGTAGGTCTGCTGCTAAGAAGGAAATCGAGTCTTTGATTCAACCTACCTCTCATGGCTTCGAAACTTGAAGCATCGTAGTAGGCTTGAGTATTGACGAACCCTTCATTTTGAAGTAGCTGTGTTTCCATCAATACCGAAAGTGCCCCCACGATTGCAATTGCAGGTGCTCCTCTTACCTGCATCAGGTTGATCACCGTGTAGCCATCATCAATAGTATAGATGGGGACATAATCTGTCGTGTAAGGCAGAAGCAATTGGTCCAAGACCTTCACTGATAGATTTTTAGGGTCCGATCTCTCAAATTCAATAGCCTCCAACGCCATGGGGCTAGAAAACTATGTCTCGATTACGCCTTGCAATAACGTAGTCCGAGTAGGGTTGAACAATTTTTTGATCTTGAAAGGCGCTTATAGCTCTGTTAAAGCACGACCGACGAGCACTTCAAAGCTATAAGAGGTAGTGTAGTAGTGCTAACACCTAATTTGTTCATTCACCTATAGATTTATACGCTGTTTGGAAACCGTTCATCAAGAATATGGATGAATCTGCGAAGAGTCAGGCTACATCGAAACGATTTTGACATATGAGGATGCCGGGTGGTCTATCTACTTAGAGGATTATCATTAAAATGAAATCGTGACTCGTCACAGTGTCCAATGTCTGTATAATTACTAGTATTGTACTAATTCTTGACTTGCAAGACGTCCGTCATCCCATACATTCGGTTCCGTTGGCCCTTCAGGCCCAGAATCTTTGTGAGATACACGGAAGTGATACCATACAAAAATGATACTAAAATTTTCCTATGGGTTGGGGATTTCGGAGATGCCAGCCTGTTCACAGAGGCACCGCAAGGAAGCGCCCTCGATACCCGAGTTTAACCATTCAATGGCCGCCTCCCAGTAAAAGCGTTGCAGATAGGCACGTTACCAGCACAAAGACCCCCCAACAGGCTAGCGAAATGGACAATAATCTGAGCCATTTTGCAGAGGTTGGGATCTGACCTACATCGTATTCAGAGCCGATCAGCTTGAACCCAAATATTCCAGGAAGTATGAAAGCAATGGATGTAGATCCCGTGGCACCAACTACTGCAAGAACTCGGGCCAGCGAAGTTACAGAAATTGCCAACAGATATGAGGATACCAAGATCGCTGTCGTGATGATAGCGAAGCGTTGACCGTCGAGTGGCACAACGACTTGTTGGTGTGGACTACCTTCCTCAACTAGAACATCGTCGTCCTCCACAATATGGGGTAGGAGATTGGAGCGCTCAGGTTCATTCGCCTTTTTCCAGGCTCCGGAATTGACGAAATGAATGATGTGATCAATCGAAGCTCTCGCTGGATGACATTGTAATGGAAAGGCTAACATCACCAGCAGCACAATAGCAATGCGGCCCACAATGGTACTTGTAGATTGCGGGTATAACGTTATGATATTCCCTGCAATGTGGTCTCCGAACGTAGCGTAGCCCGAGCCACCTATGGCGAGGTATAACACCATGGCAACCGAAACTGACGCAGCAGAAACTCTGTAGATAGCTTTTGTGCTGTTGTCCTTCAGCTCATTGATGATTGAAAACATATTGTGATGACATGTATAAGCAAAGACGAAAATTGGAAAACAACTGAAAATAGCAGAAACCGGCTCAGCGGGCCTTCCCACACTAACATGCCCCTTAATCGCTTTTATTTCTTCTGATGGCCAAACACAGTGTACTACAACAAGGACGCACAGGTATGCCACGGACGAAATAGCGATAATCGATGCATTACGCAGGGAACTTAACCTTTTCATAAAGCACAGTGGTGATATAATAAAGAGCATTATTATCGAGATGTGGAAGTTGCGATTCAGAAGCAGGGACCTAGAGGTGAAAGCTCCTAGAATACGTGGCATGAGGTCCCCAATGACCACAAGGTACGAAACCCCTACACCAAAACACTTGACTGCAATGGCCAAGTCAAAGACCACGCTGAGTTGCGGATAAGTTATCTGGGATAAGGCGAAAAACGATGCATTTCTCGATGAAACGTATTTCGACACCCGTCCTTGAATCACCAGGCCCGATACGGAGCATAATCCACAGAAGACAATCATCAGAAAACCTAACGTCAACCCGAAAGGTTTAAAAGCGTATGGCATGGCCAAAATTCCCGCCCCACACGCGGTGTGGAGCAGAGTTACGGCACCAGATAAGCCCGAGGACGCCATTGAGCCGGGTTCAATGAACTTTGAATGACTATCAGCTCGCCCACAGGGTTAATATTTCGGAATTGAAGTTGAAGCTTATTCGTGTTTGTTATCTATCCTGACGAAATCTGTTTACAAGTGATCGTGAACAGTGACCAATAGCTTGACACCAGCGACACGTTACAGGCCTGCTCTTTCTGATACCAATCGGCAGAAGACGTCTCCTCAGACCCCCAACAATTTAATAACGTCTGAAAGTAGTCTGGTTATGAGCATGTTTTGTGAAGTAAGGAACCTTCCCTTTTTTATCACTATGCCCGCTGCCCGCCCATTACCCATTAACCACCAGGACGAATTATTATTACTATTACGGTGGGTCTGACGATACTCTCATAACCTCGCCATCAAATGAAAGAAATGTCTTGAAACACTGCATTATGTAAAGTCCCCCAATCGAGTTTTCTTCGTAGTTTATGTACAAGTGTATACGTCCAGTTTGCACCAAACCGAGCCCACAGGCAATACATTAGTAACCTTTGCGCTTAGCATCCTTAACCACTTCGATGAGTCTTTTGAAACCCTTCATGAACTCACGGCGATGTTTCTGCGAAGCACGCATCTCCTTGGCCTTACCGCGCTTGACGTGGAACCGCTGATTGCGCTTATCCTGTGCTATTCTATTGGCAAAAACCACGGAGTTTAATTGTCTAAATGCGCCGGCGGTATCACCATTGTAGACATCGACGGTCCTTCCTGCGCGAACGCCTGTTAATCTCGACGTCAAAGCATCCTCCTTGGGAGAAGCGACAAAAGAAGCAGCGGTAAGCCGCTGACCTGATGCTGGAATGTTGAGTTGAAGCTTCGCGGATGTTTCAGACGTCTTCCTGGCATTACTCAGAGGATTCAATTGTGATGGGTCAAATATTGGTGAACTTGCACTATTTGAAAGCCGGAAGCTGCTTGAAAACGCCCGTTTTTGGGCGGTTATCAATCCGAATCTTCCTGCTAGCATCTTCCACTAACCGAAACTTGAGTTGCAAGGATCGGATATGGTTTATTTAGCCTTTTACACCTTTTCCGATAATATTTGATGTGACTTCTTTAATTTTTCATTGTGTCCATAATGATGGAATTGTAAGTTATAATGTGAAAGTAACTAAAGTCATCGACCACCTAGGCTGGCGAAATAGAGCACTAAGCAATCGATATTGAGCCATTTTCTTTATGAGTGAGGCGCCAGTATCGAACGATCAAGTGGCGAAGTCGCCTGAAGACGGGGCAAACCCCTCGTCCGTTACTGCTGACGAAAAACTAACGGGCAATGAGACTACTGGAGCCAGTGGAGACAAGAAGAAAAACAAGAAGAAGAAGAAGAAGGCCAACAACAACATCAAGAACATTGAGTTATTGTTTCCGGATCTCAAGTATCCAGAAGGTGAATGGATGGAATACCATCAGGACCATAACTTGCAAAGAACAACTGATGAGGAAAAACGGTACCTGCTTAGAGACGCAGAGAACGCAGAGAGATGGAACGATGTTCGTAAAGGTGCAGAGATCCATCGTCGTGTGCGCAAAAATTTGCAAAATAAAATCAAGCCGGATATGAGCCTTACTGACGTTGTCAATGTGGTCGAAAATGCGACCCGGAAGTTTACAGGCGTTGACGAAAATGGGGACCACAAGGATCAACCAAAGTCGCAGGGGATTGGTTTCCCTACTGGTGTCTCGCTGAACAATTGTGCGGCCCATTTCACCCCAAACGCCGGGGATAAGACCATCTTGAGGTACGAAGACGTTATGAAAGTTGACATCGGAGTTCAAGTTAACGGCTACATCGTAGATTCAGCCTTCACTGTCACATTCGATGACAAGTACAACAATCTCCTCGAAGCTGTTAAGGAGTCCACCAACACTGGTGTGCGCGAGTCTGGCATTGACGTCAGATTGACCGATATCGGGGAGGCTATCCAGGAAGTTATGGAGTCTTACGAGGTGGAGCTGAACGGCGAGACGTTTCAGGTGAAGCCCTGTCGAAACTTGTGTGGTCACAACATTGCCCCTTACAAAATCCATGGAGGGAAGTCAGTGCCGCTGGTCAAGAATGGTGACCAAACCAAAATGGAAGAGGGCGAGCATTTTGCTATCGAGACCTTTGGCACCACAGGCCGTGGCTACGTAATAACCGGTGGCGAGGTGTCGCACTATGCTAAGAACCAAGGAACTTGGCCCACTCCCGCGCTCTCAAAAGCTAAATCTCTACTAAAGACAATCGACGATAACTTTGGCACTTTGCCGTTTTGTCGCCGTTACCTAGACCGTCTAGGTGAGGAAAAGTACTTGTTCGCGCTGAACAGTCTGGTGAAACATGGAATTGTTGAAGAATACCCACCTCTTTGGGATATCCAGGGTTCTTACACTGCCCAATCTGAACACACCATCTTGCTGCATCCACACAAGAAAGAAGTTGTCTCAAGAGGTGATGACTACTAGGGCCAAAACAAAATGCCGTCTTGCAGTTTCTATCAATTCATATAGCATATAAGAAATGCTCGTCACATACTCACGGTTGAGCGGTATGGGAGAGACGTCCATGTCGAAATCTCATTGGCCAAAGTACTCGGAGTTTCCATCATCTCGTACTCGCTTCGGCGCGCTTCGGAAAAAACCCACTCGTGAGAAACGATAACACTAACTTTCATAATCTAGGGCCACTAGTACAAACATTACTATTATACTGATGATTCCTTGCCAACAAACAACTTTCTAAGCGTGATAGCAGCGACAAGCGTCCTTCTTTAAGCAATCATGATTGACATTAAACCCAGTGTATTAGAATATAAACGTATGTTCGATGAATAAATCCGAAATGTGAAGAAACGAAAGGCGAATTGGGGGACACTTGTGCAGCCCTGAGCGAGGGACTAGGAACTGGACTGAAGCTTCGCCGGGTATTTCAGCGCCTTTCACAATAGATCGCGTTTTGTGAGGAATGGGGTTGTGGAAAGCGATCGAGTACTACCTCAGGCTTCCATTATGGAAAGTTCCTCCAGACAGCCTTACTCTCCCAATTTTTTTCTGTATCGTTCTTTCTTTATACTAACACCCGGAAGCTCCCTTGACCACTCAAGCAACTGAGTATGTCACTGTCACCAACAATTCGGATCAAGCAGTGGTCTTTAAGGTCAAAACAACTGCGCCTAAGTTTTACTGTGTGAGACCTAATGCCGCTTTAGTGGCTCCCGGTGAACAAGTACAGGTGCAGGTTATTCTCTTGGGCCTGGCCGAAGAGCCAGCTGCTGATTTCAAGTGCCGTGACAAGTTTCTCGTTGTGACTTTGCCAGCTCCATATGATCTGGGTTCTTCAAGCGTGACGGAAGCATGGCCACAGTTAGAGGCCGAATTCAAGCAACATGCCGTTTCCAAGAAAATTAAAGTCAAATACCTACTAGGCGAAGAGGCGCCTATTCAAGAAAAGAGTTCTGAAAATGCTGAAGGCGCAGCCACCAAAGTGGTGTCCGAGCCTGACTCCAAGGACATCCAGGGCGTGACGAGCGAACAAGAGAAACCTGCTGCTTCAGGTCCACTACCAGACCAGGTCAAAAAGAACTTGACCACTGGCTCTCAGAACGTGGACGAAAAGTCGTCAGGTTCCAAACCAGTGGGCTCTGCCGCAGCTGCAGCTGCTGAAGCTGTTCCAGTCAAACAGGAAACATCTATGAATCCAATTGTGATACTGCTAGTGGCGTTGATCGCACTGATTTTAGGGTGGTTGTACTATTAAACAATTGGGCGATATAGTTCTGAAGGCGATCGACATATGTTCAAACTAACAAACTCTTATATTATCACTGATGGATATTTGTATGTACAGAAAGTAAAGAGACAAAAAAAGGTTCTTTATTCGATGGCAAGAGCCGGGGGTCCGAACACTCGAGGGTCCGAGCGCTTAGCAAAAAAGAGTCAATAAATTGTTGGTTGGTTTAAAGTATACAATGTAGTAAAAAATCCAGTCTAAAACGATTATAAGATCCTAAATTTTTTCAAAACTTGTAAGCGCTTAAGCGGATAGACCCAAACGACCGTTAGGGTTGGTGACCTTAACGCCCAAAGCCTTAGCCTTGGCCAAAAGGGCAGCTCTGTTCTTGGAGGAAACGTTGTGAGCGATTTCGGCAGCGTAAGTTCTGGTGTGCATGGTCAACAAGTCCAAGTCCTTGGCGTTGCAAACCAAGAAAGTCTTGTGGCCAGATGGAGACATGAACTTGGTCTTTTTGTTGGAACCGTAACCGATGGTTGGCTCGGCAATGTTACCTCTGAATCTTCTTCTGACAACAGAGTCGATACCCTTTTGCTTTCTCCAGTTCTCAGCGACTCTGTGGTAACGGTCAGAGTGATGACGCTTGAACTTCTTTGTGTGTTTCTTCACAATCTTTGGGTGTGGTAGAGAAGCAGCCATCTGTGACAAATGTTAGTACAATGTTTTACGCTTTGATAGTGACGGACGGCAACAAAACAAGAGCGGCAGTGCTGGCCCCCAGCGTGGCACAGGATATATGCAAACGTTCCCAGTTCGATTCGGTACGAGAAGCTCCCGGTTTTCAACAGCCACAGCTTTTAGCCCATCGCCACCTCTGCTCGAACGCAAAACGCACTGTCCCGCGCACGAATCGACCCACTGCGTTGTTACGCTGCTTCTTGACTTCCATCACGGCTCCCAGACACTACCATATGATCCCACCGCGGAAACTCCCATATAACTCGTCCCTCTCTTGGGACGCCATCTGCGTACCTCCTGCTCCCACTACTTCCGTACTAGCACCACTAGTCGTCATCTGACAATGTTCCGTCTATCACAATAGCCCACAACTACTTTCCACATACCTTGATGATACTTTCCGTGGATTCTAGATTCTGAACGGTAGTGTATATGACTTCACTTGTGCGATCATCAAATTGTTTTTCCACAGAGCAGGAACCAGTCCCTTGCCACGAGGCCGGCTCCAGCGGTCGTTACGCAACTCCGCCCAGAGGCGCCTCTCGGGAGGGGACCTGGTAGGAGCTAGACAGGAATTCCGGGAAGGGAGCCCTGGCCACCGCACTAGCGTCCCTTCCAGCCCTTCTGGCTCTAGGCAGAAGGGCCACCCTCTCCTGCCTGCCCTCCCGTCCATCGTCCCGCAGCGCTCTGGCGCTATCCCCACGCACGCCTGGTGGCTGTTCACCTCAGTTCAACACGTTTTTTCCAGCTCTCAACAAAATAAATGACCTACGTATAAAGACACATACATATTTCAAAAATGTACGGATGTATCAGAGAAAACAGTCACATCTCAGATTTTCTTTCCGGTATTCCAAAGTCGCTTACAAACCCGCAGTGACAGGGTTGGTTGATAGTTGATCTTAGGTGGCATTGAAGGCGACAGTAGTTGCCAAACCTTGATAATGCTATATAGACTAAGACGAGAGGCAAGTGCAGTGGATGATGGCTACAATCACCACCGAGCGGGACGTAAAGAAGGTCGTTAGAGCCGCGGTGTGTATCGTGTCAGTGCCGTCAGTGCCAAGTACTATTTCATCGATGGGCCGAAGATGTCCTGTATTTATATGTAACGCTAATAGTTAATTGGGGATAATCATTTTTAAATTAATAATTAATAGTACCCTCCCCCGACGTACCAAAACCAGACACTTGTAGGGTGTCTGTCGCACATTGGCGGTCAGAGCTGTCGGGATCGAGGTATATCGTGTCGTTCAAGCTCTGTTTATAGACTTGGAAGTCGAGAAGCAAATCACGAGGGAGCAGGTACGTATAGCTCGTATAAGATGACAAGATAGTAAACGAAATTTCGCCCAGTGGTCTCATCCATGGTAATGCCATGATGTAGGAAGACCCAACAGTTGGAATAGCACTGGACCAGACTTTTGGTTGGATAACACGTCAGAGTTCCAGTTACGAGGGTAAAGAACCGGAAAACCCCCCCACACTTACTATTTGGCTACGCCTCGAGGACGCTTCAGAGGTTCCGTGTGTGTGTGCGTCAAGCCGGGCGATCGTCAGTTACATAGATATAAAAGGGCCGCGACGTCTGGTGTGCTTCTGCAATACAGACGAAGAAAGACTGTACCAGCACTGCCCAGCATAAACATCTCCAAAAATGACCACGATGGATGATCACTATTCCCCGGCCTACTACTACTACGTTGATCCGGCCTCACTATACCAGCCACAGCAGCCCAACCCCTTGGACGATCTGATATCCGTGTACGGACTTCAGAACATATCCCAGCAGGTGGCGCGCACGAACCCAGACGGAACAAAGGCTGTTAAGTTGCGGAAATCGTACAAGAACCAGATAAACGACCTTTCGGGCAAATTCTCCGTGATTCCAACGCGAGAAAACGGGAAAGGAGGTGACATCGCGCCTATTCTGTTCCAAAACAACCCTGACATGGTACCCCAAGTGCACAAAACCGCAGATATGACCCCAGAGCAATGGCACCAACTCATGTGCGACCGAGATGCAGGTCTATTTCAACCGCAAAACATGGACTGGGACGTTTGCCAGGCGGTACTCTCTCAATTTGAAAGAAGCCATCCTGCGGAATTTCAGGCTAACGGATTTCAAGCGGACGACCTTGCCTTCGACCTGGATGGTAGTGGCAACACGCTGAAACCGAGAAAACGCAAAAACAAATCCAGCGGCAGTTCTATGGCGACTCCGAATAGTGATTTACAGGAGGATATGAAGAGAAGAAGGTTGGAGTGAGAGAAGTTACGTATTAGGAACTTTAGGGAAATAGACGCAATTCTCGCAGCGATTACGTTCGTCAAATGCCAGGTTAATGATAAAATGGGGTATGATACGCTCTTTACATATACACATACATGTATGTTTAGTTTAATGGTTTTTTCAAATTGGTGACTCGTGTGGCCTGTATGACCTTAATTTGACAACCACTAGGATCAAATCTGCTAATACTGGAACCACATTTTACAAAGTCTTATTTACGTGTTGTTAAAGCCATATAGTGCAGGCTTGTGATCAGTTCCTCAAGTAGTCCCTCAAGTAGTTGCCTAGTTTTTGCGCACCCTGTTCGACGACGTCCTTGATTACCTGGAATTCATCGTCAGCCCCGTTATTGAAATCCACAAATCCGCTGGTTTGAGTGTCCAATCTTGGGCGGCCAAATTCATCAACCTCAGGCTGTTCCTCTCCAAAATAGGTGGAAGATGATATTGAAGTAGCATTGTTAAAATTGCTTTTCAGCTTATCCTTCGCCTCACGGGAAGCATCTTCATCGTATGTGCCTCTTCCAAAATATTGGTCGGAAGAAATGGCTTTTTGACTACCGTATTGAGCAGCAACGTTGCCTGTATATTTGGGGCCTGAAGCCGCTCTTTTAGCTTCTTTAGCATTATTGGCCAATTGCTCAGCATCATTCATAATCATACCAAAACCAAGTTTGGCCAATTTTGGCTTAGCAGTTTCGGCCTCAGACGATACAAAGCCAGCTTTTACCTGATCGAATGCAATACCGTCATTATATTCAGAAGCGTCAGATTCTAGAGAAGAGCCTATTTTCACAGGGGCCGGTTGATCATAAATCGTTTTGGGCTCTGAAGTTAAGGAACGGTTGATTTTCGGCGTGACCTCGTCTGCCTCTAGCAAAGCTGCCTTTTCAAAATCGTCAAACATATTCTCAGCTTCAGATTTGCCCACTTTTTGTGCGCTTACTCGAGTAGATTTCCGCCCGGAGGATAAAATCGAGTGTTTTTTAGTGGCGCCTGGGGCATTCGTCGCTCTTCTTCTACTACTACTGGTGCCTGACAAAATAGAGGTTTTAGAAGCGGTTCTGGAGTTGCCGGTGTTGGAAGGCGACAGTATTTTGGGTGACGAGGAGCCTGCTGCGGTGGCAGGCTTTTCCCAACTGGAAAAGAAGTCGTCTACACTGTTGTTTTTAGAGGATCCAACCGAACTGGAGCCGGAGCCTGTTGAAAGATCCCCAGCGTCTTCCTCCGCATCCAAGACGATCTTTCCAGGATATTGTTCCATGTCCTTAGCAACTAGTTTATCGAGATGGCTCTTGTAGTTTTTAGCCACGGAACTGGTGTACTTCATGCGCGCGTCCACGTTGGTGCCTAAAAATTGCTTTCCGTTGTATTTCATGAAATATTCACGCGCTTTGTGGTTCCCACCGTGTTTGAATCTCCTTAGATTGTTAACGGTCCACTTGTCAAGATTCGAGGACTTCACGAATGTGATGTGAACCCCCAAGTTACGGTGTACTGCAGAACATTGGATGCACAACATCACACCGAAAGGCACCGACGTCCATGTTGGATTCTTGGTACCGCAATCGAAACAAACACGATTGTCCTGTTTGGAGGTGAGTTTGCGGAAAACGTTGGCAGTTTCCTCCTTCGTACTGTATACTTCACCTGACTCGTCACTCATGGAATATTATTTGACAATTGTAACCCAAAATAAACAGCAACTAGCTTGTCGTATCTAGCAAATGTAGAGCTGTAGATACGTGTCTATGATGGAAGGGCGGTTGATCCAGTACGTACGGATGGAGATCTGTGGTTTCGTCCTTCTCCTGCTCGTGTTGTCGATTGTTCTGGTTATCGGTATATAAAGAGGTGGTTAAAAACGATTAAGTGAAATCCGGATCATCACTTTTTACCAAACTGACATTAGCTAAGACGGACAAACAAGTAGCGAAATATTTGAGCTCAATCGGGGCGCATCCATTTCGCGTATTTGAACCACTTAGGTTCAACCAGTATGCAGGTAGCGGTAGCCAAGACCGTTGAGCTTTCCGCTTTCCAGGGCGTGTACCAGCTGCGAGACGGTAGCGTCTGCAATGAGCCTCCGATGACACACTTGCGACCCCTGGACTCTATTACGTGCGCTTTCAGCACGACCGTGCAGTCGGTGGGTACGTCGTGGCAAAAGTTGATGTCTAGTTTAGCAGTTACACCCGCTTTGTTCGGTAAAGTCGGAAAGCCACAATAGCACAATGCCTCGTCCAACAGCAGCGCCACGACGCCCTTGTGAACCTTGCCCTTTTCGTTGTTGAGGTTGTGGCCGAGATGGTAGAAAACCACTAGTTCTTGCGAGTCCGGATCGTGGAGCACCAATGGGTCGATCTCGAGCCTTCCTGGACCGTACAACAACCCCTGCCCCACATGACTGTCGCGATGCGGTTGTGAGATTTTCTCGCTCTGAGACCATTGCTCAACGTTCTCACGCCGCATGAGATCCCGGAATATCTCATGCTTTTGTAACTGGTGTATGATGTCCCGCCGCTGTTCCTCGAGGGGCCGCTTTAGCGTAAGGGTTTTCAGCCTGTTTTCATTGACTGCTGGCCAGCACTGTAGGAAAGTGGCCAATCCCAGGCCAAACCCTGCTATGGGCGTGAATATGAACTTGGAAGCGGTTCTGAGGGCCATCGCAGGTGTAGAGAAGTGGTTCTGGGGAGGTTAACGAGTAGGAGATGTTTGGGGCCGGCCAGGAGATGTCATGTGTGTGTGTGTATGTAGATAGCACCACTGATCACGAGCCCGACGAATCCGGGACCCAGTACCTTTTAACGTAAAGCTTTTTGTGCTTGACACAAGCCGAGGGACAGTTGAGCGTGCTACGAACGTGCCATGCTTCTAGCGATGACACGAGATAGAGCTAATCAAGCATTTCCACGCATGTAGAGCATAATATATGTACTACTACTTAGGTTAGGGCCCCCACTTTACCAACTGATAGCATTTTCTTCGATCATAGCACGCTGAATCGCTTGGAAGTAGTCTTACGTCTTCTTGTTCTTCCTCGTGGGGGTTACCAGGGCCTCGATTGTTGATAGCAGGTGGGCTTTTGGTCTCTGATTTTTCTTCCCTGATCCAATTCTCAACTGAATTGTCACCAATTCCAATCAGATCAGAGTTCAATGCGGGTTCTTGAAACCATCGAACGCTGTAGGTTGACGCCGACCAACGAGGAAGTATTGTCGAGAACTTTAGTAAAACACCGAGAGTTTAGTGTAGTGTTACGAAAGTGCGGGAAAGCAAAGGGCTGGAAAACGACGTGATCCTTTAGCCTGTATGCTAGGTAATCTAGTCCACCCTCAAGAGGTTCCACCAAGCAGCCATTGGTCCTTGCTAACTGCCTCCAATGCTTGGCATCGCATTCTCGTGGGATATTGATCGTCTCTCTGCTTGCATCTCCCAAGGTAGCATGCTATGTGTTTATTTGCCTTGTCACGTGCCTCAGGTTGTAAGGCGTGGTCTAACTTGCTGACGCGCTGTGCTCTCCCAAGTGAGAAGGGCGAAAAGCAAAATAAGTTGAATCTCCCTCGCAGCGAGAAGAAGACACCCTCTGGTGTCCGTAGTTGGCTACAACAGCATCTACAACAGCATCTACAACAGCATCTACAACAGCATCTATTCCATTAAGTTTACTAGGTAGCAGCACGTCACGCACGTTGTGGTCATCTTAGGATGTTCACACGCTCTGTAACAGAGGTATTACGACAGCTGGTGTGACAGCCGGTGTGACAGTATGCTACGAGGTGACAGTGCAACAGACCACGTGACAGTGACAGTGTTCGTAGCAGTGTGTCGGAGATGTCCCCAGCAGCCAGAATCGCTGCATTGCGTTCCGGATGCTCCTCGGTACCCCGTATGAAGAGCGTGATGCACGTTGTGGCCACCGCAAGACGTTCACGTGCTCTGCAACAGCCCGAAGCAGGCGCACAACAGATCCCACGTGCCAGAGACGACCCGGGTCCCGGGCCTCCGCACGTGACACTGCCCTACGCGGCGCCCGCGCGTCACGTGCTCCCTTTGCCCCGGCCCCCGCTGCTGCGGGCTCGAGGCCGCCACCGTGGCGTATGCGCTTGCTCCGGGCCTTGTTCTGTCGCTGACAGTTTCCCCGGCGGGGGCTCCCTTTGTTCTGCTGCTTCCCCGGCCAAGTGCGGTCCGGGCCCGTCTGAGGTGTCCTCATGCACTGCGCGCTCCGGGTTTCCCCGTCCCAGACTCCGCCAGAACCCTGGTGAGGTCCCGCGTACGTAATACAAGGCCCTCTCTTGCTTCCGCTTTCCAGCATGGTGCGGAGTAGACGGCCCACGCAAGAGCCAAGGCCCCGCGTTATTGCTGCCGAGCCGTTGTTTCGAGCTGAAGCAAGTGGTACGTCAAAGCACTGCGCGCTTGGCGTCCTCGACTCACTCTGGCGTGAGCCCAGCGTTTCCGAACAGCCAGGCAGGCTAGGCGAGGCTAAGGCTAGGCTTAGGCTAAGCTGGGGCCAAGGCTAAGGCTCAGGCTCAGCTGAGGCCGAGGCTAAGGCGCTACTGGCAGGTTCGCTGGACCGATGACCAGCGGCAGTGTGGAGAAAAGGCATGTCTGGCTAGAGTAGGCTAAAAAAAGGGAGGTATAAATACGGGGGGCCTGACAGGGGACGAGTAGCTATCGAGGAGTATCGAGGAGCTATCGAGCTACTGAGAAGCTATCGAGGAGCTATCAAATTCTATCAAACAGTTGTCGAGGAGCGTTCGAGGAGCTATCGAGCTATTGAGAAGCTACCGAGGAGCTATCAAATTTTATCAAACAGTTGTCGAGGAGCTTTCGGGGAGCTTTCTAGAAGCTATCGAGGAAACACACCCAGAGGCAGGTTTTCCAAGACCCACACGTATCGCGCCCGAAGTCGCTCACGAAGCCTGGAAGCGCCATAACATACCAATATCTCACGAAAACTGGCCACTGCCAAAAAAATGTCGAGCAAGTCAGAGTCCGCGTCCGCGTCGTCGCTGGACAAACCACGCGTGTCGCATCACGACGCCAACCACGGCGCCGCTCCGCTGCTGGATAAGAACAAGGCGGATTCCATGTCGCTCGCAGACTCGGAGAAAAACGGACCGGAGCCGTTGCTGTCGGACAACGTCCTTGCGGAGTACTCCGAGGAGCAAGTCATGAACATGGGCCGTGCGTTTGCGCACAAGTACGACCTCCCCAACGACGGGGACATGTTTGGCCGTGCCGCGGCGCTGGCACGGCTCCCGGACAGGTACGACCACATGTCGTTTCTCACCGAAGAGGAGCGGCTGGCGCTGTACGACGAGGAACACAACCCGTTCAAAAACATCCCGAAAAAACTGATCGCCATCATATGTGCCTCTGCCATGGGTGCTGCCGTGCAGGGTATGGACGAAACCGTGATCAACGGCGCTCTGCTGTACTACCCGGACCCTCTGGCCCTGGGCGCTGCCACGCAGCGCAACGATTGGCTCACGGGTCTGATCAACGGTGCGCCATACTTGTGTTGCGCGGGTGTCTCATGCTGGATGACGGATTGGCTGAACAACCGGCTGGGGCGGAAAAGGGTGATTTTCCTCACCTGCCTGATCTCGGCCATCACCTGCCTTCTCCAGGCGTTTGCACCCACCGGAGAGCGCGGCTGGCACTACCTGTTTGCCATGCGGTTCTTGCTGGGGTTTGGCATAGGGCCCAAGTCCGCCACGGTCAGTGTGTATCTGGCCGAGTGTTCCACCAAGAAGCTGCGCGGGATTGTTTGCATGAACTGGCAGACATTCACCGCGTTTGGCATCATGTGGGGTTACGTGTTCACGCTGATTTTTTGCAAGGTCGGGAGCGGGGTGGTCAGCGGCGGCCTGAACTGGCGTTTGATGCTGGCCTCCGCCATGCTGCCGGCGATCGCGGTGCTGTTCCAGATCCCTTTTTGCCCGGAGTCTCCACGTTGGCTCATGGGGAAAGGCCGCTTCAAAGAGGCGTATGAAAGTACCATCCACATCAGAGCTCACCGCATCATGGCCTGCCGCGATCTATTCTACCAGCACGTTTTGTTGATGGAGGAGGAGTCTCTTGAAAAACCATACGTGAATAGGTTGATGGAGGTGTTCTCCGTGAGACGTAACCGCAACGCTTTCATAGTGGCCTTCATTTGCGCCTTCATGCAGCAGTTCTGCGCCATCAACGTCATTGCATACTACTCGTCCGCCATTTTCCTGGAGTCCGGTTTCACCGAGATTTCCGCCTTGGCTGCGTCCCTCGGTTTCGGTCTGGTCAACTTCTTCTTTGCCCTGCCGGCCTTCTTCATGATCGATCGGTTTGGGCGCAGGTTCTTGTTGCTCAACACTTTCCCGTGGATGGCCGTGTTTTTGCTTGTCACCGGTTTTGCATTCTGGATCCCCGGTGAGCAAGCGCGCATTGGGGTCGTAGCCATGGGCATATACATCTTCTCGGCCATCTACTCGTTCGGCTGCGGTGTGGTTCCGTTTGTCATCGCAGGTGAAGTTTTCCCTCTGTACGTGCGGGCCATTGGCGCTTCGTTGTTTACCATTTTTCTGTGGGGGTTCAATTTCATTTTGTCGTTGACGTGGCCCCGTATGCTGAACGCCCTCCACCCACAAGGTGCATTCGGCTTTTACGCGGCCTGGAATGTTGTGGGCTGGTTCTTGGTTTATTTCCTCATGCCTGAAACCAAACAGTTGACTTTGGAAGAGCTGGATGAAGTTTTCGACGTTCCGCTTCGTTCTCGTATTGCATACCAAGCCAAACAATTGTGGCCGGATTTCCAGGAGTATATCCTGCGTAGAAAGCACGTTTCCAGAGACCCTCCATTGGATCGTCACCACCGCTTGGCTATCAAGGCTATGGAATGGGACGACAAAGCTAGTGTCGAGCAAGTTGAGCACGCTTCATAGTCGTGCAAATGAGACTCGGACTTTTTTAATAGTATATAGTATGTTATGTTTTCTGAGGTATCACACCGTAATGTTTGTTTAATTGAATTCACTTTCTTTCGAGTCAGGTATATATATATAAATTCGACCTCCGTACATAAGCCGCGGAGGCTTTTGGGTGCCAGAACATGTATACCATTGAGTTTGGGGTGCGGGAGTTCAGACCACCACACAAGTGTCTTGAAAAGCGCCCGAGGCCCAAGATATGTCGCTTTCCAAGGCTGATTGGTGTACTTACGGCGGTGTCATTGTCGCATTGGGATCGCAACGTCGGTAAGGTTCTTCTGGATCTTCAACAACTTTGCCGGGTAGTAATTCAGACATAGCTCTTGACAAATCGAAAAAAGCTCTTTGACCCTGTTCCTCTTTGGCTCGCCAAAGCATTTATTATGTGTCGTTGGCGCATTTCGATCACCTTCTCTTTCTCTGGCAGACGTCCAGTCATGCTCACGGTCATTGAGTACGTAATCTCTCATATGAAATCGGGCCATCATGATGACTTGACAGTTCCAACATTAACTACGGTGATCCACCACACTATCATGTCTGAATCCGTCGCCGTGATCGGTGCTGGACTAGTAGGGTGTCTCACAGCCATTGCTTTAGCGAAAAGGGATTACGATGTGACCCTTTTTGAATACCGTCCAGATCCCAGATTGAGCACTACCGAGGACAGGAACCTTCGATCTATTAACCTGGCTATCTCCGCTCGAGGCATAACTTCTTTGGAATTCATCGACAAGCAGATTAGTGAGCGGGTATTGAGGGATATTATACCCATGCATGGCAGAATGATTCACGATCGAGATGGAAATCAGGAGGCCCAGGATTACGGTCTCTTCGGAGAATGCATAAATTCCATTGATCGCGGGTTACTCAACAACAACCTCTTGGATGAAGTAGACAAATTGACCAATGTTAAAACTGAATTTTTACACAAGTTGTCTCAGATCAAGTTCGCTGCGGCGGGAACTGGGAAACAAGTCTGCGTGTTTGCGACCAATTTGACCACCAAAAATTACGAATTCGATTTTGTAGTCGGTTGCGACGGTGCTTACTCGACTACTCGATCCCAAATACAACATAACACTCGAATGGATTACTCGCAGGAGTACGTCGATTGTTGCTACATTGAGCTCTACATCCCGCCAGCTGCTGAAACCAACAGAGAATTCAACGGGCCGTTCGCTATTTCTCCCAACCATCTGCACATTTGGCCACGCCATAACTTTATGCTGATTGCGCTTGCTAACCGAGATGGATCCTTCACTTCTACCTTTTTCGGACCCTGGGCCCTCCTGGAAAGTCTTGATTCTAGAGCCAAAATCGAAGAGTTCTTACGCCACAATTTCTCGGATGCCTTGAAGCTGATTGGGACAGAACAGGCTCTGAATGCGTTTGAGTCAAATCCTCGCGGCGCTTTGATGTGCGTAGAATGTAAACCGTATCACTTGAACAGGGGCCAAGCCATAATAATTGGTGACGCAGCCCATTCCATGGTTCCCTTTTACGGACAAGGTATGAACTGTGGCTTCGAAGATGTCAAAGTTCTAATGCAGCTCCTCGATAAGCACCAAGGTGATCGCTCCGCTGCATTTGGTGAGTACAGTGAAAAGAGACACACAGACTTAGTCTCGATTATCGAGCTTGCCAAGAACAACTACAAAGAAATGTCCCACAGCGTCACTTCCAAGCTCTACTTGATGCGCAAAAAGCTTGACACTTTGTTAGGCAGATTGCTCAAGGATAATTGGATTCCACTCTATACCATGGTGTCTTTCAAAGCCGAAATTCCCTATCACAAGGCTATTCTAAAGGAACAACGACAGAAAAAAATTCTAGTTTATCTCCAAGCTGTGATACTTGCCTTTACATCTGTTGGAGCCTTTGGCATCTACAAGGCTCTTAGAAGAACCCTCAAAAACTATAAATAAAGAAATAAACGAACTTCTCTCATACAGCACACTTTATTGGTGTGGTGATAATCAAATTCGCTGCAATATCAAACGACAACCTTCCAGAGTGTAACACAAGCGCCTGTGATTGTAGAGCTCTTGAACTATAATACTTCTTCGAAGTGTTTATTGACTCGTTTCAACGTTAGGTCTCATCTTGGGAGTTACCCCATACAATGAGCCTTATATTCGTGGTAAATATTCATCGTGCTCTGTGTCTTGATGAAGAATTCCGGAGAAGTGTTTTTAATAATAACTACTCGGTAGCTGGAGGATTCAGTCTGGCAACCAGCGTTGTCTATAGCGCCCTGAATGCTGTATCTCTTTGTTGTCTTGAAGCACAGGCTTATTTTAATGTCGTAACAGAATTCGCCGCAGAGATAAACATCGATAGCGTGCACTAATGACGAAAATACTTAAGCGTGTGTACTCGTATCTCTCGGAGGTGTTTATTTGATATTTATCTTGGCTCATCGAAATCGATGTTAAAGTTAATGCATCTCTTCGCGCACCCTTCGACATAGAACCTCCAATAAGGTCTTCTATTATCCCAAACTCGAAACATGCCAATTAGTACACAAGACGAAGATGATGACAGAGGTCTTTTCACTAATAAGACCACTATGATGGCAAATTTTGAGCAATGGATCAAAATGGCAACAGATAATAAGATCAATTCGCGCAATAGTTGGAATTTTGCTCTTATAGATTACTTCCATGATTTAAACGTACTGAAAGATGCCGAAGATAATATCAACTTCCAAAAGGCTTCGGCGACCTTAGATGGTTGTGTCAAAATCTACTCGTCAAGGGTAGATTCAGTCGCCAATGAAACTGGCATACTACTTAGTGGGCTGGCTCAACGGAAGAACCAACAGCTGGCCCAGGGGATAAATGATGATCCCGATGGCTCTCATAGAGAAATTGAGGGAGCTGAAGGAGCAGTTTCTATAGATCCAGACACCGGCCTACCAATTTCCAACGAGCTAGATAGCGTAAACCGAAGACGTAACTACAATCGGGTACTGGAAACGACACTTGTGGATTTTGACACATTAAGGATGCGAGAATTAGACCAAGAATTAAGTATCGATCCACTATTCAAGAAAGCGCTCGCGGATTTTGACGAAGGAGGTGCCAAAAGTTTGCTCATCAATACGTTGCACGTTGACAAGACCGGACGAATCGTATTCGACGCAACAACTAGTCAGGAACATCAGGACGACGGCCGTAAAGACCAAAATTCACAAGAAGTCAATAAAGGCATACCGACAGAGCATGCCGATGATACCGCGAAAAGCGAAGGTGAAGACGAAGACGGAGACATTATCATGGGCGATGGCGCAGACAAATCCGACCGAACGAAGGACGAATCGGCACTATTAGAGAACACCCCCGAACCGCATAGTATAGAAAGAAGCAGTCTGTCGATGGTCGATCAGAGTGTCGACGTAGAGGACGAAATTTTAGCCCTTGGCATGGATTTGATTGATTTTAAATTCATTAACGAAGCTGAACTGTGCCCGTCGGTCAAACGACTGAAAGATGTCGTTATGGATGTGACCAAAGCAAAATCCTTCATCGACGATGTGAACAACAAGAATGATAATTTTTTGACTGATCAAGATCTCCAAGACGCCTGGCCGGGAGCTCCTGACAACAATGAGGATGGGTTTGACCTTCCCGCCGATGGGAGTTTTGGTTTGAACGAAGATCTGTACGAGGAATTAAATCCTGAAAACGAAGACCAGGTTGGTGAACCGCTTAATGATAACGATGGTAGATCCCAAGATAATGTGACAAGTACCGTCATAGATCAGAATGTTATGGCATATTTTGATGAAACTATGAAAAAGAATTGGCGGGGCCGAGAGCATTGGAAAGTCATAAATTTCAAGAACAGGTTAGGATCGAAATTCAGTGAGGGCGGTAGTGAGAATAAGGTAGCCAGAGATGACGAAATGACGGGGAAGGAGAAAGAACTAGAGAAGCCCAAAAAATCAGTTAAGCAGAGGCTCTCTATTGACTTTCATAACTTTGATCAGTCGGCAGAAGAGAGAATTTTCGAGAAGAAAAAAGGTACCATTGAAATGGCTATGAAACAACGGCATAACCCCTCTCATTATTTATTGCCAGATGACTATCAGTTTTCAACTCAAAAGATTACAAGGCTTTTTATAAAACCAAGTCAGCAGATGAGCTTCTTTTCCCACAACAGGTCTGCAGCAGACCGACAACGCATGGGAAACACCCTTAAGATTGATGATACAACTGTCAATGAAAATGAGGAGCCAGCAGGCTTGGCCGATCAAAACTTCTGGGCCCAAAACTACCAGTTAAGGGAAGAAGAACTGGCTAACAATGATAGCGTTGGATCTGATCTCAACCCCGTTGACAACATGCCGAACCCCTTCGATGACAATGATGGCATTGATTTTAATCAAGCTTTTGGCAGCGAAGAAAACGAACTACCAGACATTGGATCACCGGAGCAACCGATAGCCGGGTCGGCTGGTGGATTAACACAGGCCCTGGGCAAACCAGACGGCAAGGTGACCTATTCTAGAGTTTCAAAAAAGGTGGACATCAAGAAGCTCAAAGACAATATTTGGAACTCAATCAACAATGAATTAAAAAGTATGGAGAGCCAAGGCCCAGATAAAGCCTTTGAAAAAAGTCCCGAGCAGGATCAAGGCGACGAGGAGCTTGGATCCAGCGACCAAAGAACAACAGAAGGCCCCCAGACAGCCATCAACATGAAATTCACAGAAATCACAGACCGGATTGCCACAATGTACACAGGGGATAGGAAGAAAGATCTATCCACGAGTTTTTGTTTCATTTGCTTACTTCATTTGGCGAACGAGCATGGGTTCACTGTAGACTCTACGGACGATTTTGCTGATCTTGCCATAAAATTTCAAGAAACCCGAACTCTACAAAAGGCACAAAGTGTTAACGGGAGTGAGTTATCTACCTAGATTTTGTTCCAAGATTAGGAATTTCAGGATGCCATGGATCGTGAGGCAACTTGACTATCTTGCACGCCCAAAGTACTCACTATCGAAGCTGAACTCTCATCAGCCGACCGTTTGAAAGTATATCCAAGATTGAAAATTTACCGACTATATTGGTTCGCCACCACCGGCGCACATTACATTTGGCAATTAAACAGCTATAGTCATCCACACCCAGGTCTAAAAGATAGGAGATGAGCTTAACCAGGACCTTGGGACGCCCGCTACTCGTTAACGGGTCCTTGGTAAGGCCCCTGTTGTGTCGAGTTCCGGCCTTGGCGTTAGGCACCAGAAGAGCACTTTTACAAACTAAGCTTTATTCCACAAGAGGTTCTGATGCGGACACGCCATCTGACAAGTCAGAAACAGGGCCTCTTCATTCTGGAGCCATTGGAGCTTCTAGTGAAGTGTCAGGAAAACAGCCAGTGTCGCATGCACTTTTGGCTCATAAAGAGCAACTTGCTAACAAAGATTTAAATGATTCATCTGCCCAGGCTGATTTTTACAAGCTTCTTTTGAACTCGGACTACCCTCAGTACGTGGTTTCAAGATTTGAGACCCCCGGTATCGCGTCGTCACATGAATGTATGTCATTGTACATGGAAGCGCTGCAGAAAACCGGAAGACACGCCGACGCAGATCTTGTAAAACAGTCCCTATCAGGTGGTACCGCTGTTAACGCTCAAGCTGCTGAGGTGGGTCAGAAGCTCAACCCCGCGGGCTCATCAGGCGCTGTCGGCTATAATCCCTTTATGGGTTCTCGCAAGGAACCCTTGCATGTGGTAGTTACTGAATCAACATTCACCATTGTGTCCAGATGGGTTAAATGGCTAGTGGTATTTGGCTTATTAACCTACGGTGCCTCTGAAGGCTTGAAATATATCACAGAGAACACCACGCTTTTGAAATCATCAGAAGTTGCAGATAAATCTGTAGATGTTGCGAAAACTAATGTTAAGTTTGATGACGTTCGAGGATGCGAAGAAGCCCGTGCCGAGTTGGAAGAAATCGTTGATTTTTTGAAGGATCCAACTAAATACGAGTCTTTAGGCGGTAAACTGCCTAAAGGTGTTCTGCTAACCGGTCCTCCAGGTACGGGTAAGACCTTATTGGCCAGAGCAACTGCAGGTGAGGCCGGTGTTGACTTTTTCTTCATGTCAGGTTCTGAATTTGACGAAGTTTACGTTGGGGTTGGGGCGAAAAGAATCCGTGATTTATTTTCCCAAGCAAGAACCCGTGCGCCGGCTATTATTTTCATCGATGAGCTAGATGCTATTGGTGGAAAACGTAATCCTAAGGATCAAGCTTATGCCAAACAGACTCTGAATCAACTTCTGGTGGAATTGGACGGGTTTTCACAAAGCAGCGGGATCATTATTATTGGTGCCACAAATTTCCCAGAATCTTTGGACAAAGCCCTAACAAGACCGGGCAGATTTGACAAAGTGGTTAATGTTGACTTACCAGATGTTAGGGGTCGTGCTGATATTTTGAAGCACCACATGAAGAAGGTGACATTGGCATCTGATGTAGATCCTACGATCATTGCTAGAGGTACACCAGGGCTCTCCGGAGCGGAATTGATGAATTTGGTAAATCAGGCTGCCGTATATGCCTGCCAACGGAATGCGATCGCTGTTGACATGAACCATTTTGAATGGGCCAAGGATAAGATTCTTATGGGTGCCGAAAGGAAAACCATGGTTCTTACCGAGGCTTCAAGAAAGGCAACTGCATTTCATGAGGCAGGACATGCAATAATGGCAATGTACACGCCCGGCGCAACACCACTTTATAAGGCTACCATTTTGCCAAGAGGCAGAGCCTTAGGTATAACGTTTCAGCTACCAGAAATGGATAAGGTTGATATTACACGAAGAGAGTGCTTGGCACGTCTAGATGTTTGCATGGGGGGTAAAATTGCAGAAGAGATAATATATGGTAGGGAAAACACCACCAGCGGTTGCGGATCCGATTTACAAAGTGCCACCAACACAGCTAGAGCTATGATCACTCAGTATGGTATGAGCGAGAAAGTCGGCCCTGTGAACCTTGCTGACAAGTGGGACAGCTGGTCTGGCAAGATTCGGGACATTGCGGACAACGAAGTCATCGAGGTCTTAAAGAGTTCCGAGGAAAGGACAAGAAAAATGCTCAACGAGAAGCACAAGGAGTTAGAGCGTCTTGCTAAGGGTTTAATGGAGTACGAAACTCTAGATTCACGTGAAATTAAACTCGTCTGTCAAGGGGAGTCACTTTCTAAGGCCAAGATGATGACTAATAAGGTCATAGAAGGACCAGATAGCGATGATAGAAAGGAGAGAGGCGACAAATCGAAGATTCCAGTTTTAATAAAGGCATGAGGACTGTCTTTCAAATTGTAGAGAACTCGACTTTTCACTATCATCATCAGCAATTGAAAATTTCATATAATCTGCATACCAACTTGGGATTTTTATCATGTTCCCTAACTATTTTCCAAAGTAAGAAAGGCAGGTTGTGTAGTCAAAAGGCATTTGTAAATAGATACGAAATGAACGCATTAGTGATGACATGAGATTCTCGAATGTATTGCTCGGGATTTTATCCTTTTTTTGGATGATTAAACCAATTTTTATGTATCTATCATGTTTTTTGACGTTTAACTTCTGATTCGGAGGGAGTAGGCGTTGCAGCTTCACTGCTTGCTTCCCTTTGCCGCTTAAGTCTATCGATGACTGAAATTGGATTTTGGCTGTAATGAATTTTGGCTGTGATTTTGACAGCATCATCTTTGGCCGGTATAATCTTCTCTTCGATGACAGCCTGACATGACTTTATGATTTCAAGTAGTCTTTCCGCATTTATGGCTGACGGGTCTTCCTGCTTAAACTCTTTCTGACCATTAGCAGACGAAGTGTCCACGTTCAAATTAAATTTGAGTTGCATGTACCTCATCATGAGTGCTTCATCTTCCGTCAATAGGATCGCTAATGTGATTTGAGGTGGAGTGTAGAAGTAAATCGCATCAGTGAGCAAAGCGTCCGAGATACTTTTTTTGCAATTCGTGTAAACCTGACCCATGTATTTCATATCCACTTTTCCAGAGAGCACATTTTGGATATCTAAGAAAAACCCGTGTAAAGCTTTATATGGATGGTGGTTCATTAGCGTAAAATTTAAACTCTCTAGTAGTTTGAACTCGTGTTTTAACACAGCATCCGCACTTGTTTTGGCTTTCTTAGCGAAGGACTCAACGCCCATAAAGTAGTTTTCGGATTTACATGCAAAGAAAAGAGTGGTATGAAACACTTCTTTGGGGGGAAACTCCATTACAGAGTTTGAAAGAAAAAACTTCCTGAAGAATGACACTGCTGTTGCCGCTACCTCTGTCGGCAGGTTCATTTTACCAGCAAAAGATAGAATCATGCGCGCGAAATAATTCACCAATAACAATTCTTCATGCGGACTTACTGGTACAGCCTTAACTTTTATCGCTGCCAACTCATCCTGGGTCAGATTGGGATGTGATTCGAGGAATACTTTCATATCCAGTTGAGTTTTGGTAGTGACCCTTGCATTTACGTCACTTCTTATCTGAGCGAGCCTCTCTGGTGTAAAGGACCAAAATCGATATTGCGTAGAGTGGCGATATAGATCATCGTCTGTGATTCTGATACTAGATGCTGCTGAATCCTTTTGCCCTGATATGGATCTCTGTACAGTCTTGCTCATTGCTCGGATAGATAGTCGGGTTTGGAAAACTTGGCTCCACACTATTTGAGGCTGATTTCGAGAGATCAATGGGTGGAAATAGTGTAAGGAAGTAGAATGGAGCTTATGAGAACTCCGCTCTCTGGGATTACACCTCTGAAATTCCTATGGTCACTCATCATCTGCTCATGATCTTAACGATCAACGAATTCGACATTTGGAAACTGACATTGTATACGGTAGTCTAGTCTGAACTTCAAGTCGCGCGCATAATGAGAGTATGAGTTTGAATATTCGGCTAAGCATAAGATGGTTTGAACGGTCTCCTCTCACGTCCTTAGCTTCTTGAGAAGAGAACGAAAACTGACGGGAAGTATCGGGAATTTTACGACAGATAGAGTTTTTTTTTAACTCACCCCAATCGTGGAAAGACGTTTAACGACATTACTGTCCCCATACCAAGTCTGGTCGATATTGTGGATTATATCTCTATTTCTTCAGTATATACATACTTAGATTTTTAAGTTGGTTACTCATCCAATCGTAAAAGTCATATGCTTTGTGTAATTCAGGGTTTTCTTGAGATGTTGAATGAATTCACATTTGAGTCAACTGGTCCTCTACAAACCACTTCTAATAAAAATATCAATCAATGACAATTTCTTAAAAAGTGGCAACAAAGGATTCAGTGGCAGATTTCAAGGAGGCCAACAATTCTTTGGTCAATTCACCCTTTTCTCTGATAGCAGAGATGACTTCCTCGTGGTTGGATTTCAAGTATGGCAAGAAAGAGCTCTCGAACTCAGCGATTCTAGAAAGTTCAACGTTGTCCAAGTAACCGTTGACACCAGCGTAAATCAATGGCACTTGCTCTTCGGCAGCCAAAGGAGCGTATTGAGATTGCTTCAAAATCTGGGTCAATCTCTCACCTCTGGCCAAGGTTTGCTTGGTGGAAGCGTCCAAATCGGAACCGAATTGAGCGAAGGCAGCGACTTCTCTGTATTGGGCCAAGAAAAGCTTCAAGGAACCGGCGACTTGCTTCATGGCCTTGACTTGAGCGGCGGAACCGACACGAGAGACGGACAAACCGACGTTGATGGCTGGTCTGATACCCTTGTAGAACAATTCAGCTTCCAAGAAAATTTGACCATCGGTAATGGAAATGACGTTGGTTGGAATGTAAGCAGAGACATCACCACCTTGAGTTTCGATAACAGGCAAAGCGGTCAAAGAACCAGCACCGTTCTTTTCGGAAAGCTTGGCAGCTCTTTCCAACAATCTAGAGTGCAAGTAGAAAACATCACCAGGGTAAGCTTCACGACCAGGTGGACGTCTCAACAACAAAGACAATTGACGGTAGGCAACGGCTTGCTTGGACAAGTCATCGTAGACGATCAAAGCGTGCTTAGCGTTGTCTCTGAACCACTCACCAATGGCAGCAGCGGTGAAAGGAGCAATGTATTGCAGTGGGGCAGCTTCAGAGGCAGTAGCAGCAACGATCACAGAGTACTTCAAAGCGTCGTGTTGTTCCAAAGTTTGAACCAACTGAGCAACGGTAGATCTCTTTTGACCCACAGCAACGTAGACACAGTATAGTTTCTTGGATTCATCGGCACCATCGTTCCATCTCTTTTGGTTCAAGATGGTGTCGATGGCAACGGCGGTCTTACCAGTTTGACGATCACCGATGATCAGTTCTCTTTGACCTCTACCGATTGGCACCAATGCATCGACGGCCTTTAGACCGGTCTGCACTGGTTCGTGAACGGATCTTCTTGGCAAGATACCTGGGGCCTTCACTTGGGCACGAGAACGACCAGCGGCTTGGATTGGTCCCTTACCGTCGATTGGAGCACCTAGAGCATCAACCACACGACCCAACATGGCTGGGCCGACTGGAACATCCACAATTTCACCGGTACGCTTGACAACCTCACCTTCCTTTACCAAACGGTCAGAACCGAACAGCACGATACCGACTTGACCAGGTTCCAAGTTCAAAGCCATACCCTTGACACCGGAGGAGAATTCCACCAATTCTTCGGCCTGCACGTTGTTCAAACCGAAAACACGGGCAATACCGTCACCGACGGACAAAACACGGCCGGTTTCGTTGAGGTTGGTCTCCTCGGAGACACCACGGATACGCTCCTCCAAAATAGAAGAGACCTCGGTGGGCTGGGCCTTGGCAGAGGCACAACGTCTCGAGCCAGCAATCATAGTGGCAGCAACTGGTCTCACGGCACGGACAGCGCCGGCTCTGGCCAAAGTTCTAGCCGCAGTGCGAACGGCAGTGTAACGGGACAACATAATAGAATACTTCTTCTTTTATTTCTTCAATTCAGACCTCTCGAGCTAGTAGCGATCCACACTTCCCAGAGTTTAAGTCAGGCAAACGGAATATATAAGAATCACTCACACAGGAGCTGGAATGGGAATTGAACCTAGAGGTAGCAGAGTGTAGTAGCAATTGTAGCACTAGAAAGCTAAGTCTGGGAACTTAAATCAAAAGAATTGTTAGAAGCTAAGTTGGTTAAAGGTGTTTTTCCTATAGGCCATAGTTTTAAAAATTTCTTCACCTGGATTTCGGCCAATCAGCGCTGAGCAGAGAGAAAATGGACTTATGAGAGGGTAACATCGATCACGTGCCGAGACGGAGACAACAAGACATTTGATTGGCCGAGAACCTGGGCATTCGGCTAGGACGAGAGCAGAGTGAGAGGAGGTATACGTAGATGTGCGAATGAGTTTATGAAATAGCTTGGATAGTGGGGGCTCATGCGCTTTTCTTGCAATTATTTTTGCCCAGTTACGGTCTTTAAATGGCTTTCTGGCAGCGATTTCAAATGCGAATGCTGTGCAGTATTGGGGGGCCACTAAAGAGATTTAGAAAGCTTTATGGGCCGGGGGATCTTTGCAGCTTATTCAAAGAGACCCCTGGTGCTCGCGGGCAGTAAGAGGTTGAGAGTTTGAGCTGGTGAGTCGCACTCGTTTTCAGTGATATGCATGACAGATGGTGCTAAAGTGATCATGATTGGTAAGTGTAGTCGTGGCGCGACGACGCGGAGTTGACGCGCTATTTACACACCGTGCTCTGCCAAAACAGTGAAGGCTCGTCTCCCTGTGATCTTTTGTGCTATGACTATAGTTCAGATAGCCGGTATGTTTACAAAATTCTCGCGAGAATATCTGGGGTGCAGTTAGCGCCTGACAATTCAACAGTTGAATCCCACAAGTGTGTTTTTGAGCTCTTGAATAATTGAAAGGGCTGGCCGAGGCTTTTCTGTGTAACCGCTTTTCTTCTGAATCCCAACGGTTGCCTATCCACCCTGTACGCTTTTATTTTACTGACTTCGAAAGAATCACTTCGTACTATAATGACACTAGATCGATAGTTGCCGTTATGTCACTCGATGCCACTCAAACAGTACCAGACCACTGCCTGTCAGTAGTTCTCACATACTTGCTTAGTAGCCATAGACAGAGAGAACACATCGTGACCTGATCTATTTTCATCTTTATCTTACTAAATCGCAGTGTATCAAAGCAAAGCTACCTGGGATGCCTTACCTTCACCAGTGCAACTATCAAAGATGTTCCCTGAGATATCTTGGGACAATATAGCGGTTAATCCCCACCCCCCATGTCAATAAATCAGTGATCTGGCCACTGGTCTTTGTAATTCTATCTGTTTTCCCAAATGTAACTGACTCAACCCCGAAGACCGGCCACATCGAAAAATCAAGTCTCCTTTGCCTCCTCTCGTGAAAAGTATTGCTAAACAAATGAAGGAAATATGATCGGGTTCTTCTTTTTCCCACGAATTTCAAGAGACCTCATGTCTTCCTGCTTATCACCTCCCCTGTGTCTTCTGCACACACAACTTATTGAAACGTCTTAAGCAATTTTGTGCCCTACCAAGCACAAAAGCTGCTTATTGAACAGTCATCCTCGATTTTGGTAGTAGTCGCTATCCAAGTCAAGTATTTTTGTGTCGTCTCGACCCCTACATTGTTCTCTCGATCGCAATTCGGGCCTCCTGCATAGAACATACTTAAAAACGGAACCTGATGGCCTACAGAACGTAGAAGTTCCAAGCCAACTAAGACATCAGAAATCGTTTGCAGGTTGGGCGCCATTATTCCTGTGTATACACTTCAACATTGAGTTCTGCTCAATCAGGTCTTCATCGCAGACCAGATAGCTTGGTGCACTCGGCTGCAACACCCTAACCAAGAACAACAGACCCAATTTGACCACATCTAGAAACGTGGAATTATCGTGAGATATATATATCTTACCAAGACCGCATCGCATTTGGTCTCACCCTAACCCAGCCTTCCCCACATCTAAGGTACTTCTTCCATTAAATGGAGAAAGCAAAGTGTCGATCCTACCGGAGCTGCATTGCAGTGATAACTTTGTCTGCAGTCGTTCTGACAAGCTGGCTGCTGTTGCATTCGATACCGAAAGCAAGCCATTTACATTTACCATGCAGAGTCTTTCGATCCCACCACAGGCATCATAATGCCCACGTTGAACGGCGCAGAAGAAGCTCAGAGACCCTTTACGAACTTCTCAGCGACTCGCAAGATACATACTACGATGAGGATGCGTGGGTCGTCGGTACTACCTTCTTCTCGGAAAATACATTTTCGCGACAACCGTACGTCGCCAACGGGTATATTGGAAGTCGGATACCGAACGTGGGGTTTGGCTACGCCCCCGACACCTTCAATATTTGGATCCCCGATGCATCCACTCCAGGTGCCTTAGATAACGGGTGGCCTCTGAGAAATCGTCGTTTTGCTGGCGCTTTTGTATCGGACTTTTATGGCCTGGAACCTAAACTCAACTCAACGAATTTCCCAGAACTGGATGATAAGGGTTACTCCACCGTGCTTTGTGCAATTCCCCAATGGACTGATATTGATTTTTCTATTCGCAACGATACTTTAAAATTCAATGCCCAGAGTGTTCATGCTCTTCAGGTTTCCAACTACAATCAGAATCTATCTTTGCAAACCGGCACCGTGACTACAGAGCTCGACTGGCTGGATACACTTCATATAAAGTCGACAGTCTTTGCTCATAGGACAGTGCACCCATTGGGAGTGGTCAAGCTAGAAATTTCCTTGATTCCGGAAAATTCAGCCAATATTGACACAATCGACTTGCAGGTGTATGACACATTAAACCACTCCACGTCAAGAAGAACTAACCTCAAAAATTTGGGATATGATACAGATGGTATCTTCATGGAAGTAGAACCTAATAACGTCCCTTACTCATCAGCGGCTATGTATTCAACTTTGAGATTTGCCTCTGCAGCAGGAAACCTCGATGGGGTTTTGTTTCAAGTTACAGATGCCAACACATCCGTTATCAGTAAACATTTTGTGCAGTTAACTGCAGAGAATCCATCCGTCACCATTTTCAAATACGTAGGGGTAATGTCAACAGAATATGATCGGTACGACAAAACTGCCCCAAATTCCCAAATTGCAAAGGATATCGTAATGTCACATTTAGGAGCATACAATACACTCTCGGAGATCCATCGGCAAGAGTGGATCAATTTGTATGACAATGCTTCTATAGAAATACCTTCAGACAGTCTCCTTGAATTAGCTGCCAAGTCGTCACTTTTTCACTTGTTAGCAAACACTAGAAGATTTAACGTTTCTCAGGAGCGGGGGTTACCGGTGCCATCGTCAGGCTTAAGCTCTGACTCATATGCAGGCCTGGTTTTCTGGGATGCAGATCTTTGGATTTTGCCTTCCTTACTTCCATTTTTCCCCGACATATCAAGGCATATGGTAAACTATCGCGAAAAAACCCACGAGCAGGCGAAAACCAATGCAGCTTCCAATGGATGGCCTGGTGCATTATATCCCTGGACATCAGGAAGATTCGCAAACTGCACTTCGACAGGCCCATGTGTCGATTATGAATATCATATCAATATCGATGTGGCCATGGCTTCTTTTTTGGTATACCTAAATGGGGCCAACGGAATCGATGACGAATATCTCCGAAAAACAACGTGGCCGTTGGTGAGAGATGCTGCCACCTTCTTCACAGCCTTTGTGAAATACAACCCAGAGTTGGATGCGTATGAGACCCATAATATGACAGATCCTGACGAGTATGCCAATTTCGTAAGTAACGGAGCCTTCACGAACGCTGGTATCAAAACGCTATTGAAGTGGGCCATTGACATTGGAAGGCATTTGAAGGAAAAAGTGGACCCAAAATGGAAAGAGGTGTCTAGCAAAATTTTAATTCCCATTGCCGAGTCTAATATCACACTTGAATACTCGGGCATGAATTCATCTGTCGAAATTAAGCAAGCTGACGTTATGTTAATGACTTATCCTCTAGGCTATATCACAGATGAGACCATTTTGGATAACGCCATTAGGAATTTGTATTACTATTCTGAGCGTCAATCGGCGAGTGGGCCCGCAATGACATACCCTGTTTTTGTGGCCGCAGCGGCCGGTTTGCTGAATCATGGTTGCTCATCACAAAGTTATCTTTATAAGTCGGTCTTACCTTACGTGAGAGCTCCCTTTGTGCAATTCAGCGAGCAGTCAGACGATAATTTTCTCACCAATGGTTTTACTCAACCTGCTTTTCCTTTTCTAACTGGTAATGGCGGTTATTTACAATCGTTACTATTCGGATTGACGGGTCTCCGCTATTCATATTCTACTAATAAGACTACTGGTCAAATTGACAGGCTTCTGAAGTTCAATCCTATAAAGCTGCCCTTGCTGGCTGGGGGCATTACGATTAGAAACTTTAAGTACATGGGTCAAGTTTTAGACGTCGAGATAGGCGACGAAAATGCCACAGTCGTGCACAAATCGGGCGTTAATCCAATCAATATTCGTGTTTTGGATCGAAATATTATCCACGATCGAGAGATGGGCCTCTTTCACCAACCTCACGTCCATCGACACAAAGACTTGCCTGCCAAAGATGTTGTGCTACAGCCTGGTGAGACGCTTAGTGTCAAACTATTTGAACCACTGTTAAACATCGACGGTAACCTCGCAGAGGGGAAACAGGTTACTAATTTTACCACCGGTGTCCCCGGAGATGTTATATACTCAGTCACAGATGGTAATAACTTTACTCATTGGCAGCCCCTGCACAAGGAAGACTGCGCCAAGATCCTGATAGATTTGGGCCCTGGTAATGAGTATGCTCTTAACGGCGGGACAATACTGTGGGGAGGAAGACCTGCGCGGAATATTTCAGTATTTGTACTGCCATACAAGGGAGACATCGAGGAGGCGTTGTACAATGCTTCTAGGGAAGTTGAAGAATTTAGCCCCGAAACAGCGACTGATATTTTGGGTTTCACTGGTCAGGCGTTGGACATGCAGTCGAGATTAAGTGGTACAAGGGAACAATTCTATGACAATGTAGACTGCCGAGAAATGCTGCACTCTCAGAAATTAGATATTGGACAACTCTCCAAAATATCACCCGATGCGTTGCTACTGAAAAGCCGGTTCGTGCCAGTGCTGAGAGACTTAAAAGTGACACCATCAGTACCGTATGTATGGGAAGACGCTAGCAAAGGGGAGATTCAAATCCCGCGCAGCAACGTCACGAATTTTGTTTTTGATTACCAAAACTACACTAATGAATCGGTAACCGCTCTCTGGCCGCCGCCTCGGTTCGTACTACTATGTGTGCAAGGTACTTTCGACGACGACGATGATCCCCGCGGAGCGACAATTAAAGAGATCGGATTGATGCAATAAGCGTCCCATTCATAAGAAGAATTGTAGTCTGCGCGAGGGTCGTAGGTCGGAAGAGAAATTTAGTATATATTTAACAAAAATATTGCGAATTCTGTGGATCGAACACAGGACCTCCAGATTTCAAACGACCAAAGTTTTCTTCAGTCTGGCGCTCTCCCAACTGAGCTAAATCCGCTAATGTGAAAAACGAACACAGCTTGGTTCTATATATCGTTATAAAGTGGGCATTTTGCATTTTGCTCCAGGTTGCAATTGCAATTGAGGGAAACCGTATATAACGGAAAGGGTTTCTAGCTAGGCGCAACTTCCTTAATACTCATTCTGTTATATAAAATCATCAATCAGTTCTTCGGTCTCACCATTACCAAGTACTGCTCTTTCTCATAATCACAACCGGTTACAATGGCAGATTACGTTAAGGTTTTCCAAGATGAGCTCAAAACTCTAGACCATGTATGTTTATATTGATAGCATTCCGCGTGAACCATCTTGGTCAAAGGAGGATACCGGGCAACATCGCTTCAAGCTATGTCTGTCGTAATACCAAACTATGTTACTAACGACCTCGATTTTCAGAAATTCGCTGGCAACGGTCTGTTGCAACAATTTGAAGCTAAGACCAACCTTCCAAAGTCGTACGGTGTGGTCGGGGCAGCCTCTGTATATCTACTTTTGATCTTCATCAATGTTGGTGGCATTGGCGAGATTTTGTCGAACTTTGTTGGATTTGTGATCCCCACTTACTACTCTCTAGTGGCTCTCAAATCTGCTCAAACCAAAGATGATTCTGAATTGCTGACCTATTGGGTTGTCTTTGCTTTCTTGAACGTTATCGAATTTTGGTCCAAGGCTATTTTATACTGGGTTCCTTTCTACTGGTTCATTAAGACCTTGTTGTTGGTGTACTTGGCTCTACCTCAAACCAACGGAGCTAAGTATGTGTACAAGACTATCTTGGACCCAATCACCAGCAAGTACATTAAGGCGTCCGGGCCAAGAGGTACCGAAAATATCTCGATTAAAATGGACAACTTGGCTTCCCATGGTAAGACCACTGGGTTCGCTGGCCATCAGCAATAAATAGCTGGTCACTTCGCGGTCCCTGACGATTAAATGGTGGTAAATATTTCATTTTTTCACCGGTCTAAGGTGCGTAAACATTATGTAGTTCATTATAACGTCGGTTTACTCACTCTCTTTTTCTTTTATTCACAAGCTTTGGTCGAATTTGTGATCAAACTGCTCGGTTTTTAAGTTCATATCGGAACCTTGGTGTACAATCTTTATCCTGAATTTGAGCTTCCCACTACCACTTACCCGCAGTTCCTGTACACAGACCTGGTCTGACTCGAGCGATGCGCTAGATAAAGTCCCTAAAATGAGTTTCTGAGTCTTGGATACTGCTGCAAAAATTTGGACGTTATGCATAGGAACAACTGCCCGGACAAACAATTCCAGCTCAGCTCCTTCAGGTCCCACGGATTTAATCCTCATGAAAACAGCCATTTCAGAAGAGGTATAACATTGTGCAGCATTTTCAGGAACAGAAGCATAAACCCCATTACCAGCCAGAGGAGCTGTTCTGGTGTCATTTTCTACCTGACTGGCTAGTACATCATTGTGAAACTTTGTGGGAGGATTACGAGGGGGGGAAGTTTCTAGAAGATCTAATAGGAGGCTAGATTCCACCGGCTTGGTGGGTGGAGCCATGTTTTTTTGCAGACTAACTTTGTCGCTTCCACCTTTGCTTTTCTTCTCAAAAAACGGCATAGCTCCCAAAATGTCGTGCTTTAGCCCGGCAGGTTGATTGAATATTATAGAGTACTGATAACTCTTATTTTGGAGCATCAAGTTAGTGTCTCGGGTATGACCCATTATGATCTGTCGCAATTCCTCCACACAACCTGGATTGTTGGTCTTTGATGACAGTTTTAGTGCTGCGGTTAAAACATAACCAATTAACATTATGCTGTCGGAATACATGTGGTTCAGTGCAGAGAGGTACTCTGCAAGCCTAGTGTCCGAAAATATGTTTTTTTGTAGCAGGATGTCACCGTACTCACCGATGCACCAAACGCTCATTAGTTTCCATGCCAAATTGTCACCTTTGACAACGCCTTCAAGTCTGCCTAATGACACTGTTAATATTTGCTGGATCACTTGCAACTTATGGTTCAAATCCTGGCCATTGTTGATCATCAGTAAAACTTCACTAACTTTGTCTAAAGAAATGTGTTGGCCAACAACTTTTAAAACTTGAACCATCACATCAATTGCCCAATTTTCTTGATCTGGGGTTCGCGAGTCGAAGTGATTCACTAGATGATTTACAGTACTGATGATCAAATCTTTGTCCTGATCATCAGACCCCTTGAGGAATGATAGTAGTTCTTCTACTAACTCCGTCATGTTCGAATCGTTGAGAATTGCAAAGGTCAATTCTACAGCTCTAGCCCTGATAGAGATATCGGGGTCAAATAAACAGCGCGAAATAAATTTGCGGTGCTTTTGAACAGCATTCGGTTCTTGAGGAACAACATCGAGTAGAGTGTTGAGTCCCACGTACTTGGTGTTATTGTCTTTCCCTCCCAAAAACTTGGCCAAAACATTCACTCCAAGAATTTTTAGAGATTGATCAAGCTGAAGAGCAAAAATTGTGCGGACACATTCATACAAAACAGCATGAGCAGCGTTCTTGGAGCCATCGGAATTCGTGGCAATTTTTGTCAGTATATCATTTAATTTGTTTTTGTACCTGTCGGTTCCCTGAGGTGCCAGCTCGAACATTAGACGTAAAGTGTACAGAAGTTCCACTTGTAAAAATGGATCGCAAGTTCCGCCAACATCATACTCAGGGTTGAAACTGGTCGAGTTCATGTCTTGAAGAAGAGAGAAAAGCTCTGGAATATTGGCTACCAAGCTCTGCAATATCTCAGGATAATTGTCATACTCGTATTGAGGCCGGCACGAAAGAGCGACTTGACACAATTTGACGACACCGAGTAAACCGCCGTGTGTGCATAAATGGTGCGATTTTAGAATGGTTCCGACATACGGGTAGAATATTTCTAGCAAAGAGGCGTCTCTCTCGATTAGCTTAGCAGCGCACTGAAGTGCTTTCTTGACCAAGAATTCGTCCGTAGAACGCGCCAGGATGGTCTCTACGTCAGGGTACAGATCGCGAGCCAATTCCGGGGATGTCAATGAGCCTAAAGTGGACAGCGCTAGGGACACGACGTATCTATTTGGGTGTGTTAGATCATTACTGATCAGATTGGTCAGTAAGGTTAGCACTTCTTGATGCTCGTCCAGTAGAATCATAGCAGCCAAGTATCCGAGCCTCTTATCGCGAAAGTCATCAGACGCGATGAGATTGATGCATTCCACTTGGGCAAAATGCGTCTTTTCACCCAAAATATGGAGATAAAGGAGCTTGTGTATGTTTTTGCGCCTTTTCTCTTGGGGCAAATGATCGTCTTTGAGTTTCGTTCTAATTCTGGCCGACTCCTTGGTTACGATGGATCGTTCTTCGGCCAATGTTTTAGCGCCACGTACATCCTTGATAAATGTTCTCAGAGATCCCATTGCAATTCCAAAGGCTGTGTCCTCGTGTTAGCTTGAGCAGCTTAAATGTGTATACAATGTCTAATTTCTTGAATGAAGTAATTAATACTTAAACAAAACAACAATAAAAGAACCCATCAAAACAGCATTCGCCAACACCAATGCCTTATGGCACCGTACCTTATTGCGGAACTCAATAATTGGATAGCTATTTTTCTCAACTTGATCTAGTCATGTCTCTAATCACTTGGAGCTCGTGCGACTGACAATTCTAAGACTCTATAAAAGTCTAGGTTGAGATCGTGAAGTTTCCGCCAGGTGAGATATGCCTACTTGAGCTAACCATGATTTATAAGGTGAGAAAGTTCCAGGGGGTCGATTTCCTTGATGGCTACATTCAGGTAGTCTTTTCTGGAGAAATGTTGAAATGAGATCTGCATCAAATAGGCAGAGCTTAGCGTGAAATTTATCTCCATATGTTTCTATAGAGGTAAGAGTGGGAACATGGGCGACAGCGTGGGCTTGCCAGACGAAGAAGACCCCCAAGTTTCATTGATATGACCTACAAATGGAAGGGAGGGAACTTGAGTAACAAGAGTGCTATTTTCGAATCTTTTACAATCCTGAGGAGAATAGGAATGGCTTGTTAGAGCTGTACAGAATCTTCCGATGTCTAATGTAACATAGAGTTGCATATGGCACTTTGTCATTATAAACGACTTTGACGTTCTTGTTGTGGAACTTCCTAGAGTTGAGCCCAAGGGTCGATCTAACGATTGTTATGCGTCAGCATTTTTGTTTTTATGAATTACAGCTGTCGGTACATGCCATTCCCGTTAGGTTGAGGCACTCGCCCCCATTAAATGAGACCCATGAATTGAAAGATCTTTAGCGCACTTCGAGTTTCTGAATTGCGTAGGAATATATCGGAAGTAACCCCGTTAAGCTGGTATTTCCTGCTCTTTAAGCTCGTCGTTTCAAATTAGGATGTGGAACTCGACCTTCGAAAATCGGAGGGCCACAAATAAAAATAGACCCACGAACTCGAATAACAAAAATTACAGAGTGTATTTCATCTATGGTGTACCGACGATGAACCCCACTTCATGATTATTCATGTACATTGTTTGGCCCTTTAATCCCATAATTTTGAAAGGCTCAGGTATTTTACTCGTGTATAATGCCAAATGTGCTAGACACATTAACTATCCCATTCCTAGATAATGGTACTACATTAGGTAATTCTCATAATTTCAAACTAACGTAAGGAAAATTACGCCTGCCACCAGAGACGTCTTTTTTGTCCTACGCAGGTTTCTCACTTTGTTTGAAGATTCGTTGATTTGTTCCAAGTTCTAGGAGGCGTGAACCATAAGGGTATAGGCCGTTTAACCAGCTGTTACGGTTTTGGAATCATTATCACAAACACTACTTGGGCCGCCAAAATCGCTCTAGATGCCTTTTTCTAACTCTAAGCCGCCTTCAACGGCGAGTGATTACAAAACGGACGCCTCGAATATTGTCAACCCAACGGGCCGAAGACGGTCGTCATCTATCAAACATGCTCTGAGTAATATAATGAAGACTGTCCCAAGTCATACACACTCCTCTCGGCCAGGCTCTCAATCTGGCAATTCTTCTACCGATCCAATCCAAGGGCTTGCGCCACCTGTTTACAGCGCTCAAGAAAAGATGCCAAGCTCAGGAAATCCGCAAGTTCACTACGCAACCCACGGTAATGGAGCTAATGCCAGTGAAGTTGCATATTCAGATAACAATGGAATGGTGCCTTTTAGTGAAGATGAGTACGAGGAGGCCGATAATGAGTCAGAAGAAATTTACTCTGAATCGGAGGACCTCCAGAGCCAGTTCAGTGCTTACGGTTCAAAGAGTGTCACCAACCTTCCTACCGGCCGTAGGTATTTGCTGGAATACTTGGCAGAAAGAGGATTTTTGCAACCAAAAAATTTGAGCACGAAAAGCGACATCAGTATGTTTATGGCCACTTCATCTGAGGTTGTTTTTCTGCCCACTGTGTCAGCACAAGAGGACGAATATCTAGCTCATTTGGCATTGCTCAATGGCTCAGATTCTAACTTGGAAGAACATGATACACCCTCTGGTGTAGCACCTCCCCAGTCGAGCAGTATTCGGTCATCTTCTGCGGATGGCGAAAATGCCTCCTCTGCGTCTCGCGATGAATCATACTTAGGTGCGGATGGTAACAATGTCCTTTTTAATATTGCAGTGGTTGCCTCATTTCAGAGAGTCACCACTCTCACCTCCTTGAGAGCCGAATTATATTCAAGAGTTCGGATTTATTGGCAAAATGGTGTACCGCCTGAAAAGCAAACAAATGAGGAATATTATACCCTGGGTGAATTAAGTTGGGATTTGACAGAAGAGAATTTTAGTCTTTATGTCCCACACCACCTTTCGACCAAAAGCAAAATCATTGAGAGGTCAGAAAATTTACCTAATCCGCACATCTTCAGGAACAAGAATAATATATCAGAACAGCCTTATCTGAGTCGAAAGAGGTCAAACACAGACCTTGTTTCTACTATAGACTCTTTGAATAGTGAGCAAACTTTTCAGCCCGGTGAATATGTCTTCCTGCTCCCTGTATTTTTCTCGAGTAATATCCCAGAAACCATATATCTACCATCAGGTAGAGTCAACTACAACTTTCGCTGTGCAGCCAAAATTTCCCAGGGTTCTTCTGGAATAGACTCCAGAAGCGATGTCTCGTCTGCAAATTCCGTTGTTTCCCGCGGGTCCGAAGACCATCAGCTGGAGATCTCAAATCATGCTTTATTTACTGGAAATAAACTTCTGAGAAAAGTTAGAGATCAATTGCATGGGGGTACTGGCCAAAAAGCAAGTGCCGCAAAAAAAACGCTGATTAGAGGAGACCAGTCGATACAAGTAGTACGGATACCTCCTACAATCTCCGAATCTACGGCGGATAAGCCAATTTACATTAATAGGGTGTGGAATGATGCACTATCTTACGAAGTGTCTCTTTTGAAGAAATTCGTGCCTATAGGGAGTGAAATTCCAATAAAGATAAAATTGGCCCCCATCAGCAAGGACGTTTCTGTCAAAAGGATTAAAGTGAGCATTATTGAAAAAATCACATACGTCTCTAAAAATCTAGAGTACGAGTTTGACCAAACTGAGTCTATTTCTAATGATCCTTACAATCCGTATTACTCTGAGTTTGTTTGCAGGCGCAAACAAGAAAGAATTATGCCGCTTTGGGAGATAAGGTCCAAGGAAAAAGGAAGCAGAGCCATGCGGGAGGATATCATCGAAAACTGTCGATCGGAAAATTTGCTTTCGTTTATTTCATGTCCATCAGAGAGTAAGAAGGATGCTCTAGTGGACATCGTCGACCCTCTCACAGTGGAATCAAAGCTTGTGTTCCCCAGGTTCACGGCTCTAGATAGAAGGACCTCCAAAAGTGTACCGCCATATGGTATTGATGAGTTCACGGCGATACATCATCCCCCACCAGGGCCACCTAGTGGTCCAGTTTCGAGAAGGAACAGCACAGCGTCGGGCGTGATGGGATTTTTCGCAGGACGTAAAGTCAGCACACCTTTTGCTTCCCGCCGTGGCTCTACTGCAGGTATGATGGACCCCCTCAAGCTAAAAACCAGCTTCAGGTCAGGTTCTAACATGCCAGTACACTCACATAGCCGTTGCAATGAGCCAAAGCGTGGATTATATCTGGACTGCGTCAGCTTTAAGAATATACACGTTAAGCATAAATTAGAAGTGATGCTACGCATCAGCAAACCTGATCCGAAAAATCCAGGAAGCGAAAAACATTACGAGGTATTGATTGACACACCCATCTTCATTGTTTCTCATCTTTGTGGCAGCTCGAATATTGAACTACCAACATACGACGTAGCAACTCGGCATGCCAGCATTTCTGACCTACTCCCCCCAACCTTCGAGCAGGCTGTATCAGTCCCTGGATCACCCAGTACTTCACCTCTTGCGTCACCAATGGACTCGCCAGCCTTTGGCGGGTCATACGATCCAGATGAAGTCTCCATTCAGCAGCTTTCGCTTTCGAGGCAAGCAACTCGTAATCATTCATCAGAACCTTCAATACTGAGTGTTCCAGCGGCGGCTGCCCGGCGCTTCAGTACCATTGACGGTTTAATGCATGTTCCAATGGCTGACACAGCCCCCGGAATTTTCAGAGAAGGTTTTGGATTCCGCCATACTGGTACGAACTCGAGGCATGGGACTCCGGGGGAAGATGAAGAGCCACCCAAATATGAGGGTTGAAAAATATCTGTAGTTGAAATGAAATAAAGAGGAGTCACACAAGCAAATACTTTTAGGTTATCATATATTATGAACTTCGTGCATCTATATTCTGAGCACGCCCCTTGCTTGGTTCACACCGACCGAGCTTATCATCCTCAAACCTGCCGCGCCGAAGGGGAAATAGCTGACTGCGTAGTAAATAATTGCAATCAGTTCCAAAACCGCACATGGAATGGTCAGTAGAGTGGATTTTTGGAAAGCAGCAAAATAAATGGTCAGAAAGCAACTGGTGAAGAAGAATACGCTGAAAGGAAGTCTTTCTCTTGAGGTGATATGCTTGAAGTAAGCCCTAGGGCCCTGTAGAACACCGAAAGCTCCCACAAACAGCAGCGATCCCAACGACCATAAAAGCCCAAACTTCCGTGGTTTCAGGGCCAACACTGGTAAGAGAAACACACAGAGTGTAAAGCATCCTGCTGATCCTAGCATGCAACACACAAAAAGCAGAAGGCGCTCGGTCCGCGACAACGAAAACCAGGCAGGCTCCTGATCTTGAACGAGGTCCTGCTGTTGCATGGGCAACCGCTGGTAAACATCTTGGGCCCTGGTGTTGAGCGACTCGGCCCATGATGAAAATAAAGTTTTGGCGCTCTCATTGAAACCTTGTGAATGCTGTGAGCGGGTTTCGTTCCACCTGTTAAGCGAGTCGCGGAGTGTTCCCTCTTGCGTTGCCATTGTCCTAAGAGCAGAAATAGATATTATGTAAAAATGCTATGAACAGTTTTAGAGCGTTTCAAACAATCAATATGTGTGGCAGTTGGCTCTAAAGAATGGACGTTTGTATTATTTTGAGAGATGTGAAGTAATGTGTGGCTTTTGATGAAGTGGTCTTTTCATTGAAGGTAAATTATAATTAATCCCAAATTTCAATTTTTAGTCTGAATACCAAATAACGAAGGGCCAACGCTCGATGAGCCCAGTGACGCGAGCAGCGACTATCTATTGAGCTTCAGTGTTTGAAAGGCTTCAGAAACATATTTGTAGGCATAACTGCTTTTCAAGCAAGAGAATGGACTTCAAACAGGACGACGAAGAATTCATCAATGAGCTGTTGGGCCATGCAGGGTTGGGGAACTTTAATGGCGATATGGGGGCACACACCACAGGGGATGGTGATAATGGGTTTGAAAGGGCGACAAATTTGGATGCAGAAATGGGCTTTCAAGGTTTGAACGTTCCAGCCCATACTGCCAACGATGGGGCCACGGGAAACTCGTTAGGTAACTCGCGTGAGACTATGGAGTCTGGTTATTTGATTGATGATCACTTAGGTCGACAGCCGCAGCAGCTAGAGTTTTTGAGTGAGAATGTGCTTTTTCAACAGGATCCCCATCAACAGGACCTCGCGAACGATGATCAACTTTCGAGTTTTACGGAGGATCGAGTTTCATCTCTAGGTTCTAGTGTAACCACAGGGGACTTTATGTCTCCTACATCCTCGTCTTTCAACTACCAATCTATGCAGCAGCTACAGCCCCAGCAGTCACATCACCGAGACTCGGTGGAATCCACTTCTTACTCTAACTACCTGTCATCAAGTTTCCGGTCACCTTCAAACAGCCTGCGACAAGGAAATTTACTTTCAGGATCACTCCGTACTCAGCAACTCCACCCTCGCCATTCCTCGGTTGGCAGTGTCCCACAGCATCAATCTCCACTTTCTCTCGAACAAACTGGGTCCAGCGCGCAGATAACCCCCGAGGAAAGACTTCGGCGTCGTCGCGAATTCCATAACGCAGTAGAAAGAAGACGGCGGGAGCTCATCAAGCAGAAAATCAAAGAATTGAGCAAAATTGTGCCCCCCAGCCTTTTAAACTATAACGACCAGGGAAAAGAAGTGAAACCAAATAAAAGCGTCATATTGGGAAGGTCTGTGGACTATCTTGAATACCTGCAGCAAGTCTTGGAAATTCAAGACCGCAAACGGCAATTACTTCTGCGAAAGGTGAGAGAGTTTGAGTTATTCCGACAACATGGTAAGACCAGTGCTCTGGATGGCAACCGAATTTCTTCCGCCGCACATGTACCGGATTCGGGGAGTTTTAACGTGGGAGCTGTTAATAGTACTTCACCAGAACAGATTCTCGATAACAGGACACTGCCGCTTGCTGGCGACAATGCATCTTCAACACCGTCCACTACGATACAGGACGACCTACAGCAGTTTTTGTCGGGAGATCTCATTGAGGCCGAAGACAATGCAAAATTGATGTTTGGTGGTGAAAGCGATGGAACGGCCGCAGACTTTCTCTTAAATTTTGGCAAGTAAGGCTTCATTATGTGTATATAGACACAAAGGATCAACAGAGGACGTTGTTGAAAATGAAAATGGATATGGCGCTACAAGTTTTTTAATGTCACCAAAATCATATTATTCATTAAATGGTTCAGATATATAGCTTCGACATCAACTAAACATAAACAATACGGACAGAAATGATCATGACTCACAACCTCTCTTCTTCTGATTAATCCAAAGCACGTCGCCTTCACCTTTGCTCAAGCATGACTGAACTTAGACTTAGTTGGTGTGCCTGACGAACGTAGAAATCACTATACACGCATTTATTGTTTGTAAGGTCACTTCTGATATTTCTGCGATGCATCAGAATATTAAGCCAAATACAGGACAGGACCAACATTTGCGCCCTAATTGAGGGATGTCCTCGTCTAACCCCACCAATTTCAGAGATGATGGACCTAAACTCAGGGAAGAAAAGCATTTTGCCGATTTCTATCCTGAACTCAATCAGCAAGAGCTCTTGCCGGTCATTTTAGAAGACAATTGTCACTCGCCGGGGCCACATCGAGAATTGGAAGCCTCAGATAGCATTACTGGCGCTATTTCTAAGTCGAATAATAGAAATGCAGATATGGCGCTTATAAAGCAAATGATTTACAACGAGAAATTGACCTTGGAGCCGATTGTTCTTGACAAGGATCGTGTCAGATTCAAAAAATGCAAACTGCGAGTTGCTGACATGGGGAGAAACTCCCGGGTTGGTAAGCAATACCAAAAATATGGTTTTCTTGGCGGAGGTTCTGTGGGAAAATTGGGAAAAGCAGGATCACCATATATCAAACGAACAGATGATTACACCATGAAAAGGGTTGACACACTGGGCCACATTTCGAGATATCAAGCTAATTTTAAAGTTGAGTACGATATGGATGAACAAGATGACTTGTATTTGCGGTATCTTAACCAAATTCGCGTCACTAATCCCAAAAATAGTCTCACTCACGAAGCTTTTGAAATCATCATGAGCGTCCTAGAAAATGAGTGGTTCTATTTGGAAAAGAAAATCCCACCTCGAATTTCTACAACTTCAAACGTCTCGACCTGGGAAACAAGAGCGGCCTGGGCTCATTACGAGGCGTACGGATCCGATGATGGCACTGGAAATGTGGCTGATCAACCGTGCGCGGTATGCGGAGGTACCGATTGTGACAATTCGAATGCAATAGTGTTTTGCGATGGATGTGATGTAGCGGTTCACCAGGAGTGCTATGGCGTAGTATTTATCCCAGAGGGCCAATGGCTTTGCCGCAGATGCATGATTTCAAGAAATAGAAAAATTAACTGTCTTTTTTGTCCTAGTCATACAGGTGCTTTCAAACAAACCGACCGAGGATCCTGGGGGCATGTTGTCTGTGGAATTTGGATTCCTGAGCTTTTTTTTGTGAACTCTCACTATATGGAACCTATTGAGGGCATTGATTCAATCCCGAGATCGAGGTGGAAGCTTACGTGCTACATATGCAAGCAAAAGGTGGGCGCCTGCATTCAATGTTCAAACAAGAACTGTTTCAGTGCATATCATGTCACTTGCGCCAAGAGAGCAGGACTCTGTATGGATTTCGGTTCGTGCTCAATTTTGGAGGCTTCCTCCAATGCTCCTGGGATAAATCTACGGAGCTTTTGCGATAAGCATTCACCCGAAGGTTGGCCTGATTGCAAGCAAGGCATTGTGAAAACGCGAAACTACTTTGCTGCTGAGATTAGGAGTGCAGTCGAGGGGCACACAGAAGCCGTTGAAAAACGACCGAAACATTCAAACCAAAAGGGACAGTGGAAAACGAATCGTGGAACGCCGATAGCTCCGCAATACTTCTCAGGAATAGTTCAAAAAGTGCTGGACACCTTCAAGATCGAGAATAGCAACAAACTGTCCACAGATTTGTGCAAGTACTGGTCAATGAAGCGTGAGCTCAAGAGAGGCGCTCCATTGGTGAGAAAGTTTGATCCATCTTCGTTCGGTACCTTTACGGTTGACGAGCTAAATCATCGCGTTGAGTTTGCTAAAGTGCTTTCCAATGACCTCCAAAAGCTACAGCAACTCTCTCACACCCTTACTGATAGACAGGTTGCGTTACAGTTGCGCAATCGCGCTCGTCAAAAGGCCGAAGAGCTTTACAACTATCCTGGGAAATTCATTTTGCGAGAGGCGATCGTCAAAAGAATGGGCAATTTTTCATCCTACAGGGCTCTTATGCAAGAGAAACGCACTCGTGATGCTTTATCTAGTACGATTGAAACTTGCTTGGGCTCCCAGAAAGACGATCATCTGGCGCTTTTCGAACAACTCATGACTGTGTTCTTTGCAGAGATTGAAGGAGACGAAAAGGCATCCCGAAGAATGAAAGGAGAGGCAAAGAAACTTCAGGTACATATCAATACGCTGTTAGGTTCAGTCAACGTTGCTCAGTTTCGAAAGTGGATTGCTCAGGATTTCACTTTCGAGAAGGGTAAAATCAGGCCCTTGCCGTGGAAAGGGCCTTTATTGATGACAGAATCAGGATTAGAAGAAATAGCCGAGCTAACACACTCTGAAATGCGCATTTTGAGGAATGCAATGGACGGGAAGTAGGGTTTCACATACGTACTGCCTTGAGCTTCCTTTAGTACATCGTTCAGAACGAAATTTGATACTAAGAAAGTGATCGCGAATCCTGCTCATAGGTGATAGACATAATGGGAGATGAAGGACACGCAGGAAGGAGCCAAGTCTAATGGGCTCGATAAAAAGGGTTTTGAATTGGTCTCCAGATGGGAATGTTGACTATATTTCGGTGAATCCAACGAGAGAAGAACTGGCTCATTACAAGGTGGTTCCTGATGACACCAGCGACCAATCAATCTCTAAGGTAAACGTGGTAAAAGATTTCGATAACATTACATGTCTAGACTTCTCTGAATCAGAAGTTGGCCTTGTAGCTGTGGGTGAGAAAAATGGGATGGTCCGAGTGATGAACGTGGTGTACGATTTCTCAGACCAAGGTAGCTCTCAGCTTAATGTTCGAGCGAAACAACAGAGAGCAGTCAATACTCTTGGGATGAGTAATAGTGGCCTCATAGCTATGGGCCTAGAACGAAACCGTCATGACGCTTCTCTCCAAGTGTGGGACATCAATTACCAAAGCACAGATTCTAATGTGATCAGCCCGTCGTTTGCATTTTGCGTAAACGAAACTGTGGTGTCCTTGCACTTCGTTGACGATACTACTTTAATCGCGGGCACTAACAAGCTTTTGAGAGAGGTCGATCTGAGGTCTCCAACCCCTGCTTATCAGCTCCCGACTCGCCTCTCATACGACATAAAGATAAACCCTTTTGACTGCTGGCAATTCACTACGTATGGTGATGACGGAACAGTAGCCATCTGGGATCGCCGTAAATTGAGTGTTTTTACTTCGTCAAGCGAAAGCACAGAGGCCCTCCCACTGTTAAAGTTCGACAAACTAATTGGCCAAGGCGCCGTCACCAGAAAATATACAAATTCATGCTTTCGTTGGTCTTCTCTTCGTGGCAATGAATTTACCACATTGCATGGGGGCCAGGTAATAAGAAGATGGCGATTGGGAAGCTATCCTAGCAGGCTTGGAGATGAAAATTCCCTAGATGATAATAAGAAGTTTCCATCCCATATCAATTCGCTGTTTATTTCGACTGTTCATGACATTAACACCATTTACGATAGAGTAGCTACTTTCGACTACATTCCGAGAGATGATGGTGCAACTAATTTTATTTGTATGAGACAATCAGGTACAGTATACCGAATGTCTCTCCAAGGAGGAACGTCAAAAGCCGCTTTCAATTGCGACAATAGCCTTCTTATGGCTAACAATGACAGACCAAGTGTGGCAGATTTCAGTGTTGCTAAGTTGGACGAAAAGGTTAGCATGAATGGCAATGCAACCGCCTCCAAAGGCTTGTCATTTGAGGACCTTGATCTTAGTGACGAAGAAGATGATCAAAACAGTAGTAAGGAATCACAGGATAAAGATTCGATTGATTACAGCTCTCACGATAGCGACAATGAAAGACCCTCGAGATCAGCTTCCTCACACGATGAAAGGGTCCCTTTTCTTCTAAAACCAGAGGTGTTACTCCAAAATGACATTAGTATGATAATGAAGAGGCGTGCTTTATTGAATTACGGGTTGGATCCTGTCAAGACTGTGGAGCTCATCGACAAGTCACGATCGTTGCAAAACAATGCATACATCAGGAATACTTGGAGATGGTTATCAATTGCAAAAGCTTCCGTTGACGACGGAACTATGGTTTCAGGCGAACTAGATTTAGGTTATGAAGGCATATTAGGAATATGGAATGGCCTAGATGGACTTCTAAAACAGGACAGGTGCCGTGAAGGAACGATTTTAACGGAAAGGCAGCTAAGCAGAGAGCTTGAAAAGATTATTAGGATGAGAGGAAAATACAGATCACGAATGGGAGAGTCGAAGGGTTTACAAACTTTTGGGAACTCAGCAAAGCATACTCAGCGAAAGCTATGCATGATCATATCAGGATGGGACTTGACACCATCGGATTTTGAAGAGAAATACAAGAATTTAATAAAAGCGAATCACTATGAGAAAGCTGCTGGTTGGGCCGTTTTCTTCGGAGATGTCACGAAGGCTATCGAAATTTTGAGTTCGGCCAAAAAAGAACGGTTGAGACTTATCGCGACGGCCATCGCAGGATATCTGGCATACAAAGACCAACCCGGAAACAATGCCTGGCGCCAACAATGTAGAAACATGTCGTCAGACCTGGACGACCCATATTTAAGAGTCATTTTTGGATTTATTGCAGACAACGATTGGTGGGATATATTATCCGAGTCAGCTATATCTTTTAGAGAAAGGTTAGGCGTTGCTCTACGATTTTTGAATGACAGCGACCTGACTCGATTTTTGGAAAGGACCGCTGAGTCTGTAATTACAAATGGAGAGCTAGAGGGCTTGATACTTACGGGTATCACCCCAAGTGGTATCAAATTACTACAGTCATATGTCAGCAAGACTAGTGACGTCCAAACTGCGGCTTTATTGTCTGTTTATGGCTGTCCTCGATATTTCAAGAGCCCGCAGGTTGATGAATGGGTACAGACTTATCGCATGATGCTGAATTCGTGGGAGCTGTTCACCGTCAGGGCCAAATTTGACGTACTTCGCGGTCAGCTTGCGCGCAACGCCCAGAATATATCGCGAGGTGGCTGTCGACCACGGCAACTGTATATCCAGTGTTTGAAATGCAACAAAAATATCAATGCCCCCTCCGACGCGAATCTGGGAGCTCGCAACTCAAATGTAATGCCAAACGGGATGAAGAGCTTTGGGAATGGTAGTGGAGGTAAAAAGTTTGGTTTCAATATTACCTCTCCCTCCAATACAGCCTTCCAAAAGCATTCCTGTCCCCACTGTGGTACCCCCTTTCCTCGCTGCGCCATCTGCCTACTGCCTCTAGGTACGTCTAATTTGCCTATTGTGATCAACGGTAAGGCATCAGATCACGAACAGTCTCTCGAGAACTACCAAGATGTACAAGAGGCACGTCGACTACGACTGAACGAGTGGTTTAGTTTCTGCTTGACTTGTAACCATGGAATGCACGCAGGGCATGCAGAGGAATGGTTTGAAAAGCATCGTACGTGCCCAGTTCCAGGATGCAACTGCCGCTGCAATACCTAGTAGGGACCTTACTTCGAATCTCTCAATGATCTTGCTGTATTTAATTCAGATTCATAGGCCATTAGCAAGTGTAATATTCTACTATATGTCACGCAGATCAAATTTGAGGCTGTTGCCTCAGTTTCTTTATCACTGGCTATTTAAGCTCGATCAACGCTGGCGACGAAGAGATGAGTTTGCAAGTCACAATTGCATATTGTAAACTCTCGTGAGCGTGTTACTTAAACAGGTCAAAGTCAAACGCATTGGTCTGTCATTCTCATATTCACGTGAACGTTATGTTTTCATTAGAACTTGATGAAACAGGACAAAGATCATATCAATAAATACAAAGCCACGACGAAATCGGTTAAGATTTGACTACGCAATCAAGAATTGGAACAGTAACGACCTGTTATCAGCAAAAACGTTTAAATCAGAGCTCTATTTCTGAGTTATATAAGGTTAGAGCGTTTCTCAAGTTCTCGCATTCGTAATCGAGATCACACCTTTATTGGAGGTCAAATAAGCCGAGATCTGAGAGACCCCCCTGCGCAACAGGTTGGGCAATTTTCTCTGAAGTGGTTGTGATAGCACCAAATAGGTAAGAGCGCTTTGTCTCGAATTTGCGGTTTCATTATGCTCACAGAGGTAGAACAGGAAATAAGGCGCAAGGTGGAGCGCGAGTTCAACATCATCCAAGGAGCTACTCAGCTCAAGAAGAAGACGGATAATGTGATGGTAATTCAAAAGTGTAATACTAATATTCGAGAAGCGCAGCAAAATATCCATTACCTGGAGGAAACGCTGAAAAAACTGCAATTGAAGAGCAGTAGCGACACAAGAATTGCTACAGAAACACCGGCCAATCAAGCTTATGGTCAATTATCTACCATTGCACCAGACGAACACATTTTTTCACGTTTGGATCTGATGAAGTATGATTGTCCGTCGCTTTCTCAGCGAATTCAGTACATGTTGCAACAGTTGGAGTTTAAGCTACAAGTAGAAGAACAGTATCAAGAGGCCAATGACAAGCTCACCAAGCTCTATCAAATTGATGGAGACCGCCGCAGCAGCTCTGCAGCAGAGGGTGGCTCTAAGGAGTCCAAACTGAGGATTAATCTGCTGAAAAAGTCTCTCAAAAAATATCAAGCAATCAACGTGGACTTAGATCAGTTCAAACATGCAGCTGATCAACTACAGGTTTCTCAGCCCAAGTTTAGGCGGAACCAGCTCACTGGAACACTGACAATTGCGATCAATGCCATTCGTGATGTAGATCATGTCCAATCCCCCATGTTCTCGCGCAAGCCTGATACTTTTGTAACTATCAAGATTGATGACACACTACAAGCCAGAACCCGTGTTTCGCGGACTGATAGGTGGCAAGATGAATTCAATATTGCTGTTGGAAAGGGCAATGAAATCGAAATTACCGTTTACGACAGAGTGAATGATCAGACTGTACCTGTAGCGCAAATGTGGTTACTTCTTTCCGATATCGCAGAAGAGATACGTAAAAAGAAGGCTGGGCAAACAGGCCAGATTGATTGGAGTCATGCAGCGAGGGTTACGAGCCCTCCCCTGGGCACGGAATCAGGACACATTACCAACGACGCCGCAAAGGGACATGTCACTGACACATCTAATGATGGCTCTCCATTAAAACCAGTTTCCACAAGCTTGTGGTTTGTGCTCGAACCTGCTGGCCAGATTTTAGTGAATCTTGGTTTTAGCAAATCGAGCGCACCTACGAACAAGCACTTAACTGGAGGTTTGCATAGGCATGGAGCCATCATTAATCGAAAAGAAGAAGTTTATGAGCAACATGGTCATCATTTTGTCCACAAATCGTTTTACAATATTATGCGATGCGCGTATTGCGGAGACTTCTTGCGGTACTCTGGCTACCAATGTCAAGATTGTAAGTTTCTCTGTCATCGCAAGTGCTACAAGCATGTTGTAACTAAATGTATCGCAAAAGCTAGCTCCGACGCAGATTCTGAGGAGCCCCAGCTTAATCACTGTATTCCACACAGATTTGAGCCTGTTTCAAATAGAGGCACAAAATGGTGCTGTCACTGTGGATACATCCTTCCTTGGGGTAAGAAACACCTACGAAAATGCTCCGAGTGTGGCATTATGTGCCACACCCAATGCGCCCATCTTGTTCCAGATTTTTGTGGCATGTCCATGGACATGGCAAATCAAATACTGACTGCTATCCAAGATACCCGGAAGTCACAACAGGAGAAAATCCGATTGCAGGCGAAAGTTACTCCTGAACTAATTAATCAAAAGCTAGGGCGTGAGGGCGGCAGTCCTAGTAAAGCAACACTAATCTCGGAGAGGGGCAAGCCACTACCGCTATCGCCAACGCACACCGACTTTGCTAATATTATTGCGAGAGATAGACCGACAGAATTGACAGACAAGGAAAGGTTCAATTTAGAGCCTACAGAGGTTTACAAGGCACAGGAAGTGAAAGCAATTGTACCAGAAGGACATAGGGATAAATTGCGGAACAGCAGACTGAATAATTTCATCGAGGAGAATACCGATTACAAGGCATTTACCGACGGCGCTCACCATGCTCAATCCGCCGAGCCTGACGAAGGTGGTCGAACCTTAGATCCGGCGTACGCTTATGATATCGTCGAAGGTAAGCTTAAGCTACCAATTGGTGACGACAGCCATCTCGGTTGGGGTGATCGAACAAAAGAAGAGCAAGAGTACCTAAATCACACATCTCCCTCACTTGATACACCTCACGACGTGCGCGACGTTACGATAATGGACCTAGACACAAAGGGCCCTCAGTATGGAAAAATCGAAAGCCTTCGCAACAACTCTCATGGTCCATTGTCATCAACCTTACAGCCTCAAGTGGATTCGTTTACTTTACCACATGCTAATCAGCAGGCCATTATACAGGAAGATTCATTGGCTCTGCAAATTGAAAAGCCATTAGTATCTGCCGATGAATCGGAAGCCCAACACCCGTCCGAAACTCTTCCCGCATCCCGCTCTCCCCAGCATCCTCATACAACTGGTAAGCATAAGAAGCGAACCCCCAAGCGTCGGAAGATTTCTTTGGATGATTTTGTCCTTTTGAAGGTATTAGGAAAGGGGAACTTCGGGAAAGTGTTACTCGCCAAATCAAAGAACAACGAACGCTTGTGTGCCATCAAGGTTTTGAAAAAGGACCACATTATAAAAAATCACGATATCGAGAGCGCTCGCGCTGAAAAGAAGGTCTTTTTGCTGGCTACCAAGGCCAAGCACCCATTTTTGACGAACCTTTATTGCTCGTTTCAAACTGAAAATCGTATTTATTTCGCAATGGAGTTTATTGGCGGTGGCGATCTAATGTGGCATGTTCAAAATCAAAGATTATCTGTAAGAAGAGCAAAATTCTACGCTGCTGAAGTGCTTTTGGCCTTGAAGTATTTCCACGATAATGGTGTCATCTATCGAGATTTGAAACTTGAAAATATTCTATTAACCCCGGAAGGTCATATCAAGATTGCTGATTATGGGTTGTGCAAGGATGAGATGTGGTTTGGAAATAAAACTTCGACATTTTGCGGCACACCCGAATTTATGGCCCCAGAGATTTTGAAAGAGCAAGAATATACTAAGGCAGTTGATTGGTGGGCTTTTGGCGTATTATTGTATCAGATGTTACTTTGCCAATCTCCTTTCTCCGGTGACGACGAGGACGAAGTATTCAATGCCATTTTGACTGACGAACCACTATATCCAATTGACATGGCCGGAGACATAGTTCAAATTTTCCAAGGTCTACTGACAAAAGATCCCGAGAGGCGCTTAGGTGCTGGTCCTCGAGACGCTGCGGAAGTCATGGCCGAACCGTTTTTCAGGAATATCAATTTCGATGACATAATTAACCAAAGAGTTCAGCCTCCATACATTCCCGAAATCAAAGCTGCTGATGACACTTCTTACTTTGAGAAGGAATTTACATCAGCCCCTCCAACCTTGACACCATTACCTTCGGTTTTGAGCTCTAACTTGCAAGAAGAATTCCGAGGGTTTTCGTTCATGCCCGAAGACTTGCTTCTGTAATCCCATTTTCAAATTAGCATATTATGAGGTAGACTAGATAAATAAGTACTGATCGAGTGCCGAAGAACAGTAACTGGTTCATTTCCTGCTATTATTTAATCTAGTGTGTGTCGTGTTTCGTTTATGATTTTAGCGTCAAAAATTAAAGCTATAAGAAACGAGGTGAAATAATATCCTTAACAGACCATAGTGTGTCCGTAACGAGATCATATCAACTATGTTCAAGAGTAGACGATTCAAAGGGGTATCTAACGCGATCAAATCTGCGTCTAGCAGCGATATCTCTTCCGGTGTGAGCTCTAAGATGTTTGACGTGCGGGAAATTAGCCGTTACGGAATGAAGGGGCAGGTTAAAGCGTTCGCATTTGATCCAGTACAAAGTCTTCTCGCAATTGCCACTGATGCAGGAGAGATTCACGTTTATGGAAAGCAACAGGTGGAAGTCGTTTTTACGCTGGAATCCAAGGCAGTGGTAACAGAGCTCAGGTTCGTTAAGGGAATTTATTTAGTAGCTCTGGACGCCAAGGATTCGGTGATTATCTTATCACTCCATTCTAAGAAAGTGCTAGCTGCTTTTTTTGCGCCAGGTAAAATCACTTGCATCGAGACCGACCCTTCGTTAGATTGGATGATCATTGGTCTTCAAAGTGGATCTACTGTCATCTACGACATCGATAAAGATTGCATATCTCCAGTGCGAATTGAAAATTTGCAAAAGTTGACTCTCCCAAAAGAGTCACTGTCCGAGGTTGTTTCTCTGCAATGGAACCCTAGAGACTATGGTTCAATTCTCATATCATACAAATTGCTAACTGTTATCTACTCTATCGTAGAGAATAAGATCAAACAGCAATTCGTCTACGAACTGCTACCCGGTGCCCCTGGTGGGGACCAAACAGGAAATCTGCAAGCTACCAGATATCCTGAAGTTGTACAGTCCATCTATCACCCCAATTCTCTTCACATTCTTACGGTGCACCGCGATAATTCTTTAGTCTTCTGGGATGCAAACAGTGGGAAGTTGATCCACGCCAGATCGCTGTTCGAAACTGATGTCAATGTTCCCAGGCAAACACAGGATCCAGGGCCCATAGCCCAATCAAGAGTCATACAGGTCAATTGGATATGCGCTGCAAATCCCGAATATACCTCCCTACTCATCGCAGGGGGGTCTATTGGAGAGGATGACAAATGCCACAGTCTTACAATGATTGACCTAGGTGTAACACCGATGTATTCGGTCAGTTCTTATGAAAAAATGGGTGCTTATTACGCTTCTCCGAAGCAGCAGAAGGTGTTCCCTATTCCAAACGAGGCATCGGTGGTAGAGTTTCTGCCACTAGCAAGAAAGTCGTGTTATTTCGGAGGAAACCACGATCCTGGTGTGGTGCTGGTACTTTTGGATGACGGAGAAATAGAAACGATCTTGTACCCTTCAGGCAGTGTCTCTTACAAAGCATCGTTATTTCCTCAAAGCATATCATGGATTAGACCAACAGCTACTAAATGTGTAGCCACATCTGTTCCTAAAAGACTTTGGCTTGGCATGATGTCTTCGACTTACAATAAAGATTTCCTCCTGAAAGGTGGTGGTCCGGTTAAAAAGCCTCTGAGGGTGCACGACACGAGGTCTTCACTAGCAACCGGTCACAAAAATGGGTCTGTGAGGATTTGGGATGCGTCCCATGGTGAATTAGATGACAGTTCAGTTTTTGACGTTAGTGTTTCCCACGCCCTTAACAAGGCTTATGGTGTAGCAGTTGACAACATTTCTTTTGCTTCTGAAACCGCGGAGCTGGCGGTTTCTGTTGATGGTGGAGATGTTGTACTGTTCAAGTTTCAGGCGAATCAATACTTTGGCGCGGCGGAAAGTTCTAATGACCTCGAAATCAAACTCAGAAGATTTTCTCTTAACGAAGTCAAAGACCTACTGGTGGACATTCAAGACAGAGCACCGCGAAAGCTAAGGGAAGGATTTTTGCCGATCTGTGCTATCCATGCCAATGCTGGCAAAATATCTGCTCTGAAAAATAGTAACGTTGGTTTCGTTGGTATCGGATATGAGGACGGCACTTTGATGGTCGTAGACAGACGAGGCCCAGCAGTAATTTTCTCACAAAATTCGAGGACCATAACAAATGAGAGAAGTTCTTTCATCACTAGCATTGATTTCTCTGTGGCAGAATATGGCGACGACAAGTATTCGAGCATTTTGCTATTTTGTGGAACAGATGTTGGTGAAGTTCTGATTTGCAAGATTCTTCCAGATACTAGCGGGCGTTTTGCTGTCCAAGTCATCGATTTATTGAAGACTAATGATCAAGGTCCTATTTTGGCCATAGAATCTACTTCTAAAGAGTCTAGCATCTCATGTTCTGCCACCATTGCAGCGATGCAGGAGCTGTCAAAGGGCAAGCCAATACCGGCATTCACAATGGTAGCGGGGTACAATGATGTCAGACTTTTCACAGCCGGTAAATCTAAGGACACTCACCGAATTTTCAAGTATCCCATCGCTACCGCGGGCCAATGTTTCTTGCGTTTACCCGCCGCGGGCAGAACGACATCTGCTACTGTGATTGTGTGTCTTTTAACAAATGGAGACGTGAAGGTTCTGACAGTTCCTGAGTTGCGCGAATTGTATTCAAGCCGCCTGCCCATGGCCGTGCACTCCAAGTACATCAAAGAATCATCAGTTTTGCGCAACGGAGATATAGTTGTCCGTGTTGGAAAATGGGAGGCGAGTCTCTTGACTGTGTTGCGTGAAACTGTCTCGGATCTGGAAAAGTCAAACGCAGAGGCATGTCAGCCTGCCACGGACGACTTGTACAATCCGGCCCTACGTATCTCATGCCGTCCGCAAGTTAACTCGTTACAGTGGGCAAGGGGCTCTATAGCCGTCAAGCGCAGCGATTTAGATCAGCTATTCGGAACAGACCAAAGACCCTTCAAGTATAAGGAAAGTGATATTGCCTGCGGGACTATTTCTCACGATCCACAAGAGGAGGTTTCCAACACACACCAGCTTGATAGAAGTGCAACCGAACACGCTTACAAGTCTCCCGTGAGACACAAGACCCGTTCAGAGGCCTATGGTACCATGAAATCTTTCTCGAGAGCGCTCGAAAACGGTATGGATTCACTAGAAGGCCGTTTTAACGACTACGCTACAGCCGCGGGCGAAACTATAAATGGTGCGGTCGAGCAAACGGGTTCTGACATTATGAAAGGAGCTTTCAGATCCAAAATGGGCTTTTGATCTGCCCATACGATAATCCGTCCGTGATGAGTATTGTTTTGACAGCAAGATGGTACCTTAAAAATTTCCCACTCTTAAGTTGGTCAAGTTCACCACAGTTTTGAACTTGATCAAGCATTGGAGAAGAGGCCAAATTTTCAGTAAAGGACTCTTCATAGCATTCAGCTTTCAGGTGATAGGACGAGAGCATGGGTCATGAAATAACTTTGCAAGTCCCAGCCCGGGTGGCAGATCCTAACCTGAATTTCAAAGGACAAGACCATGCAGCGATGCAAACGCTAACACTGAACAGAGGAAAGTGCTTGAAAAGGGAGCTGGTGGATTCGTTTTTCAGGGTTTCACGGCATAATAGCGACGATGTAATTCAGCAGAAATTGAACGACACGAATGGTCCGAAAAATGACCAGTCGAAAACTACGCGATGCAGGCAGTTTGTAGAACAGGAGCTGTACCGCGGCTGGGATTTGCGCTTGAAAGCGCTGAACTTCTGTGAGCAGGAGGCTGCTGATCTGAAGCAGGAGCTAGACGGTAAAATGGAGGCTGAGATAAGAACGGAAAAGAGCCCTGTTTTGACCGCGCGTATGGATCCGTACGCAGCTGCCGAGGATCTCGAACTAAGGCAGGCTCGCTACGAACAGTGGAGGCAACTCACCAAGTGGATTAGCAACCAGCGAGCGGTTGAAGATATATTGCAGAAAAATGCTGCAAAAGTTTTGACGAGAGCGTGCGACCCCGACACAGCATACATCGACGATTTCAAAAAGTTCAGAGCGTCGATGCGGTGATGCAAGAATCGCTGTACCTTCACTTAATGGACAAAAAAACGCCGCATATCAAGACGCGGATCGACATCGATGGGAATTAAGCATAAAGCCAGATTGGAAGGCTCGTGCTAGTAACTCAGTATGGGCTATCGAACCTTGAAGAAGATGCGCCACATGGTACTTGCTTTGGGCTTGCACGAACTGGCCAAGTCCTGACGACGATATCTGTACTCGCTGATGTACTCGCCCAACCTACTACTCATCGCTATTGACGAAACATGTGCTTTTGTTTGCTTTTCTTTTTCAATGTCATGGTGTGATGATGGCTGACAACGTTAATTTGACATTTATAACCTGACAAAGTTGAACTGCATTTGTCAGTTGTCGAAAGAATTGGAATAAGCAATCAGCTACGGAGTATTCAGATTCCTAGGTAATCTACGCATTTTATGATGAGTAGCGAAATTCCGATACCTGTTCTTCAAGATTACGGTTTAACTGGAAAAACGGGTTTTTTGCCGGGTGAATTTCCGGTGACAGAGCTGAGCGATCCGTACTATGGCAAATGGGAGAGCGTGGTTAGGATTCTGCCATCATTGCTTCTCTCGAAGCGAATCAGGATGGTGGTTGATAAGTTACCTCAATTGGAGGTGAAACCATCTCTGCTGGAAAATACAGCACAACTGAGGAGGGCTTACTCAGTCCTTTGCTTCATTGCAAATGCTTACGTTTGGGGCTACGATGAACCCCTCGATACGCTTCCTGATTGTATTGCTCAGCCACTTCTGCTCATTAGCGAGCGACTGGGACTACCCCCATTGGCAACATATGCGTCGCTGATTCTTTGGAACTACCAGCCCATCATACACGATTCGGATCTCGTGGAAGACATTTTTGATTTGCAAAATCTGACTACCATTAACACTTTCACTGGCGGTATTGACGAAAGTTGGTTTTATCTAGTGAGTGTCTTTTTCGAAAAAAATGGTGGCCAGTGCATCGATGCAGGTCTCCAGGCCATCCAAGCTACGAGAGAGCGGGACTCCAAGAAACTACGCTCTTTGCTGGAGAACATGGCGCAAGGTATCGATCAGCTTGGCTCTCTTTTGATGAAAATGGAGGAAATGTGCGATCCACATGTTTTTTACTACCGGATAAGACCCTATTTGGCCGGTTGGAAAAATATGGCAGATGCGGGGCTACCAAATGGTGTGAAGTATGGACCTAATGGATCCTATCATCACTTTGCCGGTGGTTCCAATGCCCAAAGTTCTTTGATTCAAGCACTTGATATCTTATTAGGGGTGGAGCATTTCGCTATGGGCCACAAGAAACCGCAGCAAGAGGCTATTTCTGCCAAAACTGCAAGCAATTCGTTCATTAACGGAATGAGAGAGTACATGCCCAGAGAACATCGGACGTTTTTGGTTCATTTGGAACAAGTGAGTACTATAAGGGACTACGTGCTGTCCCATAAATCAGATGAAAAACTCACACTTGCTTACGACGCGTGTCTTGGTATGCTTAAATCTTTCCGCGACAAGCATATTCAAATTGTTTCTCGCTATGTCATTTTGCAGGCGAATAAGAAGCCATTATCCGGATCTAAGAGCAAAACATACAGAAGTGGGCTATCCAAAGGTCAGGGTAAAAAGGAGCAGACGGGTACAGGTGGTACATCATTAATTCCATTTTTGAAACAGTGTCGGGACGAAACCGGTAGTGTTGCTGCAAGTGATTGGGGTAAAAAGATGTTAAGTACTGGTGTTTTGCAGGTTCAAAGCTCAAGCAGCATTGTCGGAATCCGCAAGCGCCCTACTGACGATGAGAAATTAGGAGAAATAGGTGAACGAAAGAGGACCAAGGTAGGTTTAGCGGGCGATTGGAAATCGGCCGATGACGATGATGAAATTGTCAGCCGTTCCACTGGACATTGGTAATGTTATAAACGATAATGAATTATATAGACAGAAACTAGCATTTTCACAAAAAAATGGAACCTGAACCTCAGATCGAGAGGTTTAGTCTCTAGGTTTATCTTAACCGTAACGATCTATCATTGTTAATGCTACTGATATATTTAATAATCAGGTAAAATTGGTATCACAAACCTTGGAACAACTTGGTTATCTCATCAGTTCCATCTGTGTAGACTTCGGCCAATTTCTCATTTACTACCTTAATCAAATCTGCTGCATCGATTAGTTCGCCATCATCGTTGGCAAATTCTGGCCCCAGCTTCTTGACTCTCAGTTTATTTTCGAGATATTCTTCTTTGCCAAGGATAACAGCCAAGGGACACCCGCATTTATCGGCGGCATCAAATTGCTTTCTAGGGTTGGCCTTGGCTTTGTAAACGAACTCGGTTTCAATACCTGCAGTCCAAAGTTGTTTGGCAACCTTCATTCTCTCCGGTAAGTAACCAGTCCAGTCTTTGCCTCCACCAAAGGCCATGACGTACACCTTTGTGGCAGTGGGTCTGATAGCAGCAGCTTGTTCAGCCCTTTGCTTAATGAGAGAGAAAATTCTCTCGATACCAAACGAAAAGCCGACACAAGGGATTTGAACCGCCTTCTTACCTGTAGCTTCCGCAAACATGTTTACAAGATTATCATAGCGACCGCCTCCGGCGATCGAGCCCACACCAACGTATTCCGACGCGTCCTCTGCATTTTTGGCCTTCTTTTTGAGTTCTTCGGCATTTTTGGGAGGAGCCGAACCCTTGGTAACGGCCTCGAAGATGATACCTGTGTAGTAATCCAAACCTCTGGCTAAGGACAAATCGAAAGAAATGTAGGAATCGATCTCCATAGCCTCGACGTACTTTGTGAAGGTAGCCAATTCGTCCAAACCTTGCTTTGCCCTTTCATTAGAGGTAATGGCAGCGTCTTTAGAAAGAAAGGCGTGAATTTCTTGAAGAGTACCGTTTAGTTTGACATACTCACCAATTTTGTCAGCTGTAGCTTCTGTTTGGCCCTTTTCCACCACAATTTCGTGCTTCACCGTTTCCCAAGGAGTCTTGTCAAGTTTGTCGACAGCCGAAGAGATTTTACGGACGTCTTCGTCTTTGACACCAGCGACCTGGAAAATACCGTCTAGAATCTTTCTGTGATTTAGCTTGACTTTATAATCTTTGATACCCAAGCTTGCAAAACCTTCGACCATGATAGCCAAGCACTCGGCATCTGGGATCATGCTTTCGTAATTGCCCGCAATGTCAAAATCGCACTGGTAAAACTCCCTCATGCGTCCCTTCGTCATGGCTGGTTGATCTCTTCTGTAGACCTTGGCAATGTGGTATCTTTTGATGTTTTGGATGTTGTTCATAGCTACAAATCTGGCAAAGGGAACCGTTAAATCGTAACGCAAAGAGCATAGTTCCCCACCCTGATCCTGAAGATTGTAGATCAACTTAGAGTCCTCGCCATATTTCCCGGCCAAAATTTCTCGCAGTTCAAAAACAGGGGTGTCTAGGGTGGTACCACCATGACGCTTAAACGTTTTGGACAGTTTGGAGAAGATTTCTTCTCTAATGACCATGTCCTTGTCGTACCAGTCCTTGGTACCTTTTGGGGTCTTCAAAGTGAATTGAAGCTTAGAACTGGGTGCTTTTTCCTGTTGAGAAGTAGCCATATTGATGAATCTATGCAACTGAAGTTTAGATATATCTGACCTGAATGTCCTAATGGCCATTCAAGGGTGTGTCCAGGTCTTTTCAAGATGGATTCTTGAAGTCTATTGAACTACCTAGTTAGTAAAATTTTTCAAGCTACTTGACAAAACTTGTGTCGGTTTTGAAACAAGTGATCAAGAGCTTCAATCTCATATCAAGCACTGGATACCAATGCCTAACTTCTGATTAGAGTCTTCATTAGAAATGGTTACCGTGTATTTGTTGTGGAATGTAAGTAGACATATATAGCCTTTTCTTAATTTTTACTTGCGTCAGAGGCGGTCCGCCTAACTTCTTTTCAAAGCTTCGATTTCTGCAACTTTGGCATCAAAATTGGAAGTGCTCTCAAAGCGGACCTCTCCATTTGGTTGGACAGTTACGTAGCTCAGGTAGTTTTTGGAACTATTAGCATGTGAGCTTTCCGGTAGCGAGGTCGGCAAGGAATCGGAGTTTGCGTGGAATACGCGTTGCGCAGTAGGGGTTGCAGGCATGAAAACGTTGTGCGAGCTCTGTATGAGTATGGAACGCGGCCCACGAATTTTTAGATATTGTGTGGGGCCGTTGACAAGAATTGAATAGGTGTTTTTGAGCCAGTTCCAAGTGGACACAATAGCTGACGACGTAATGTCACGAAACTCCTTAAAGCTGAATTCTTGTGACGCCTTAGGCATAGAAGGAGATTGAGGGGTAGCAGAATGAAGAGAAGAAGCGGGAGAATGGGCGCCCTGTGGTGATTTTGGAGAAGTCAAACGATATATAGATACGGCATTCTTGGCGTCGTTGAGACTTTTGCTGCTGATGGCTAGTAAGTGCTCGCTCTTCAAAACCAGTTCGTCAGATTCGTTGGATAGTTCAACTGTGTATACGGAACCAGCACCGCTCAGAAGTGCGTTACCACGTCCTTGCAATACTCTATAACCCCCGGGGAGGGCCGAGGAACGTCCAGACCACAGCCTAGAGTGCCTGATCTCGAGAGAGGTATTTCCTTCGTATGCAATCAGAGAGTTTTTACCGTAAACGTACCAGTCTTGAGACCCATTTAAGGTCAACAGACATAGCGTTCGGAACGGTTGAGATGAAAACCCAAACCACGAGGCGAGCCTACTGTTGCACACATTTGGAGCCACCAATACATTGAAAGGTTGTGGCGAAATCAGTTTATGGAATAGCGCAGGTCTCCATGATCCATGTTTCAATGTGGACCATACTAGTCCAAGCCAATTGTGCTCCACATGCAAATTTTGGGCGTTGTGGAGCGACACTAGACACCCACGGCGCACATAGAGCGGCACAGATGCTGGTAAGCTTGCAGAACATAACGTTGCGGGAGTCCCGAGCGTTTGGAATTTGGTATCTAAAGTTTGGTTTGCGGATCCGAAGACAGGTTCTACATCCAGTGTTTGAGCGAGTTGCGCTGGAACAACGCTTGAAGTGTTTGGTTTAACAAGCGACAAGCACCGAATGGACGCAATTGGCTTAAAACGATGGAGCATTCGCTGGTGATTATGGCTATTTTGTGGGCTTTAGAAAGAACATAGTTATAATTTTTGTCACTTTAATATACTGATGAAATAGTACCAGGTAGAAGGGCCAGCGATTGGCGAGACTGACCGACAGCATCAAAGCAGAGCTTGGTTATTCTCTTGGAAAGTATCATAATATTGATTGGCCTTAGTCTCCCTCGGCGAATTGTACCGGTAGATGCCCGCTGATCTTTTGATTGAAGGTCATCGGATGGAAGCTGAGAGCTGAGAGCTGAGAGCTGAGAGCGGGTAAGTGACGTGTCTGCGGTTGAAGTTGCAGCTTCAAAACGAAAGAATAGTGGTTTCCGATTCTCGCAGTGTTTGGTTTTGATGTCTCCATGCCTGGGGAGAGCCAGCGCTACGAATGCGCAACCACCAATACCATTGACACAGCATTAAAGTCTGGCTGATTACTCTTATTTACATACCCCCTAACACACACATAAAGGTACACAGACACACACAGATCACTATTCCTCCTCGGCCGCACCCTCTTGTTGTTTAACATACAAAGCGCTACTAAGCGAAAAAATCCGATCTTTGTCTGTAAATGCCCCGGGTGCCTCATGCGAATGTTTTCCGAAACCGTCAAAGCCCTTGACAATAGTTCCTAGCTGGCTAGAACTGTTACCTTGTAGGTATTCAGTTTCTTTATCGAAGATTTCTTGTTGAAGTTGGTCCCATCGACGTTCCTGCTTCTGTCGTTGGTCCAAGGCATCCATCAGCTCTTGCTTGAGTTTGTCGTAGTGCGCCCTATCAGTCATGGCGTCTCTAAACAGGTCAAAATACTTGCCAGCGATAATCTCCTGTGCTAGCGATGGGTTCTATCTTGGCTTCGGCTTTAATTTCATAACTATTAAGTTTCTTAAAAAACAATCACCACTACTATCGCTCCAGCGAGCTAGAAGAGACACCCAGGAGACTTGAGTTTATCATTAGAGAATTTAAACATGTCTGTGGTGATTCACAATGGTACCCATACAACAGTCGCTGGGTTTTCGCAGATCGATATGCCCGGATTGGTGTGTTCGTCAAGCTATATGAAGAAACGAGACGGCAGTTTGGTTTTCGCTTTGGATGAGATCTTGGAAGGCCCGGAAGCGCCAGTATACACTATCATGACTTCAGAAGGTGTGCCGTACGACTGGGAAGCATTGGAGGCTCAGTGGAGATGGATTGTGGAGTCGCAATTGGGTGCCAAATTGGAAGAAACACCACTGGTGGTGACCGTGGCGCCTGATTTGTCGCCCGAAACCAAGTCCCAATATTTGGACATGGCTTTGGGGAGGCTGAAAGTTCCTGTTTTTCAAATGGTGGTAGAGCCACTGGCCGTGTCGCTTTCGTTGGGACGTAACACGGCCCTGGTGGTCGACATCGGCGCTGCTAAGGCGACGGTGACTCCAATTCTCGAAGGCAATGTGGCCTCCGGTGCAGCGGTGCGCTCACGATTTGCCGGGGATTTTTTGGATTTCAAAGTTTACGAAGCGCTCAAAGACGAAATCGCTCCTGTTCACAGCACTGACAGCGGCCCTACTGAAGAACAGCAGGTGCCGTCGTACGCGGCCTGGCTCAATTCCCATACCTGGATCCAGCAGTTTAAGGCCTACATGCTCCAAGCCTCGCCTTCCAAACTGCGGGAGATGGACTCTGCTACCATTGACATCCTGGGCTTGAACAGCGTTAAGAACTTCTTATACAAAAAACAGAAAACCATCAGCCTAACCCAAAAACAGTGCTGCCAGATAACAGAGGGGATTTTCCAACCATCTTCAGCATCAACCGAATTCTCAGACGGAGAAGGTCTGTCGGAGATTGTCGCCAAATCCGTCAAAAAAGCAGGTGCCTCGGCACAAACCTCATCTGCTGCAAACGCTACTTCTGCCGAACAAGTCCACACTGCCCTCCTCACGAATATCATTATCACCGGATCGTCCTCCCTCATTGCCGGCCTTGAGCAGCGCATAGTCAACGATCTAAGCTACCAGTTTCCTCAGTACAAATTGTCATCATTTGCGAACCCACTGGTGCTGGATCGCAAGCTACAAAGTTGGCACGGTGGTGTTACAATGGCCAACATGCCATCGTGGGATTTGGGTGACTGGGTTTCCCTCAAGGACTACGAATCAAATGCCCATTGATCAAGCTGGCATGGCACCGACGTGATGATAACCAGATACGAACGAATTCCCCGGACCTTATTAAAAGGTTAGAGACCTTTTCTTTACCCCTGTATTTATTAGCTTCTTAGATTTGACACTGATAAACGGAATAGATACAAGTATAACACTTTAGCCAACTTTGACACAGATGTCGTTAGCACCAAGATTTGGTGTGTCTCACACCATTTTGGCTTCGAAAGCTTTAGAACCTTCCTCAGCTGCCAAGGGCAACGTCGTGGAGTTATACCTGGACTACTGCTGCCCCTTTAGTCGCAAATTGTACGTCAAATGGGTAAAGGATGTGATTCCTGTGATCGAAAAGAAGCTGGACAAGAAGTTTGAATTCAAATTGCTGCAGGTTGCGCAGCCATGGCATCCATCGTCCATTTTGATGCACGAAGCGGCTCTCGCTGTCGCACAGACAGAACCCGCACGCTTCCAGGACTTCAGTATGGCTCTTTTTGAAAAACAGCGAACTTGGTTTGACGAAAACTGCTTCAACAAGACGCGCCGCGAGATATATGAAGAATTGGCCTCGCTAGCTGGGGAAGTCGGGGCCTCCCCAGACCAGATCCTGCGTGCGCTGACCATTGACGAGCACAAATTGGACGAACAGGGCCAGGCCACCAACACTGGCAACAAAGTGACCAAAGATCTCAAGTATTTCACCCGCTACCACAGACAGAATGGCGTGCACATGACGCCTACCGTAGCGGTCAATGGAATCATTCTCGGAACCATCGGTAGCGGAAATGCGCCGGAGGAGGTTATGGAACTGTTGGATGGTGCTACGTCGTAAGCGTAAAGAAATAGTGGAAACCCAGAGAAACACAGGAAGCCTCGGGGAAAACCCACTGATGGATTACCAGCACGGAGCCTAAATTTCAGAGAGGCCCTGAAACTCCACTGCCACCTAGCAGCAAGAGTTGTCAAAGCATGGCCCTTGGCTACAGCTCTTGAAGGCATACGTATATAACGATATGACTATTGATTTAAGATTCTGGAAGGATAAGATCTGTGAGAAATGCAGATAGCAGCTGAACTAATCCGTGTAGCTCCGTATCGACGTGGCGGCAACCCAGTTCCCTTGGAAGCTGTTGTCTTGTTCGTTTCGATAAGTGAACAGAAGGAATAGGAAGATCGCTATCGACGAGTGATTTCAAGCCCTAAGTCTGTTGACCCGGGCGCTTGTTCTGTACAGAAAAAAAATGTATAAAAGACGAGGATGGATGGTCAGTCGTCCTTCTACTTCGTGGATGCTTTCATACTCAACGACAGTAATCACCGATGTATACTGAAGATGGTCGACCAGGTCTGTTCCATCTTTGTCTCTTATACTAGTTCTCCTTCACTGAGTCGCTTGAGGTCCTTGGGTGGCCTCGTTTTCCAGTGATAAGGAACTTCCGTAGGTGCGACCCACGATTGCACGCTCTTCTTCCCGATCATGACCTTCGCATGGGGTAACAGTTCCAGGTGGAACGTTACGACTATAAACTGATATGATGATAACCTTTACAACAACAACATGAATTTCTTCAACCGACCAACATAGGAGGAACCAAACTTTGACAGCTTTTTAACCCTGATTATTCAGTTTGCATGCGGACAGTTATTGAAACGGGATTTTTGTGTAGAGCTTACGTACGTTTCGACCCGGAATTGCCCCGTAGAAAGCGCATTCCCAATATTTGTTACTTTTCGAGTCTTGTCATTGTATTCCATCTCATCGATTTTCTAAAGCCATGCAACAAAAGCCGAATAGCAGTGACATGGACTTCTCCATATGCTCAAAATGCTTAGCAGACCAAACCCGCCTCACCAGGAATGCTGACGGTGCTGAGTGCAAAATCTGTACACTGCCTTTTACGGTTTACCATTTCAAGGCGGACTCCAAAACCAAGAGGACCGTGATTTGCCATAATTGTTCTAAGCAACGCAACGTATGCCAATGCTGTCTTCTGGACCTGCAGTGGCAGATTCCGATTGAGCTTCGAGACAGGGTGTTATCGGCATTACAGGACTCACAAGTCACTACGGCGGAAGCGCAAAATGAAATGATGAAACGATTCATCGCCTTGAAAAATGGAGATAGTCACAAGCTAGGCGGTGCTTCGGTCACAAGTGATGCCAATAACACAGCACAAGTGCTGGCGCGCATGCAAGAACGTGTTGCCGATCTTCAAGACTCCCTTTCGACCACGGAAAAAGCCACAAATGTTAAGGCTGCAGTATCTGCACCCAGTGGTCGCGAAGGTGCAGATATCTCGCACTTGACTAAAAAACTTCCACTGAAGAGCTCACTACTGGAGCCCAGTCAGTCTTTTTTTCTCTACAACATCGACCCATCGATGGCAGAATGGGCCATTGTAGATGCTGTCTCTGGGATTGCGGGAACACCCTCCTGGCAGGATCCAATGTCCACCTCTGTTGTAATAAATCACTTGGCTCGTTGTGGAGGAATCCGTTTCAAGAGCTCAGAGCTAGCACAAAGGTTCCAGAATGGCCTTGACACTTTTCAAACTGCTTCGAAAGTCACCAAGGGTAAACTCCCCGTTTCAAATTCGAAAATACATGTGGTTGCTTGGCCACAGTTTCATCGAGCAGCTCTCGGTAACAAAAACACCGAGTGCTTGCAGCTGGCCAAAGTTTTGGACACCTTGGTTCAAAGAGACCTTGTGCCTTTACCGGGTGTGAGGCCAAATATTAAAGAAACATCCAAAGTTGGCAAGCCGCGCAAGAATCGTGGGACAAATAAATCTAAAAAAAGTAGGAGAATAATGGACATTGAGCTGTAACCTGTGATGCCATCCAGAGTGTAACTAAACCTACAAGTTTACGCTGACTTAGGACAAGAAAACACACGCCAATTCTTTTCAATACAGGCCCCATTTTCTGACCGCGCCCATGCCGCATAGCGCGTGGTTGAAATGGAACCCAGGAACAACGGCAATGGTTGGACCTTCCATCCTTTGAGTAGTCAGCACCATACTCGCACATGTCAAGCGCGTGCAAAATGATCTCCATTTTTAACTACGTTAATTGAAGATCAGTCGATGGCCACTCAAGGGCGACACGCCTGATACAGAGTGAACTTCAACCCGAGTTCCTCTTGCGGAGTATCCAGAGAGGCTGCCATGTCGACATATGAAGGTAAGGACACGCACATTTTTTATTTTTTGAAGCTCAGTAAAAATCCAATCCACTAACTAGCCGACTAGAGGAGCACAACACCAATCGTGCCGGTGCAGGTCAAGATGCGAGACGAGACTTGAGGAGCCAGATTCATGATATGTACCAGGAAAATGGCACTTCTAATCTGTTATTACAGCTGCTGTCACAAATTATTCCAGAATCTTTACAAGAAGAGTTGCTGCAGGATCAAAAAGAAGGCTGCCCGGAACATTTTGTGGACTCTTTACCTCGTGTCAATCAAAGCAAGCTTAGTGACGAAGAGTCTTGTAGTATTTGTTGTTGTAATTACAAAGAAGACAAATATCCTCTGGTGGTAGAGCTGCCACATTGCAGCCATCGTTTTGACCTTGAATGCGTCGCCGTGTGGTTATCAAAGAGCACTAGCTGTCCTTTGTGTAGAGATGATGTTTTGTCGCACAAGCCGAAAATAGATGTCAGCACGGTGGAAGTGGAAGATGATTGGGGGATGTACGGCTAGCGCTAACCGGGTCCAAAGTTCTTATACAGATCATATATACAGGATGTTGATGTTCGAAAACTGATGCTCTTCTGATAGACCCTCTGCGGTCTTTTGGATTTCACATATGCTTTTTAAAATCCTCGTTATTAAGCAGCTCCAATACTTTTTCACCCACTGCCTCGTCCAGCGATTGTGATTTGTGTGCTCCTGTTAACATTGAGCTTTGTTTCAGCGTTTGTTGCAGTTCAATGCCCTCTTTTTGATAAACGTTACATTTGATTCCGACACCCGGGCTGGAATGTTTAGAAATGTAGCCAAGCCACAGTTCCAAAACCTCAGCATTTGTGTCCCACACCCGAATCAACCGTTTGTGTGTGTGTCTCTCAAAGTTTTCCTTGGATTTAGCCTGCGCAAAGGGAGATCTTATAACTGTCCACCTTTCCCTTCTCGTAGGAAGAGGTTTTGGTCCGGTCAAAGGCATACCTAGGTAGAACCCAGTCCTCAGCATAAAGTCCGAGTAGAAATCCAGATTCTCGTGGTCATAAGAACGCAACTGAATGTCTGCAATCAAATCTCCGTGGGTGATTGGCATCCTCAAAGGCTTATGGTAAACCGCTTCCACATTGATTGGCAGCTTTTGACCACCGTTCAAACTTTCAGAAACAGGACCGTTAGTTTGAAACCTAACAAAATTTCTCCAAAAAGGTGAGCAACCAGTCTTGAACATGTCGGTACAATACACTTAGCCCTATTGTGTGTTTTCCAGTTGATTGTTGGAAGTTGATTAGTTTTACCAAGTAATAGTTTGAAAAATTTTTATAGCGATGAGCTTCTTTCAAGAACTGTTAAGTATAAGACACGGTATCGTGTAAAGGCTGTGGCTACTTTTACCATAAATTGATATCTGTAGCGTGTCCAACCACTACTATTGGGCCATTTACAATTTTTCTGGAGGTGAATACGACTTCTTTTGCGCTTACTAGTGCAGCGACAGGTAAATAGTATAATCCTAAGCAGCATGGGAAAAAGTAGCAAGGACAAAAGAGATCTTTATTACAGAAAGGCCAAAGAGCAGGGATTTAGAGCTCGCTCTGCATTCAAGCTGCTGCAGCTTGACGAGCAATTCCATTTTCTGGATAACGTCACCAGAGTAGTGGATCTCTGTGCAGCACCTGGGTCGTGGTCACAGGTGCTCTCCAGACGTCTCTTCGAAGGAGACACTGAAGACAACGCTTCGAAACGTATTGTCGCTGTGGATTTGCAACCGATGTTTCCCATTGACAATGTCACCACGATACAGGCCGATATCACGCATCCCAAGACTTTGAACAAAATTATGGATCTTTTTGAAGGGGAGAAGGCGGATTTTGTGTGCAGTGACGGCGCTCCCGACGTAACGGGACTTCATGATTTGGATGAATACGTTCAACAACAATTAATTTTAAGTGCACTGCAATTGACCACCTGCTTGCTGCGCGAGGGCGGTGTGTTTGTTGCTAAGATTTTCAGAGGCCGTGATATCGATATGCTCTATTCCCAGCTCAGTTACCTTTTTGAGCGAGTGGTCTGTGCCAAGCCAAGATCTTCCCGGGGTACGTCATTAGAGAGCTTTGTTGTGTGCATTGGGTATAAACCACCCCAGAACTGGAAGCCTTGCTTAGATGTAAACATGTCAGTGGAAGACTTCTTCCAAGGTTGTGAGATTGGCAGATTGAGCCTGAGTGACAAGTTACCGGACTATAAAGAGGAGCCAAGAAGTATTGCCGAATTTATCTCCTGTGGCGGCCTGGATAGCTTTGATTCGGACGCTACCTATCACGATGTGCCTGCCGATTCAACTGCTTTAGATCCTGTTCAACCTCCAACGAATCCACCCTACAAACGTGCTCTAGAGTTGAAACGTAAGGGAATGTTCACGCGAACGATATAGAGCTGTCTTTTTGACCGCGGGTGACTCCTGTCTGGCTGGCCAGAAGAATACGAGCTATGCAACGCCCCACACTTGAATATGATAGAAGAAAATCCTAGGGATATAATTAGAGCACAAAACAAATTCGACGAGAAGTAGACATTATATATTGCTGAATTCGCAACACGAACTCCCATCTGCTTTACGTGTACACTATCGCCACTGCTAGTCTATCTTTCACCATTTCCATGGTCATTATTACAAAACTAAGTTGGTTTGAGATACCGTGTACATAAATATACCTAGTTTTTCTCTTCCTCCACCTTTTGGACGTCAGGCTTCAAAGTTGGGAAGAGTAATACTTCTCTAATGGTGTTCGAATCGGTCAAAAACATAGCCAATCTATCGATACCGCAACCCCAACCACCAGTTGGTGGCAAACCGTATTCCAAAGCATTGCAGAAGGTTTCGTCGATCAATTGAACCTCATCGTCACCTTGGTCTTTTTGTCTAGCCTGTTCTTCAAAGCGGTTTCTTTGATCGAAAGGATCGTTCAATTCAGTGTAAGCGTTACAGATTTCCTTGGTGGCAACAAAAACTTCAAAACGTTCACACAAACCAGGCATGTCTCTAGAATATTTGGCCAAAGGAGACATCATTTGTGGGTGGCCGAAAATAAAGGTTGGGTTGATGCAGGTGTCTTCCAATTCACCAACAAGCTTGTCCAACATGCGAGCGTTGGTCAATGGGGGTGCACACTCCAGCTTGTTTTCTTTCAAAACTCTCTTCAAAAATTCAGCAGTTTCGGCAGTGTGCAATTGATCGCCAGGTGGGAACTTGACATTTAATCTCTTTTCTAGCTCTTCGATCATGTTGATTCTCTTCCATGGTCTGGCGAAGTTCAATTCTAGCTCCTTGGTTGGGTCATGAGGGTCTGGGTGGTATTTGATCACGTAAGAACCAGTGATTTCTTTGACCATTTCAGAAAACATCATTTCGGTAGTTTCCATCAGATCGTATACATCGGCATAAGCTTGGTAAAACTCACAAGTGGTGAATTCGGGGTTGTGAGTCATGTCAATACCTTCGTTTCTGAACTGTCTACCGATTTCGTAAACTCTGTCCATACCACCAACAACCAACTCTTTCAAAAAGAGTTCTGGGGCAATTCTCATAAACATGTCCATGTTCAGATCATTGTGGTGTGTAACAAAAGGCTTGGCAGTGGCACCACCGGCAATCACGTTCATCATTGGAGTTTCAACTTCAACAAAGCTTCTTTGGTCCAAAAATCTTCTGATGAAAGAGATGATCTTGGAACGGGTGATAAAACGAGGCTTGGCCTCCTTGTTCATGATCAAATCCAGATAGCGCTTTCTGTATCTAGTTTCTTGGTCCTTGAAGCCAAAGTGGTCGGCAGGAAGGATATGCAGACATGGAGTCAACAGCTTGACATGCGAGACGAAAACGGAAATCTCACCTTCACCACCTTTCTTTGGCTGGGTTCTTCCGACATAGCCTTCCACACCAACAATGTCACCTCTCTTGATGAGGTCGTGGTCAGCTTCGTAAGCAGATTCATCGCCATAGTCCTGCAGCTGCGACATCAACTGAACTTCAACACCATCACCGTGCAAAACGTAAAACTTCAATTTGGAACCAGACTCTCTCTTGGCGTGCACTCTACCAGCAATCGACACCTTTTCTTCCTTCAATGTTTCTCCTCTCTTCAAATGGGCGTACTTGTGCAAAAAGTCCACCAGGCCAATAGAAACGTGGAACTTGTGGGGATATGGGTTTGGAGCATGGGATTTTTTCAACTCGAGGATCTGGCGAGATCTGGCTTCGAAGTATTGCGAGGGGTCCAAGTCTGCCATGGAGTCAGTGGCTTTCTTCTTGGGCTCTGGCTTAGGCTGGGCAGATGCCTTCTTGGCTGCCTTCTTGGCGTCGACTTGTCTTTGCTTGATACGCTTTTTCAACTCTGATTTGGACACCATTTCACCGGTGACATCGTCCAGATGCAAGTTAGCAATGGCGTCGTTAGCCACCTTGACGTGATCTTCCTGAGACATTGTGTAGTCAACTGTTTGGAGCCTTCAAACGCTTATATTTCGATCCGGGTTGAAAGAATCACTTTTCGAGCTAGCTTTAGGCTCATCCATTCAGTCATTTTATGCATTTTTCAATGATATATAGAAGGCCGAAAAAATTTCCCGTGCCAAATTTGCCAGCGTGATCACTATACACGTAATATGCACAAGGCACATTATGTAATCAAAACTATGCAGCACTGTGCATGAAGTCCGTCATGTGACATTCACGTGTCGTGAGTCACGCGACTGAGCTTGGCTCTGCGCCTATCAGATTACGCCAAGGAGATGTTTGGACGATGTGCCAGCGAGCTCGAGATGGCACGAATGTTCTAGGGCCCGTGGGCCGAAAATCAGAATGGCGGGAGGGGGTGAATGGGCCGGGGGTAGAATGCCTTTGCACTTTATTATGTCCTGTTTGGGGTTTGCTTTGATGACAGAAAAAGATAAAGTGACGTGTTCGCGGGGTTTGCAGCGAGGTCCGCTCCTGTCCTGAAGTTCTCCCGCAAATGTTAGTGTTCACAGCAGAGCTTACAGCGTAGCTTACAGCACAGGTTGAGCGGGAGTTTGATTCTTGGCTTGAAAGAAAATTTCGTGGAAACAGTCGACAGTACAGCCAACATCAAAACCGAGGTGTCCATACATTATATCCGATTCAGTCAGGAGAAGTGCAAAAAATCGAGTGGGATTATCACCTAAGGGCCGCCTTGACAGGCTCTGCGTGACTCGCTCACTATGCCCCTGCTGCTTTATTCACCATCTGTTGCTGTCACCTTGCCAATATTAATTAATACAAATAGTAAATAACAAAAACCATATGTAATCAATCAGACAGTGATCGCTCAGAATACATTCAATTAAGGAATGTGCTCCCACAAGCCCAGACTCATCATTCTTGTGAGACATGGCGAGAGTGCTTCCAATAAAGACAAGACTGTGAACCAGCACGTACCGAATCATTTGATTCCTTTGACGGAAAATGGGTGGAAACAAGCCCGGAGATCTGGCGCTGAACTTATGCGATTGCTAAACGTGGATGACCCCGAGGCGGTTCAAGAGCTGGCAGAAAATTATGAATTCCAAGACGAGAACCGAAAGCCGCTCGAACAGCATTATGCCCGCAACAGTAAGGTCCCAGACAGCAATATTGTATTCTACACCTCGCCGTACCGAAGGACACGGGAAACGCTGCGCGGGATGCTAGACGTCCTGGACGAGTATAATGAGCGTAACTGCGGTGTTTCCGCGCGGCAGAACGATGGGTATCACCCGCTGGGCAAGAAGCGACAGGCCCACTGGCAGTGTCCGGAGTTCCCGCATGGATTTTTCGAAAACCATGAGTCGCGCGATTTACTCAACTCGCTCAAGAAAACCGCCTCCCGCAAGACCTTCATACACTATCGCGTCAAGGACGAGCCACGGCTGCGTGAGCAAGACTTCGGGAACTTCCAGGAACTCAGCTCCATGCGCGACGTGATGAGCATGCGCGCCAACTACGGCCACTTCTTCTTCCGCTTTCCACAGGGCGAAAGCGCCGCCGACGTCTACGACCGATGTGCGAGTTTCCAAGAGACCCTCTTTCGCCACTTCAACCAGCAGGATCGCAAGCCGCGCGACGTCGTGGTGCTTGTGACCCACGGCATCTACCTGCGGGTCTTTCTCATGAAGTGGTTCCGCTGGACCTACGAGGAGTTTGAATCCTTCACCAACGTGCCGAACGGGTCGCTCGTGGTGATGGAGCTAGACCCAGAGCTCGACCGCTATGTCTTGCGCACCACCATGCCCAAGTGGTGCTAGTCACGTGCCTAAGAGGCACGTGACTCGACCAGAAGCACGTGCGCTTGTCAATCTCGACGTCACAACTAACGGACGAGCCGAAGGTCCGTCCAATGTGATGTTGGTGGGTCTCGAGATTTTTCGCCTTCACACACACGTGATGTGGCTTCCTGTACGCATTTCCCTTTTCGGAAAAAAACTCAGCTCTCCTATGCTCCGGCTTCCTGGGAAGCGCAAACGTGAAGCATCAAATGGAAGCCAGAAAGGACATCATTGAGACTTGGGCCAGTAGAGAAACACTTCAAACCCTGTCATGTACCCAAAAGAACGCTGTTACAAGGACCATGGAAAGTGCTTGATGTAGCTGCTTTAGCTACGCTTTCTATGAGGGTTTTCGGGCGAATTTCGAGCGCCAGACCCTCTTTTTAGGGTGACATATTGGCTAATGACCAAGTAGGTGGAAAAGGTTAATATCACGCGACTGGGACGAGCTTCCGGTTTTTCCACCGTCACTGGGGCATTAAGCTTAGGCTGGCAGCGAAGGAGTAAAATCGACTGGTTGGTCCACTGAGAGAGTGTCGCGGCCAGCGTGGGTGGGTTATTGGGTAGTAGTCTATTATGGCTCCGGTACAAGTGATGGATGGTCGGTGGTGTGGATATGGACTGGGAAAAAAAATTGACGATTATGGGCCAATCTGTTAATGACAGGGCCGAGAGAAAGTGCGCGTATAAAAGAGTGTCAAATGCGCTGATTTACTGGGGGGTCAAGTTGGTTATTGTGTGTGATCTACAGTTGCTGTTGTTTAATTCGTCAGAATTCTCAAGGATTTCACATAGTAATAACGCACGCTAGATATACACATTTGCACAATGGCTAGAACTTTTTTCGTCGGTGGTAACTTCAAGTTGAACGGTACCAAGCAATCCATCAAGGAAATCGTGGACAGAATTAACGAGGCATCGCTAGCTAACGATGTGGAAGTCGTCCTATGCCCTCCAGCCCCATACCTGGACTACGCTGCCGGTTTGGTGGCCAAGTCCCAGGTGACCGTAGGTGCCCAGAACGCCTACGTCAAGGGCGCCGGTGCTTACACTGGTGAAAACTCTGTTGAACAAATCAAGGACGTTGGCGCCAAGTGGGTTATCTTGGGTCACTCTGAGAGAAGAACCTTGTTCGGCGAAGACGACAAGTTGGTTGCGGAAAAGACCAAGTTTGCCTTGGACCAAGGTCTGGGTGTCATTCTTTGTATTGGTGAGACCTTGGAGGAAAAGAAGGCCGGCACCACTTTGAAGGTCGTTGAGACCCAGTTGACGGCTGTCATTGACCAAGTCAAGGACTGGAGCAACGTTGTTGTCGCTTACGAACCCGTGTGGGCCATCGGTACCGGTTTGGCTGCCACTCCAGAAGACGCCCAGGATATCCACGCACACATCAGAGAATTCTTGTCCGCCAAGTTGGGCGCCGACGTTGCCGAGAAGACCAGAATCTTGTACGGTGGTTCTGCCAACGGTAAGAATGCTGTCACTTTCAAGGACAAGAAGGACGTTGACGGTTTCCTAGTCGGTGGCGCTTCTTTGAAGCCAGAATTCGTTGACATTGTGAACTCCAGAAACTAAATGTAGAATTGAAGCATTCTTCAAGATGTATAACGATAGAGGTAAGCGGTGGGCGACGAGCCTTCGCTTCTACCCCATATATATGAATTAAACGACAACTTCAAGCATTGGAAGGGTAGGTACTTGAGTTCTTCTCTTGGCCGCAAAGCTTCCAGCGGTCGCCACCTGGCGGCCTACACCAGAATGCCAAAACATCGGGCTCGGTCGTAAACATCACACAGCTCTTCCCACTGTACCACGAACTCGTCAACAAGCGGGTACAGAATCTTCCCGCTCATGCTGAGGCTCGAGGTTCGTGCTAGGCTTTCCACGTACACTATCTTCGACCTCGTCATGGTCACAACCTCCAGGAACTTTAACCACCCGCCAATAATGCAGCAAGTTCCGGGCCCGTTCAGCAACACCAAGTGCGGCTGTCGTACAAAAGTCCACTTGATCCATGTGAGTGTCCCGATGGCCTTGACTAACGTGGCCGAAATGCTCTTCACAGACTGGAGTCTCGAGGCACCTACTTCGCGTGCCTTTCCAAAGCGACAGACTTTGATTTCCACTTGCGAGCGTCGCAGTTCCCGTCCCAATGTTTGATCAAACCTTTGTAGGCTGGCATCGTCGGAAACACCTACAGTCAACCGCGTGCCTGGTTTCAACAGTACATCCTTGTAGTTTTCCAGCAAGCGCAGCATCTCGCCTGTGTGGCCACCAGAACCAAGGAACACAAATAGTCGCAGACTCTCGCGTCCCTCACCGCTACTGGCACCCAAAATACTATCGTTCGGGGCTCCAAATACCGGAATCACCAGAATCACTCTGATCACCAACCATTGCACCAAAATTAAGGCTAAAACCCAACCTCCGTAACCCATACCGATCTGTGTCAAATCAGAGAAAAAGAAGCAAACACACACACACACACACACAGCCACTATATGACAATGTGCTATGACCTGTGATTAGCAGGTTGAACAACCATCAGCTATCAACCTCTACTCGCCTTCTGGTATCTCATCTTGTCTTTAAATCCCACATCACGTTGAACGAAAGTGACACGCGAAAACAATTAACGCGTCGCGAAAAAGCTGAGACACATCAAGACGTGATCCGTTCTCGTACGATCAGTAAGTGATAAAAAAAGCCTGGACTCTAGCATTTAGAGCGAGCATATCTAGAACTCTGTGCGTGTGCAAATCTGTATAAAAAGAGATCGAAGTTTTTGGACTGGCGGGTCAAATTTCCAGAGATCATCGGTGTAAGTTATCTCGACATTTAGTTGAGCATCTATCCATCCATTATGAGACGCAATATGAGGAGTGACCCAAAAAAGAGACATTCCATGTTGATGGCACCTTCAACTTTGGACATAACCGGGATCTCGTCGTTCGCGGCGTTCTCGGGTCTTTACAACTCGAAGTCGGGCAACAAATCGGCAGACGACGTGGCCACATCGAAAGCAGAACCAACAGCACAGCGTGGCTCGGGAAAACCTAAAAACACCAGTTTGAAACGCAGCACCGTCTTGCTGGACGACAACATGGTTCGTGAATACAATCTTGCCATCCAGGAGCTGGCTCAGGAAAACGGCAGTCGATCTTCGCCCAGCTCTCGCAAAACCCCGCATCGTATACACCACAGCTCAGTCTCTGCGTCGTCCAGCATGTCGTCGCTATTCTCGCGCGAAAGCACAATGTCGATCCAAGACCTCATGTATCAGGAATTAAGCCCGGAGTCTGCGGGACAGACTACTTATCATCAAAAGGGGTTTTTCACGGGCACGATGGAACTCGAGCTTGTGGATTGGGAAGACGAGGAATTTAGTGGGAAGCCCTCAAGGACTCAACTGGACTTTTTCTAGACCGAAAGGTCAACAGTTACATAAAACGGATCTGCACACTTGCGAGCCTGGACAATTTTTAGCTTACGGATGCATTTTCTGAGCGTGCGGTTTTCGGTCAGTCTTTTAACGATTTCGTGTCTAATACATGTATAAAGTTACGTATGACAATTGTATTGTTCCTACACCTGTATGAGATGTGGCACCCGTTGAGGCGCTTCCTGGTCAAACGCTGGCAAGCTCACTTAGAACCTGGATGCATTTAAGGTATCCTCTTTTCACTGTGTTGTTTTGCCAGTTTTTAGATTTGATGTCTTAAAACAATCCACACTCGGTACTTCAACGAATGTTACAGTCAGGCCATGAAATTGCCACAGTATGTAAACAAGCCTTTCAAGTCGCCACTGATAGCCTCCCGGACACAACTTGAAACCAAATCAGGAGTCTTGCGCCAAGATCCGAAAGATCAGGACCCCCGCCAGAAGATCCACAAAAGACATAATCAAGAGGCTGAACCATCACCTCACTCTACCAAAAAGGCTTCAAACACCTCCAATTGCTACTCCATTACGTATCGGAAACGCACATCTAAGAAAAACAAGACATGGGATGGCGATGGGTATGCCATTGAGCTTTCCAGCGGATCTTTTCGTTTTTACAAAGAGACTGGCCAATGCATGGGAAGCGCATCATTGAGCAACTGTGAAGACAAGTTCGAGAAGATTTTCAGCTGTGCAGGACACGAGTACCAGCTGGACCATCAGATCAAGGATGAAAACGTCATTCAGGAATTAACGACGATAGTGGGTAACTCTGTAGCTTCTGGATCGAGACAAAGAAGCCTGTCACCTTTGCCATCCGTTAGTCCCATTCCGGTAGTACCGGTCCAAAAGTTTAAGCCTATCAAAAAGAATCCATTACAGTCTCGGCGAACAGATCTTCTCTCTGGTTCAAAAACCGTAACATCAAGACCGCTCTTCGAAGCATCACATATTGAAAATGCACTAGTAATGAACAGAATCAAGGGCTCAGATTTGGATGTGGTGGTTGACCCCATTCTCTCAAAACACCTGAGGCCCCATCAACGCATTGGTATAAAATTCATGTACGATTGCGTTATGGGATTGTCCAAGCCGCAAGGATACGAAGAGGATGGGAAAACTGTAACAATTTTAGAAAAGACCGATGAAATTAACGGATGTTTACTGGCCGATGACATGGGTCTAGGTAAAACGTTGATGACAATCACACTCATATGGACGCTGTTGAAGCAAAATCCTCTGCCGCCACTGGGCACTACATCGCAATCCGGCATTCCACTCCAAGGCGTCTGCAGCAAAGTGTTGGTAGTGTGCCCTGTAACACTAATCGGAAATTGGAAAAGAGAATTTGGGAAATGGTTGAATCTCAACAGAATTGGCGTGCTTACATTGAGTTCTAAAAGCACGCCCGAAAAGGACAAGCTTGAAACGCGCAACTTTCTAAAAGTACAACGATCTTACCAAGTTTTGATATTAGGCTATGAAAAGGTACTCAGCGTATCAGATGTTCTCTTCGAATGCCGAGCTAGCATAGGACTTCTAGTTTGCGACGAGGGTCACCGCTTGAAGAATAACCAGTCAAAGACTTTGAACGCTTTGAAATCTATTGATATTCCAAAAAAAATCCTCTTGACAGGAACACCCATCCAAAATGATTTAGCAGAATTCTTCACCATTTTGGACTTCCTTAACGACGGAATACTTGGTACTTTTGCACAATTCAAGAGAGATTTCATCAATCCTATTTCAAGATCTAGAGAAGTCAACAATAGATACAATGAGCTTATTCAAGAACTTGGAAAAGAACGCACAAATGAGCTAATCGAAACTACCAAGCGGTTCACCCTACGAAGAACAAGTGACACCATTGCAAAGTTTCTTCCACCCAAGACAGATATTATTCTGTTTTGCAAACCAACATCTAACCAACTGGAAGCCTTTGAAAGTGTTCTTACCAAATGCCACCTCGATTTCTCAACTATGGCTTACAGCTCATGTCTAAGTCTGATCACACTTTTCAAGAAGATCTGCAACTCCCCGAGTTTGATATCTCAGGATACATTTTATCTCGAGAGGATAAAGCCTACTATAAATTTGACCCACCATCTATCCCCGGACTCCGGAAAACTTAAGGTACTATCAATGCTATTGAGCAACATCGCTAAACTCAATCCAAGGGAAAAGATTGTTATTGTCTCCAACTACACTCAGACGCTTGATATTATTCAAAATTTGTTAAGGAGCAATAATTTCACAAATACACGGTTAGATGGGTCTACTCCTGCTAAAGAACGCGATAAGATTGTTAATGCGTTTAACAAAACGCCATCGATTTTCGTGTTCTTGTTAAGCGCCAAATCCGGAGGGGTGGGTTTAAACTTAATCGGAGCATCGAGGCTGATACTTTTTGACAACGATTGGAATCCTGCCATTGACCACCAAGCAATGTCGAGAATACATCGTGATGGACAAACCAAGCCTTGCTTCATATATAGGCTATTAACAACGGGGTGCATAGACGAAAAGATATTCCAGCGCCAGTTGATGAAAAATAGCCTAAGCGCTAAATTCATGGGAGGGCCAGGGAAGGAGTCTAGTGATAAAGCAGATGACGACCTTTTCGGCAACGAAGATCTCAAAGATTTGTTTTCAGTCTTGGATTCAACTTCTAGTAATACACACGATTTGATATGTACGTGTGTGGGGGATGGATCTCTTGAAATGAAGTCAGCAGCTTCGAACAATGAATTTCAGAAACCACGCGTCCAGCCACCAACTTTGAACGGATGGACAAGTGCAATGGAGTTGCGACAGGCTACCGAATTGGCTAACAAAGAAAATGATATACAGAAAGCAGCATTAGTAAAACAGTGTTTGAATGGCTACAAACATTTGAAGCCTAGTGAAAGATGTGACTTGAGTGAAGAATTAGCCATAGACTTGACATCAACCATCACCTTTGCATTCTTGAAAGAATAAATCATAAGATAAAGTTGCATTCTCTATATATAACTACCTGTTTGCGTTAAGTTTCGCTCTGGATTCTGCCGCTCGTGCCCTTTGCTCCCTCATCAACCGCATTCTCTGATCATCTGTGAGAGAGTTCATGTTCTGCTGTGCTGCAGATAGTTGAGGCGCAAGAAGTTTCCCAGACCCCCGCTTTGCGTCTTTCTCTTTCTGTTGCTTCTCTTTTGCGGCAGTCAGCTCCTGTTCTATCAAGCGCGACCTCTCTGACCCTATGCGTTTTTCCTCTATTTCGTTAGCGCGCTCAACTTCCTCCCGAGTCATTGCAGGACCAACATGGGATGTGCTCCAATCCACCAAATCTTCCCCCAGATTTGATCTCGCAATTTGGAAAGATTGTTGAACCTCTTTCTTTTTAGTCAATTCCCAAGGCGTTTTCCCAAAAACATTTTTCGTGGTTGGATCTGACTTCAAATTGTTGAGCAAGATAAAAACCATGTTCTTTAGGCCATGCTGAGATGCAAAATGTAGCATCGTTGGAGTTTGAACGTAGTCCTGTTGAGGCTCCAAAAGCATATCAACATTGAGGTTATGCTTACGAAGATATGATATTAGCATAGGGGCTTTGGACTTTTTCAAGAGAGATAGTAGCTCTGCGGTTTGCAACTCCTTGATCGGTATCTCCGTGGGTACGCTTTTCTGGGGCGGCAGTTTGTGAGGCTCTTTTATCGCAGCAGGTTTCGGACCTGGGCTGGTTTGAGGCTTTTCACTAAAATGCAAATAAGTCAACTGGCACCAAGCTCTTTTCAGCTCATGGCTAGTAGGACGTTTGGTGGTGAAGGGGAAGTTTCTAATTCGAGGGTCGTTTTTATCCAGACAAGTCTTGGCGTCGAAAAATATTTTCCTGTCGTTGGCACTCTTTGCACGTATGAAAATATTCTTACATTTTTGCAAATATGGTTCCCATTGTTGTAAAAGCTTCTGAATATCGATCTTCAAGGCAGTTTCATTATATCTTCGCAGCGAAGAACCTGCCGAGTTTGCTTTCCCTTTGCTGCTGTCCATGGCCGATTGAGAGCCACCTTGCTTCCTTCTTGTAGTATATCTGTGAATCGTTTTGTGCTCCAGCAATTGGACTGCTCTTTCCTGTAAAGTCTCGCCACTTTTTGACATGTTTCCCTTGATGTTGAGGCGCTTATGAGACAGGATAGCACCTGCAAAATGGCCACCACCAATCATGAAAAGTGCAGAAAAGGGCACTTCGGTGTCATTTCTGCCGTTTTCATTCCACCCTCGAATGGTTTGAAGAGGAACCTCAACCTCGGGAGCAGAAAATAGGGCTTTGAACGCGGCAAATATTTGGTTTGTCGGTAGAAGACTAGACTTAAAATAAATCTGTGGTGACCGAGTATTTAAATGGCTGTCTGGCCTCGTAGAGCCATCATCGCGCAATGCCATGTTTGCCACTTCATCTTCAAGAATTGCCGTCAGCTTGTCTTTGTCTTCTTGATACAAGTCCACATCTTCGCCGTCGGAATCGGAACTGGAATCGGAACCGGATAAACTTTCAAGGTCATCGTTTTCTGCAATAATGTCAAATTCTGTAGAACTGACAGGCGAAAGGCCGCTGAGTTTGCGCTTTATATTGAATCGGTGATAATCAGTTTTGTAATGTTCTTTTCTGGAATCAAGAGAACCCAATTCTATTTCACAACTACCACATCCAGGAGAATCCAGATTACCATTTTTGTAGCCTGTGGCCCTCTGATCATTATTCAGTTGGTTCTTCCGAACTTCCATAACGGAGCTGTCAAAAACCATTAATTCCAAAGAGTCAAGAACATCGTCTCGAAGATCAAAAATGTAGAGGTCTTGGCCCTTAATATCTGCAGCCTTGACATTCATATCTTAGCCGTGAATTCGGTTCTGTTTTACATCCTGTTGAAGACGAATACAGATGAAGCGGTTGAGCACAACTTTGGCAAGACTCTTTACATCATCGTTAACGAAGTTTGTTATTGTAAGCATGTCAAGATAAAGACACTCTAGCACACCGGGCCAAGTGTTCAGTTGTGGTCAAACTGAATCAGCAGTTGTCAAAGATTTATTACTATTTACAGGCTACCTACCCTGTGGCACTCTTGCAAGAAGAATTTGATCTTCTCGGGATCCATGAAAGGATGAGTTCCATGACCAAAATTGACGATGTAATTGGATTTTCCGCCGCCAAAGCCCGTGATCATCGCTTCCACCTTCTTGGTAATGATATCATCAGTACCATAAATCACGCCTGGGTCAAGATTGCCTTGCAACGTGACGCGGCCAGCGTTGATCTTAACAGCATCTTTGGGGTCCCAGGACCAGTCTAACGATACAGTGTTGTAGCCAGAGTCACACAACTTATCAAGGGCATACCAAGAGCCCTTAGCAAAAATGGTAATCGGTATCTTTTCAGTGACACCCAGTTCCCGCAATCTTTGCGGAAGTGCTTGGCTTATTTGTCTCACGTAGGGCAAGCAGAATACATCAAAATCAGACGAGCTCAATTCACCTCCCCAGCTTTCGAAAACTTGAAGCATTTGAGCACCAGCTACAACTTGCTGGGCTAGGAACTCAATAGCGACATCAGTAATCTTTTGCAGAAGCCTATGAGTCAGCTCGGGGAATTGATTTAGCCATTGCTTCGCGAATCTGAATAAACGCGATCCACCACCTTCGGTCATGTACACCATAAGAGTCCATGGTCCACCACAGAAACCTAGAAGCGGCACTTGGCCATTGAGCTTGTGTCTCGTTAAGGTAATGGCCTTGAAGGCCCAGTCTAATTCCTTGAGCACGTCCGTGTGATACTCTAGTACCTTTTGCATGTCTTCTTCTGTCCTCAATGGCTCTGGGAAATGAGGGCCCTTTCCTTCAACCATCACAACTTTCATACCCAGCGCTTGTGGGATGACGAGGATATCACTGAATATGATGGCTGCATCCAGAAGACCTGCGTAGCGCCTGACAGGCTGAATAGTGATTTCACTAGCAACATCAGCATCCCGACAAGTTTCGAAAAAATCGCGCCCGTTTTTAACTTCGTGGTATTCAGGCAAGTAACGACCAGCCTGACGCATGATCCAACAAGGTGGTCTTTCAACAGTTTCTCCTAAAGCAGCCCTTAGAATAAGATCATTTTCCAGCTTTGGGAACTGAGACCGGTCGACAGCTTGCATTATTGGTCTTGAAAGCTGGGCTTACTGGCTTACTGGCGAGAGCTAATAGTTGAGGATGCTCTTGCTTTTGCTTGATGGTGGTTTTAAAGAAAAAAGCAAGTCACGTGCCCATCGCATTAAGTGGTGGAGCATCCTGCTTTGTAGGGACAGAGGCGGCTTGCGAGCAGTTGATGCGGCTCCTCACCACCTTCTACTGCCCATGAATTGGATATCAAGCGGAGGGGGGGGGGGGGGGGTGGTT